GTGGGTGTTTTGCCGGGGCCCCTCCAACCCCCGGGTATCACCCCAATAACCCCCCCCCCCCCCCCCCCTGTCCACCACTGCCGGGAGGAGACACGACAACCCCCTGCCTCGTCTGGCAGTGATGGGAACTGTGGCTTGCCCTAAGTCTTTGGTTCGTTCTAAGAGCTGGAGTGCATTTTCAACCGCATGCGGGGATGGTATGTGGCGGGGATGGACATTACAGGCGGCCGGGTTGGGACAAGAACGTGTCTTGCTCTACCCTAAGGGTCTCGGTCATAGCGGGAAGGATTCCCCTCCAATAAGCGAGACATAATCTCTTGTTCTTCAGCGGTGTTCTGAGATTCTGGAAGCTCCGCGGGTGGGTAGAGATGCCGTGTTGCTGCTGCTGCTGATCTCGATGCTTTCGGCCGACCTTGTCGTCGAACCAGTCCCGGGGATTGTGGCTGACGAGAGCGAAGGCCCAGACGGTATTTGAGCGCTTGCGATGACCTGATTCTCCTTTTCACTAGGAGGGCGGACTGAACGTCATTGTTCATCCGTCGCTTCTAGGCAAAATCTCTTGCCTGCCGTGGATGTCGCTTCCCTCTTTGCCTCGCCAACCGTTTCTATTGTTATTAGATAGATTCGTCTGTTCTTGAGGTTGACCATCTTTCATGTCCCCTTATTATGTGCCGCGCAACCTAGTCCCTCCAGCCGCCCGTCGAAGAATGAGGCGTCGAAGGTGGCGCGAGCATTCGACATTATCAAGACTCCCGAGACGCTCTAGAGAGACGCTCTGATTGCTCGCTTAAGATGTTTGGTCCTTCGCCTGCGCCTTGGCAGCGTTGACGGGTGTTTGATTACCGGCGATCATCACCATGCAAGTCATGTTTCGACGCCTGTCGTGCCAGCTCTCGCAACGGGTATCACATCCAAGGCTTCGGTCAAGCCCCGTCGTCTGGAACGTAACTTACCCAACGCCACGTTATCTCGGCAAGAATGATGGTCTGACTGACGTCGAATTCCGTGCACGACAAGCTGAAAAGCTATCATTAGCGCCTGCAGCCAGCTTTATGTCGGACACGTGGATTTATTCTTGCTCTCAATCGATTAGGAACCGTGCTCATGCCTTGGCTTTAACTCATTTCATTTGTATTTGCTCACTGTCTCGTCTATTCGTTCCATTCCTGGCGTCCATGCAAGCCAACTACCGACCGAAATATCTCATACGCGCCGTTTGCCATGCTTGCCTCCCGATTTATGATGTATCCCATACTCTAAAATCAGGTAATCCGTGAATATCACGGTGCCTCCACCACACCCTCAAGACAGACTCTCCCCTCTCCAGACATGATCCACCGTTCAGCTGGATGCCGCAAGCTCCTCCTCGAGCTTGTTCAGCTCGCTCATCAAGCTGTGCACAGCCTTCTTTTGGTCCTCGCTAGCGGGGACGTACGGCCTGCGGGGGTCGAAAAGCTTCTCCTGGCCCGCCAGGCCGGCCCTCGGCGCCGTGAACACCGAGGCGGCGTACTTGATAGTCGCAATACCGGCCTTCGTCGCCTGCTCGGCAAGGGCGGCCTTCTGGTGCAGGGCCAGCGCCTCCGTTGACTTGCCCTCAGCGTGCAGCTTGTAGATCTTGGTCGTCACCCTGGGGAAGACGTTGGCGAAGGCAGCGATGCAGCCCGCGCTGCCGACGGTGAGACCGCCGAGGAGGAAATCGGACTGGCCGCCGTACGTGGCGAACTTCTCGGGTGAGAGCTCCGCGGAGAGACGGACGATCTTGGCGACGGCACCGCAGGTGAGCTTGACACCGACGATGTTGTCGTACTTCTTGGCGTACTTTGCGATGGTGGCGCTGTCCAGGTCGATGCCGTTGCAGACGATGGGGAAGTTATAGATGACGATGGGCAGCGGCGACTTGGAGGCGACGTCGTCGAAGAAGCGGTCGATGACGGCCGGGGTGGTCTGCTTGCCGAAGTAGGCCGGGGGCAGGACGAGCGCGGAGTCGGCGCCGGCCTCGGCGGCGTCGGAGAGGAGCTCGAGGACCTGCTTGGTGGAGTGGGCTCCGCAGCCGGCCATGATGGGGAAGTTGGGGCCGGTGGCCTTGCGGGCGGTGGCGATCAGGGCCTTGCGCTCCTCGCGGGTGAGGAGGAACGCCTCAGCATTGGTGCCGAGGATGACCAGACCGGCGAGGCCCGTCTTGGAGAGGTAGGAGTAGTACTTTGCCTGAGCCTCGAGGTCCAGCTCGTCGGTCTCGGGGTTGAAGAGCGTCACGGCGGGGGCCCAAACACCTTGGGGAGGGACCTTGGGAGCCATTTTGTGTGTTGTTTTCCGAAAAGGGTGAGATAACTGTTCGAAGTTGTGAGACAAGACCAGATATAATTAAGTATGCACCCTGAGAGCTATTCGTATGTTGATGAGTTTGTTGCGTAGTTGTGAGCTGTGCAAGAGTCGAAGTGATCAGGCGTCTTTATTACTGATGAATCGGGTTTGATGACCGAGGTTGTCACTGGAAATCAGTCGGGATGGTATCCGTTGGCACGACAAGAGTCAGATAGCGGCAGGTTATCATCGGATATCCGCACCGGGTCTTGATCCGACTCCCCCGCATCCAAGGCCGGTCTCGGCCGCGCAAGGACAGGGGTATTTCCGGGCGAATCCCCGATGACCTCCCAGTTTCCACGGATATTCCTTATTATTTCGGGCGGCCCCCGCCCGTAGCGCTGCAGCCACGCAAGATGTGTTTCCAATCAGACTTTCGGGTTGCCTGCGAGTAAGCGCATTCTTTGCAGCAAGCATGCCAAAAGGGTTGGGGAATCCTGCGGGGTCGGAGTTTTTCCCGCTGACGGATTTCTGCAACCATTAAAAAGAAACACCAACGACAACGACTGACGATGGCTTCACAACGCAAAAATAGGCCCTGGCCAGGGATCGAACCTGGGACCTCTTCCAAGCTTGTTACCGAATAACAGCCCTAAGGAAGAATCATACCGCTAGACCACCAGGGCGGTGACGATGCTCGCTTGCGACAGCTCGCTTGGATGGCGGGGCTGCGATGGTGGCATGATGACCCGACGGTGGGCTCGATGGGTCGTGGGAAGTGTGAGCGATGATGTCGGTAGGTGTGAGATGGCGAAAGACATCAAAGTTCGGAACTTGACGCGATCATCCCAAACTCGGTTGGAAGACTCACTTCCACGACCTCCGTCCTTTATATCAGGGCATCGATATTCTAGAGAGGCTTACTGAAACGCAACAGGAATTGAGTGATACCGTTGGGCGCACAAGCTTTTAAGGTACATATGTTTACCAACGTGCTTATTAGCATTAATTGCTATCAGGTCCAAGACCTCTAGCCTATAACAGCAAACTATGAACTGGAAGCTATCTCATTTTCCTCATTCATCATCTCTGTATCATCAGTCATGTGTTGCGGGAGCGTTAGATCCACTCCAAGATGATACTATCCCAGAGGAAACCCCTCCATTGAGTGTATCGAGTCACCGTGAAACCAACGGTGTTCTTGCCAGCCTTCACCACATCGGTATCGATCTTGTACTGGAAGAACCGCCATTCTCCGCTAATCTTTCCCGAGCGGTACAGAGCAGGATCGCTCGTCAGAACGTCCTTAGTCAAGGAACCGTATACTTGTCCGTTGACATCAACATCCAAAGCCGCGCTCTGGGAGTATCCCGCCAGCGACACGCTAAGAAGGGCAGTCTTGTTGGCAGCGAGGTCCGAGGCGGGAACATCGAACTCAATAGTCCACTGCCCGACCGCAGACGACGCAAAATACCAGTCCGAGTCTTGGGACTTGCCGACGACGAAAGTCAAGTTCGCCGGGCTGTCGGCCGCCACGCCGTGCTGGTACGGCAACCCGCCGTTCTTGAACCCAGTAGCTTTCTTGTCGAACTCGCCGACCTGGAAGATGCGCTTGCTCTGAGGAACCTTCCACGAGAGCTGGCCCAGGTTCGCGGTCTTGTCCTTGGTGACGGTGACGGGCGCGGTGAAGTTGGTGTACACATCGGCGAGCTTGCTGCCGTTGGACCAGGCGTAGACCGCGTAGGAGCCGGTGCGAACGTTGTTGAAGGAGAAGCGACCCTTGTCGTTGGTGTAAGTGGTGTAGTAGTAGTTCGTGCCCTGGATGGAAGGGCGGATTGTGGTGTCAGCGTCGCCCAGGAAAACAGCAGCGTTGGAAGCTGGTCGGCCGTCGGACAGAGTGATGGTTCCCTCAATTCCGCCACGGGAGTGGTAGGCAGCATCCTTGAACCAGTCGTAAGGAACATGCTTCACCTCTTCCTTGTGCTTCTGCGCAGCATCGGCGACGTCGCCGTTGTTCTGGTAAAATTTGTTAGCTTGAATGCTCGTCCGAGCCTTCATGTAGGGTATTTCTCACCAAATACCATAGCCAAGGCCCCCAGACTTTGCCCGCCGGCTGAGCAACCTTCTGGCCAACCCGAAAGTGAGATGTATCCTGGACGACATTAAGCTGGGCAGAGTCTCCAGTCTTGGACTCTCTGTGGATCTGCTATCTTGTCAGAACATACGACTTTCATATGAAATGGCTGTATCTTCCTCACCGTCAAAGTCTGACTCAGGTGGTCGCTGTTGTAGTACTCCGTGGTAGGGTGGATGTACCACGAGCCGGCCTTGGAGCCATAGATGCCGTAAAAGTCACGGTCTCTCACGGCATTCGACCAGTCGTACTTGGTGATGAACGATCCATCAGCCAATTGCCAGGTCTCATCTTGGACATTGGTCGCATTCGCATACAGCGAGAAGTCGGGCAGAGGTTCATCCTTGACGTGCGTCCGCCCTTTCGGAAAGTACTCGGGCGCCAGTCTCCACAGCGTCCGGAGGATACTGATGTCGGGCAGAGCGCGATTGACGAAGTACTGGTACGCGCCGCTCAAGTCATCGAAGATAACCCAGTGGAAGTCGCCCGCGGGGGCGGAGAAGCTGACGTCGATGTAGTTGGTGCCGCGGGACGCGATGGTGGCGTTGGTGAATTTGAGATTGTTCTCGCCGTCTGCAATATGTTAGATATTAAGGCCGTCTTCCCCCAGATTGCGATGGGACGATGTGCGTACCGTAGCCGACGTAGTGGCCGGCGGCCGAACCCACAAGATCGGCGCCCGGGACTCCGTCCCAGAAAAGCTTGGTTGCGTATAAAGAGCCCTGGGTCAGATTCCAGTGATCATTTCCGATGATCCAGGTCGAGTCATTAATCTGTTCGAAGAAGGGTCCCTTATTGGCGCTGACGGAAACACCAGCCAGCGTCAATGTCGAGAGTGCTGAGAAGCGCATGATGTCTTCAAGGAGAAGCCTCACTTACTATCCTCTGGAGCCCCGATGACTTTAGCTTTCGGCGAAATGGGGAGAATGTCGTCGGCGAACATGATACTTTTATATAAGTCGCAATGAACCTTGATTGGAAGTACTGTCAAATGAAGCTTTCTCTTCTTCGGCAGGAGCCGACAATGACATCCATGGATGCTTGAGGCCTTTGGCCAATAGAACCCTCGGTGGAGACACCATCTTGATAGACACATTGAGGCCTGTCAATTCGCGATCGGCCGTCTGCACTGTAGGAGTCATTGACAATTATGTGAGAGACCACAGTGTTTCTACCTCTCGAAAAACCCGAGCTTCACAAAATAAAATGATAGTCCATGATACCCTTGCCTAGCTTTTGATTCATGGCCATGACGCAATTCGCGTGTACCGTCTGGTTGGTGTCGCTTGTAGCAATCGCTGCAATAAACGCCATTGATGCAGGTCTTGCACCATCGCCGTTCCCACTTTCTCGGCACAACGGCCGAAAATCGCTCTATCAATCAATGATAAGACTCATTCACTCAAATGCATTTATTCCAGTGACTCTAAAATCGATGCCGTTTTGAGAACATGTCAATCACTAAAGCACAGGTTTGACATCATTTGTCACCCCCCAGCCAAAGGCATCTTGCGATGAACCTTCATCCTCAAATCATGTTGTTCTGAGTCAATCAAGTAGTCGCATTTCAGAACGTAGTTATTGCTCTACTTTAGGTAGGCAAACGGATAACTGATTTTCCAACGCAGGAACTTTCAGATAATGAAGTCCAACGGCTCGCCAACATTCTGATCACTTGAATTGAATGATTTGCTGCAATGCCAATCATGCATTTGACGGATCTGCACAGGAGAACTGACGACTTTCATTACAGAGTCATCATCGCTTTGATTCCCGGCTTCCAGGTAAAATATACTACTCACTCAACGTTTCTCAATCATAACAAGGCTTTGAGTGAATTCAAAGTCATCTTTAAAAGAATAAAAAGTAAAAACCGCGAAGGTTCTCCTCAAAAATGACGTGTGCCTTGACGAATTTCATAAATGGATTCATGGAGTTTATCAGAGCGAAGCCGATTCAGCTTTCAGAGACGAATGTTTGCTGACACTATTATCTCGTGCTTCAATCGGGAAACAGCGACTGAATAATAATAGATATCAAGTTTGCTTGCGAAGCCTACCTAGGTGAACGACTCCCGGTTTCTTAGCTAGCAGACAGCTGGAAGCTTGTAGTTAGCCTGCTGTGTACAGTCAGTCAAGCTGAGGCATCCAAACATGCCATGGTGCTCACTTCTTACACCCAGATGGGGTAAGTTGATCAACTCATTGTTCCAAGTTTCACTCTCAGCACTCAACCAAGGCTTATCTTACATCCCTAACATATTTATCGGCATGGAAACGTATTTACTGACTCGGCGGCAGAAGTTGATCTGACAGAGATTGAATTGCTTGTCAATGGTTTAAACATTGATCCGGTCAAGTCGACCAGCAAAAGACGATGCATCTCCTATGCCAAAGTCGTAGATTGCGGTCAACTAGAAACTCCGAAAGTCGACTCATCGACTCAGGTGAACGCTCCTGTTATTCCACCAATCCAAGTTGACCTTCAATGTTAATATGGCAAGATTGCCAAGCCCCAGTTATCTCTGATATGCGTGACCAGCAGAGTCCATAAAAAAGATGTCCAGAACCTATTATTGGGTATCCCGTCCTTTGCAGATGACGATCAGCGTTCGTAACCCGCCTGTCAGCAGACTGCAGACCTTCTTCCAGGCTGCTGGATCGCCGTATGCCCCAGAAATCCCCCGCGGGCTCAGCCTAATTGCTTAATCTTATCGAAGTTTCGCAAACTTCAGACGTGCATGATTCTTTCTAAGATGCTTTGGAACAGCGCATTCGAGACTTCTGAGTGTTATTGCAAGGACTGGGCAGTATTTGGGGGTTGCGCGGCAAGTGGAGTTGTGGGCAGCATATTCTACTGCGGTACTCTTGATCAATCTTCTGGCGGTTGTCGACACCTACCATACGGGTGTGCGAACCTAGCTTCGGTATTTGTATGTCCTGATTTGGTTCTTGTGACATTCCAGCCATGCGATCAAGCAAGTTCAAGTCTCTACGGCCGTACTGTGGAGGTAAGTGCCTCATCCCTGTTTCTGTAAAGTGACCTTGCAAGTTGCCTTCTCCAGGCTCGTCACCAGTAACCGTGCCATCGTGCATGCGTTGAATGACTGATGATTTCACAACTTTGTGGCAGAAGCTGGTTTTAGAAGCGGTCTGTCGATAGGTTATTGTTTCCTACAAATTGACGCGGCTGAGTTGAGTGGACTCCGGGTTTTTGGCAACATGAATGAAGCAACTTCAGGGCAGAAAAAAGTGCAGCAAGTTAATGCGGCCAGTCTGAAGTCAGTTCAGTTTTGACAAACTAGCCCAATATCGAGATTAGAAACTGAGTAATACTCGCCTGCAAATACGACTTCAGGTACACCGGGTCGGTCATCAACATAGAACAAGCCTCCTTTAAACCCTTCGTCTGATGGTAAGGGGGAATCATATTCCTGGTTGCATGCATGTGGTTTCGGCCCCGCAAGCACCACAGATTCCAGGTCTTTTCGTGTCCAGGCTGCCAGGGTAGCGAACCAACGAGCAACAGCTGAGCACTCACCTGCGCCCCCGACAACGTAGCATTGGTGTCCGAATTGCACGTTGAATTTGCCATTGGGAGACTCCCTGAGCACTCGGCGGAAGCCGAATGCAGCGTAGTTTCAGACGAAATCCCCACGATGTCGACCTTAGCTTCGGAACGTTTATAAATGGAGTCATGCGTGATAGCAACTGCCGCGGCCGGCCTGTCTCTCCCTACCTCTTTTCCCGCGACCCATTGTGTTCTGATTTAAGTGGCTGACGGGTGGAGGAGGCGCCAGTCTGGAAATCCGAAAGCCTCGCTTCTCACCCATCGTACGTTTCCCTGGACTGATTTTGATTCGGGTGGTGGGGGTCTATGTCCCCGCTTGCGGGAAAGCATCAGGGGTAACCATCGTCGGAGGTGACAATGGAGCCTCAAAGTGATCAAAAGGGACATGATGGAATCCAGTGTCGTTTCTTAGAGGCTCAAATCACCCTGCGGATGGGCCCGCGAGAAAGGAACGGGTGGACCTGGGAGAATCAACACAACACAGCAAATACTCCGTTATTGCGTCGATCGGCTGCGAATAGATTAGGTCTGTGCCAGTTTACCGCCTTGGCCTTCCCCTGTTCGAGCAAGGTTGGGCCCTGGCAGGCCAGCCATCATTTCCTCATCAGGTAACTGTTGGCTACTCCATTGGATTTTGCGGGTGGAGTGTCGAACCCCGTCATATATTCCAATCCATGGTCGTTGTTTACGCGCTTTCGAAGTCCAGGGGGTTGATGGCTAGTGTACGCGGCCAGTAACATGGTCAACATTTTGACAGTTTGAAGACGTTCAAGTTCCGAGAGCGAGTGGAATCACGGAGGCAAAGGGGAGTCGACAGGCCCATTTTTGAGCCAAGCCGTCAATGGTATATCATACCCGCGTCGCCTTGCCGTTTGTCGATCCCCGTTCTCGACCTTCTCACCCTTCAGTCGCTCTTTTTCCATTCGTTCAGCCCTATTTCAAAACTTTTCCAAGATGTTTGCCAAGTCCTTCCTTTTGGCCGCTGCGGCTGTCGCCCAGCAAGCCGCTGCCGTCGCCGTCTCTGGCACCCCTGAGGGTTTCGCTGCCAGCGTCACCGGCGGTGGTTCTGCTTCCGCCGTCACCCCTACCACCAACGACGAGCTGGTCTCGTACCTCGGCGACTCCACGGCCCGCGTCATCGTCCTGACCAAGACGTTCGACTTCAGCGACTCCGAGGGCACCGCCACCGAGACCGGCTGCGCTCCCTGGGGCACTGGCTCTGCTTGCCAGCTTGCCATCAACAAGGACAAGTGGTGCGACAACTACCAGAGCTCTGCTCCCTCTGTCTCCGTCACCTACAACAAGGCCGGCCTGAACCCCATTAAGGTCGGCTCCAACAAGTCCATCATCGGTGATGGCTCCAAGGGTGTCATTGTCGGAAAGGGTCTGAGACTCGCCGGCGCCAAGAACGTCATCATCCAGAACATCAAGATCGAGAACATCAACCCCAAGTACGTCTGGGGTGGTGATGCCATCACTCTTGACACCACCGACCTCGTCTGGATCGACCACGTCACCGTAAGTCCTTCACAATATCTCCATTCAAGTGTCTTCAAAGCTAACTCGCTCTTTAGACCTCCAAGATCGGTCGCCAGCACCTCGTTCTCGGCACCTCCGCCTCCGGCCGTGTCTCCGTCACCAACAACCAGTTCGACGGCAAGTCCGACTACTCCGCCACCTGCGACGGCCAGCACTACTGGACCGCCTACTTCGCCGGCAGCTCCGACACCATCACCCTGAAGGGCAACAGCTTCAACAACTTCAGCGGCCGCACGCCCAAGGTCAACGGCAACAGCTTCGTCCACGCCGTCAACAACTACTGGTCCGAGTCCACCGGCCACGCCTTCGAGGTCGACGAGGGTGGCTACGTCCTCGCCGAGGGCAACGTCTTCTCCAACGTCAAGGCCGTCATCGAGGACGGCGGCGCTGGCTCCGCGCTCGCCATCACCTCCTCCAACGCCTCCCAGTGCAAGTCCAAGCTCGGCCGTGACTGCGTTCCCAACAGCTTCTCCAGCTCCGGCACCTTCGCCGGCTCCGACACCTCCGTCCTCAACAAGTTCACCAGCGGCGCCGACATCCCCGACGCTGTTGCCGCCTCTTCCGTCAGCGGCTCCTCCGCCGGCTACGGCAAGATCTAAGTCATATCGTGACTGGAGTCGTCGGCCGCTACCCGGCCGTCACATTCGACGCGCCCCTCTGAAAATCAGGCTCCGAGGTTGACCTCGGATGGTAGCGGGATAACCGACAATCTTCTTTTCAGTAAATACCTTTAACTTCTTGACAGCATGTATAAACAGTGTGTACATGTACATAAATGCAAATAACTCCTTGGAATTCTTCAGTCTTCTTCGCGTGACGTTGGATTGACTTTCGCCATCATTTACGCCATATTAAAAAGTTTCTCATGGTCGGGGGCCGAGTTAACCGCTGGTTGCTAGGCTGCCCATGCTCTTAATTGTTGTCGTAAGTTGACGGCGTGTTTCCGAGACTCGAAGTCAGGCGACCCATGTCGACCTCCCGCCCTGTGCGCAATGCGAGTCCTGGTAGCGGTATGTGAAATGTCATGGAGGTTTGGTGTGAATATGTATCCTTATTTACTCGACACCTCAATCCCGGCCATTTGAGATCTGCATCCGTGGTGGGTACGTGATCTTTACGCAGCATGATCAACACTCTTAATTGCTCATGCTTGGCGATTGCCGATTTCCGCTGCAGATCCGGGCTGTCTTTGCACGCTGGCCCACAGCAATACCCTAGCTGACCGGCAACTCGCGTCTTGAATGTGCCTCATGAGCCTTTGAGGATCGTGAGCGATGAGCATGACGCTTGACGGACTCAACTGTAAGAAGTTTCAATCAATACTTATTTTCTGGGACGGGGCGATCGGGTAGCGGAGATGTAGAGGGCAGGTGCAGCAGAGAAGAAGCGGCAAGACATTTACAACAGCCTTACCAGGGAGTGGTAGACAAACCTCTCTTTGTCCTGAAGTCGACTTCTGAAATCTGAAAGATTTAGTTAAGTTTCCCTTCCAGTTTGACAAGCAACGAAGAGGTGTTTTCGCGACCCGTAGACAATGAGTGAGGGGTCGAGCTGGTCATATTGGGCAGGCCTCCCACGCTGAAGCCCACATAAGCCAGGACTTATTGACATATTAAAGTCAGATGCAACCCAGAGACGTGCTTCCACTGAAAGTGGCCAGAGTCCCGTAATTTACGCTGTCAATGGAAACAACTTGGACTCATATGATCAAGATACGTTGGGGACGAAGATCTTGTCATAACTAAAGAGTTAATGATGTCCGTTTTTACAGTCAGAACTTAGAAGTTTCTAAATGCTTCCAGTTGACTTCTTTCAGATGAACATTGCATGGAAAAACTGTCGGTATGTTTGCGTAGGTCTCGTTAAATGCCTATGGTGAGAGGGAACTTGCCCGTCTTGTATGTCTCTCAGCGTCGTCCTTCGGAACCGAAGCAACCCGCCTTGAAGGGTCCGACAAGTTTGAATGAGCCACAGCTATAAGACTGATACTACTTAATGATACGTATAAGGATTCGGTGTAGCGAAAAAAGAGACCTGATAAGTGTGTCCACTAGAAGCGCCGAGAGTAACAGAACGCCCGCAGCCCGACTATCTGTAGACAAGTCACCATAAAGGCACCGCGTCTCATCTCGTCTCATCATCCTCAGTTTTTAGAAATTGTTCAGATATGTAATATTTGTCACTTGGACGTTGGCAGATTTAGGGGTTGAACGGTTCTGCGACCGATGAAAAAGGCATGAAGAGAAATATGCCGGATATGAAGAGAGCAATGTCACTGCACTCCTCGAAATATTCCTCGTTTTAGTATTCATTGGGAAATAGTTATGTAAGAGCTATCTCTAGAATTGAGGTTCTGTGACTTGCATCATCGCTTCCATAGTTTTGTCAATTAAAGGAACATCGACTGATATCTTGTTTCCCACGGCTCGCCCCTGAGTTGAAGCCTTGGTATTATTCATCTTGCATCACACAGGCAGGTAAAGCGGATAGCTAAATCGTTAGAGAAAAAACGCCGTTGCCGGCAAGATTATGCATTTAATCTTACGCCTTCAACGGCATCTTGATCAGACTCTGAATAAATACGTCCACGGAAAAGTTTCACATGAACCCTTCACGAATTGCTCATTAGTCCTAAATACCTCACGAGGCCCTCCTAACAAGAGTTGCGGAAGACAGCCCGAACACAGCCCAACTCAAAAGACTTGCTCAACCAATCCAAATTCAAACTATCCTTGTTACCAAGAGTCAAAATCCATATATAGGTCATTATGCCCCAGGAAATTATGCCAAGTGTTCCCCACCGGTGCTCGTATTTCAACTCGGTCCCACAATAACAACAAGCATCAGTTCAGTGACCTCACTCTCCATGGACCTTTAAAAAAGGGTGAGAACCCCCCCCCCCCCCAGCGGTGAACAACATCAAGAACAACCGACAACTCTCGTTCAACTTCCCACCAGACACACGCCGACACCCGCAATGCAGCTCACGACGCTCACCTCCGCCCTCGTGGCCCTCGCCGCGACCGCCAGCGCCACCCCGATCATGGGCAACATCAAGATGTTCTACGACCCCGACGCCGACTGCACCGGCACGCCCCTCCAGACCTCGGGCGGCCAGTCCCTCGCCATCCCGCCCGACTACGTCGGCTCGTGCCAGCGCATCCCCATCGGCCTCGACAACACCACGTACAAGAGGTTTTCCGCCGTTCCTCTGACGCCCATCTTCAGCTGTGAGTCTCGGTCCTTAGGGGGAGGGGGGCAACGAATGAACCCCGGTAGTGCCGAACGGTTGACTGACTCGTGCCCTGTAGTTGAGCTGTACACGGACGCCGAGTGCAAGGAACTCGCGACCAACGCGTCCAACGTCTGCGTTTCTGACGTTCAGTCTTACATCCCCCGCCGTAATGACGGCAACTAATAGAATAATATACAACTTTGCAAAGGGAGCCAAATTACTATAGTCTATTTGCACTCAATGGGATAGCCTTCATCTCTATAATACTAGTAAGACTCTGGATTTAGGTGATAGTATCGGCTTAAGAGAAGGACTGGCGTGACTATTTGCAGTGCACCTATGTAAATCGTTGCCTCTAGGCTTGACGAGGCCTGAAGCAAAGCCTTAAATAAGCCTAATCTCGGTTTCGTCTCTGCCATTCAACCAGGATACTCTTTCAAGGACGAACCAGCCGACACGCTTCCAACACCCTCCCTCCTCAACCAACAACAAGCCTTCTCTCTCTACCGTGAGCAAACATGACACCTGTCCACAAGCCTCTTCATCCACATCAAAGCAACCGATGGCAACCACTTGGTCAATCAGCGCCCCAGTGCCTTGGTCTTTCTCCTCAGCAGCGGAAAGCAGAACCCCGTAACGCCTAGCCTTGCCTGCCCAAGACCTCTTCCACCAATTAGGTATATCTGCCAGGTACTCTGCCACCGTGGCGTCGACTTTCCTTGCTCTACCGACCTGGCCAACCCGCCAAAGTTCACATTGTGGCATGTGAAGTGTCGCTACGTCGCAGCTCTCGTCTGCTGTCCATCTGGTTCCCAGCCCCGGTCGCACTTTGATGAAGCCCTCTTTGCCCCATTCCTTCCACTTCTCGCCGGTGTGATGATAAAATGTTGGCCCTTCAACTGACGCCCATGACCATGTCGGCGCGCGAATCACGGGAGCTGGCGCGCAAGGCATGGGCCGAGGACGCACAAGAGGCCCATAGAACCTCTCGTGCACATGATGACGCGGTTTCCAAAGAAGGCCCCTTACGATATCATGTTCCCAAAGTCCAGCCAGATACCGAGACTGGAGAATGCCTTCGCCGAGCTTGGCAATGGAGGCTATAGCAGCAAATACGTCGTGTGGGTTGGACAGCTTGCGAAGTGTGAACGCGCTGACCTTCTCGTACCACATCTTGAGGGTGTTGTCTTTTCTCGTGTCTAGGTCCGGGGCCATGGAAGGAAATAGGGGTGAGCTGGACGTGTGAGGACTGCCCCATATTCTACTAGAACCGTTTTCCCAGGAGTCCCAGTGACGACACCGGAACCCGATCTGGTCCTCGGCAAAGACGATGGAGCGATTAGAAAGAGAATCATCCTGGTAACACCAACCCCGCGAGGTTGTCGGTCCAGACCTAATCCCACGAGGCTGATCGATATAGAGAAGATCGTTACTAGAAGGACCAAGCGGGATGGGACAGGGTTGATGCTTGTGGGAGGGATCGCAAGAGGCAAAGCCAAGTGTAGCATCCGCAGAGCGTGCTGCTATGAAGGTCAATGCTGCATTTCCATACACAAGCCCCATTCGACGAGACTCAGTAGCCCAGTCATCCGCATCGCCTTGCATAATACAAAGAGCGTCAATCCACGAGTATTCGAAACCGAGACCTCGAGCAAGTCCAATGGACTCTTGATGTGACTTTGTGAGCTTTTCCACTGGCAGAGCAACAAGGAACTCCTCGAGTATGTCTTTTGTCAACTTGACAGTATCCTGGGCCGGACCCCAACAGTATGAAAGGGCCACATATGGCTCACACAAGCCTTGCGTTGGGCACAGTCTGGAAGTCCCGTCTTTACCGATGTGGATGACGCGGGCGGGTATCTCGAAAGTCTTTGGCATTGCACATAACTTATGGCTCTTGCGACATTCCTCGAGGCGCAGTCGGACGAAAGAGAGAAGAGCGTCGGGGTCGGGATCTGTAGCGACGCAACGCTCGGGATAGACCGAAGCGGCTGCAGATCCTTCAAATCTTGAAGGTGTCAGCCTCAGTCAACAAGAAGAGATGGACGATTCCATTCAGAGTCCGCATAACCTACGCGTAATAAGACAAGCTCACACCCGGCGGAAATCCAGGATAATTCGTATCGGTGAAGTAGGTATCGTCGATGTCGTAGCTGCATACTCGACATCGTCCCCAGCTGACAAGCACCCCGCCGGTACCCCCGTTGGTGCCGCTTGATGGTGTTCCGGGTCCGGTGGGAAGGATATCTCCACGAAGCCAAATGCTTTCATACCATGGCGCCGTCTCGTGGTAAGATTCCGGTCGCTCGCCGTTGAGAAGACTGGTGGTTAGTCTGGGAAGAAGGGCGTCCTGAATGCTGTTCCAACAGAGGCTGCAGAAAGAACGGCCAGACTCGGCGCTTTCCTTGAGGGATTTGAGATTTGGATGGAATTCTACGTCCTGGTAGAATGACAGCTCGACGGTAACTTTGAGCAAAAGTCGCAATAAGCCATTGAGAAGATTGCAGGGAGTGTCGCGCAGCTGCGGTTTCGGCTGGGCCAAAACAAGTTGTTTTTCTATGTTGTAATTGCTACCTAGGCAGAAAGGCAGATCATGTCAAGCGCCAATGTCTGCGCCGGAGACAAGACTGCACTGTGGTCGGTCGGTTCGTTGGTCACGATCCTTCCTGCCAATTGGCTGTCAGCCCATCAAAATGCTGAGAGGAGCCCAAAAGCAAATATTCCTGAGATACGTTGTATATAATGAGTTGCCAACCAACATTCCAAGTAATTGACACAGGTGGAAGCCCTAGTAAGTGCTAAGCGATCTGGATCTACCCGGTTGGATGAAAAGAAAACTGACAACATAAGTTCAGTGAAAGACCGGTCGAGTTTATGAAACTCAAATCCAGTCTGTATAGCCTCGATCGAAACTCACTACTTGTATCATAGCCATCCTTCAAGAAGGCTCAGTGGTGTAGTCATGGTCCAGCTTGTCCTAGGCAGGCTCTCGTAACAAGTGTTCTCAACTCAGTCTTTCATTAACATATGCATGAGCTTTCATACTTGTCCTTGTCAAACTTGAGTTTTCCATTTAGCCACCTGGTAGCATTTGACCTGGTTTCGAGGTTCTATCGAGCTAATTAACATCCAGCGATGCAGTATCGTGGATCTCTCTTTCGCACTAACAAGAAAGAAAGTCGCAACGCCATTCGTGGCCTCGGACTAACCATGCCAGGGGTCTATTCTTTCTTTCTTTTTCAAAGACTTGCCGAAAAAATTACAATACCGCAGCTTCAAATCCCCGCCGCGTCGACATACCGTGGCGAAAAAAACGCCGTTCCCTGCTAGCGGCGATTGTGAATTCATCAAGATGGCTGGCCGGCGGGGAGGAGGGGGGGTCTCAAAACCTTTTATCGCCATCTCGCGTTCGTCCCGCGCAGGAATCGCGGATCACACCAATGGGATTCTTCAGATACCCGTCCATCACTGGATCCCGGATGTCTCAGGGTCGCATCGTGCCACGTACCGAGCAGCTCAAGACAGACTGGTGCGAGGGAGGTGCGTCTCCTAATCGTCTAGTCTTCTTGGCATGATCATGGCCCTGTCGTAACACCCAGAGCTTTTTTAGACTGCGATCCCCCCCTTCTGCGATGGCAATCGCTCATCCTTTCTTTCATAGAGCTTCGATCCTCGAAGGACATCCTTTGAGGGCTGTCGCGAAGGTGGCACCATGGCGCAGTCCGAATACGTCGAGATGCAGCGGCCCAAGGGCGAGTATGCCGCAGTCAACACCACGAGCTCGTCGGAGAAGACGGGCAGCCAGCAAGCCCACGATGGCCCGGAATCGCAAGTTGACGACGTCGGCGCAACGCTGAGGGTGAGTGGAGACATGTTTGCTAGAAGAGTCAGAAACACTGATTCGTCGATAGCGACTCTTCTCCTTCTGGCAGCTCCTGGCCTTTGCATTGATCTTCATGTCGTCGTGGGAAGTCATGGCCATGGACATGGGAGCAACGTTCTACAACGGCGGCCCTCAGACACTCGCCTGGGGCATCATCCTCGTCGTCGTGGGCGCCATGGCCCAGGCCCTGTCCATGGCGGAGCTCGCGACCATCCAGCCGATCGCCGGTGCCCAGTACCACTGGACTCACTTCCTCGCGCCGGGAAAACACAGACGATTCATCACGGTACGGCGTTACTAATGTCTATCCAACGAGTCTTCGACCGTCAGCTAACGACGAATACCTCATCACAGTGGATGCAAGGCTGGGTGACCTGGTTCGCCTGGGTCTCAGCCCTCGCCGGCTCGGCCGCATCGGAGGCGAACATCATCATGGGCCTCGTCGTCACGAACTACCCGAGCTACAACTTCCAGCCCTGGCACCTCACGATGGTCGTCATCGCGCAGCTCGTCGTCGTGGGGCTCATCAACACGTACGCCTTCCGCACCATCCCCTGGATGGAGCTGCTGGCGGGCGTGCTGCACGTCGTCCTCTGGCTCATCCTCGTCGTCGTGCTCCTGACCCTCGCCCCGCGCGCCAGCGCCGACTTCGTCTTCTTCGAGCGTACCGTCAGCTCCGGCTGGACGAACGACTTCGTCTCGTGGAACATTGGCATGCTGGTCCCGGCGTGGGGTTTCATCGGGTTCGACGGCGTCGTGCACATGGCGGAGGAGGTCAAGAGGGCGAAGCAGGCCGTGCCGCGGGCCATGATGTGGACGATCGTGCTCAACGGGATCATGTCGTACGGGATCATCATGGCCATCTTGTTCGCGATGGGTGAGCCGGATGAGGTCCTGTCGTCGGATTACCCGATCATCCCGCTCCTCTTCAACGCCGCCGGCCCGGCCGCGGGGACGGCCATGGTCTGCGGGCTGCTCATCATCACGTTCTGCGTCGTGGCGGCTTCCCTCGCCTCGGTGTCACGAATTACCTGGGCGTGGGCGAGAGACGGCGGGCTGCCGCGCTACTTTGCCAAGATCCACCCCAAGCACAGAGTTCCCGTCAGGTCCGTCTGGCTGCCGTGTATCATCGTCACGCTGCTCTCGCTTTTCACGGTGGGGAACAACGCCACGGCGACGATCTTTTCGGCCTTTACCGCGCTTTCGTCGCTGGGGCTGTACAGTTCGTACATCATCGCCATCTCCTGTATGCTGCACGCCAGGATGACGGGGCGCGTCGGCCATGGTCCGCAGTTCGAGGTCCAGTATGGGGGATGGTCGTTGCCGAAGGGTTGGGGCGCGCCGATTAACATATACGCGCTGCTTTGGTCGGTGTATCTGAGCATATGGCTGCCGTTCCCTCAGACTATTCCCGTTACCGGGACGGAGATGAACTATGCTGGGCCGGTCTATGTCGTAGTCGTGGCCGGTGCGCTCGGCTTTTGGTTTACTTGGGGGAAGAAGCATTGGCCCGGTCTTAACAAGACCGCCATCGAAAGGGTTAAGGCGTATAACTAGGTTGATCATCAAGGTGTGTGGATGAACGGCCCTGACTCAATGTATTCTGATCTTCCAGAAGCTTTGATAAGGCAGTCAGCTTGGATGTAGTCTAGGATGCTGAGCTGGCAGGAGCACTTGAGCGATATCGCAGTTTCAACAGAGGGAAGGCTTGCTTAGACTCAAGAGAGTCTCTGGCGAGTATGGCTAGTTCCCTGGAACCTAGATGGAACAACTTCGATCGCCACTGAAGACACGTTGGTTCTCTTGAGATAAGCTGTTTGACTCAGCTCAGCCCAGTCCTTTCAAAACGTGGGCAAGTAACTGTTGCCTGACGGTAAGCCACCGCGTACGTGGCCTGCATCGTGATGGCCTGCTGCCTGGCGGTACGAGATTTTGCCAGATGCCGTGTAGGATCAATCGTAACAACGTGCTCACACCTGGATTTCGCAAAACTTTTGTTCCATTATCCAGAACAGATGAAGTCCATAGGTTCAACCGATCCGAGAATTTGGTCGTGGTGGTTGATTCCGCATGTCTCGAATCGGCAAGCCGGAAAGGGGCAGTCGTCGGGCGGGACCGATGTCACTAACAGCATCACATGCCGTTTGTATGCAGGGAATGCCCGGGTGCAAAACACGGTCCGAGAAGTGATTGCCGCCTGCGTGGTCGACCCAGGCAGCGGCCACCTCAAAAGCATCAGGTCAGAATGCCGGAATACGGAGACAGAAACGAACCTTAGTGCGGACACATATACATGTGCGTGATATGGTGAGGTGTTCATTATCAGATATTAAGGGACAGTCTCGTGGTACCCGTCTCCCTCGGTGAGCCCTGTTTCAAGCGGTAGAATGAGATGAAGAAAGACGTAGGGTGAAGCTGTCAGTCCCCTGTCAGTCCCCTGTCAGGTCCGGTTTCATCTTTGCTTACCTCACCTCACCCTTATCGGTGTTATCTGATACCGATACCCCTCAATGACGTCTTCCGCAAAGCAACTCTAACGATAAGACACCACCAAACCACCTTGAGTGACGCCCCTCCGATCAACCGGCTTCTAGCGGCAACCTTGCCTTCCAGCGTTTCCTAGTGCCTACCTTGCCTCGCTACGGTAGATGTACAGGTAGCAGCTGCATCCGCATCCGCCAAGCCAGCAAGCTCACTTGACCTGCTTTGTCCTCGTGCTCGGGCAGGACCCCACTCCGCCCACCGAGCGCCGATACTGCGTCTACCAGTGACCTCTGACTTTTACACATACACCAGCTGCACCTCCCGTATTCCGCCTTTCTTCTCTCACCTGCACATCCCGCCTCTTGTACACGCTTACAACCTGGAGGTACCCGTCTGCTTCTTACTTACAAGTTACACAATCGGAGCGTCCTGAAGGGATCATCTGGGGACCTCAGGGACCCTTCACCACGCACGCCCTCATCTCACCCTTCACCGGATCTCACCTCGACTCAGTCCGGTCTGGCCGTCGCGTCAGCTTTCCTTTCGCCTGACCATCAGCTGTGCTGTGCCGTGCCGGGGTGCTGCTGCTGCTGTAGTCCATACTCTTCAGCTGCCGCTGCGCATTCCGTGTGTAAGGCTGCTGCTATTCATCTCTTCTTGCCCGGATACAACAAATTCCCTCTTACATACACCTTCTCGACCTGTTCCTTTTTCGCTTCTATCATCGACACTCCGACCGGAAGCGCAAACATGTTTGACGTCTTCGCCCACCTATTATCGTGAGTGCCCAGCCATGTTGCCCCTCTATTGAACCCTTCGGCTTGACCTCCGGCTCCCTTCTTCCCACTCCGAGTCCGCTGGTCCCTCACTGCTTGCTAACATGCCGACCGTATCGCAGCTCCATCGCATCTTTTCTCTTTCCCCTCTTCGCCTCTTACAAGGCTCTCAAGACCTCCGACCCGGCCCAACTGACACCATGGCTCATGTACTGGGTCGTGCTCGCATGCGCCCTTCTCGTCGAGTCTTGGACTGAATGGATTCTGGTTTGGTACGTCGCAAACGACAATCCTCCGATTCAATGACGGCTGACTAACATCCTATAGGATCCCTTTCTACGCCTACATCCGACTCCTCTTCCTGCTCTACCTCGTCCTACCCCAGACCCAGGGCGCCCGCATCATCTACCAAACCCACGTCCACCCCTTCCTCCAAGACAACGAAGCCCAAATCGAAGAGTTCATCTCCGAGGCCCACGACCGCCTCAAGGCCGCCGGCATCGCCTACCTCAAGCGCGCCATCGAGCTGATCAAGACGAACGTCCTCGGCCTGCCCCCAGGCGAACCCGAGCCCGCCCCCGCCCCCGCCGCGGCCTCGCAATCCTACACCCAGTCGCTCCTCGCCCGGTTTAGCGTCCCCGCCGCGCGCTGGGCACCTCACGGCAACACGGGCGCCGACTTCTACAACCTCCTCGCCGGCGCCGTCTCCGCGGCTACCGGCGGCGGTGTCGGCGGCGGACACCCCCACCACCAAGACCTATCCAAGTCCGGCAACCTTATCCCACCAGAGCTGCAGGGCGGCGAGCGCACCAGTTTCATCGCCGCCCAGCGCGAGCGCCTCGCTTTCCTCCTCAAGGCTCTCGAGCGCGAGGCCGCCGCCGCGGAGGCACAGGCGCCCGAGACGTACGCGAGGGCGGGGAGCATGCAGCTGGATGGTAGCATAGAAGAGCTCACCCAACGGCCATTGAGCGCGCACAGCGGACTCAGCAAGTCGCGCAGCGAGACGGACTTTGAGAAGATCGACGCGGAGAGCGGGGCCGAAGACCAGGACGGCGAGGGAACCATCAGGCGGAGACAGGCGGGTGGATCGTCGTGGATGCCGTGGGGATGGGGCTCGACGCCAACGGCCGAGAACCCGGACGGTGGGGCTAGCTCTGGCGTGCAGAAGTAGCGTCTGCCACCCGCGTACGAGGTGGTGCTTTTGATGGGACACGGAGTTTTGTGGAATTTAATGCCTTGCCTCTTTTGCTAGGTAGGTTCGGCCAGCAGGGCGTCATGGATGAACAGACTTGTGGGGAGTTCAAGTCGGGACGTCTTCGGGGACCAGAAAGGCCTGCGCTCCCCTCGATTCCCCCTTGTCAATGGCTGAATAGACCGGGACGTCGCTAACAGTCGATATCCCATGTGGACCTCTCCAATTCCGTATTCTTTGTGCAAGCTTCTGTTTGTCGCTATTTGAAAATGCCTATGCGTCTATGCGCCTCCTGACGTGTGGCTATTTATGTGGTCTATTTTGTACAGTTGAGATTCCCACCCAGATCTTACAAGTCCTCCCCTCCTTTTCGTTTTTTTCTTTGTACAAGTTGTCACCGTACGAGCTCTTTTTACTTTTAGTCCCTCATGACTTCTTGTAGGGGTACGGGACTGGCACGTCCTTGCGCGTCCAGATAAGCTTCTTTTGCTTGGTGGTGACGTGTGTGCACCACACGTCGATGGCGTACTCGGCCTTGAACTTGCGGATGAAGACGGGGTCCCAGAGGTCGGAGGCGATGCCGAGGTCCTTGCAGCAGCGCATCAGGGCGTTGGACTTGCAGCCCTCGACGGCGGAGGGGAGGCCCTCGAGGCCGAAGTAGGAGTTTTCGCCCTGGGCTTGGGAGACGAATCTGTGTGGTTGCGTGGTCAGCTTTGTGTTTGTGGACCGGTTTCACTCGGGAAACCGAGAAGAGATGGGGGAGAATCGTACCGTCCTTCGGCAATGAGCGCGTACTCCCTCGTCACGATCCTGTCCCCCACGACCACCTCGCCCTTGGGCACCAGGCCCCAGCCGCCGGGGCCGAAGGCCGTGTTCAGGATCCGCCGGTACTTGATCTCGGGCAGGTAGATGATGCCGTCGGGCTTGACCTCGACGTCGTCCGGGTTGACGGGCTGGAGGAGGATGTCGGTGACCTCCTTCGAGAACCGGCCCGTGCCGAGGCCGTAGTAGGAGTTGGACCAGTCCACCGCGCCGTCGCCGTTTCCGTTGCCGTTGCCGTTTTGCGGCTGGTGTTGCTTCTGCTGCGCCGGCGGACTCGTTTGCGCGGCGAGCGTGGGCAGGGGTGTGGAGGAGGAGAGGCTGGGGCCGATGGCGGCGTCGGCTTCGGGGGTCGTGGAGGGCGGCTCGTCGGGAGAGGAGGCGATCTCCTCGAAAGAAGAAGGAGAGGCGGCTTTGGGGGCGGGTTTCGGCGGTACGGCTGCTTTTTTGGGGGCGAAGGTTTTCCTCGGTGCTGCTGCCGCTGCCGCTGACGCGGGTCTAGGTCGTGCTGCTGGTGCTGTTGCGGTGGCGGGGGCTGTGGAGCGTGCTGTTGTTGCTATTCTTGCAATCTGGGTCGTCGGGCGCGTGAGGCGCACGGCGAGTGGGCGGAGGGACATTATGTTGGTTTGTGTGTGTTTTTGAGGTAGAGGGTGAGAGAGGTGTGGCGAGGCAAGGCGGTATGTGATGGCGGGTATCGTTGGCTTGCACACTGTTGATGATGGCGATTTTTCTGGATGGCGGGTTGATAGGTTAGATTGAAATTTGGCCGGCGCGGGTGAACGCGGTGCCGGGTGGGGGAGCTTGGGCCAGTGTCTAGAATCCGTACAGTGCGAGCGCCCGGATTTCAGGACGCATCAGTCCACTGTTGAAGCACATCACGAGAAATCAGCCGGTCTTCATGAGTGATTGGAGTTTTTTACAGTATTGATACATGTTGTGTTGTACAGTTTCCTTCGTCTCATCTGGAACTGAAGCGATTATGCGTCCTTCATATCGGTCCTGGCGTCGTTGCCTTGCTGTTTCCAGCAACTCTTGAATCGCTCCATCTTTCCCACATCATCATCAGCTTCATTCATTTCTCCGTCTCGGGTCTGGCGGAGACGACGTACCTCGGCAGTGCATTGTCGCCAGTCTTTCTTCTCAAAGTAACAGTCCGTCAACTTTGCATTCTCATCTGCGAATTATGGAGTTAGTGCTGCCGTCGACGGATAGGATCCATGGGGAATGCCGTAGTATCGTACCTGCGCAGCCAGTGCTGAAGATGCGCTTGTCCCTGCGCAAGCGTTAGCCATGAGCGACTGAGTTGTCCCAATAGTGTGCTGTATTCAAATGCGATCGTTTTTCCTCTTCTTTCTTTCGATCGTATCATCACGAAAGACGAACGACGAGTGTCTGGGCCTCGCTCTTGGGTCCATCGGGAAAAGGAAGCGCTGAACGTACCAATCATCGGGTTCGTCATCCTCGGCGACCTGTTGCACCGCGTCGCTTTCCTGCTTCGACATTCTTTTTTTCTGCCGACGGACAGTCGTTGATAGTTGTCTCTGATTGACTTTCGAGGGATGGGTAATCCGTGTAGAAAGAAAGAGTCAATTTAGCTTCGAAATTGTTGGGTTGGGGCTAGACAGTGCCCCCCCAAAAAATCGGCGTTTGGACTTTCACTCACTCGCTCACTCTCAACTCACCCAGAAACCCACCTCACTTACTCACTCCCCTCTTCATCAATCTCATCCAGCACAACTCGCCACGACAATGGCTCCCCGGAAACTCAACGTGCTGGTCTACAGCGGTAACTCCCCTCTCATCCCGGTTTCAATCGGCACATCCCTAACAACCGCCCAGGCACCGGCACGACCCTCGAATCCGTCCGCCACGCCCTCTCCACCCTCCGCCACCTCCTCTCTCCGAACTACGCGGTCATCCCCATCCCCGAGGCCGCCCTCCTCAAGGAACCCTGGCAACAGACCTGCGCCCTCCTCGTCGTCCCCGGCGGCGGCGACCTCGGCTACTGCCGCGTACTCAACGGGCCCGGGAACCGCCGCATCGCCGACTACGTCCGCAAGGGCGGGTCCTACCTCGGCTTCTGCGCCGGCGGCTACTACGGCTCCCGCAGGTGCGAGTTCGAGGTCGGCGACAAGACACTCGAGGTCATCGGCACCCGCGAGCTCGGCTTCTACCCCGGAACCTGCAGAGGCGGCGCGTTCAAGGGGTTCGCGTATCACAGTGAAGCGGGGGCTCGGGCGGTGAAGTTGAAGGTCGGGGAAGGGGATGAGGTAGTCAGTTATTATAATGGCGGAGGCGTCTTCGTCGATGCTGAGAAACATGCGGGCGTGGAGGTGCTCGCTAGCTATGCAGATGACATCGACGTCGACGGCGGCGACGGCAAAGCTGCCGTGATTTACTGCAAAGTCGGGTCCGGGAATGTCATCCTCACGGGCCCTCACCCAGAGTAAAACCCCCCTGATTATCTCACCCGAGCGCATCTAACAAACTAACTCAGATTCGCCGCCGCAAACCTGCACCCCCAACCCAAGATCCCCTCCTACGAATCCCTCATCGCGACCCTCGCAGCCGCCGACGCCGCCCGCGTATCCTTCCTCCGGACCTGCCTCGCCAAACTCGGCCTAGACCTCACCGCCGACCCCTCCGGCCCGCCGTCCCTCTCACGCCTGCACCTGACGTCGGCGAACCACACCGAGGTCGGCGAGACGTTGCACTCCTGGGAGGAGGCCATCACGCGGACCGAGGACGGGGAGGAGTACATCCACGGCGAGCACGACGTCTTCCGCATCGAGAAGCACGCGACGCGTTTCGGCGTCGAGGATCTACGGGATGCCCTGCCGCCGGCGGGGGATGTCGATGATTATGACAAGGTCGTCAAGGTGATTGTACCGCACGAGGAGGCCTGGCCCGACGTCAAGGAGACGCCGAGCTTCAACCACCGGCTGTTCTACAACTCGCTCAGGCATTACAGGGAGAGGGAGCCCGCGGCGGAGGTGTGGGGTGATATGTTGCTGTACGGCGAGGTCGTCACCAGCACCAACACCCTCATGGACAAGTAAGCTACTCCTCGATCCTGTTTCTCAATGTAAGTCACTGATGTCGACGTTCCCAGAAATAACAAGCTTCTCTCCAAACTCCCCACCGGCTTCACCCTTACGGCATCGACTCAAGTCGCAGGCCGCGGCCGCGGCACCAACGTCTGGGTCGCTCCTCGCGGGAGTCTGATCTTCTCAACGGTGATAAACCACCCCGCTCACCTAGCCGCCTCCCACCCGGTCGTCTTCATCCAGTACATCTCCGCCATCGCCATCGCCGAGGCCGTGAAATCATACGACGACGGCTGTGGCGATATCCCCATCAAGCTCAAGTGGCCGAACGACATCTGTACGTGCCCTTCCCCTCTCCTTTCCCAATTATGCACAGACAAGAAGACTGACATTGAGAACAAAAGACTGCCGCGACCCCGCCTCCACCGCCGCGGACCCTTCCTACGTCAAAATCGGCGGCATCCTCTCCACCTGCAGCTACGCCCAGGGCGCCTACCAGTGCGTCGTGGGCATCGGCATCAACACCACCAACGCGCGCCCCACGACCTCCCTCAACGCCATCGCCCCCGCGAGCCTGGTCGGCGGCTTCCACATCGAGACCCTCCTCGCGCGCATCCTGACGCGGATCGAGGCCATCTACGCGCAGTTCCGCCGCGAGGGCTTCTCGCGCGACCTCGAGGAGCGGTACTACAGGCTCTGGCTGCACTCGGAGCAAAAGGTCACGCTCGAGGCAGAGGCCGGGGCGCGGGCCAAGATCGTGGGTATCACGCGGGACTGGGGCCTGTTGAAGGCCGTCGAGGTCGATCGCGACGGGAGGGAGACGGGGAGGATGTGGGCGCTGCAGAGCGATGAGAATAGTTTTGATTTCTGGAAGGGGCTGGTTAGGAGGAAGTTGTAGTGCATGGCCACGAGGAAAGGTTGGCTCTTGGCATGGCGTCGGGATGATTGCATACCGATCTGACGCTTGCCGCGATGCCTGCAGGAGGTCATTGAGCCGATGGTACCGATCTCTGGACGGCCGGCGTGCAGCAGCATGCGGGTTCTTTCGGGGCCGGCTGACGCGGGTCCCGGCAAGTTATCCAGCCTCCGTTACCGGGTTCGATGCTTATGGCCGTCTTACTGGCATGAAGCTAGACTGCTTCTGTCAACGAAGACCATTCAGACCCCTCCAGATTCACACAAATCACCCATGACATGACACCCGTACCTTGCATTGCAGCTGACGGCTGACCCCGTTGCGAATGTCTTACCGTCTTACACACATCAAACCTGTCCAGGGAATCAGCCCATCCGCCCCAGTTCTTAACGAACCATTGCCGGCGTAATTAGGCCCCGGAGTGACATGTCTTGCGGGAACAAACACGCGGCCCACATAACCTCCGTCCTCCGATCCATCACTCCGCGTCGGAAGTCCCTCCTTCACCGATGAGCCGTTCGTATATCTACGTCGATGCGCTACAAGGTCTCGCCAAGCGACGTGATATTTCCTATTGATGCGCAAGGTTGTATTTGATCTTTGTTTATTTAAATATGAACAGCACAGTCAGTGCCAGAATCTTGTCCGCACGTACTGGCATTCTACTAGCTCAATCTCACCACAGCATCCCCTCATCACAGCTCACCAAGCTCCTCATCACCAACCCAAATCTCGCCCGCAACCGCAATCTCACTCACCACCGATTGAACCCCTCTCATCCCGCATCGCGCTTGTTTTCATCTCAAACAAAAGCGAAAATGGCGACAAAAGAACAGCCCAAGATCAAGCTCTACTGGTACCAATCCCCCATCTCCCCCCTCCTCCCTTGAATCAATCTCACTCACTAAACTCAAACGAAGGCTCAACGACTCCCGCTCCCAAAACACCCTCTGGCTCCTCGAAGAACTGAACCTGCAGTACGAGACCGAGGTCTTCCGCCGCGCCCCCAACATGCTCGCGCCCCCCGAGCTCGCGAAAGCGCACCCCCTTGGCAAGGCCCCGATCCTCGAAATCACCCCGGTCAGCCGCGCGGGCGAGGAGCAGCAGCAGCCCATCACGCTCGCCGAGAGCGGGTACATCACGCAGTACCTCGTCGACCACTTCGGGCAGAACAAGCCGTCGCTGGTGCCGCAGCGGTGGAAGGAGGGCCGCGAGGGCGAGGTCGGCGGCGAGACGGTCGCGTTCGCGAGGTTCCAGTATCTACTGCACTACGTCGAGGGGAGTTTCTTCTCTAATCTCGTGCAGTATCTGCTCATCAGCGGTAAGATATCACTCATCACAACTCGTCTCGGTTGACTTTCTCCGGGTTCGTGGGTTAACTAATGACGCATCGACCAGCCCTGAAATCAAATAACGTCCCCTTCCTCGTACGCCCCATCACCTCCCTCGTCGCGAACAAGATCTTCAGCCTCGTCGTCCTCCCCGACGCCAAGAAGCACCTCGCCCTCCTCGACTCCTTCCTCAAGACCGCCCCCGGCACCACCGACGGCGACGGCTACCTCTGCGGCCCGGAGCTCAGCGCGGCGGACGTGCTGATCAGCTTCGGCATCACGTTGGCCGATCAAATGGGCGCGTACGACGCCATGGGATCCTGGGAGGGCGGATCGTCGCGGGCGGCGTACCCGGTCTTGTTTGCGTATGTTGATCGGCTGAAGAAGGAACCTGGGTATATCAGGGCGAGGGAGAAGGCGAAGGAGATCGAGGGGAGAAAATGAATGTATTCACTCAGGTGAAAAGGGGTTTGTTGGGGTCAGTGAGGGGGCAGCGATGGCGTTATGCATGGCCTCAAGAGGCCGAATCGATGCACGACATCGTCATTCCGAATAGTATGACCACACTTAATCATCGCTTTCTATGATCCGGCTACATGTCTCGGACGAACACATGCTCCGCGGGAGTTACCCAAAGAGGTGTTGAGGCGTTTGGGGAAGTGCGGGGAGACTTCAGTTACATCCTCCGACCAGCTCTCTCAACAATTGTCTCAACTCAGCATCATCAATCTTAACCCAAATGAATTCCGTACCGCCTTCGATCCTTTATCCGGTCCTCAAACCAGTCCACCTCACCAAGATGCTAAAACCAGTCCCGCCCCTCATCGCCCTCGAGGAACACTTCATCGCGAAGGAGCTCCTCCCGGAGCTCTCAGACACCTACGCCGAACAGCTCAAACACCTCCCCGACCTCGCCTCCCGCCTCACGGACGTCGGCCCCCTCCGCCTCGCCGACATGAACAAGAACAACATCGCCGTCCAAGCCGTCTCCCACGCCCCCGGCCTCGCGGCCCTCCCGCCCGGGCTGAGCCACCGCGCCAACGAGGCCCTCGCCGAGGCCATCAAGGCGCACCCGCGCCGCCTCGTGGGCCTCGCGGTGCTGCCCATGAGCACGCCCGACATCGCGGCGCAGATGCTGCGGCGCAGCGTGCGCTGGCTGGGCTTCAGGGGCGCGCTGATCGACGCGCACGCCGACGGCACGCACTACGACCACCCGCGGTTCTGGGGCGTGTTCAGGGTGGCCGAGGAGCTGGACGTGCCGGTGTACCTGCACCCGACGTGGCCGTCGCAGGTGCAGCGGCGGGCGTACGAGGGGAACTACGCGGAGGGCGCGGCGAGGAGCCTGGGCACGAGCGGGTTCGGGTGGCACTCGGAGACGGGGCTGGCCGTGCTGAAGCTCTTCGCCGCGGGGCTGTTCGACGAGGTCCCGAAGCTCAAGATCGTGATCGGGCACTTTGGGGAGATGCTGCCGTTCATGATGGAGCGCGTGGGGAAGTTGTCGACGCGGTGGGGGGAGAGGAAGAGGCCTTGGGAGGAGGTGTGGAGGGAGAACATCTGGGTCACGACGAGCGGGGTATGGGGCCTCGCGCCGATGGCTTGTTTGCTGATGAACACGCCGATCGAACACATCATGTACAGCGTGGACTACCCGTTTGAAAAGAGCGAGAACGGGCTGGCTTGGATGAAGGACTTGATAGACAGTAGGGTGGCCACGGTCGAGGAGGTTGAGATGATTGCGCATAAGAATGCTGAGAGGCTGTTGAAGGTCAAGGTTGCACGTTGAGGAGGGGCTTGGGGAGAGACCGTTTCCTGGGAATCCGAGATACTTCGGATTCGGATGTACGCTGAGAGTGGATGGGAGGACGTCGTTTTCTGCTTCCGATATGAAAAGACTTTAGAGTGTGGATTAATGTTTAATGGAATTCGGCTTCAATGGCAGTCAGTCGGATACATGGCGGTTGAATGGGCGGATGGGCGATAACCTCAACGTTTGAGGCTCAAGTAGACTTTCTTAGACAAAGCCTCGCGACTGTTTGAAGACAGTTTGGGGTTGCTAATAAAGAGGTTGCCGATTTGAGACATCAAGAATGGGCCAGCTGAAGCCTAACCCACGATTTACCTATCCGCTTGACATCCCGCCTTGCCTTAGGTCGTTTTCAACTCTCCTTGGTATTTCCTATTCCGGTAATCCCTTTCACTGACAGCCATCGTCAGTTTACCAATCAAACAGTCAGGGGAAGGTGTCGACAGCTGCGATTGATGCTGCGTTCGCGACGGAAACACGGCAGGGGGGAAGCATAGGGCGGACCAAGGCGACGTTGGATCGAAGATGGCGACGGGCGTCAAGCAGACAGAGAGGTGAATGCTATTATTGGAGAATAGAGGAGAGAACAGAACACATGATGCGTTTTGGTTTCTCCCGAGGCTGGATTTCACTTCGAGGCCAAGGCTCGGGGCCAAGAAGGACATCATCTCAGAGTTGACGCCAAGATGGGGCTTCCAGAGCATTTATCGAGATCAACTTCATCAGCCAAGAGATGGCTCAGCTTCAACCTCTGTGCTTGGACACAGATCTAGCCATACAAGACAAGTCGGGGAACACTTACAGCAACATCTCAGTCCAACAGCCTCTTTTGCCAATGACTTGGCAAACTTCGCATAGGAATACTAATGCAGTATTGCTTTCATCATCCGTCCAAGCCTTTATTTCAGCCCAACCATCGCATCATCTTGATCGCACAGACAATTGTCATCCCACCACACCAGATGGCCACTTCAAAAGAGAGTCCACGGACCTTCCGCCGCCCGACGTCAAGATTCACTCGGATCATCCCAGGAGTCAGGGATCCTCCCTTGAACAGCAGCTGAGAAGCTCCAGCCTATAGAAACCTCTAAGCAGCGTCTTTCTTCCACAAGCTCGTCGCTCGCCACCTGCCAATCTTGCCTACGGATGAGCCATCGGCCTCGACGTACCGAAGGCAATCGGCAGATTGGGGTAGGGGTGCGTGGCGCCACTGCCCGCAAAAAGTAAAGGAACGACGGGCCGGAACCTATTTTTTGTAGTTAAAGCATGCCCAGCGAATCTGTACCGCGGAAACCCTCTTCCCATCTTGCTGCTTTGCTAGCTGGCCCGCAATGCTTTACTACAACACGCATGACCGCGCTGCAAAGCAAAAGCTGGCCAGCTAGATCTCGTCCATGCCGACCAAAGAATGGGGTGTGATCCCACGAACCCGGCGAATGCAATCGCCATCGCCACAGAAGAGGAGTCGCACCAGCGAATTGACGACCGAGAGAGTATCTCAAGATTGCCCCCATATTCTGGCGTCTTTCCCATGTGTGAGAAATGGCCACCAATCGGGGACGCGGCGCAGGCATGTCCTTCCGGATCGGGCAACTCCCGGACGGCATTCCGCTGCGCGTTGGTCATGTGGTCCATCTCCCGTCCTTGGAGGATCCGCAATAGCAGAATGAGGGGTGGCATATCGTTCTTTGGTGTTGGAGAAGCGGACGTGTGTGGCCTGGTGCACCCCGCATCGACGTCTGTCGCAGCGACTGGCGGGCTGTCAAGTTCCATCTGGCTCAAGCGAGAAAAGTTGGGGAAATCGGTTCGGCTCGAAATGAGCACGGCGGGACTTTCGAATGCTCTAAAACGTTGACACAGCCAGCGGTATCCGTTTCAGTTAATGAGTTGAAAGCTCGATTAAGGGTAAGGCGAGGCGGCATCTTGATCGTCCCAGCTGTTTCAGCTGCGTCGTCTCGTCAAGGAGCTGAGAGAGCGATGCCTCATGAACATGAAGCGCGAGAGGAAGCAAAAGATGAGCAGAATGCCCCAAGTCGGAGCTGTCAGTTGATGTCTGCGCATGTTGAGTAGTCGGGGCCAATGGGCGCTCCAGCAGCCGAGACTCCCGTCCCATCTTGTCCCTCCTCCGAGCCAGACCTCAACTCTATCCCGCCCAATCGCGATCGCGGCTGTCCACCCTGCAGCACGCAAGTGGTACCATTGCCTGACATGGAGCAACTGCGGCCGTCTTTTCTTCGTGTGAATTAAGTTGGGCGACGTGGTCGTGGGCAATCTGGTGGGATGGAGGGAGACAGGGGTCCTTGCTGGTGCCGGGGTGGTGTGGCGGGGTGTGGTGTGCATGAAGACGGGAGTGAGCTTCCTTCATTTCTTGGTGATGGTGCTTTTGTATGTAAAGAGTCATGCTGCCCTAGATGATAGACGTGCAACCGACACTCTAGCATCGACAAGATTTCCTTCTCAGATAGAGGATGTAAGTCCTCTGAGACAGTTGGCGAGGAAGAAAGGACAGATTGAGACGCCACACTCTGCGAACGCAGGGTTAAGCCGACGATATGGCTACCGGCGATGATATCGGCATGAACCTCACCTACCCGAATACACCGGATCCAAGGGTGCCGCCGCTGGTAATGAAGGAGATCGTAAGTCCACCACCGCTGCTTTCCGAGCAAAAGCTGACTTTCCAAGGACGATGCCAATGTGCCCATCTTCATGACTGGCATTCTTCTCCCGCACATCGTTTGCACACTCTTCATCTTCGCCCGCATAGCTTCCCGGCTATGGGTGATTCGGAAATGGTTCATAGACGACACCTTCATCTTCCTTTCGTGGCTCTTCTCGACCGCCCTGTGCATCGTCTACAGCATCACCGCCACGACTCCTTCATTATTAGCAGCCCCGGATGAGGCGTCACTCCAAAGAGACTCCAACCCGTACATCATGCGCACTTACCTCGGCCTGATCTACTACCAACTGTGTCTCTGCATCACCAAATTCTCCATTCTCGCCTTCTACCTGCGCGTCTTCGCGTCTCGTCCACTAGAACGCTTGTTGGCGTGGGGCACCGTTGTGTTCGTGCTCGTGTACAGCTTGCCCATGCTGCTCATGAGTTTCCTGCAGTGCCACCCGGTCATGGGCCAGTTCTTCGGGAGACCGATGATGTGCTTCAGCTTCCCAGACTTGCTCATCTCGAGCGCGAGCCTGCACTCTGCCACGGATGCGTGGCTGATCATCATGGTGATCCCGTGCGTTGCGAGGCTCGATTTGCCACGGAGGCAGAAGATTGCGCTCGCGGTGGTGCTGAGCCTGAGTATCTTCGTCATCGCGGCGAGTATGGTACGTCTGCAGCTCAGCTTGCACTTGCATTACCAGCCCAGCAGCGCGGGTATCTCGAATACCCTCACCTTCTTCGTCATGACGATCCTGGAATGCGACCTTGCGCTCATATGTGCGAGCGCGCCGACGCTTCGTCCGTTGGTGGCGAGGATCTTCCCTGGGCTTATGAGCGGTTCCAAGAGGAGGTCTCTGGAGGCGGTTGAGACGGAGAGCTTTGACTTGACGAGCCTCACGTATCACGGTTACCCGTGGACGGAACCCAGCACGCCGTTCGCGAGGAGCAGGAACGCTAGCTATGCTAGTCACTTAAACAAGCTCCGCATGCCGGCGCCGCCTGTGCCGGTATTATCAATGTCGCATCGCGCCCCGACGACGCTGAGCTTGAGGAGTGCGGTATTGGGGGTCGCGCCGAGGAGTAGAGGGCGGCCTCTCTCCGGGGATGTCAGGCCGATGCTGACTCCGCCATTGGAAGAAAGACGACCCTGCTCTTCGGTTTATTCAACCGATCCACCTATGGAAGAGGTGGCTGACAATAGGCCTGGGAAGAACGACGGTGTTGTGTTGAAGGAGATGAGGTTGAGCCTTGGGGAGACGAAGGAGCCACTGAGCCCGAACCGAATGAGCCCTATGTCTGGATTGAGCGGCGATACATATGCCGTGGACAGACATAGCGGCAGCACAAAGTGCGAGAAGGATGGAAGATTGACGATCGAGATACCCCAAGAGAAGGAGACAGGAAACAAGGTCCCTCCTCGTAGGCCAAGACGGCCAGATGATCCAGCGTAATGAGAATATGCGTAATGACTTGATGATAATAAACAAACACCTTCGTTAGAATAAGAGCCAAGATTTCATCGGTCTCGCAGTTATTGCTGTTCTCGTGCTGTTGTCGTAAGGGATGTTGGTTGGTGTTGGTGTTTGTCGGAGATCTTAACTCCGAAAATGGATTCCCGTGGAACCAGTGGATGTCCAATTCCTCACGTGATGAGATAATCCGGTGGCAGCCAGACCCCGGCCGGGATGCGTTCCGAAAGATGGTCTGTGCGTCCCATTGCACCTTCCTTCCGCTATTGAAATGTCTCTCCTCGCATTAACGGATCGTCAGAGCGCGACCAACTTCATGGGCTCGAAGTGTGCCTCAGCCACGCTTTTCCGTCTCGCAACGTTTCTGTGTGACACCAGGACTCTTCAGAATTTTCGTTGAGGACTGCAGGTGCTGCATCCTTTCTGGAAGATGTTCGTCCCGTTCGTACCGTCCCGCCTGGAGGTAGGAGGGGCCAGGCCAGTTTCGATGATCCCGGAATCGGACTCAATGGACTCCCGCCACTCCAGCTCCGTGACGATTTCCGTAACTGATGCGCTCTATAAGATCGACATACTCGACGGTTCATCCTCGATTTGGTTGTGCGATTGAGATGAACACCATCAGCACCGGCAATCCCAACGCCGGTTTCTGCTCCATGCATGACGGGAGATCTCCATCATCTGATCAAGCTAACATGATAGAAGCAGCCAAGAAGCAGCCCTTCAACGGTGCACTCTGCTTTTCAACATGACCGCTCTCCAAATGCGCAAGACTTCATGTCGTGTCGTCCAGCCAGAAAGTCGAACAGGTCTGGATGCTGCCCTACGAGCATGGTATTGTCGACTTGAGACACAATTCTCCGATGCATCCATGCAGACCTCGCCAAATTCTGTCTTGAACTGACGCCAAGTACGGCTTAAGGATCCGATTGCCTCATTTTCGTCTTCTTCAGGGTCTTTTGGATAGCATGAGGCGTCGCAGGGGGGCGGCAGAGATCTGGTTCTTCCTCAAACAGCCGCCTTCCCCTCTACCGAGTCTCATTGTGGCAAAATTCACCGCTGGATATGTGCCTTCCCATCGTGCATTTTCCACGGCTTGCTTCTTTTTCGCATTTGCTCTTTCTTTGGCTGTCATTTTGCCATTTCCACTCGTTTGCTTGTCCGTCGCGTTTTCTCTTCTTGCTCCTTCCTTCCATCCAGCGCAAACAAGTCGCCCATCTCCATCCTTCTTACCTGGCGGATCATCATCAATTGAAAAAGAAAACGATGGAAAGAGCCTAGGATTTGCGATCACCTCAGTCAACAGCTATGTTGAAATTACGGATCTTACTTGCCTTTTGCTTGGCTTTCATCGCGGTCATTGCCACCTTTTCGCACGATGACACTCATCCTCTCGCCAACTCGACGAATCCCCTCACATCATCAATCAAGGCCCAGCACCTAGCGACGTCGCGACAGATCCCGAGCGACAGCGAGAAGCGCGCCAAGTTCAGGGTTGGAGGAGAAATCGATTCCTTGGGAACAGAAAAGTCTCGAGCCCGACGACACCATGGCAAGGAAATGATGCATATCTGGGCTCGGCAAAATTCGACGTAAGTCATCAGTTTTCCAACAGAGGAGATTCGGCGCGCTGACCAGTTTTACAGACCCTCTACCGATCCGTCGGTGTCGCTCGCCACCGTCACGATCACCCGGACTGCTTTCGTCGAAGTAGCTAGCGAAACCCAGGTTTTCGTTTCGACTCTCCTCCAGACCTTAACTTTCGTCGACCCCATCTTGGTGACCGAAACGAGCACCATCACCGTATCGCCACCTCCCAGCGGCGTCGCAAAACGTCATGTTGCAGCGCCGGTGATCAGTCCTTGCCATGACATCTCAGCCTCAGACTCTGTCTCATCGTCAGCCACCGCGACACCCGATGCCGTCAGTCCGGTCGCGGTTCGACGTCAGGTACCCAATGGACCGGTGACAGTGATTGGCTTGGTATCGGTTGTCACCATCGAAACGACGGTCACCTTGACTAGGACGGGGAGTTTCGTCTCGACGGCGACAGTCGTTAACCCCGTCTTCGTTTCAGTTACTGCGACTCCTACGGTGACAACGACGCGGTTCGTTACAGCAATCGTACCGATCCAGACGCCCACTCCCGGTAGTCAAGAGACGTCTACAAGCATTCAACCGCTTCCAACCTCGACAGTAGCTTCGTCGACAATAGTTACTGCTCTCCCGCCTACGACTTCTTCATTTCTGTCCCAAACTCTGGACACAAGCACTCTTGTCTTGACGACCAGCAGTGCTACATCGAGCTCGGTCGATCCCAGGGTTGGGGTCACGACTTGGTTTTCCTGGGACTCCGACGAATTTACCTTTACGAGGGAGGTCCCAACATCAACAACGACCCAGATCACCACCAGCTCTACATCCTCTTCAACGAGGATTCCGCCTTCGTCCGGGCCTTCATCTGAACCCGCCCTCAGCCCTGCTGAAATTGCGGGCATCGCTCTGGGTGCCACCGCCGCCGTCCTCTTCTTACTTATTGCCCTGTGGCTCTTGCGCAGACGACGATCCAAACGCCGCCAGCATGTCCACATCCCCGAAGACGACTACCAAATGACATCGGCAGTGGCTGCAGCCGCCATGATCGACTCTATGCCCTCTAACCCCGCGATGCCCCACGACCGAAGCGCGGCGCTTGCCAGCGAAACGAGTGGTAACAGCTCCCTTGGGGATGAAGTCCGTGTCATCATCCAACCATCTGTGAATCGCAGGACTCAGAGCAGTAGTCTCTTCCCCGTTACCAAGACCTGGCCGCGACCACCGGGCTACACAGGCGACACGTACAGCTTCTCGGCTGATGAGAGCGGACAGTCGACCCCTCAGGAACCGAAGACGTGGAGCAACGCGAGCGAGTACGGAGGCTCAAGTAATCGAGAGGGTTTGCCGGGTAGTGGTAATCTGGGTTCGGCTGCGGCGCCCGCTGGAGAGAGGGAGGCTGGTATGGCAGGAGAAGGAAGTAGATTCTGATGGAAGTGGCTTCCGTGTTCCGGTGTGGAGTCAGGCAATTCAGGCAGGCAGTATACAGGCCTTGATGATACCAATGGGGTGCGATTTGCCTGTCTATCGCGACATTCTGCGAGAAGTTCGTGCTCACTGCTGTGTTGGTGTTCTACCAGCCTGTAACGCCGTCGAGAATTCAGGGCGGATACCCAACACAGGTATCTAATTGACAACTTGCGTATATCAGAATTGAAAACGTATGAGAAGGCCGTCAGTCCAACCAACGGTCTTGTTTCCTGCCGAGCCCCATATTTACCTACTTTGAATGAAGCATCTTCTGAGGTATTGTGTCTCATCTCATGCAATTTGACGAGGCTTAAGTCCGACAACGCCTACCCAATCTTGTGCAGATAGCTCTGAGATGGAGGGGAGGGACACGGCACTCTGGCCAGTCCCGTTAAGTACCCCTCCTGCCTACGTTCGCTGTCGTTTGACATGGACCAATGATGGCCCAGACGACATCCCGTATCTAAGCTACCTTACCTTACTTATGCCAAGATATGCAGCTAGCAACTTTGCGTCATTCACTTCACAGCATTTTTAACCCTTCTAGAGACCACCAAAGTAAGCTGACCAGGATCCTAACCAGCCCTAGCAACAGTTCTTCAACGAACAAAGAATCGGGAAACACAACATTCACTGCATTTTTAACCCACTCGAAGACCATGCCCAATGTGTGGATGGAGAAAGAATGCCTGCTGTGGCCTTCGAAGAAAATTTCAGCTATCTTCTGCTTCGTAGACATTCTGCCATCGTACAGTAAAGTGCCGATAAGCCGCGTACCCTAGAATATCACGGCCAGTCTTCAGACCGCCGAGGAAAACCGAGGGCATTAGAAACGGGTATCCAGAGTATCTACCCAGTCTGCCCACCTCCACCTTAAATCAACACGCACGCAGTAGTTGCTTAACCTGGGTTGTGAGATGTCCATCCATCCAACCAGAAGTGGTGATCCTCTTCGAGATCCATATCTTTCTAAATTGTGTGCTGAAGCTTGTCATATAGCATTACCCGAATTCGTTCTACATGAGTCTGTTTAACTGTATTCCTTCGTTGTGCCAATTGGAAGTCTGTCGAGGGCCATTAATGTGACGGCACGTATGACTGCATCATGCATGATCAATAAGGGTGTGGCCGTCCCGGGCGCAGCTGCACTGCATTTCAAACCCACCTAGAGGAGACAGACGGCAATACTGAGTGTTGCCTAGACTCTATTGGAAAACACTGCATTGTGATCCCCTCTGCAATGGCCATGGTAGTTAGACAGTGGTGAGTCTGCAAAGCATCGATAATTTCAGGTGCAATCGTTGATCGCGATTTGCGTTTCCAACCTCTACGCCGGCATGGTGTGGTGCTGTTAGCTCCTACCACCCTACCATCTTTGGCTGAGATGTAATGAATTTCTGGATGATGCTCTCGCGAGGACGCCGGGAGTGACGTCAGCTTAGGGCATTTTTACTAAACTGAACACGCAATGAGAAGCCTCAAGAGGACATCCAGAAGTTGTCTTCTCACTTCAAGGTCTTTGTTTCAGCTGGGTTCAATATTGACATACACTGCCTAACTTGATAGAATTAACCGCAATTATTGCACCGCGGGGAAAGACTCGGGGAAATGTAGATGCAGAGGCAACGAGGCTCAAGCTTGTTGGCCAACAGAGACTGTCACCGCGGTGTTGAAGCACGCTATACGGCATCCCTCCGCTTCGAGGCGGCATCAGTCAGAACTACAAGTACACCAAAGACTCAAAGCCCACCATTAAAATTTGCAGGATTAGTATTTGACCGCACTCTGGTACGGTGGATGAAAATGGAACCCAAATGAATCCTAGGATAAAACATTATAAAATCTTTGTCGTTTGTTTGGGTTGTCTATCAAAGGCAGATGCTGCCTGAGAGAGCTCAATCATGCGGTGTTCTTCAAAGCTCTGCAACTGCTTGCACCAAAGAGCATCTGCCTTGTCCTTTGTCGCTTGCTAAAATTTCAATCCAAAACCATCAAACACCTGAGGTCTTCATTCAACTTCGACTCAGGCACCTGAGAGGTTGGCTGAGCTTCTTTGCCCACCATCCCCACCCTGCCTTGTGTGCCTGCCCTGCCTTTTTCGTTTGACTTGCTCTCATGACCAATCGGCAAAACAAAACCCTCAACACCTTACTCTACACTACAAATCATAGGTATCGTTTTGCAATCACAATTATCACCCTATTGTTACGACTACTTGACCTCTCCAAGCACATCGCCAACATGGTTGTGCCCAGCACCCGCAACCTCCTCAACCGGCTCACGGCGCTGTCCCAAGTCAACCTGGACAGGCGGGAGCTAATGTTCCGTCAAATCCTCGATGAAACCATTCCTGAAATCTTCTGGGGCGCGACTCCCACCAAGGTTGATCTCGTACCTTTCCTCGAGCCAATGCTCCCCCGCCGCCAGTACAAGATCGAGTTTGCTACTGAGCCCAAGCCGGGTGTGCCCAAGCAGCTTCTCATCAACGTCGACTTCGGAGCCAACGTCCGCGACGGAGGCATCTGGGTCTCCCACAACTTCCCCGGCGAGAACAACTCCAACTTCGACCATGGCGCCCGCATCCAGGAACTCGCCCGCTCCAAGGTCCGCCACCGGGTGCCCCGCGTCTTCCGCGTCGGCATGGCCAAGACCACCAACTTCACCATTGACTACATCGTCACACAGTACATCCCCGACACGGTCTCACTCGACAAGGTCTGGTCCTCACTCAACCCCAGGAACAAGGGCAAGATACTAGACGACCTGGCCGAATTTCTCGAGTCCCTCCACGAGGTCAACATGACCAGCTTGCGCGCCACCAAGTGGCTCTCCGCCCTCGACTTATCCGGCGCCGCCAACTACACCGCCGACCACGTCGACTACCATCCAGCGGCCACCAACCCGATCTTCGCGACTGACGCTGACAACCACACCTCCGTCTGCGACTGCGGCCACGCCTACCACGACAACCTGCGCCTCAAGTACTTCCGCGTCCTCCTCGAGAAGTTCGATTTCGACTCGCGCAACCGCAACTTTCCCAAGATGTCCTCCTTCGAGCTCCTGGGAGACGGCTCGGACGGCGGCTTCACCGTGACGAGCGCCGACAACCAGGACGCCACCCACCTGAACCCCAGCTTGATCGAGTTCCCGGCCGCCGAGCTCAAGAAGCTGTCCAACAACCTCCGCATCTGCCACATGGACCTCGAGCCCCGCAACATCCTCGTCAAGCCTATCATCGCGACGCGCGGAAGACCTGCCGCCCTCGGCGAGTACAGACTCATCGCCATCACCTCGTGGGAGCACGCCGTCTGCGCCCCCTTCGCCTACGAGCGCGGCGTCAAGGACGGCATGCTCGGCTGCCAGTTCAACTACGACTACTCGTGGTACAAGCTCTTCGTCGAGCACACCAAGCGGCTCATACCCGAGGACGAGGTCCACGACAAGTACATCCGCGCGGCGCTCGACATCAAGATCCGCAACCGTGAGCGCGCGTTTGATCAGCCCAACCCGGAGCACCAGGCGCGGTGGTTCCAGAGGGAGAAGCTCGTCATGGGTGCCAAGTACCGCGACGGATACGTCCGAGCGGAGGGTGCGGAGGACCACAAGTCGCCCTCGGAGACGGCGTACCGGAACATGGGAGATAAGATCGTGCAGCGGCTGATCATGCGGTGGATGGCGCACGCGGTTGCGTTCCATGGACTGGTGTTGCCCCCGACGATTAATGACGATGAGGAGGCTGGCAGTGAGACCGATCACGCGGACACGGATACTAGTGATGAGTCGGAGGAGGACACCGCTGACGAGTACCACTCGGATACATTTGACGATTGAGATCCTGGTTGGAGGAGTGGTGAGTCCACAATGACTTTTCGCGGGCTGAACATAAGTGTCGACTTGGTACACATCATAAGGGGTTTCGGACGGATAGAGAAGCCGGAGTTGGGAATCTGCTAGATTCGGTATGGAAGGAAATCGGCGTTGGATCATGGATTGCTCGTCTCTAGGTCAGAGCCTTGAGTTAGTATCGCGACGCGGACGGAGATTATACCATTGCTCATTTCGTCTGGAGGATAACAGAACTCAATTAGCTTCCGAGCAATTTTGATGATGATGGATGGTATGCTCGGCTCCGGGAGCTATTTGAATCAATACGCGAAAGCTGCGGAATGAGCGTGGCCTGTGATGCTGTCGCTTTCGCTGCTCACCACTGAGTCACTGTTGGGCCCGTCAGGATGTCCTGGGACAACATCTCAGGATCAACAATGGTCAGCAAAGTGTGGAGATGCTCGTGGGAAGTTGGACAACAAATGCCATCCTGCCAAATCCGGTAGGTGGCGCTAACGAGCCCGGCATCCAGCCATCCAGGGGATCGAACTTTAGCTGACGAGGCGGCGCCGCCGTCGACCAACGGCAGACGACACATAAACAACATGGGACCACACCCAGGAATTCTAATCGATGAATCCCCGTAATGGCCCCAATTACTCGTGCAGTTGTCATGCAATTGGAGATGGGCACATGGGCTGACAGGCCACAAAAAATGGGACCACCCGGAAGGCGCCCAAATCTTAGAAATGAAGAGGCTCTGATTGGATGAAAAGATCTACAGCCAATTGCGAGCTGCTTGATGACCGCAAACAGGGGTCCTTCTGCATCGACGCTCAGGAACCGTGACGTCGGTTCCCGGCCCCTCCTTCCCTGCAGCTGTTGTTGCTTAAAAGGACCCTTTCCGCCGTCGTCTTCATGTGCTTTGATTCCCAAGACATCGCCTTCAAGTCAGCTTCACTCTACTCAAACACTTTAACTTCTTCGACTCTTCAGTCACTCGACACATCCACAACTTCCAACTCTCAAATCACCACCACCACCACCAAAATGACTGTCGACAAGGCTTCCACCTGCTGCGGCAAGAGCGCCGAGTGCGTCTGCGGTATGTTCCTCACCTACCCCGAAGTCTTCTCCAGACTCCCGAAATCAAAGCATGTACTGACTCTCCCTAGCCCAACAAGCCAAGTGCTCCTGCGGAAAGGAGTCCGCCCTCCACTGCTCCTGCGCCAAGGCCGCCACCGAGAACGCCGTCGCCGGCCCCCGCTGCTCGTGCCGTGCCCGTCCCGCCGGCGAGTGCACCTGCGACCGCGCTTCCACCGAGAACGTCAAGCCCGCCGGCGCGACTTGCTCTTGCGGCGTCAGGCCTGCTGGTACGTTCTCCTCTTCCTCCAACGAGTGACTCTTAAGCGCCTCGACTAACACCAGACTTCACAGACGCTTGCACCTGCGACAAGGCCTCTGACGGTTCTTTCAACCCCAGCGAGCACGAGATCGACTTCACCACCCGCCGTTGAGGCGTGACGAACACTGCATCTATGGCGTTTCTGCATTACTGGGATGGCGTTGAATTGGGCAAAAGGGTTGGGTGCGGGAAGTGTATGATACCTCGGCGGCGTTGATACGGGTCGGCGACATGAATGATATTGCATCATTGGGAGGTTAGGTGCCGCCTGTATAAGGCAAATGATACAACAAAAGACTTTTACTCTTCAACTTCGCATTCCTCTCGCTCCCTGGTGATGCTTGTGCGGTTGACTCACTAGTCCTAGTATCGGAACTGACTTAGACAGGTAAGACAGTTAATTGCGGATGCTGAACATGAGAGATGAACACCGACGAGCTGGTTGGTGCCTTGGACAAGTCACATACTCAGAAATGGAAGCCGATACAAGTCCTGGATTCGAGAATAGCATCTATCGCGGGATCGAGCCGACGATGCAGGGTCCTGTCCGTGCTTCGGCAGGCTCCGCTTCACCAAGCTTTCCGGGAGAAGCGACACTATCTTGGGGAAATTGTTGCGGAGAATACTGGGATCCGCGGATGCTTCATGGGAATTCCGCGAGCTTGTACGATGATCTAGAAAATTCAGGGTCGATGACAGTCTGGATTGAAGTTGGAAATAGGCAAATCGAAAACAACTTTCAAAAGAACGGCCGATTTGCCATTGGAGAGATTTTGCTTACACCCAGAATGTACCAGGAATAACAACTAACTACCAGCCGTCAGGCGTTGAGTTGCACGCAGCGGACGCTTAGTTGGGCGGCCTGCATGAGACCAACCCGCCATGCAGCCTGCACGATGCTGCATTGTTCAAAGCCTGGTCGCCATCCGAGGGATTCCACGTTTCATCGCATTGAAACCCGATGACAGCTCAGGTGACACTTGGCGAAATGATTTGATTGTCTTCGGCTGAAGAAGGATAACAGCAAGCGAGATCGATCTCTGTGGCGAACCCTTGAACGCCTCATTTATTCAAATTGCAGCTGAGGCGAAGCCATAACGGGCATATCATCTGTCGGTACATTACAATAAGACCACTTTCACAGTCGTTCGCTGACTGGCATATCTCCCTCAACCATGCTGACGGAAGCCCTAACAGCAACAGTAGCATACTCAGGTACACCAGAGATGCATCTTAACTTTTTCGAATGTTTTTGACCGCCGAAAAGAAAAAGCTCCGGTCTCGTCGTGGCGTGGGTCGGTTCCCCTGCTCTGGGGCATCGGCAGACGATGCGAACGTTCCCCGACTCACCGGAAGCTCCACTGACATTTTTCCAATCGATTTTTTTTTTCTGCCAGCTGGAATTGGCAGGTAAAAACGGGCGGTCAGGAGCTCCCCATGGAAAGAGCTTCGCATTTCGACGCAATCGACGCCGGAGCTCGGGCCACCGCGACATAGAAAAAAAAACAGCCCCGAAGTTGCGATCCAATGGGACCCCGTCGACCCGATAGCGCACCACAGAGCGAGCACCTGAGCACCTGAGCACCATCTGGCCGGAGCTGTTTTTTTCTTAGCCCGCGCCTGAGCATCCCGTCCAGTGTCCACTGAGACGGGAGCCACCAATACACACAAAGAAGCCACCCGGACCCCTGCTTGGTCAGAATTCTTGAGCCCAAAGAAAATACAAAGCTGCCCTTCCGGTCGCGTCACCTTCCCTCGACCAATTTTCTTTCTCCTTCCAAAACAATACCTCAATTGCCCACTGTTCTGGACTCTTTTTGTTCCTAGAACATCATTAAAACACTCAATTCGCATCGCAGTTATCTGTCGAAGCGATTACCATCATCTGTTGTTCCCGGCGATACCCCAGTTTCTCCCTATTACACGCGTCCTCAACGGAGACCTGACACCATCACCTGATCACAATGCCTCCCAAGGCTGCTGCTAAAAAGGCCGCCGCGCCCAAGGCCGGCGTCACCAAGAAGACCGCTGCTGCTACCGCCGCGACGAAAAAGGCCGATGCCCCCAAGAAGACCGCGAAGCCTGCTGCGAAGAAGGACACTGCCACCAATGGCGCGACTGCCGCCTCCAAGAAGCGCAAGCTCGAAGAGGACGACGAGGAGCCCGAGGAGGAGGAGTCTGCCGACGAGTCCGCCGACGACAGCAAGCTGAGCAACACTAAGACTACCAAGAAGGCTGCCGCGCCCAAGAAGACCGCCGCTGCCGTCAAGAAGGAAAAGGCCGCCGAAGCTGCCACTGACGACGAGTCCAAGGCTAAGAAGCCCGCCGCGAAGAAGGCTGCCGCAAAGAAGGAAGATACCAAGAAGGCTGCTGCGCCCAAGGCGAAGGCTGCTCCCGCCAGCAAGAAGCGCAAGGTCGCCGACGAGGAGACTGAGGACGAGAAGCCCAAGGGCAAGAAGACCAAGGCCAAGGCCGAGTCTACTGAGGTCGACAGCCAGGCCACCGAGTCCGCTAAGTCCGACGAAGAGACCGAGGCCGTCAAGCCCGCAAAGGCCACCAAGAAGACCGCTGCTGCTGCCAAACCTCCCGTCCATCCCCACAAGATCGGTACCAAGATCAACTCGGCACCTACTCAGATCCTCGACATTTACGTCTTTGGCGAGGGTAGCTCTGGCGAGCTCGGTCTCGGCGCCATCAACAAGCCCAAGAAGGTCACCGACGTCAAGCGTCCTCGTCTCAACCACAACCTCACTGCCAAGGATGTTGGCGTTGTCCAGATTGCCTGCGGTGGCATGCACGCTGCTTGCCTGACCAAGGATAACAAGATCTTGACATGGGGCGTCAACGACCAGGGAGCTCTTGGCCGCGACACCGCTTGGGACGGTGGCCTTCGTGACGTTGACGACGAGGAAGACAAGGACGACGACGATGAGGACAGCGGTCTTAACCCTCGCGAAAGTACGCCCACGGCTGTGGATGCCGAGCACTTTGCCCCTGAGGCCAAGTTCACACAGGTCGTTGCTAGTGACAGCGCTACCTTTGTGCTTACCGAGGATGGCAGAGTCTACGGATGGGGTACCTTCAGAGTAAGTTTTCTATCTCCCGTGCATACTGTTGACATATGCTGACGCGATATTCAGTCGAGCGATGGTATTCTCGGATTTACCGAAAAGATCAAGATTCAGATGACGCCCATGTTCCTCCCATCTCTGAAGAACATCACAGCTCTCGCTGCTGGCTCCAACCACATCCTCGCATTAGACAACAAGGGTCTTGTGCAGGCTTGGGGGTGCGGTCAGCAGAACCAGCTCGGACGCAGAATCATCGAGCGCAACAAGCTTTCCTCCCTGGTTCCTCAGAGCATGGGTATTCCCAAGAACAAGGTCGACCGCATTGCCTGCGGCTCTTACCACAGCTTTGCTATGAGCAAAGAGGGTGCGGTCTGGGCTTGGGGTCTGAACAACTTCGCTGAGACCGGTATCGCCAACGGTGCCGGTGAGGATGATGCCGTGATTCTCCGCCCTACTGTTGTCGAGTCTCTCAAGGATTACAAGATCAAGCACATTGCTGGTGGCGAGCACCACTCCCTTGCTTGCACAGAGGACGGCAAGCTCCTCACTTGGGGCCGTGTGGATGGCCACCAGGTCGGCATTCCTATCGATGAGCTTCCCGCCGATGACATCATCAGGGATGAGAGCCAGAACCCCCGTATTCTGTCCAAGCCTACTCACGTTGAAGGTATGTCTTTTTCTTGGCTGCGTTGCCGAACATTGCTGACATTGCCCGCAGACGTCCCCAAGTGCGTATTCGTCGCTGCCGGCGTCGACAACAACTTTGCGATCGACAACAAGGGCGCAGTTCACTCCTGGGGTTTCTCGGCCAACTATCAGACTGGCCAGGGTACCACCGAGGATGTCGAGACCCCTACCACGATTGACAACAGCGCCATCAGGGATAAGAAGATTGTCTTTGCCGGCGCCGGTGGCCAGTACTCCATACTGGGCGGTGTTGCCGATGTCCCCAAAGTGAACGGTGGGATCTCATTTACTTCCAACGGTCAGCCAGCCACTGGAGGTTTCAGGCCCGTCTTCTAAGCAACGAACACGCCTCCGCTCGACTTTACACACGAGTTCGAATGAACCGAGCGCATAACGACGGCCAGTCGAACAGGATCACGCATGATGAATGAGTAAGCATTACCAGAAGAGAACAAAACAGGTGGACTGGTCGTCGTGACCAAGTCGCGGACATATTTCCAGAGTGGGGACATCTTGCTGCTCACTTTCGGCATGAGCGTGTGTTTTTTAATGCTGCGCGAAATTCTGTTTTGGATTTTTGGGATCGTCCGGCGAACGGGCTTATAGACATTTTTCTTTCTCATGAGAGCGGCAGCGGGCTCCGGCACGGCATGGGAACGGGTGGGATTGGGATGAACGGCCTCAAGGAAGTCATTTGATGATATCAAGGGCGGGCCGGTTCATTGACGCCCCGTTTTTTGTTTGGCCCCCGCGGGAGGAACCTTCCGACTGCACGGCTCTTGGTTTCGAGACTGCTCAAAGTCTCGATTGTAATATTAGGTTGACGTCGCCCTCTTTTCCTCCCAGGGCCACGAGGGGTAATCAGCATTCACGCATTTTCAAGCATTGGGAGACAGGGCGGGCGGGATATTGGACTATCAAAATTTTATTCTGGCTTCGTCTGAACATGATTATGCTATTGTACAGTGGACGTGAAGCGTTATCGCCATGCTTCGAGGGCCTTGATTAACGCGGCCTGCTTCTTGTCCTTATCCCCGGTCTATATCTTTTTGGACTCCTGCCTGTCGACTGCGCTGCGTATTCCTTTTCCAACGCTTAACACCTTGTCTTACCATCGCGCACCCGGAAGCATCTTTTGTTCGGCTGCATCCCAGCGGACTGCGGTGAACATTGTCTTGAAACTCCTCAACATTCCTCCCTCGTCCACCACTCACGCCTTCAACCCGGCAGCCGCCTTGACCAGAGCACCGCTGCCCCTGGAGCTGAAGATGCCCATGATGCCGAAGCCGACGTAGAACAGGGCGAGCGGGTACGCCACGAGGCCCCTCATCCCCCTCATCCGCCCCACGGCGCAGAACATGCCGGACGCCGAGTACGTGCACCACAGGATGGCCATGGTCGTGAGCACGATGCCGAAGGGGGTGTCCATGGGCATCACGATGCCCACCAGGCTCGTCGCGACCAGGGGCAGCAGGCAGTAGCCCAGGACGGAGCTCGAGCGCGCGAAGGTCAGGGTCGAGGAGAAGTGGCCGCTGCGGGCGGGGTGGTCGTGCGCGTCGACGGGGGCGCCGGGGCCGCCGCTCGGGTAGCCTGGGCCGCCGCCGTATTGGGGCGCTTGGGAACCGGGAACCGCGCCGGAGGGGTGGATGTCGGTGGGCGTCATTAGGGAGAGGATTACGTGCAGGGAGGTGCTGCCTAGGAGGGCGAGGCCGTAGATGTAGCCGAAGTGGACTTTGCCGGAGAAGAGGAGGAATGTGCCGAAGAGTCTGTAGGTTGGGGTGTTAGCGGTGTCGGGAGTATGATGAGGTTAAGGGGAGGGAAGGCCTACAGGAAGAAGAGGATCGGGCCTGCGAGGTCAGAGTCGTCCATTAGATGTTGGTCGATCCGGCGGAAGGGGTTCAGGACCGCGAGTGTCTGCGATGCGCGTTAGTTCAGCATCCCACCATGCTGTCATTCCCCGGAGGAAGCTGTGATCGCGCTGTGATCGCGATAGCTGCTGTTCCCACGCACCTTGGCCATAACATGCCCGAAGTTGACACCCAGCTCCTCGAGCAGGGGCGGCTCCCCGTCGTAGCCCTCGGTCGAGAAGGCCGCGAGCCAGCCGGTCCTGAGGCCGCCCTGCTCGCCCATGCGTCCCGAGACGCCGGCCGCGGAACCGAAGGCCGCGGCGCCGCCGAAGCCGCCGGCGCTGGGGGCGCCGAACTGCGAGCCGGAGGGCTGGGCTCCGTAGCCGTACGAGGCCTGTTGTGGGGTCGCGTGGCCGGAGACGGGCGCGGGCGAGTAGGAGGAGGGGTAGAACTGGAGGTTTTGGGCGCCCTGGCCGGGGCCGGGACCGTATGATTGTTGGGGGTAGTAGTTCGACATCGTGTTGCTGTCGTATGCGCGTGCGTGTGTGTGGTTCGTATGCGGCTCTGTCTTGTTTTCTCTTTTTGGATATCCCTATGCGCCCTGTGATGCTAGCGCTCCCCCTTGTCGAGTCGGCTGGGTTTCGTTCGTCGGAGAGTTCTTCGTTGTGATGGGAGGAGAAGAAGAAAGGAGGGTATCGCGATCGGTCGGCGGCCCTTTTCGTTTGCGCCCTGGAGGCGGGTCGGCTGGTTTGCGTGGTGAGGATAGATTGTATGCGCCCTCCTGAGCTTGGGACGGAGGTCGGTGTTGGAGACGTAGCTTCTTTGGAGGTTCACCACACACGTCAGGGCAGCTAGTGGGACCTTGGGGGAGAAATTCGGTGCCTGGATTGCTAGGCCAACTGAGAGCTGCAAGTCAGGTGTGAATAATTTCTTATCGATAGCATGTCGTATCGATAAGTGATAGTAAAGTAGGTACCTATCGATAAAGGTGACTTATCTAATCACCTGTGTTCCCACGCCAAGAAGACTCCATCCCATCCAACCGACGGGAGTCCAGGTTCCCCATTCCACTTGTTGTCGTTCAATGTTCTTCATCAAATAATATGAGATGAACTGCTCATGCCCGTTGCATAAAATGTGCTAACAGTCAACAACAGTGTTTCTTTTCTTTTCTGGAAAACTCGACGTCACGTAATCATCCAATTTTCCTGTCAATCGTGCTCTACCGAAGACAGAGGCGAGCTGATGAGATAGTACTGGTACCTGGAACCAGATTCCTGTTCGAATTAGCGTCAAACGGAGCGCGGTTCTCTGCTCGTGGCACTGCTTGAATAGGCAAGTGCCTCGTCTAGCCAGCGTCTTGCCAGCGTACTGAGCATTGCGAGCCACTTCGCTACCCAATTCCCGAGATATTACGTCCGGCAGTTTTCTGCGCAAGTACGGGGCCCCCTTTGCTAACCCATGGCGTTGGGACTGGTCTCGACTCATCGAGCAGAGAGTCTGCCAAGATCCGACGGCAGTGGGTTTGTTTAGCTCCACAACTCGTGCGGGTTCCTAGACGACACCGCGAGATTGAGATGTGGTTCTCTTCAATGAAGGTCTCGCGATATTGACCTCAATGGTGCCTTGGTACCGAATAGCAATCAACACCTTCGGGCACGTTTCCATCGAAAGACCGACCTGGCCAGCGGGCTCACTGAGTCGCGCGTGGGCTTGATGCGATTTAAAGCCCTGGTCAACGTTCCATCAAGTCCGTGTCCGGATGGTCTCCGAGATGGAGGGCGAGTGAGATGCGCCGGTCGAGGCTTTCCGGGAGAGTGCGTGCTTTTTTCCTCTCTTCATGTCGTGGGGACAACCCGACTGGCGCAGTGTTGGACCAAGTTCACGGCATCGCCTTACGAACCCAGGGGATCCCTCCATCCCGGTCACTCCTCGAATCTCTCCATTGCCGGGATTTCTCTCCCACGGAGATGTCGACGGATCCGCCCTCTTGCGGCCAAGACTCCATCAATGAGGTGCCCTACGGCTGTGGAGATTGTTTTCCACCAACGGGAGGACGACGTGCCTTCAACCCCAATTAACAGGGCATCCCAATAGCGGTTGCAAGTAGAGCGCGACTACCGAGAGAACCATGGATGGCAGATATGAGCTTGCTCGCATTAAGGTACAGGCCGAGAGCTGTCAAAGACGAGGGCGTCCTTGTCGACGACCCGAAGCTCTGTATTTAAGCTTGATGGCAGCCGGCTAAGCGGCACTGACGATCCCTCTTGTTGATCACTCACAGCTGCAGTCTCTCCTTCTTTTGCCATACTGGTATCATCTCAACAGCAACATGGGTCTCTACAAGTTCCTCCTCGCCGTCGTTCCGGCCGTCTTGGCCGCCGACATTTACGTCGCGCCCACCGGCTCCGACTCGGCCGCCGGCACCCTCGCCGCTCCCCTCAAGTCAGTCCAGAAGGCCGTTGACAAGGCCGTCGCCGGTGACACCATCTACCTCCGTGGCGGCACTTACTCGCCCACGACCAACATCAAGATCACCAAGAGCGGTACCGCCGACAAGCCTTATACTTTGACGGCGTACAACGACGAGGCCGTCATCCTCGATGGCGAGGCCCTTCCCGGCACGCCTGCTGCGTTGGACGCCTCGCTGGCAAACGGCGACCGCGGTGTCCTGCACATCGAGAAGGCCAACTACTGGAAGTTCTACAAGTTGACCATCATCAACGGCCCGTACGGCGTGTACCTCCGCGATGGCTCCAACAACTACTTCGAGCGCATCGTCACCCACGACAACTACGAGACCGGCTTCCAGATGCAGGGCTCGCTGAGCAACAACCAGGTCATCTACCTCGACTCCTACCGCAACCGCGACCCCCGCAAGAACGGCGAGAGCGCCGACGGCTTCGCCTGCAAGGAGGGTTCCGGCACCGGTAACATCCTCAAGGGCGCCCGTCTCTGGGAGAACGTCGATGACGGTCTCGACCTTTGGTAAGTCACCCCCGCGTCTTCATCCACGACACCTCGAAACAACTACTAATCGTCGGCCAACAGGGAATTCAAGTCCCCCGTCACCATCATGGATACCATCTCTTGGGGCAACGGCGTGAACCGCTGGGGCTTCAGCGACTTCCAGGGCGATGGTAACGGCTTTAAGCTGGGCGGCGGCGACGCGGCCGACGTTGGCGCGGCTAACCACGTCATCACCAACTGCATCGCCTTCGACAACGTCGCCAAGGGCTTCACGGACAACAAGCAGCCCGGCAACTTCCAGTTCAAGCGCAACACGGCCTGGAACAACGGCGCCGTCGGCTTCCAGACCATCACGACCAAGTCGACCCTCACCAACAACGTCGCCAGCGGCAACTCCAAGACCACGGCCAAGAGCGGCCAGACCTCTCTCGTCAGCGGCACTACCAGCAGCGGCAACTCATGGGACGGCAGCGCCACGTGGTCCGACTCGAGCTTCAAGAGCGTCGACTCGAGCCTGGTCAAGGGCGCCAGACAGGCCAACGGCAAGATTGCTGCGAGCAACTTCTTGATCCCGACTTCCGGCGCTGCTGTCGGTGCCACCACTACCTGGTCTTAGGCCTCTTCGGGTCTCGATAATAGTTAAGCCTAATGCTGCTAGAGTATTCTTCTGTGTATATAATTAGTTAGACTGCCAATGCGCGGGGTACATAAATCAACCGGTACATATTCTCTCTCATGACGAGGTTTGCTCTGTGTGGTGGTACGATTGCCACTTTGCATGAGTCGTGAGTTGCCATTGACTTAGTCACCGTACCATACTCGTACTCATCGTAAATGAAGTGCGAACATGGATGGTAACAATGGCTCATTAACAGCTGCATTGCCGGGCATCGTGAACTTTGGCAGGGGCTGCTGATCCTTGGGAAACCGCTCGTAGTCTGTTGCGACTCCGTTATACCGCGGGTTCAACGTGAGGTGAGAATAAGCTCAGCAAGCCCATAATATGTATCTTATCGTATAGAGCGCACGAGCTCGCCGGAGCTTTTTGGTGATAGTGTCGAACTCAAATGACAGTGTTATGTTTACTCAGCAGGGGGAATCCATCTTCACAATTTCGATAGCTGCTATGAATGCCCAGCTGGTGCCAGCTGCAAGGCGCCTTCAACGTTGGCTTCCAGAATAAACTCTAAGAAAAAAAAAAGTCTCGGCACGGGAAAACTGGGACCTCCGAGCTCTCGGAATTTCTCGTCGGCATATCGATGGATTTTTCTGGCATCGGCGAAGTCATCCACCTTCAACCCGAGCAGCTCTGCCTCGCGACGATCGCCCGTCCGTCCGCACCGCATCCGCGTTCCCTCCGTCGCGCGCGATCGAATATCGATTCCACATATCCCTACAGAAACATCCTCGTGCAGGAACTGCCGAGAGTTAATACCTCAAGATGGTGAGTCTCCGTGCCCCTCCGGTCCCGCTTGCGCCACCGCAGTCCATCACCACCGCAAAAGTCCACCGCACCCCGGGCCGCGAGCCTCTCAACTCGATACAGAAGACTAACATCGCGGTGTCACCCCACAGGCCTACCGTCTCGTAACCCAAGTCCTCTTCGTCGGCTCGCGCATCGTCGGGCGCTCCTTCGCCGCGGCCTACAAGCAGGCCCAGGCCTCGTCCGAGTACGCGCGCGCGCAGGCCAAGAACGGCGGCGGCGGCGCGGCCGTCAAGTCCAACGGCGCCTCGGGCATGACGCTGGACGAGGCGTGCAAGATCCTCGACGTCGAGGCGCCCAAGGACGGCGCCAACAACGCGGGGCAGGTCATGGAGCGCTTCAAGAAGCTCTTCGACGTCAACGACCCCAAGAAGGGCGGCAGCTTCTACCTCCAGAGCAAGGTGTTGCGGGCGAGGGAGAGGCTGGAGAAGGAGATTGGGCCGCTCGTCGAGAAAGAGGAGGTCGAGGCCGAGGTGAAGGAGGGGTTTAAGCCCAAGATTTACAAGGACCGGTGAGGGGTGCGCCTGCACTTACTCGTGGCTCCTCTCGGTTTGGGGTTTTGAGGCGTCGGATATTGGTTCGGACATTCAGACCTTGCGAATCGCCACTCGATACCGAGAGGACGGGGTGAGGGGATGAGAGGCTGAGAGTACTCCACGGAGTGCCTCGAGAGGCCTGGACAAACAACTGTATTGGAACAACTTCACTCGACTCCGCATGGCATGGCGTTTTTGGGCTGGGTGGATTTGGCGCGGCACCGCCAGCATTTGGCATGGTTAGACGATAAAAAGGGTTGCGCACGTGTGTATGTTAATACTGTACTATAAGAAGACACCGGGGAGGGCGAGGAGTTGGGCCGTTCAGAGGTCAATAGAGAATGCAGTTCTCGTGTTCTACTCAAATGAGACAGAGGAAATTGCTATCATTTGTGAGGCTGGGTAAATGGAAGCCGAGTTTTGCAGACATGGTGGTAAGATGTCACCCAACTACCATCTTCAGCCGCTGCAGCATCCGGCTGTTGAAGCTAGGTGGTGTTCAACTCTCAGAACAACCTGGCTCAACACAACTCATCGGAAGTAGTAGCGATGGCATTCAGCCCCCATGCAGCCAGCGCAAAAGCAACGAGCCCAGAATCAACTCTGCCTCCAACGCCGATCCTTAGACAAGCCCCACATAGCAGACTCAAAACTTGACGAAACACGCAAAAAGTCACTGCCCAGAGGCGGATTCGAACCGCCGTCAACACGGAACTGCTGCGTAACAAGACCACAACGTATCATCCTAACCAACTAGACGATCTGGGCGAATGCGGCTTCCTGTGGAAGTGTTGTAAGGGCCGGCAGCAGATGGGTCTATGGATCTTAGGGCTGGCTGCAGTGGAGCACTTACCACCTCTCGCGTGGACGTTTCTTGTTGCGGATGGAGTCAAGCACTCACAGCTAGGGTGAAACGAAACATGATTGCAGGAGGAGGCAGTTACTGAAAAATAACAGTGCTTTTTAAGAAACAGTCTTGATGAAGAGCCTCGATTGGGCATCTGTAATCATTCTACAAGCGAACTTGATACGTGATAGACGAGCTGAATATGGCTTTTGATAGAGATTAAACGATTGATCATAATTATTCATAATAAGTCCCATGTCCCTCATACCAGTCTTAGCATCTAGAACATAATGTTTCTCAAAAACCGCAGTCCTTTCTCCGGAATAAACCTTACGTGAGTAACAAACTTCTCATTCTCCAGCTTTCAGATTCAAACACTATGCCTGAGTGCCTAAATCCAAACCAAAACACCGTCGAATACCAAATGAAAGATATAACCGAGGACTAATAAATCAAACGCTGATTTTCCGATGTCTCTTATTGCAAAGCTCGGACTATTTTCCCTGGGGAATCCAGGAAAACTAGCCATATCCGGGAGACACAAAATCGCATAGATGACACCCGAGAAAGATGTAACGCCAGCTAGCTTTTGACTAAGGAAAAGTATCGCAAGGGTATTCACAGAGACCAAAACTAACCATTTGGCTCTGATGAAGTCTGATGTCTCTGGAAGAAAGTATGATACCATCGGCAGCAACCGATGCACTATAAGAAACACGGATTGGAGAGGAATGAGTTTGCACAAGCTCAAGATATACCAGTCCTTCGATTTGGTCAAACATAGCCATGGACAACAGGAAGTACAAACATATTCCTCTCGAATTGAAGGCGTGGCTTTCCACGCCCACTGAAGAAGAAACACACCACTTTTGGCAAACAGCACCATTACTATGGCCATGATTGAGTTCAACATCACGGAGTCACCCATGAATATGAGCCCGTTTTGAAGCAAACTTGGGTACTTTTGCCTGAAAAACTGCCACCCAGACTTATTGAAGTAAGCATCTGGCAAGTGCATACGGGTTTTGAACCATTGACCACATCTGGCGATCCACGGTCGAGGGTCATGGCTCGATAGCTTAACGTCTAGGACCCATACTTTTTGGCCGAAGATATACATCTTTGTAGGATGAAGATACACAAATTCTCTGTGGCGGAGATGGGTTGGCAGCAAGTCGAACTGAGAGAATGACAATAGTTGCAGTTCTTGAGCAAGCTGTGCAGGGGAGGCCAACTTTAGAAACCGGCAAACCAGTCGTTCGGTATCACCCATGCATATAACATGCCTGGTGGAGTTGAAGAGACCCTCAAATTTGAAGACTTTGATGAGAACAGCAAACGATGTGTCTGAGACTCTGTCTTTCAGCAATAGAACGACTATAGTCTGTTTACCATTCTGGGTGTCAGCCACTGCAGTGAGCGAGTTTTCTTTGCTCAAGTGACAAGGTCGTAGCCTCAGCGGTGTATCGATAGATTGAGATGAATCGACATGGTACGCATTAACCATTGTCAAAGACAGAGGAATGTTTCGTACCCAGAGTTTTGACCCTCTAGTATAGTTGCGTCCCTGGTTTTCGGAATCTTCAGTTGTGGTAAGGCGTAACATAACTTTCTTCTTTGGCCACCGTTGCCATGTTTCATGACTTAACACCCTTAGCTGTTCGTTTGATCTCAGATACACGCCAGGTGTGTGCGTCTGAAGAGGTAAGGCTAACAGATTTCTCGGATCGTCTCCTAGGTGGCATGGTATCATAGCATATGGCACTTGATCTTCAGAGACAGGTAGGGTAACCTCTAGCCCCTGAGTTTTGAAGTTCCAGTCGCATGTGATCCTATGGGTTGTGATGTTTCTGCAGTGCCGGAACTGGGCTGGACTCGAGGCGAGGAGTCCAATCGGGGACTCGTCAACATGATATCGATACCCTGCGCGCCAAGGATGTATTTCCCCAAGTAATATGCCTAGCATAGTTGACCAGACCGCAGTTGGTTCCGGATCAGGTGGAAACTGAACCAAGTCCGCACGGTTCCAGGCCAATAGTGTTGGATCAAAGGAGCTGCGAAGAATCTCCTGCTGAAGTCGCGTGAATGCCCGCATGCCCTCTCCGTATATGAGCGGCATGTTAACGTCAAAGATACCCAGTAGGCAGTATGCGATATCCTCTTTTCTTTTTGTTTTCCGTGCGGCAGCCCAGCTCATCTTCGTGGCACCGCTTGCGGACGCCAGCAACTTGCGACGAGACCCAACGTACGTGTCTGTCAAGAAGACTTGGTCTATGCCAGTAGTCAGGCTGATGGCTTCTGCCGCGTCTTGTCGGTTGGCGATGAATCCCCAATCTTCGTCGAAAAATTCCAATTTCGAAGGGGCCAAAAGTTCCTGAAGAGTCCAGCCTCTTGTGAACCAGCGGGAAGCCCCAGAAGGCTCAAGTGCCGTAGCCGAAGTAGCGTCCGCGAGGTAGGCGAAGCAGATTTCGGCTTCTTCGTACCATTGGAACATCGAGTTGATAGCCTCGGACAACTCAGCACTACTTGTCTTATCGATGCAGCAGGTGTCGACCCAGACGTAATGAAGACTGCGCTTTGATGCCTCTTTACAAGCATTCTCGATCTTTTGGTAGCCCGGCTTGGCCTTGGTTAAGGGATCGCCTCGTCTAAAGTCCGAGAACGAGACCTCCGTGTCTCCATCGCCCCAAGTATGAGACAGGATGGCGTATTTTGGAATGTCATTGTCAAAGAACTCGACTATTTCGAGTGAAGTGGTGTTGATGAGGCGCATTGTCGCCGTTGTATGGTGGTCCCAGACGCCTACGTCCAGCGCGTGAAATGGAGGAATGAGGGGAGATGGTCAAGAAGGCGGTAGGAGTCGGGAGTCTCCTACATCAGGCTTTCTGGGTCTTCTCAGGCAGCCACGTTCATTTTTCACTTTCTCTTGGGGGAGAGGGGCGGAGCGAGGGTGAATGGATCATGCGTATGCACGCTCTATGCAACGTCATCCCGACGCAGCCCTCAGGTTTCGTGTTGAACAATCATTGGATAGCCTCGTGTTGAAGGACACCGAAAGTGCCCTGATTGAGGCAAGTGTACAGCCAAGATTTGCTTGCCCTTTTACTTAATGGCAATGGAAAGCTGGTAGCACACCCTTAATTTGATTGGGGGCGCAGCCATTTTTCAACTTGAGCACCTAGTCGAATTTCGCCTTTATCTGAGAGTCAATCATCTCCAAGCCATAGAAACACGTCGTTTGCCAGCCTACGGCCGCGACCACTAGAATGGCATCCATGCCATTGTTCAACACGAGAAACGCGCATATCTGCCTGGGCTCCTTGTTGGACCTGTTCAAACAACAGCGAGCTTGTTCGTAAAAGTTGAAGCCTTCGCGCGTCCGTACTCCTGCCAACTCAGAACCATACATTATGTCGACATGATTGAATAACGAGACACAAAATAACGACGAATTCTTCTTCTGGTGAGAAGCACTGCCTGTTGGCTTTGATCTTGAAGGCAGGCTCCATTGATGAAATACTCATCTTGGCCCCTTGTGGCGAACTCTTGCGGCTGCGCCTAGTGACAGCTTTGAGAAGAAAGTCAAAGTATTGGCAGCAACTACATACTGAGCTCCCGCGTCAGTAAGATATTTAAGTAACATGATGATGGGGTCCCAAATGGCGTTGCAGAATCACGGAGGCTCAAGCGTCTTCTGAACAACATAGATTTATTACGTTACCTACATAATTTACTTACTACAAAGTATAGATTAACCTATATAGAATAGTAAGTGAGTTCAAACTCCCCTTTTGATATGACTGGATGCGAATTATCTTCTGAATAGTGGGTGATGGCTCCAAGTAGATTACTTAGGTAAAAGAAAAAAGTGCTGGTTAACTTATGAAATCTCCTGAGTCCTCGATAATATGCAACTTTACAACTTGGACGCCTTGGAATATGTCTTTGATCCAAACACAATCTTCAAGTCCGCATCGACCTGCTGCCTCCAATCCTTCTGCTGGACAGTCGTTCCCCTACACTTTTCAGCAAACCAAGTTTCTGCTACCAACCCAGCTACCTCGTCTCCGTCATGCACGGAATCAACAAGAAGCATCAGGCCCTGAACAATGTCAACCAGGCAGTCCATAACGGCGCGGGACCTCAGCTCCGCTTCTTCTCTGCTGACTCCCTCCACAGAGGCCTTCAATTCCGCCCACCACTTCGTCACCTGATCGTGCTGTGTCTGGAATTCACCATGCTTTCGGATCTGCTGTAGGAGGGTGCTGACCCAAGCCTCCATGGAAGCCATTACTGGCTTTCTGAGTTTTCCATGAAGTACTCTCAGAATCGCATCGTCTGCCATCATGTCGGTAGTACCCTCCCAGATCGGCATGACATTGGCATCGCGGTACAGGCGGGCGATGTTGAACTGCATGTCCTCGTTCTCCAGATATCCAACGCCTCCAAGGCATTCCATACACTCCTGAAGGCCGGAGATGGAGGTCTTGGAGCAATGTCCCTTCAGAGCAGGCGTCAGAAGACGGAAGAGATTATGCGCCATGGCCTCATCACGGAGCCCAGGGACCCGGCCTATGCCGGCTACATTCGCTCCGATAGGCTTGCCGGCGAACGCTGCGATCTGACCCTGTTCAGTGACTCCGAGCAGGCCAGCAACGAGAAGATTGAAGAGTACGTTGGCTTTGTACTCGGCATGCATACGCGCAAGGGTTCGCATGAAGCCGGTCCGCTTCCACAGCGGCCGTCGACCTACGACCCGAACCCGGGTGAAGGCGCGGACGATGCCCAAGCCTCGACCCCAGAGGCCGATCGCCGTAGCGCCGTTGTGGACGCGGGCGATGTTGAGAACGGTGGCGATCTCCTTGGTGCCGCGGCCGTCCTCCCCGACCAGCCAGGCGCGGACGCCCTTGAGCTCGAGCTCGGCGGTAGGGAGAGCCCTGGTGCCGAGCTTGTTCTTCAGACGCTGGATGGAGACGCCGTTCAGTTCCGTGTCGTTGCCCAGGACGTCTCTCTGCGTCATCGTCTTTCTCATGGGCGCGAAGAAGGTGCTGATGCCCTTGGGTGTCCGCGCAAGCATGACCACCATGTTGCTATCAGTCGCGCTGCTGAACCACTTGAACCCGTCGATGAGCCATGGGCCAAGGTCGTTGCCATCAGTAGCTTTGACAGCCAGGGTCCGACCCGGGTCGTACGTCGCAATCGTTTCTGTCATGCTGACGTCGCTTCCTCCCTGCCTTTCCGTCATCCACTGCCCAGTCGTCCAGGCAAAGTCCGCGTCTCTGCTCGTGAGCCTCTCGTACGCACTTTGAAGGATCCTCCGCTGGTCCCGGGGCAGGTCCGACTCAGTGAGGTGCTTTCGAAAGAGACTCGCCACTCCGTCAGACATCAGGGACGGGCAATTGACCCATGCCGCACTACCGCACCACAGAGCATACTTGGCAAAGTGATAGACGCGAGAGTATTCGGCGTACTGATTTTCGTAAGGAATGGCAACCATGCCCTCGGCGATACCGAGAGCTTGCAGGTTCCGCCAGCCCTCGCTGGTGATCAGTTCGTCCCGGCGACGACCCCAAGAGTCCAGGGCCTTGACGTAGGGAGGGTTGCGCTCGGCATCGAGTACCCAGTTGAGGACTTTCGGGGAGAGCACCTTGGCGCCGAACGAGGCCATGTCGGGCGTGACGCTAGGACGTCCTTGGGGAGGAACAGCTTCAAGGCGCGGCCTAGCGCAGCATCGTCGTGGAATTGATTGAGGACATCGGGCGGCGTCTGAAAGAAGCCCGCTGTCGAGCTTGAAGGTGCTGGTCGAGAACTGACGCCCATAGCGGTGGAGGCGAAGCAGATGCTCTCGTCAGGCTTTGAGCTGAGATTGCAGTACGGAGGGATTGTATACTTTGCACAATACAGAGACCGCTTTATATGTACAAAAAGCAGCTTTTCTACGCTCCTAGTACTGCGAAGCTACAAATGTATTCTTCGTGCTGAACTGAAGTTAGATGTTCTTAGATAAGCACTGATCTTGTTCACCTTACAGTTTACAGTCACTGAGCCCCAAAACGGTACATCTCAATACAAGTACCTCGGCAAACCTCCAAATGCCGGAATTGATTGGCCAAGACCTTCCTCCAATCTCTCAGCGTGCAGTGTGGGAAACCCCTCACAGTCCTTATGTGTATCTGAATTATCCTGAGATAAAGGTTCCATTCATACGCTGGGCTCGCCTGTCGTATGTCGACGTCGGAGACTCGCTCGACGGACTAAGGGGGTCAGATGACTGATGCTCGACCGTGACTCCTCATCAACATAGGAGTGCTCAGTCCTCCAAACATCAACATCTTCCTCGACCCCTTGAGTGTTCACAACATACTCTCGGTCCTTTTCGAAGCATGGCACTCCCTGAGGAGCCGCTGCATAATCAATCAGGTCGCAGCCACGCAGCTGATGGTTACGGAGGTTGTACTGCTGTTGCGATAACCCGACCATCTCCCCACACCGAACAAAACTCACCTCGACCAACCTCGAAATCAACAATCGTGTCCTTCTTCATTGCTAAGCGTTGTCTTCCAGTGGATATTCATCCGCGAATACGTTAGTTGAAAATGAACTGCTCGATGATACACGTTTGACACGCTGATCGGCCTTCGCAACCCGGTGATGTTGACCAGATTTCCTTGCGAGCGTCCTAGGAACTACTATTGACGCATCAATGTACCCAACTCACATTGGCAGTCTCGCTGGAGAAGCAAACGTGGGAGGAAATTTATACGTTGGCCAAAAGGTGAGACTCGATACATATGAGCTTGCGGTTCCTACCGCCATGCGGTGATACAAGAAAGTGGGAGATGTCTCGTAAGGAAACCATACACTTCAGCTTGGGCTACTTCCCGAACGAAGTGAGGAGCTCAAGATCCATCACAGCTTCCACCATTTCCACACATAAAGACTCGGCAGTTCAGGTGCTTTGATGACGGCAGAAAATTCACATCAACAAACCACCCGAAGCTACAAAACAGCCAAAACAAACATGTAGTTATTCCCAAAAAGACTCTCGCCATAAGGTTCTTTCCAAGCAAGCCATGTACGAGGCAGTTTACCAACCCAAACCACATAACCCCACCTTCTCGCTCGGTCTTAAGAGATGAGCGAGACTTCGCAACTATCGTGAACCCGTCTAAGATAATGGCAACAGTATAAGAACAACTCAGTTCCATTTCACTTATACGTCAACGACCTCAGGGGGAGGGGAGATTCTCCCCGATTCCTTTTGGTCGACTTCGTCGTAACATCACCTGAGATCTGCTAGCCCTGCTACGTGAACACTGGGTGAGGTCGAGGCAGAGATCGTGGACGAATAGACAGTGCTGCAAATGGGACTTCCGTCCGCGATCATGCCCATCCGTCATCAGCAGCCGTTTATCATGTACCGTCATATTTTCGACACATGTTCTCGTTTCCATTATCACAGCGGGCGGTGGCACGCTTGTCATAAAGCAGCTTCATCCGAGGGCTTCCACAATCCTAGAAAGACTCCTCCTGCACGCCGTTATCACCCTGAACTCACTGCTATTCGAGAACTCTTGCTTTTTACCGTTTATACTACGACAGTAAATGATTTCTCGGCAAAGAGCCCAGTCAGACGGCAACTCCAATCATGAAAGACGCGTCGCAATCCTTCCGGGATATCAATGTGGACTACTCCGCAATAGCAAATCTATGTAAACCGCTGCGCGTCTATGATTCCTCGAATGTCTCCTTCCCGTTAGCACACATCGCAAGCTTCAGAATTCGGATTCGCACGTCGTGAGCCCACCCCTGAGAAACCCAGCAAGTCGGTCGTAAATCCGATGTAGTCGGGTCCAAGCCAACCCCAGCCACTCACGTCGCACCTGTCCCAGGCGGTGGCCTGTCACGAGAAAACGTCCGATGTCGAGGGCCTCCAGGGTTCAGACAATCGTTGTACCGGCGGATTCTACCAAGGACCCGAAGTTCCGCGATCCGCGGCGAAGTATCTCGTGCCGCCAACGGCCTCGTGTGGTACAGTTAACCTACCGACTTGCGAAGGGATTGCCAGTTCCAGCACCTGATTCGTTGCGACTTGGTGTCTAGCTGTCAGATCCCGTCGGTGGCACACAAGGCTTGTTTACCCCAAGGGGCCAGATCATGCGCTGAGACACTCAAAGCTTGGGCGGGTAGGTTAGTCTGCGGAGATATTGTGACCATACAAACAGCGGCGTCAGTGAAGTTGAGACGATGTAATAGTGCTTCCAGATCACTGTTAGAGTTCGGATTCGATAGCCACGAGGTTTTGGATGGAGGGGTTGACGACTCGACGGTGCACTTCGTTCTCTAGTCAACGACATGACACCAATTGGAAAATGTTCCGGGGCTTAGCCGAGAAACAGCTTCACTCTCCCTGTCAAGAGGGTGCGGCTTTCTTCCACGATATTAGTGGCTTGTCGAGTAAGACGTAGACAAGTTTGCCGTGGAGAGTCGCAGATGGAAAAGTCAATCTTGCAGGAAGCGACTTGATACATGCTGACTAAAGAAAAAGAAACAGCCTCATTCCCTGAATCGGCTCGGCTGGTGCAAGTCAGGGATGACGGCAGACTGGACGGAGTTCGAATGATGACAAGCACACTGTTCTTTTTAGAGGATGATCTGAACTCTCAAGTCTGTGAGCAGACTGCCACGCATGTCGCTCGGATGCTGGCAAGGGCGAGCGAATTGACATCGTTCGCTCGGGTTGAAGAGGGGTCGGTGGAAGGACGCATAAGCATAGAGCTGCATGGCGCACCGGGTATTGGGGTGCTGGTGGACGAGTGACTAAGTGGAAGATGTCAGTTGGCTTTCGCGTCCTTGTTTCGTGTCTTGGAGTCGCGGCACTTGGAGCCGAGACGATCAGGCTCAAGTGTCCGGCAGGCAGGTACTTCGTAGACCATGTGCCATGTGCTGGCTCTAAAGCGATGCGTCACGCCGTTCCTCGGCTCGCATGCCTACGTCGTAGTAACTGCGATGAGACGGACGGACTTTTTGTCACTTGTGCGATGTGTGCGATTTTAGCGGAGCTTGGCAATTTGACCACGACGCAGATTTGTCTGGGGTCCGTAAATCGGGAATTCCTAATTTCTCATCGGCGGACATATGCTGATGACCCGACGATTGAAAATGTGTCTGTTGGAGAGATTAGGAGCCCAGGATTAGGAATCCTCGCCGAGCCATTCGGCCGATGGGCTCCGTGAATTGCACGGAAGTTGAAGGGCAAGACGGGTGACTCGCGGCGGAAGGGCGAGCGGGAGGCGCAGGCCGCAGGGCACTAAATTGCCTGCGCTGCGGAGAGTTCAAGGTTGCCACTTCACGGAAAAGTCCCCGACAGGGCGGCCGTTGTGCGTGGCAGTGGCACGGCGCCAATGCTAATGCTGCATCTCGTGGCCCCCGTCGTTCTCGTTCTCGCGCGAGACCGCAATGGTTCGCATGTTCGCCATTTCATTGATCTCTCGAGAACTGCTCTGTACTGTACGAAAACTTGAATATTGCATCTGTCGGTGAGTCACGTCGACGGCGGGCTTGGCAATTGCGAAAAGTCCTGAATACTCCGATGCTTGATAAGCCGTGATGAACTGGCAGATCCATCATCAGAATTTGGCGCAAGTGAGATTTTCGGAGTGAAGGCCCGGGTCAGACACACCAGTTCCAAGGAGTTTGCGCCTGCGTCCGCCGATGCGGCGGAGGAAGAAGCTTTTGGAATTTGGAACATGGAACAGGGGCGCCCGCGGAGCCCGGTATCCACAGCGACTCTCGAATTTTCCCCGTCGCGTCTTTTCTGATTGTCTCGCTGTCCGGCGGGCGTTAAAAAGGAGTTGAGGGTCTTGGAGTCGTGGCGGCTTAGGTAAGGGGCAACGACAGAGCCCACATTGGGCGCAGTTGAAGTCGCAATCGCAGCGCGGCGTCGGGCATGGGTGCCCTGCAGCTTACCCGTGGAAGTATTACCCGGAAGAGGGAAAGATGCTGGACCCTCTTATCAGATCGGCGGCCAGGTGCGGCATGCAGTTGGGAACGGTGGAAGATGAAGATGGATGGCAAGAAAGTCGGAGATGGTTGAGATATGCTTCTTTTTGGGAGTGGAAATCGAGCGGGAGTTTGGCGGGAAGGCGGCGGGAAGGATAATGAGTGGAACGTTGGCCTGTGGGAACGTTTTGAGGCGAAAGAGCAGGCATATTGTCGACGAGGTGAAGAGATGGCTCGACCGGGATGCTGAATGCTGATTGCTTCGAGATGCAGAGGCAGATATTGGAGTTTGCTTGTGTTGGAACAGGCTGCGGAAGAGGCAGGTTGATACCGGCCCCTCCAAACATTGGCATTTCTTACCTCTGGTTGGCTGAATTTAGCCGCTGAGTAAGCGGAGGTTGCCGAATTCCTCAAACGGGCAGTCGAACCTCGAAACCCCACCTTCGCCGGATGACTCGAAACCAGAGTCAGCGCCCCACTTCACTGACAAAAGTTATCTTTTAAGATGCATGATTGGTCAATTTCTAACATGTTTTCCAACGGCGGAAGTGACGAGCCTGCGTGGAAGCACAAGCGGCAGGCAGGCGTCCAGCCGGGCAGGGGCCGAAGAAAATGGAAGGAAGGAGCGATGGAAGAAGAGAAAAAAGAGATTGTGGGGACAGGAGCGCCGACAACCCACGCCGTCATCTCTGCAGGCCCGGGCAGTGGCAGGCACAGCTCCGACTGGCACTTGCCTTGCGAAAGTGCTGCGACATGGGATTTGTTTCCCTCAGATTCTGCCCTCCACTTTTCTTGCCGCCTTTTTTTGTTGTTCTCCCTCCCTGCCAGTCGGAGTCTCCTTTTTGTTGGTGTTTTGCGCCAACCGCAGCCTGCAGACATCGCAGGGCAACGTGCAGGCCTGGCATTCGCAGTATCAGTGGAGCGGCTACTGCACCCAACGGTGATTTGCTTTTTTAGTGTTTGCCTCGCGTCGTCGGATTTTAAGAGATAGCGATGATGCGATAGCTCCTACAGAGTACAGAGTCACATTCCATTGGGTAGGTAGAATAGGATGCCTGCGTTCCAATTTTCGTACTGCGGCGGCAGCTCACATCCATTAATGTGTACATGTGCTATCTCATTTACCGGTACCAGCCGTGCCAGTATCCGATCCGTAGATCTGCCAGATGCGTCCTGGAATGGCAGGTGCTTCTACACTGTACTCCAAGAGGCATCTCGCGAACTTCGCCCTCAATCATGCAACTCTTATGAGTTGCCGTTAATCTTGGCTCCCGGAGCTGGCGATAACCGCTCGCCTTGCTGCGCACCTGCACTTTAACTGCGATGTGCCGAGGAACATGTCACGCACCTACACTACTTTGGAACTGCATTGAGAAAGTGTCAAGCGGTTGCTTTCCGATGACGCCCTAGCGAGCAACCGATGGCTCTTTTCATCCCATCTCATCCCATCGCTGACCGCCTCTTGCCTCAAGATCGGAGCATTTGCTGACGGAGGGATCCTGCCACGGCAAACTCTCTCTCTCACTCCAGAAGACAAGAAATTTCCTTTTTCATCCACCACCACGTTGCAGAGACTTCCAGGACGCATAGCCTTGCGGTGTCCTTCTAGTGGCCGTCTGACTCCCAGCCGTCCGGTCTGTGACCGCAAGAGTATCACGATGGCTCAAGATGGCTCATCGACTATCACAACAGCAATAGGTACATTAACATGGACCAGTCGTTGCCAAGAAGCCAAAAGGATGATCCACCTAGCCGTACCCCCACTTCGTGGTCCCCTGCTCGTAATTGGGAGAGTTCCCAACTTCTCAACCTGTCTAAACCGAACTTGGCAATAGAGGTGGAGACGATGCCTGGGTCTCCCCGACATTTTATTAGCAGTGGACCTTCTCCGCCGCTCTCCACCTTGTCAGATACAGTCGCATCTTGAATCCATGACTCCAGAAAAAGTACATTCGATACGGAGTTTGCAGCTGGCCTGGCCTGGGTCCTGGGTCCCGGGTGCTAAGCAACACCTTTTACGGTACCTACATACCGCACCCGGCATTGCCCAGCGGACAAGTAACCTCTGTAGGTTGTTCTCGCAGTCTCACCACCAGCCCTGCTAACAAACTGAAGTCGTTGCCAACCTATCCAAAAAAGAACCAGCTGCCACTTACCCACCACGGCCTTAAGGATTCCCACACGTCCTACTTCCGGGCCCCGACTCCGGTTGAGATTGTCATTCATCCTTGATTGGTAATATTTTTGTTTGGGAGTGGAGGGTGTCCCGAAGTCGATCCGAACGAGACCAGGCCCAGCTTGCCCAGACCAGCTTGTCGTGCTTAGTGCGGACACTTTATTTTTTTCCTCTCCTTCTCCTGGCTCGTTGCTACTTTCATAAGCAGCCTCTTCCAGAGACCTTTCACTCCCTCTCTCTCGTCCGTCAACTCGGTCTCGTCTCGGGTCGACGACGGTTGCTTGTTTGTTTCTTCCACCGTTCCTCCGCCGAAGGACTCACACTCCCTTAACCACCCTTACCTTACTACAACAACACCCGCCCCTCCATCCTTTCGTCTATTTCCCATATCTAGGACCGTTCGTCCCTCACATCTTTCTCGCTCCTCCCCCACGGTACATCGACGACCCGGCGTAGGTATCCGTACCTCCACAACTTTCGTCTCACCGGCACGGACCAGCAACCGCCACTTTCCGGTCGACTCGAGATCGCCGTCACTCAAACTACTATTTGAGTTCTCACTGGCGCCGATTTTAACTACCCCCTTGGCTTCCATCTTAATACGAACTGCGCCGCAGTGAATCACGAACCCGATTGCGAAATACCTCTCACTCCAACGGTCCCAATGGCGGACCGGGACTTTGAGAAGCAGCAGGAGGCTGTCGCCGGAGGCAGCCCCGACAAGAACACCACCACCACCGAGACCACACCCGCACCGAGATCTTCATCTTCGACTTCGACCGCCGCCGACGCCGAGCAGCAGAGAGAGGACGCCCGCGCCAACAACCCCGATGGCTTCACCTCCATTCACGCCGGTATCTCGGTCCACCAGGCCGAGGCCGAGTTTGCAGAGCTCCAGCGCGAACTCTCTGGCATGTCCCGCGCGAGCAGAGTGAACAGTCGCAACAGCCGTAGGAAGTCGGAGGATGCCGAGAAGGCCGTCGCGAACGTCAACTCCGCCACCCCGTCTTCCGAGACGGACGGCGAGCAGTTTGACTTGGAAGGCGTCTTGCGCGGTGGCGTCGAGGCCGAGCGCCAGGCCGGTATTAGACCCAAGCACATCGGCGCCTACTGGGACGGGCTCACCGTCACGGGCATGGGAGGTACCACCAACTACGTCCAGACATTCCCCGACGCTTTCGTCAACTTCTTCGACTATGTCACTCCCGTCATGAACATGCTGGGTCTGGGAAAGAAGGGCGTGGAGGCAACCCTGCTGGATCACTTCAAGGGTGTGTGTAAGCCTGGTGAGATGGTCCTGGTTTTGGGCAAGCCTGGTTCTGGCTGCACCACCTTCCTCAAGACCATTGCCAACCAGCGCGCCGGCTTTACCAGTGTCACTGGTGACGTTCGCTACGGACCCTTCACCGCCGATGAGTTCAAGAGGTATCGCGGTGAGGCCGTGTACAACCAGGAGGACGACATCCACCACTCGACCCTCACTGTCGAGCAGACCCTCGGCTTCGCCCTCGACACCAAGGTTCCTGCCAAGCGCCCTGCCGGCATGTCCAAGAACGAGTTCAAGGAGCAGGTCATCAGCACTCTCCTGAAGATGTTCAACATCGAGCACACCCGCCACACTGTCGTCGGCGACGCCTTCGTGAGAGGTGTGTCTGGTGGTGAGAGGAAGCGTGTGTCGATCGCAGAGATGATGATCACCAACGCCTGCGTCCTCTCTTGGGACAACAGTACTCGTGGTCTGGACGCCTCCACCGCGCTCGACTTCGTCAAGTCCCTCCGTGTCCAGACGAACCTCTACCAGACCACCACCTTCGTCTCCTTGTACCAGGCTTCGGAGAACATCTACAACCTCTTCGACAAGGTCATGGTTATCGATGCCGGAAAGCAGGTCTACCTCGGCCCCGCGAAGGAAGCTCGTGCCTACTTCGAGGGTCTCGGTTTTGCTCCCCGCCCCAGACAGACAACCCCCGACTACGTCACCGGCTGCACTGACGAGTTCGAGCGTGAATACGCCGCTGGCCGCTCCGTCGAGAACGCTCCCCACAGCCCCGAGACTCTCGCCGAGGCTTTCAAGTCGTCCAAGTTCCAGAAGCAGCTCGACAGCGAGATGGAGGAGTACAAGGCCCGCCTGGCCCAGGAGACCGAGAAGCACGAGGACTTCCAGGTCGCCGTCCGAGAGGCCAAGCGCGGCTCTTCCCACCGCTCTGTCTACGCCGTAGGTTTCCACCTCCAGGTCTGGGCTCTCATGAAGCGCCAGTTCGTTCTCAAGCTCCAGGACCGTCTCGCCCTCGCTCTCTCTTGGCTCCGCTCCATCGTCATCGCAATCGTTCTCGGTACCCTGTTCTTCCGCCTCGGTTCTACCTCCGCCAGTGCTTTCAGCAAGGGTGGTCTCATGTTCATCTCCCTCCTGTTCAACGCCTTCCAAGCCTTCTCCGAGTTAGCAGGCACGATGACCGGTCGCGCTATTGTTAACAAACACAAAGCGTACGCCTTCCATCGTCCATCAGCACTCTGGATTGCTCAGATCATTGTCGATCAGGCTTTCGCAGCAAGTCAGATTTTGGTGTTTTCGGTCATCGTCTACTTCATGTCTGGTCTTGTTCGCGAAGCCGGCGCGTTCTTCACTTTCTACTTGATGATTCTGTCAGGAAACATCGCCATGACTCTGTTCTTCCGATGTATCGGCATCATCTCGCAGGACTTCGACTACGCCATCAAGTTTGCAGTTGTCCTCATCACATTCTTTGTCGTTACCTCTGGCTACCTCATCCAGTACCAGTCCGAGCACAAGTGGCTCCGATGGATTTACTGGATCAACGCCCTTGGTCTCGCCTTCAGCGCCATGATGGAAAACGAGTTCTCTCGCCTCAAGCTCACCTGCTCTGATGAGTCCTTGATCCCCTCCGGTCCTGGTTACACCGACATCAACCACCAAGTCTGCACCCTCGCCGGTTCTATCTCGGGAACGACTCTCGTTGACGGCTCTGCTTACATCGCCAACGCCTTTTCCTACTTCAAGGGTGATCTCTGGCGTAACTGGGGCATCATCCTCGCTCTTATCGTCTTCTTCCTAATCATGAACGTCACTCTCGGTGAGGTCATCAACTTCGCGGGTGGCGGCAACAACGCAAAGGTCTACCAGAAGCCTAACGAGGAACGCAAGAAGCTCAACGAGGCTCTGGTACAGAAGAGGGAAGCCAAGCGCCGTGGAGACAACACCGACCAGGGTTCTGACCTGAAGATCAACTCGGTCAGCGTGCTTACCTGGGAAAACCTTAACTACGACGTCCCTGTTCCCGGTGGTACCCGCCGTCTTTTGAACAATGTCTTTGGGTAAACCTCCCATTGCCTTGATGATGATTTTTTACTAACCCTCTCGCTAGATACGTCAAGCCTGGCCAGCTCACCGCCCTCATGGGAGCTTCCGGTGCCGGCAAGACCACCCTTCTCGACGTCCTTGCTTCCCGCAAGAACATTGGTGTTATTGGTGGCGACGTCCTTGTCGACGGCGTCAAGCCCGGCAAACAGTTCCAGCGCTCTACCTCCTACGCCGAACAGCTTGATCTTCACGACCCGACCCAAACCGTTCGCGAGGCCCTCCGTTTCTCTGCTCTCCTCCGCCAACCCTTTGAGACGCCCGAGGCTGAACGCTTTGCTTATGTCGAGGAGATTATTGCCCTGTTGGAAATGGAACACATTGCGGACTGTATTATTGGAACCCCTGAGTTCGGCCTGACCGTCGAACAGCGCAAGCGTGTCACCATCGGCGTTGAGCTCGCAGCCAAGCCCGAACTCCTCCTCTTCCTCGATGAGCCGACTTCTGGTCTCGACTCCCAGAGTGCCTTCAACATCGTGCGATTCCTCAAGAAGCTCGCCGCTGCTGGACAGGCCATTCTCTGCACAATCCACCAGCCCAACGCCGCTTTGTTTGAGAACTTCGATCGCCTTCTTCTCCTCCAGCGTGGTGGTCGCACCGTCTACTTCGGTGACATCGGCCAGGATGCGGTCGTCCTTCGCGATTATCTCAAGCGCCACGGCGCCGTCGCTAAGCCCACCGACAACGTCGCCGAGTACATGCTGGAAGCCGTCGGAGCCGGTTCAGCACCCCGTGTTGGCAACCGCGACTGGGCAGACATCTGGGACGATTCTGCAGAGCTTGCTAACGTCAAGGACACCATCTCTCAGCTGAAGGAACAGCGCATGGCCGCCGGTCGCACTGTCAACGCCGATCTCGAGAAGGAGTACGCCTCGCCGCAGATGCACCAGCTTAAGGTCGTTGTTCGCCGCATGAACCTTTCGTTCTGGCGCAGCCCCAACTACTTGTTCACCCGTCTTTTCAACCACGTCATCGTCGCCCTCATCACCGGTTTGACCTATCTCAACCTCGACGACAGCCGCAGCTCCCTGCAATACAAGGTCTTCGTCATGTTCCAGGTCACCGTCCTGCCCGCCCTCATCATCTCCCAGGTCGAGGTCATGTTCCACATCAAGCGTGCCCTCTTCTTCCGCGAGAGCTCCTCCAAGATGTACAACCCCCTCACCTTCGCCGCGGCCATCACCATCGCAGAGCTTCCTTACTCCATCATGTGCTCCGTCGCCTTCTTCCTGCCCCTGTACTTCATGCCGGGCTTCCAGAACGACCCTTCCCGCGCTGGTTACCAGTTCTTCATGATCCTCATCACTGAGCTCTTCTCCGTCTCTCTGGGCCAGGCACTCGCCTCCCTCACACCCTCTCCCTTCATCTCCTCCCAGTTCGACCCCTTCATCATGATCACCTTCGCCCTCTTCTGTGGTGTCACCATTCCCGCGCCGCAGATGCCCGGCTTCTGGCGCGCGTGGCTGTACCAGCTCGACCCCTTCACGCGCCTCATCGGTGGCATGGTCGTCACGGCCCTGCACGACCTGAAGGTTGTTTGCGCTCAGTCTGAGTTCAACCCTTTCAAGGCCCCCGATGGTCAGACGTGTGGAGAGTACATGCAGCCCTTCTTCGAGCGGGGTGGCCCTGGTTACCTCGCCAACAATAATACGCAAGATTGCCAATACTGCGCCTACAAGGTTGGCGACGAGTTCTACACGCCTCTCGGCTTGAACTTTGACAACCGCTGGAGAGATCTCGGTATCTTCATCGCGTTCGTGGGAAGCAACTTGATCATTCTCTTCGCTGCTGTAAGTGTCCCCCTATCACCTACCTCACAATCGAACAGCTTACTAACAACCCCAACAGAGCAAGTTCTTGAACTTCAACCGCAGATAAGACATATCGTCTCGTATATCCGGTCTCACGATGACCCCTTTTTTTCCTATTGTATGTTGCATGGAAGCATAGCATAGCGCATGCATGCTTCTGTTTTTGTCACATGTGGTCGTGATACCTGGGCATACTTGTGCCACATACCACCTCCCATCACAGCACAGGAGTACTGGGCCAAAGAAAAGATGTCTGAATTGTTGCTTTTTTTCGGGTTGGTTTGTGGAGAAAAGATAGAGGACGCCTTCATTGCGCGCATATGGTCCCACCCATTGCATGAGAACACTCAGAGAGTGATGTCAGCACATTATTCCCCCATTAGTATAGAGTCTTTTACGTAATTTAATAGACGTGGATGAAGAGTAGAATGATTTCCCCCACAGACCTCGTGCAATTGTTAATGTCGTTGAGAACGACGAGGAGTGACTCGAGGGCGTGTAACCTTGCCTGATGTATCCGCTGCAGCACCCAACATGGACAGACAGGCTTGCATAAGAACAATGTGATCTGCGTGTATGTGTCTCGATTGTAGTAACTAAGCGCAGTACGAGCAATGTAGCTGCCAGGTCAGCCACTCGACTATGTACATGACCATGGAGGAACCCATCGTTCCACTTGCGCAGCCATACCTCTCCTTGTCATTGCCAAACACGTACCCTCCAATGTCCTCCGCTCGGTAGCTGGTGTTTGTCTAAATATGGTGTCGAGGACATGTGCTGGGCTGAGACGACTCAAGCCTTCTCATGGTCTGCAGACTGAAAGTCCTTGATCTCCGGGAGAGGCGTCGTGTCATCGTCGAGATCGGTCACTGCAGACGACTGCGAGTGGCCGGCATCCTGGACATGCTGCGAGCCTCCAGCGATGGTCTCGACGGCAGTCTGGTTTGAGGGCAGGACAATGCGAGGCACGTTCTGACTAGACGAGAGAATGGGTTCAGGAACGCCGTGGTCAGAGGGGCCCTCGTTCTCGTCATCGCGAGAAGGCTCGATCGCCTGTTTGATCGAAGCGTCGTGGAAGTCGTTCATGGTCTCGCCGGCGGCGCTACTATCATTAGCTTCTTGCCCGAGGAACCGGGGTAAATGTACTTGCGTGGCTCTCTCCATGTCGCGATTGATGGCCTGCTCATCGGTGCGCGCTTTATGTAGCGAAGCCTTTGCAGCGTCGAGCATCTTCTCGATGTTGGCTTTCTGCTCAGACGAGAAGGTGTCCTGGTACTGCTGCTTGACTTCGGTGTAAAGGCGGACGGCCTCTTTCGCGTGCTCGACGTAGTCGTGAGGAGATCCGGCGAGAAGCAGGTGGAGGCCGGCTCGATGGAGGGATCCCAGGCGCGGCTCCATCAGGAGTTCACAGGCGGAAATCTCTGCTTCTTCGGGTCGGCCGTCGGCGTGGATTCTCCAGATCTCGTGGAATCTCCACTCAAACATAGCTGGTAAATATCACTATCAGGGACGAAATCAATGAAGCAATATATGACGTACTGCTGAGGTTGTCGAGTCCTTCTGAAGAGTTTGCCATTGTGATGATCGGTTGTGGTGGTTGGTTCCGGTGAAGCAGAGTTGCGGCAATGAGGTGAGATAGAAGTTGACGAGGAGATGGTGCGGAAGGTGCTGAAGGGTCACGTCGGATCAGACCTCTGAAAACAGCTGCCTGCTCCTGTGGCCTGTGCGAGGTCTTTCAGCCTTTCGGATATGGCATCCACGGACCACGGCACCTACCCAAGGTAGGTAGGTAATGTACTTGCCTATAATTCCCGATCTGCCCGACAAGTACGAGTTCGTCCACCGCGGCAATGCTCAGAATGTCATATCTCGCTACACGAAGGTACCCGTGAACGGCGGAGTGCCAGCTTTCACGATTAGGACTTCCATTAGAGGAAGATGTTCCACTCGGAAACGACAACAGATTGCTCTTTCAAAAGGGAGAACAGCTTCTCCGTCACCGGAGCGTCTCAATATCTATCTACGGAAGGGTCTTGACCAAAGAGTTCTCCAATAAGCTTTGGGCTGGCATGCTGGAGAAATTCGGACGTGCGACCAGAGAGAAGAGCTACGCAGCTGTGTTTCAAGGCCAGACCCTCTTTACGGTTCAGATCATTGAAGTCAACTCCATCATCTACATTTCAGCTTCGAGGCTAGTTGAGAAGATGATTGAGGAACTGAGCACCAATCGCAAGCTGCCTATGATCGTCATCAGGTCTCGCAACCGGGGATGATATGCACGAGGCGTGGTTCAACACAGGAGACATTCGGGAGACATGGACTCGCGGTGCCGATTCTTTTCAAACTGAGGTATAAGACGTAGTACTTGACGCTAGCTGATTAATAGAATTCACTAAGTAATAGATGGGGGTCGATCCAGCTTTAGCCTAACTTGAATTCATGAGATGATATGATAGACGTTAACTGAATTTCCCTGATATTCAGCATTTTTTAATCTTAGGAGCCCCTTATAGGAAACAAATTTTGGCATATTGATATTAGAAGAAGAAGCTTTAATAGAAGTAACTTAGATCTAGTAGCGCTAGTAAGCAAACTTAAAGCTATATATAAGGAAAACATTCCGCTCATAATGATAGGTATAGGCTTGAGAGACTAAACGAGCTATATTTAACTTCTCTAAAAAGTATAGATTGTATGCCTGTGAATGTAGGATGATCTTAGTGAAGGTAGGGTAAATTACTATAGTAATCAAGATCCCAATCGCCCCAAGAGTCACAAGACCACGAGTCAAGATGGCGACTGCAAGACCAACGATGGTAGTCTGCGTAGGCACTCTGAACGTTTGCGAAGCTGTCATCACCATCATTCCCACAAGAATGAGTCACATTACCACCACTTATGAGCCGTGCCTTCCTGAGCTCGTGCAATTCATCCGTCAGCTTTGTTTTCTCCGCAATTGACCATGAAGACAAGATCTCTTGTTCGCGGTGTAGTCGTTCCAGCCAAAGGGACAGGTCTGCTGTCTTCCTTTGCTCTCCGTTGACGCGTATCTCTAGAACTCCAAACCCCCCGAAAAAGTTTTCTGACTCCTCGAAGGGGTCTTCGAAACTTAGAACCATGCGCAGCCATGTCCAGACAAAACAGGCCAACTTCTCCGCGGGGAGGTACTCCGGATTGATCACCTCCGGCTTGGGCCATTGGTCTGGCCATGTCTCTAGACTGAGAAACCGATGTTGAAGAAAGAAGTCCCACATACTGCGATCGTTAATAACGCCGTGCATCGATCCCAGAACCAGATGATCCTCCGCGTTTTCAGGAAGGAGAACGTCGATTACGAGGTTCTGAGCAGAACATGGGCTAGCAGGGGGCCATCCCTCGACGTCTTCCACGACTTTCGGTCCGTATCGGGGCCCATGTCGTAGGAAGGCGAGGATGATCTGGTGGAAAGCAGTCGTCACGCAAGCAGGGGAAATATTTCTAGTCGACTGGTAAATGTCCCCTCGGTAGAAAATATTGTCTCGGCTCCACGAAAATGGGACGTCTTCGGGAGGATCAAAGATCCGAATCTGAACGTAAAGCGTGCTGAAACGCGCCCTGCGGAGGCATGTCGAGGAAAGCCACGTGGGCCACCAGCCGCATTCCTTGACGTACATGATGTCGAGTACGAGATTGGCGTCGTGCTGTTGAAGGAGCGGGAGAACTTCTGCGTGGATCTGTTTGTTGACGAGCAGGAGGCTCGGGAAACCCGTAGGTCGCTCCCTCTCGACGAAAACGGAGGTTTGGTCCTCGTAGAGCTCCATCCCGCCGACGTCTGCGTGGCTCAGTTCGACGCGGTCCAAGCTGGCGGCTGGAGACTCGGGAGCGGGGCGGTCATCGGGGAGAGCGAAGCGGAGGATATCGTCGCGTATTTCGCGCGGCAGGGACAGAAGTGTTGTCATGAGGGGCTGGAAATGCTTCGAAGTACACTCTCGCGGGGTGTTGCAAGTAAATGATAACTTGAGCGGTGGACAGAACAATATGGAATGTCGCTACCGAGGTGAGGTCCTCTGTTGGTGCGAAGGGGAAAAAGCCAATGTTGGGGGACGCCATGAGATTACGGTTTATATTCTGTTGGTTCCTGCTGAGATGACCTACACGCCGGACATGGGCTGATTGCGTGTGAGTCAGAACCAACAGACCAGACAACCACTCAAGGCCTTTCGTCACCTGCCCCACTGCCGCTCACTACCTGAGGTGCAATGATATTTGAAGAAAATTGGACGTGAAAATGAAGATTGAAATGGGGCGTGACATGACTATGAATATCCACCGACAGTGACACAGAGGCTTCCTCCTATTGCTGAAAACATTTTTGGGCGAGACATCCGACATAAAACTTCAGCGCGTGCGACTAGCTTATTCTTGGCGTGCTCTGCCGCCCGCTGGTCGATTGACAGAAGCAATTGATCATACAGGAGATCGTCGTGCAAGCCGGGTGCAAGCCAGTAATGGTGCCCGGGAGCTGGAAATTGTTTCCTGTCAATTTTGTTCTCGCTATTTTTGAGTTGCTCCTCGCTCAAGAGACGGCTGTCCAAGGGGACGATGCCATGATTGCAAGGTGAGTTTGTAGAATTGATGGCCTTGAGTTTGCTGTAAGTCTCCTGGAAGAACTTCTTGTAGCTCTTGAAATGGAAATGCTTGCTCTGAACAGCTTTCATACCCTCGAACAATTACATCTTCTCGAAAATCGGGTCATTATCGATGTGGCTTTCTCTTGGTCACTGAGAGTAGGTACTAAAGAAAGACCTGGATGCCTACGCAGTGTATATGTTGAGCAGTATTATGATAGTGAGGTTTCCAAGTTACTGTGGTATGATTATGTCCCTATCTCTGTCATATACAACTACTCACACGACTACGCGCGTATTAGTACAGTATTCAGTGAACACAGCTCGCAGTTTGTTGCTTTGCGTACCTATGCCATCATCTCATCACTCTCGGGCTGGGTAAAGATTGCCCAACTGATTGTGTCGAAGCTCGGGTTCGATTTCTATCCATTTCTTCGATTCACGTTGCTGTTGCGATCCGTGAGGGTCTATGGACATTCAAGCCAGCCTCTCTATTTATTGGTCGCTGTCTTCATCTGGTGATGCAGAAGAATGCCCAATGATTGAAATCTGCGCAGTATGCATGTTCCGATACTCGCCCGGTGCGGAGCTCTGATCAAAAGACATTGTCTGTGACATTTGTAGGCATCACGACAAGTCTGATATCTGGATTTGGTCACCAGCTGGTGCATTCATTTCGCAGTGAAGAAGACTTTGTGCAACTCGTTTTGCGGATGTGGCCACCAGATGGTGCATTCGTTTCACAGCAATAGTTCGCCCAACTCGCGCTCCTGAAACAGGACAACACCCTCGACATCCAGGACGCCGTCTTTGGCCTGCTAGGCAACGCGGCCGCTAAGGCTGGCGCTAGCAACGTCACTAACCTCGACTACCTAGTCCACGGCCGATTCAGCCTTTACCGCTGCTAAGGCTGCCGGCGACGTCAACGGGCCGTCGAGCGCAACACGGGCTCCGTCGATATCAAGAGCATCGTCTGCGCAGATGTGGCCATTAGATGGTGCATTCGTTCCGCAGCAAGGAAGTATTCGCGCAAGTCCGTCGCAAACGCCTGAAGACTGAAATATAACATGAGAAAGTGGTACTGTCATTCAAATGTGGCCATGTGATCGCTACTTCAGGTAGTTACCCTTTACTACCACATCACCACGTCACGGGGTCCCGCATGTAATTCAGAGTAACCGCAAACGCCGCGCAGGTCGAGTATTGCTCTAAGTTGAAAGAGACTGGAACGCGCTGGGACTTTAGCATTCTGGGGTTGTAGTGCTGTCCCCTAACTATGAAGTTGTGTTGGATTCCGATAGAACAATCTTCGCCTTTAGTAGGGAAGGCCTCGTCCTCCTCCCCGGGCGACACCAGAACGATACCACATCGCGACAACAAATCATTGAGACATCACAAGCCCTAACCCTCCGTGGTGGGGAGGGGACTCACCTTTCTCCTTCCCCTTCGTCCTCTCTGGCGCACTTGGCACTTACTGTACCCGATATACCAGGCGCAACTGGCTCGTCAACTCTGCACCTCTTTTGCCGTCTACATTACGTACCACCTCGCCTCGGCTCTTGCCTCGCACGACCATCGCGATAACTTTCAAGATGGACACTGTCCTGGCTCCTGCAGCACATCATTATCTCGATAACCTTCGAGATGGACAGTGCCTTGCCTCCTGCCTCACACAATTTGGGTCGTTCCTCTGCCCATTTCAGTCTGTAGACACCCGACTGGCATTTGCGAATCGCTTTATTATCTACAACGTCCGCACCTTTCATCTGACCAATATTCGCCCGCGACATCGTCGCTTCCAACTCCGATTTTACTAAGTCCGCACGCAAGTCCTGCCTTCCAACCACTCATCTTGTCTCCTTCCCTCCTCCTCTCTATCTATATCTCCATCTCCATCCACTTTTCTCCTCTTACCCTCTTTCTCCGTTTTTCTGCCCAAACACTCGGCCGAGAGACCACGTACTGACGAAGTAGGTCACATCGGCCCGAAGCTGGTGAGTCGAAGAGCCAAATTTCATCCCAACCCAAACACTTGGTTGGGAGACTAGTCCCTTTCGACTTGGAGCAATACTCAGCCTGTGTGGCGTTTGAGGTTACTCTGGATTACATATGGGACCCCAGGACCAAGAGCAGTACCAGTTTGCATCCATGGGACCACAACGGAAACTACCCACCAACATAAAGTCCCGTAGCTAGAGCAGCCAATGCCAACGAAAGATGTCGGACAGGGTTTTGTTCTAGCTGCCAATCATCGAACACAACAGCAGCGCTCGTTTTTTACAACGTGCTCCATTCTTACTGACGTATGCGGTAAGATGCCTTTTCGATGAAGTTGCATTTTGGGGTTCCGAGAAGTTCAAAATTGCTGCATGAAGTTCGCTTTAGCTACGGATTTCTTTGCTGAATGTTTTAGGCGCCAGCAAAGAAAACAGGCGCGAATTGATGGATCCGAGTCAGAGCTCGGTGTTCATATTCTTGAAAATTGATAGTGTTGATAAAACTTTCGTTGTCAAGATTGTAGTCCGGCCAATGTGGGCTAGGGGCCGGTCGTCAACACCACCGTGACGTATTCACGACCCCGCCATCGGAACCCCGCCGCCGGCAGCACGGACCCGCATCGGGCGACAGTCCCCCGCCACCCCGCCGCGGCACGGCATCCTGTCACCCCCTTGCTTGGTGACTTATTGAACCCGGTCTCCAGAGCTCCGAAGCCTATCCGGGACTTCGACTTCATTTCATCATTAGATTACCAGCCAAGATCGACTCATAGACATTAATTCGTCGCGACGTTCTCCAACCAATTCCGGACTATCAATTTCATCCCTGTCAAACCGCAAAGATGGCCGAACCTACAGCCCGCGACCAGCTGAGCAAGCGCGCGATCCCTTTCATGACGCTCGCAAACGGGCTTGATGGACTTCCAGGAGCTCAAACACGCACGGCATCCGTCACTGATGATGCCATCTCCCGCTTCGCCCTCCCGGGTACGGCAGTCGTCACAGGCGGGACCGGTGCCATTGCCATGTCCGTCGTGAAGGCGATGCTCCAGCACGGTCTCACAGGTCTCATGCTTCTCGACTTGGACGTCACATTAGCCGATGCAGTCAAACAAATCGCCGCTCTGCGCGAAGCATTCCCCGACAGAAAAATCGACGCACTATCCGTTGACGTCACCGACGAAGAGGGCGTCGGAAAGGCGATGGAGCGCGCCGCCGAGACGCTGGGTGGAATCGACTACCTCGTCTGTTTCGCGGGTGTAGTCGGATGCGTACATGCGCTGGAGATGCCTGCCGCGCAGTTCCGGAAGATCTTGGACATCAACACCACGGGCGCGTTCATCTGCGCCCAGGCCGCGGCCAGGATAATGGTCCGTCAGGGGCGCGGGGGCAGGATCGTGTTCACGGCGAGTATCTCGGCGCACCGGGTCAACTTCCCACAGCCGCAGGCGGCGTACAACACGAGCAAGGGGGCTTTGTTGATGCTGAAGAGCAGTCTCGCAGCGGAGTGGGCCGGGTATGGAATCAATGTCAACAGCATCAGTCCTGGATACATGGATACGGTGTTGAACGAGGGCGAGGGACTGTCTGAAGCGAGGAGGATGTGGGCTGAGAGGAACCCAGCCGGGCGCATGGGAATGCCGGAGGAGGTAGCGGGGGTTGTGGTGATGTTGTGCTCGAAGGCTGGAAGCTATTTCAACGGAAGCGATCTGGTTGTTGACGGTGGTGGTGTTGTGTTTTAGGTACAGGCTGATTGAGCGGCAAAGACCAGAGAAAAATGGGTAGATATAGAGGTAGAAACGCAGAAACTAGAGGTGGAATTTCTAGATTTTCTTAGGAGTAATTCATGTGACAATCCATTGTCACGATCATGATTCGGCAGTGGTTATTTGACATTGGTGCAGACTCTCAACCTGCCCGGAAGCAGAAGGGGAATGCGTCCAACCGCCGCAACAGAGAATGAACTGAAATCAGGATAACGGAAGTCATGGAGGTCCTTATTTCTGAATATGCAAACTTATAAGAGGAAATTTCAGGCGTAATTTTAATTATTGCATTAAGTTTGCAATTCTCTAGGCTTGTTGATTGACGTTGGGTGGTTGCTTCCTCTGCTGGTTGATCACACCCCACCATCAAGGTATGAAGCCTAAGAAGCCCTTTCTCCAATACGGTCACTGCACCTTGAGAGCTTTCGATTTTCTTTATTAAATGCAACATCTCGACCTACAAAAAAGAAAGACAGGCATCATTTCTAGTCCAGCTTTGATGCATGACTGCCTGCCAGGTAGAAGCTGTAGAATTGAGCTTGTTCTTTGACCCCCACGTCATCGGCGATAAGACGCACAGATCCCCACCTGTACCTCAGATAAGGCTTATCACGTGCGCTTATCGATACGCTAGGGCAGCAATTCTCGTCTTCCCAGTTGACGTCGCCCTCCCAAATTTTGTTTCAGTCGCTCGTCACCTGCCACTCAACTTTCAACGCGTCAACACCAGGATCCACATCCAAACACGAACGCGCCCAAGATGAGCTCATACAGACCATCGTATCCGCCTCGGAGAGGCAATCGCGACAGTCGCAATTATGGTCGCGATCGCTATGATTCGCGTCCGCATCAGCCGCCGCCACCCGGAGCTGGCGATTCCTGGCGCAACCCGTGGCCAGAGGACCGTGAGTATCGCCGCCGTTCCCGGTCGCCGCCGAGGCATCACGACCATTATGATTCTTACAGAGGAGGTGACGCAGGCCGAAGATCTGGAGGCTTCGATAGCTACAAACCCGACTCGAGACCGCCCCAAGGCGACTTCACCTTCCGCATGGACAAGCCCTCCGGAGTTGGCGACATTGGCGACTCTTATCGCCCAGGCGGAGGTCCAGATTTTGCCCGACGACGCGGAGGACGCGGTCGCGGTGGACCCTTCCGTGGTCGTGGTCGTGGACCGAAGATCATCCCAGCCGAGAGAGAACTCTTGCGCGACCGTAAGGACGGCGTCGATGAGAACCTCGTCAATGACGCTGATGCCGGCATAACATACCGCGACGTCGATGACCTCTCTGACGACGACGAGGCCGAGATGGACATTTCCGACTCGGAAAACGAGTCTGGCGCACCTTCCCACAAGCGCGTCCGCCGTGAGGGTAACGAGGACGACGGCAACAGCGTCCCCAAGTGGTCCAACCCTGATCCGTACACCGCACTTCCCCCACCCGACGCCGATGCGCAGCGCAAGAAAAAGGACATGGTCAAGATGATCCGTAAGGCTCGCGTCGACGAAACCGCCGCCGACAAACTGGCCGCAAGCACCGAGGCGGAAGAGTTCATTTCCTTCGATCTCGACGGCGGTGACGACAGAGAAGAGGAAATCATCCTCCCTCCTTCCCGATCGCCAACTCCTCCCCCACCTCCTCCCCCGCCACCCGCTGCTCCTGCCCTTCCTGCACGTCCAGTTGCTGCGTATCTCGAAGACCCGCCCAGTGGTGTTCTCGACCAAGCCCCTCGCAACAGCATCACGGCTTCGAACAACAGACCAAGCCTGCCTGCAAAGCCTCTCGTGGCCGACAACGCGCTCGGCTCGCGCAAGCGCACCGCTGATGATAACATCAAGCCGCCAACTTATGGCCCGCTGAAGAAGGTGAACAAGATGCCTGTCGGTGGAAACATCTTACCCGAATGGGTTGTCACTAGAAGTGAAGACCCAACTCCCTGGATCAAGACCGACCATTCCAAGACGTCGGAAGCAAGCGTCTGGTGAGTGAAGCGACTACTCCTACGATACTTTGTCTCTAACACTTCTCAGGCTGCATAAGGAAATTATGGACTTCTACGACATGGTTCGGCCACTCGATTTCGAACATGTCATGCGCACGCGGTTGGTTGAGCGTCTTCGCCGAGCAATGGCAAACAGCAGATTTTACAGAGACTGCGACATCGAGCCTTTCGGTTCATACATGTCGGGCCTGTATCTCCCCACGGCCGACATGGATCTGGTCATCTGTGCCGAGAACTGGAGAAACGGTGGACGCTCCGAGTTCTTTGGCATGAAACCGCTGAGACAGTTTGGGAAATTTCTTTCTCAGATGAAGATCACGAATTACAACAGCATGGAGTTCATTGCGGGCGCCAAGGTTCCGCTGGTCAAGTACATTGATAACATCACTGGCTTGAGAGTTGACATCTCGTTCGATCGACTCGATGGACCTCAGGCTATCAAGACCTTTGCCGCATGGAAGGAGCAATTCCCTGCCATGCCCATTCTCGTCACCATGATCAAGCATTTCCTGGCCATGCGCGGCCTCAACGAACCAGTCAACGGAGGCATCGGTAGTTTCACCGTCACGTGCATGGTCGTCAGCATGCTGCAGCTCATGCCCCAAGTCCAGAGCCGAAACCTCGTTCCCGAGCACCACCTCGGCGAGATGCTGATGGAGTTCTTTGATCTCTACGGAAACAGGTTCGACTACTACAACACAGCCATTCGCATGAACCCTCCAGGTTACGTGCACAAGGTATGTACTGCGTCTCCGTCTATCCTGCTCGCCTTCTGACACCAGCTCCAGACCAGAGTCCCCAACGTGGTGTACAAGAATCGGGACCGCATCTCCGTCATCGACCCCAACAACCCCGCCAACGACATCTCCGGCGGCTCTAGCAACGCCAGCCGGATCTTGGAGGAGTTCAGCTACGCTTACCACATGCTGCAGAACAGAATACGCGAATTGTCGCACCCTTCATCCCGCAGCAAACGCGTTCCAAGCATCCTCGAGCCGATCTACGCCGGCAACTACTCTTCGTTCCGCAGCCAGCGCTCTCACCTTCAGAAGCTTCACACCTCCTCAAGATGAAGTAAGATGGACCTGTAGACGACGGCTCGACATATTCCTAGACTGTTCGAACCTGATGGAGTGGGATTGACGACCAAACGGAGGATTATTTTTAGGTTCATGGGTTATTTGCTATACTTATCGCTTACTCGGGCGGCGCCGGACGGCCCCCTTCGGTACGGAGACGGAGTCAGGAAGAGGCGGCTGTTTCTTGCATCGATACCCCCCCACAACCACCTTTCACACCTACGCCTGGGTTCTCATCAGGTTATATTGCTTGCTGCAAGTTTCGCTTGCCTTTTCTCTTTCTCGGAACGAGTTGTATGATAACGGAAGTCGGCGGCATTGATTGACTCTACAGGCCCGGTCTCTCTTGCGCTCCTTGATGCGCGGCCGCCCTCTTCCCGGCAATGGGCCAGCCCTAGTGGGCTTTCTGAATGATTATGGAAACATTAACGAATACTCTCTTTCGAAAAAGCTCCTTGCTAACTGATGCAGTGCTGCCGCTCCAGATGTTCTGGGAGCGGGGGCCCCATCGGGGCGTCCCTCGGGGGACGATGTCCTCTTGTGTTTTGCTGATGACTCGCAGATATCACGCCTTGTAGCTTCTCTGAGGTTTGCACTGGCGTTCGTGGTGAGGCGGTCTTGCTTTCCTTTCGGGGGCTGGATTGATCAATGATTCGCAACTCTGGCAGTGTCCTTCGGGGCGCTGGCGCTTTTCTCACTGCATTCTGTGCCTGGAGCATGGTTGCGGAGAGGAAATGGAGTTGGATTGGTCATTTGTGGGAGCGCGCGGGGGCTGGAGGTCGTCCTCATGGCGGTTGTTGTGGCATCATTGGACTTGATGAGCGCAGGAAAAATCACGAGCAGCGGACAAGTTGCGATTATTGTACAGCCTCGTTACTGACAGCCCTTCATAGCATGACTGTGACCCGACTTACCACGACGGCATCTCGCCAGCAGTCCAGTCACGAGATTGCGAAATGAGCTGACTGTCTGTCCTTGCTCGAGTGCTACTCAGCCCTAGATGCCACTGACGAAGGCCAAGCTGTAGCCGAGACGAGCTGTGCCGCGGGCGCGAGCTCTTGCAGCATCTTGCCTCCTGGTGCGCCGGGCTCCCCTGCTCGACGAGCTTACTTCCCAAAGCGTCGTCGAGCAAGGTAGCTCGGAGCCTTGCGAAGCTACCTTGTCCGGCGTCGCTGAAGCATGGAATCGGCGCGAAGCAGCGCCGAGATCACGGGCGTGAAGGTTGCTTCCGCTTGCAGCTAGATAGAGAGATGGCCCGTTGCCTTGGGACGGTTGGCAGGTACGCATGGTAAGTCAAGTGCTGGCGAGACCATGTCGATGCCACCGTCTGCGTGTTTTGGCAGGGCTACTCTGTACGTCCCGTCCACACCTAACGCGAGGCGACCGTTTGCGTTGGCCGCTGTTGATCCTCGCGGGGTTGAATGTAGCACCGAGTCGGCGCGAAGACGCAGGTGAAGATGGACATTCGAAGCCGGGAGAATACTTGGCGTATGTAACTAAAATTCTCCTCGGGGTAACGTTACAGCGTGGATTCCACCAAACAAAAAACGCCTGGTTGGTCACAGAATCGCAGTCAGTAGAAAGGAATTTGAAGTATGTCGGTCTCTGTGTGAAGGAAGCGAAAGAAAATTCTGTTAGATTAGTTGGTGCTGATCTCGGTGATGCAGCCTGGTCGGTGGTGGTATGGAATGGGGCCTTCTTCGGGTTGTCTGCGGCGTGCCTCGGCAGGATGTCAGGGCTAACGTTTTCTCGGACGTGCGACAGGGGGCTGTAATTGACATTCCGATCCATTACGATGAATGCAAGAATTTTGCAGAATTTTCTTTGCTGTTGGTCATGTCGAGTCTGGGCAGAGAATCAGCAGGTCTGGTGGTTGAATGGTTCTGGCGAGGTAAGCGGTCCATTCAAAGCGAGACCGAGCCAGGGCCCCGGTGCTTTTTTGATGGAGCTCGTTCGAATCTCGACCCCAAAACTCTGTGCGGTGGGTTCGTTCTTAGGTAAAGCGGATGAGCATCGAAGACGACCAATTGTTTAGTATCAGACTGCAGGCAACCGAGGTGCCAATCTTGAGAATACTTGGTGAAGGCTCTATGGGTTTAGTTAGCTCATGCCAAGCACGTCTGTCCATGTCTTCAGGCTGGCACTGGCTGCCTCACTGACTGATGTCGGGCTGGATAAAACCGTCCGTCAAGCACCTTCACAGAAAAGAAATCTTGGCCCGGTGTCCAGGATTGCCCGTCTCGGAGTGGTGGTCCGACATCTGGCCCGCAAAACAAGGACGGGAGCGCAAGCTGGTGGGCCTGCCGGTCGAGCTCGGGAACCATTCCCCCGCAAGGAGCGGGACGCAGGCGTAAGTCCAGTCCAGTGTCGCTAACGCAGGGAGAATGATTAAGCATGATTTGAAGAAGGGGAAACCTGTGCTCTCCTCTTCCTTTCTCTGAGTTCATAAGTTTGCACATTTCGGGACGAACTTGTGCACGACCGTTGGAACATGCTCCTCATTCTCGCGCCAGGGATCACGAGGTATGGCGCGGACCTGTTCTCGGCGGATTGACACTTCGATCTTAGCGGCAGAGGGAAGGATTGTAGTTCTCAATTCGATTCGATCGCGGCAGAGCGGGCGCATGGCTTGCAGGATGGCGTTGTGCAGTAGCTGCGGCACAACGGCGGCGGCAGAGGATTGCCAGTAGTTGGGCGTCCTTGTTGATGCCCTTTTTGGTTGGTGAGAAGAGCGGGAACAGGGCGAAAGGGCAAAAAGATGTCTTGGAGTTGAAGCAAGATGATGCGGGTGGCTGACGGAGGTGACAAATGAGATGTCCGGTGTTAAAACAGCGGAAGCATTTTACGAAGGTAGCAAATTGAAGTTGCAAGGAAGGATTCCTCGTACCTTGGGAATAGACGAGAGGGAGGTCACTGGACTGGATGAGGTGAGGTGAGGTGAGGTGAGGTGAGGTGAGGACGTCCACACAGTGGACGGGGAAGCAGGAGCCATGGGTGGAGCTGGCCTGGGGTTGGTGGATTCGCTGAAAGTGGGGAGGACGTGGATCGGGGAAAGAAGGACTGAGGATGACAACTTCCCTGCTATTGCCTCGTCCTTCAATGTCCCGTGATCTGCAAAATGGAAATAGCGAGCAAGAACAATGTGAGCAGAAGAGCTTTCCATAGGCGAATGCCAAGATGAGACGACACCGACATTCACATGTTCCCAGCACTGGAGGCAAGTAGAGTGGGCTCACGGGGAAGGGCCAATGTCGCCAGCGAGTTCTGGACTCTACCATCTCGTACTTCGACCTGAAGATCCACGCAGCAGTGACCCGTCACTTTTTGTTTTCGTGATGGCGTCTCTCAGGCAACAGACACCTCGCGCGATCCGCTGGACGGCCACGTTACTCAAGGACACGCCGACGGTGGCACGACATGGACATCTGCAACCACCAATAGATCTGAAGACAGACCGCAGAGCCCGTCAAAAGATCTTTTCATCGCCAAGCTTGTTGTCATCGGATCAGTAGCCGAAAGACGAAGGAAAACCACTAGAGCAGAGCAGAAGCATATTGGCAATCGCGGTTGGTGGCGTCAGATGATGACATATCAATCACCGCCTACCAGGGATTGAGACCAACTTTTGGTTTTTCATCTCAGTCTTTCATCTGCACGGTTATTGTCAACCAGCCTGCCAGTCCGTGCAGCCATGAGTTGCCATTCTTCTGGTGGCTGTTGTCGTCGTTTTGCGGGGGAAATCGCCCGCGAAGATTGGTCCGTCGCACGATGGAGCGATGGAGATGGAGGGTGTGCGGGAAGGAGGAGGAGAAGGCGCGAAACCAGTGCCGACCCTGCCTGAGGTGGTCTTGAAGGAGCAGGGGCCAGCGGGGAAAACTGGCGGAAAACAGGCACGCTCGAAGAGGTACGTACCGCAGCACTCAGAGTGCTTGACCTGCGAAGCGGGGCTCACGTTTAACGACCGGTTCTCCCCCAGGTTCATGGCAGACATCAGGCATTTTGAATGCGGAGGTAAGTACACTTTTCGAGTGCGCCCTTGTCAGCATTTGGAGACAATATTCACTGACAGAAGACAGGCAAACGAAACCGCACTTGTTTACAGAAACACCCTGTTCATGGTTCGAACCATTGACACGAGCACAGCATGAGACATCGACATCCTTGAGACAAGGCGGCCAACACCGCCCTGACGGCTTTGAATCTGGCCGACCTTTCTCGTTCTCGCTGCAATGTCGCCGCAAGCTCACGCATATGCTTACCCTCATCCTCGTCCCCGTTCCCGTTGGCTTGTAGCATCGCCAACCGTCCCATCTCTTCAACCACTCACAGCCCACAATCTGTGACTCCTTTGCTGCTCTTCTCCGCATTTTGCCCTCACACCCAATCCCAACCCCGGGATCAACAGCTGGATGGCACATTGGGGGAAGTACTACATAGTAAGGGAGCTCCTGATTCCCCACGAAGATGTCTGCCTCGACGCCCTAGACCCTCCATGAGTCCTTCTCCAAAAAGTACCAAAGAAACTTCCAATAATACCATGTTGGTCCTACTCGACGGCTGGCATATGCTCCAATCTTGACGTACCGTATCGCTACCAACGTCTCGCCCGACCCCAAGGATTGATCATCACCCTCCGCCTCCTCCACACCTGCTTCCACCCTTGACCGATCATATACCACGGGACGGGCAATCCTCCACATTAACCTTGTCAACCCCATGCGCCAACCTTTTTGAATTCGGTCCGTCCAATCCATCAGCCAGGGTCTCAACATGCCCGACTTCGTCCAGCCCAATGTCAGTCGACGCCGCATCCTGGTGCGACGGGGGCGTGTGTCGTTCCCACGTTGTGACTCGGAGGACATTACATGAGACAACCGCGACGGCGGCCCCCGAAAACCGAACAATCTGCACACTCCCGTCCCAGCCCTGCTTCTGGCCCGTTGATTTAAGTTTCTGCCGCGCCCACCTGCGAGCTCGGTTATTGAGACCTCTACTGCTCTCACCTACCATCGCAGCCCGTCTGTCTTGAACTTCACCACAGTTGAACACATTCCAACATACAATCGCCGCGCGCGATCGCGAACATGTGGCAGTTTACAAGTGTCTACGCCATTTGTGGCTTTGCCGCCATCGGTATAACCTCCAACTCTATCTGGAATCGCTCCGATTTCTAACAACTCTCAGGCGGCGGTCTCTTCGGCTTCGATATCAGTTCCATGAGTGGTGTTCTCGGAACCCAAGCCTATAAGCAGTATTTCAATAATCCCACAGAGTATCGTCAGGCGAGTAGCCTCCTTTTAGCTACTACGTTTTATTTCAGGACTATTTACTGACTATATGTTTAGGGTGGTATCACAGCTGCTATGCCAGCTGGTTCTCTTGCTGGCTCCCTCGTATCGTCCTTCATTGCCGACAAGTACTCCCGCAAAATCGCCCTCCAGTTCTCCTGCCTGTTGTGGACCTTGGGTGCTATCCTACAATGCGCGTCCGTCAACGTTGGTATGCTCTGCGCGGGCCGTGTCATCGCCGGAATGTGTGTCGGAATCGCATCTTCCATCGTCCCCGTCTACCAGTCCGAGATCGCGCCCAAGGAGATTCGCGGCCGTGTTGTCTCGCTCCAGCAGTGGGCTATTACCTGGGGTATTCTGATCCAGTACTTCATTCAGTACGGCGCTGCCGAGGGCATCGATGGCGGGCCCACCGACGAGAACCAGTCTACCGCCGCCTTCCGAATCCCGTGGGGTGTCCAGATCGTTCCCGCCGTCGTCTTGTTCTTCGGACTCTTCTTCTGCCCCTACAGCCCCCGTTGGCTCGCCGCACACGACCGCTGGGATGAGGCGATCAAGGTTTTGGCCTCCCTCCACGGTGGCGGCGACGTGAACCACCCGAAGGTTCTTGCCCAGTATCAAGAAATCGAGGAGGCTCTCCGATTCGAGCGCGAAGAGAAGATCAACAGCTTCAAGGCTCTCATCGCGCCCCGCATGTACAAGCGTGTGCTCTTGGGTATGAGCATTCAGATGTGGTCTCAGTTGAGTGGCATGAACATCATGATGTGTAAGTGGTCGGGATCCGAGAGAACATGTAAAATGAGGCAAGCTGACATCGAGCAGACTATATAGGCACGTAACCTCCCTTTGCATGATACGAGTTTTTTTTCGGTTTTTTTTTTTTCGGTTTTTTTTTCATGCTCGCGATGTCCTCACTTCTTCTGCAACCTCCTTTCAGCTACGATAATACCGAACTATCTACTAACTAAAGAGCAAGTCTATATCATGCAAGGGGCCGGATTAGGTAATCCTCTCATGACGGCCTCAATCCAGTACATCATCAACGTCGTCCTCACCCTACCGGCCATCCTCTTCATGGACAGGATCGGACGTCGCCCGCTACTTGTTGGTGGAGCCTTCATGATGATGACCTGGCTCTTCATCTCTGGCGCCCTTCAACAGTACTATGGCGAGGCAAACGTTGGCGACCTCGTCACCAAAGAGAACGAGTCCGTATCCTGGATCATCAACGGCAACAATTCCGTCTCCGCCGCCGTCGTTTCCTGCTCTTACCTCTTCGTTGCGACGTTTGCCACAACCTGGGGCCCCGTCTCGTGGACGTACCCCGCCGAGATCTTCCCGAGCAAGATTCGTGCCAAGGCCGTCTCTCTGGCCACCTCGACCAACTGGTTCTGGAACATGGTCCTCGCCTTCGCCGTTCCCCCTCTCCTTTGGAACATTGTAAGTTGAATCGAGATGCGGCTTCTTCGCGTTTCGTCAGGGTGCTGACTGCGTCGATACAGAACTACAAGATGTACTACATCTTCGCCACCTTCAACGCCTGCGCCTTCCTCCACACCGCCTTCTTCGCCCCCGAGACCAAGGGCTTCACCCTCGAGGAGATGGACGACGTCTTCAACTCCGGCCTCCCCGCGTGGAAGACCCACCAGAAGAAGTCCCGTCTCGACGAGCTCGAGAACGAGATCGCCACCGGAAACCTCAAGGTCGGCCGCCCCGTCGCCGTCACCGATGAGGAGGCCGTTCACGAGCCCAAGAAGGAGACCAGCGCTATCTAAGGCCACGTTTTCGCCTGATTACAATCTATATAATTCAAGAAGAGAAGGAGGGTTGTCTGAAGACTATGAGGAAGAGGAAGGGATTGAGAATTGATGACGAAATTCACGAGGTGGATGATTTCACAAAGATACCACAGTTTAATGCTCAAAGCGGTTTGAGTCTCGCTCATTTTTTTCAAGAGAATACTTTAATCTGTACCGTACGAATAGCTTGTGGTGATTGCTCGTGAGTGAAAGATCTTGAACCAACATTACTCGACGTCTGGCGGCACGTTCGCCTTCAGCATCGTTTCTTATGAGGGGATGTTCCTAACAGAGCTACTCAAATGCTTCTTGTCAATATGAATATTCTGATCTTCCCGGGTGTTACAATGGTAATCGCTGTTGCTTCTAAATTGTTGTGTAGGTGCTAAGTTGGAAGAGAAATCTTGCGCCCATTGCGGGTCTGTCGGTCACGAGTTTCGCGCAAACGCAGTTGTTGAGGCGGTCGGCCCTTGCGGTACATAAGTGAGACTACATTCTCCAAACAAAGTCCCCGCCTGGACAGATGAGCTCTTCGCGGCAAGTCTCACAACTAAGAGTAAGGTCTTATCCACCCTAGATGCCGGTCTCGAGGAGTTCTGCTTGCGCGTGGCTAGTTGTTACCGACAGACGACAGACCCGGCTTCAGCGCGGCTTGAGCGTGTTTTTCAGAGTCTTCAGGTTATTCTTAATCACATACGTCAATGTTGTGATGAGAAAAGTTGTTCTAAATGGAGGCGTGGACTTTTCTTGAGGGGAAATTCTGCGGGGACCAAAGATCTGTCAAGACTTAAGCCGCCCCCCGTATATTGCCGGGATCTCGGAACCATCCAACGACATGTTCTCCTCAGTTCTCTGAGAAATAATAATAACGTTTATGTACTTCCGTAGCAAAAGGAGATGATGTCCAGGGCCTAGGAGGAGGAGGAGGAGGTTGTGGCTTTTGGTATATATCCAACATCCGCGACCTAAACTTCCAGTTCTCTAAAATGCTTACCCTTGGAGGTATCTCTGCAACTTCAGAGCTCAGTGGCATCTGTTATTACATGGTTGCAAAGAAGAGATTGGTCGCAATTGATCAGGAAATGAGAAGAGGGATGAACCACATCGTGTACTCTGCTTCGGTCCCGTCTTGGGTCTTTGTCCCAATCTTATTCCAGGTAGACTACACGATGGATGAGGAACTCACAGTGTTCTGGGAAGCAAAGGACGCAGGTTGACAGCACTGAGAGTGGAGCTTCTGTATGAAACAAACCCTGTTGCTGGACGGCTGGAAACGAACTATGTGGAAATGCGTCCGAACAGGCCTTTGGGCAAAGAAGCAATTCGAAAGGAGTCTCGGTACATCTTCTTTAAATAGAAGATGTAAAGAAGACTGAATACGAGATTATTGAGAGTAGTTGGGTTTCTGATGATGAGAAAGAGTGGATCGCTCCGGCGAATTGGGCGCTGGAGTGTATCGGACATTCCCTGCATGGCGAATGCCATGTCTTTATATTTAAGGTACTTACAATCCGTACTTCACCTCAGTTTCGAATCAGAGACAGCCGACCCTCAGGGAGTGCAATGACCCTCTGCGATGAACCTGTATCGACTATCGTTGAAACAAAGTCTAGAGTCCAGACAGATACCAACACGTAGGTGGACGCTCATTCTCATGAGTAAGCCTTAATAAGTGTGCTGTTCCAGTCGACATTGCCCGCCCTTTATGACCTGAAGTATAATCGCCAAAGGCAGAAGCAACTCAACTGGCAGTTTTAGGAATTCGCGATGGATGCTTCTGAACTACCTATCTATGAAGACAATGACATAGTCGCATATTTTCATCTGCAGTTCTTGAACATGGTCTCTGGGAAAAGGTCATAAGTAGCCTCCAACTCTGCATCTCAGCTGCTACTGCAGACTTGATCACTTGAATTGAATGAGATATTGGGCAAAATCCTGCTCATGCGAAAACTCAAATCAAGCAGTGAGGCGGGCACTATTAGACGTCTTGATCATGTGGTATTCAACACCTCAACCAGGCCAAAGAAACCCATTTGCCGTCTGCTTAATTTCAGCAGTAAATATGTAAAGGACCAAAGAGATGAAGAAATAGTGAGTTGAAGCACGAATGCCGAAAAAGGCAAGGTGGATACAAGCATCGCAGTCTTCTTCGGAATAGACGCGAGCCAGACGGCGCCGGTCCCTGACCGCCGCCGTTAGGTCTCACTGCTTATTTCTCGCCAGGGGTTCTGCCAAGCCGATATTGAGAGAGCTTTAGGCTAGATGAGGCTACGGCTCACATCTTCATATCCGCATAGGCAACGCTATTTCGCAGTGAAGAAATCGAAGATAATAGTCTCAACTTGGGGGAAACGACCGCGGCCAAGCTCCATTATGAGGCGGGACGGCGGTGTTTTAGCTGCTGCCTGATATCTTACAATGGAGAAGAGTGCTAAAAAAGCAACGGCTTGTAGAGAAGCGAGAAGCGAGAACCCGCTCCCCGTCGATCTTGGCGCCATCTGGCAAATGAGCACTTCCAAATGAAGGCTAGTCCCTAACACCGGGGCCCGGAGCCAAGAAGAAGGCAAGGCTGATTCTGGACAGGTTAAGCTCTTTTCGACTCCTCTCTGAATGACGCCAGACCTTCTTTTCGTGGGTTTGTTTCATGGACGTCAACGCTGTGAAGCCTGCGCGTGCCCCTGGGAGACACAGACGCCTTTTGGCTGACATGCATGGTGGATGGATCTGGAGTCTTCAAGAGCTTTAGCTGCGGTCGCGATGCTGTCATTGGCCACATGGACCACGAGCTTGTTTGCCGTGGTGGAGTTGGAGGATTCGGGGACTTGTCGTGGCGCAGGGGTGCGGCTCTCCATCATATCGTCGATGCTGGGAAGACGGACCCAGAACGCATTGTGGCTGCCTAGTGCCCGCGACCTGCGGGAGTTTGTGTCCTTTAAACTGGACTTTGCATCCGTTTTCGCGGCTGCATTTCATCTCGAGTTCATCCAACAAACGCTTTGCTCTTTGACTCTATCGCATCTCGAAAACCAACCCGCAGCTGAGGACTTCGATACACACCTCAATCCAACCCCACACTTGACAACGGCTTCCAGTCATACCGCAACATGTCTTCATCATACGGCCATTCGCCGGCCAACAACTATAGCCAAACACCCAACAGCGATGGCTCATACGTCGAGAGCGGTCTACACCCAGTTGAACAACCCGAAAAGATCCTGAACGGATCTCACTACGTTCCATATGACCAGTACAAGCCAGTACCACTGTCAGCGGATCAAGGATATATCGCTCCGATAGCAACGCCCCGACCTTCAAAGAAGAGGATATGCGGCATCAGCAGTGTTACTTTCATCCTTCTATGCTTGCTAGGGTTCTTTGTCGCGGTTCTTGTTGTGGTTGCGGGAGTATTTGGAAGCATGTTGGCAAAGCAGTCGGGAGAGATTCTTGATCTCAAGAGCGCATCACCCACAAAGTAGGACCACCACCCTCCATTGTGACTAGAAACATACGGATCCCTGACTGACATATTGCCCCAGAACAACTGAAACCGATGCGAATGGCACAACGACGTCCGGTGCTCCTGCTGCGACGACAACGTGGGTCGAGGTCAGCGACTGGGAGTTCATCGGATGTTGGGAGGATGGCGATGAGCGCGTTTTCCCGGACAAGTACCAGCACATCGAAAACCAGACGAATCGACTCTGCGCATCGGCGTGCGATGGCTACGATTACTTCGGTACCCAATATGGAGATCAATGCTATTGTTCCAAGACAGCGCCCAAGACGGTTGCGCCGCCATGGAACTGCGACATGCATTGCGCCGGTGCACCAAACTCAGAAATCTGCGGGGGATACTACTTCTTGAGTGCTTGGAAGAAGAAGTAGATGCCGAGAGTTCAGAGATTGGGAGGATGGAGAGAAACGAGGTGGCAGGCAGCTGGACCACCGTTGGTGGCAAAAGGTTTGCTTTCGACATAGCTTGGAGTTGGGGATTTTTGTATCATACCCGGATTGTATACCCTCTGGCAAGGACGCCTTCGAATAGAATTGGAATTATCGATTCGAGGCAATGGTCTTTGAGAGAAATACGTGAAGAAAGAGCAAAGCAGGTCCTCTGGGGGCTCTTGAGCGAGGACAGCCTCGCATCTGTCAACATCCAGAGATGGATTCACCGGAACATGGCCGGTTGGCCCAATGGCAAGGCGTCTGACTACGATTAATCGTGAAATCAGGAGATTCTGGGTTCGACCCCCAGGCTGGTCATATTTTTGATCTCATTGACTATTTTTGGTGTGAGAAGAATTTGCTGCGTGCGGGCCTGACCTAAACGGGTCCCGGGGCCAAGGCCCACTCCTCGGCCCGGGATGGCTTGTTATTGCCCGTTGTTATTGTTAGGAAATAGATGTATAGGTAGAAAATATGAGACTGATTGCAAGATGTGAAGCTTGGAGAGATCGATTACTTTCTGTCATTATGTTTCCCCTGTGCCTTGACATCGACGCTGTTGTTTTATTATATGCCAACTAACGGATTGCCTATCTCTTAGTTCTTAGCCCTTGAAGCAGTCCTTGTGTTGTACACAGCCTATAGATCCGCCAACATAAACATAACATGAATATCAGAAGAATTTCTTCAATTAGTCATTCTAGCATGCGTGTGTGGTGACTCAAAATCTATTTCGGACGAACAGGTAACTGTTCAAGATGTCCGCGGGCATCTGCCGGTGACACGGCCCCACAAATCCGGCATGGGCCACTGGAAAAAATGAACACGAAAAGAGTACGTACCGAATTCGTCTGACGAGCTTCGTCAGATGCATCAGCAGCAGGCAGATGAAATCCGCTTCTACCCACGAACACCTCACCTGGCGAGGAGCCATGTCCTCCAATCCTGTGCTGCCCACATCGGCGCCGATCTCCGAAGATCTCACTCTAATCATCACGACATCGCCAACACCATCGGCGCCGTCAACAGAGCTCCTCAGCGCCGTTTTCGACTCTTTCCGTCTCCACTGTGACAGCCTGCTATCTTGCCAAATCATTGTCGTTTTCGACACTTACGAGCGCATAGCAGCAGTGCCCAGATTGAAGAAGGGCCAAGTCACAGAGGAAGGTGCGAAGGATTTCGAAGCTTACAAGCAGAACGTCAAAGAACTTGTCCTCGACGCCTACGGACTCGAAAATGATGCGGATTTGATGCAGGAACAAGGGGAGGCAGAATACGGCTATACTGGGCGGACAGCTGCTTCTAATATCGCGTCATACACTGTCAGTCGGACAGGTGATGGCAAAGTTGCCTTCGTGGAGCCTGCGGAAAGACTCGGCTTCGGCCTTGCCGTACGGACAGCTCTCAGAATGACCACGACACCATACGTCTGGGTCCATCAACACGACTGGACACTCGTGGCAGAAATACCCGTGACAGCCATGTTGGAAGTCATGAAGGCTGCCGACGACGACGAAGAGGCGCCGGTGAAGTACGTCTGTCTTGCGTCGGTGCGGATGCTGGAGTATGCCGGCTCGGCTCACGCTCACGATAATCCGACTCTGAGGGCCCTGACGACTAAGCTGAAACGGGACTTCGAGACTTCTTCAGATCCAAAGACAAAAGTGCCGCTGACGCCAATGTTCTTCTGGCACGACAAACCACACATCGCTTCAACGGCGCATTACCTTACGAGGGTGTTCCCTACAAGACTAGCGATCTCGAGAGGCGCCTTTATCGAGGACACGGTTGGACACAGGGCGAGGACCCAGATGAAAGAGCAAGGAATGTGGGCGAAATGGGCTTGTTGGCTTTATTACCCTAATGATGGAAAGATTCTATGTCTGAGGCATCTGGATGGAAGAAAGTGGAGTGGTGCTGAAGGGGAAGAGATAAAGAAAGTGGCTTATCAAGAGGCCAATAAGTTGAAAAGAAAGAAGTCGGACTGACTTGGTAAATATTTTAGACTATGTTTTGGATGCAACTGAGGCAACTGAGTTCTTTCCGACTTCATGTTGAGTAATTTTAGGTCGGTCTAGAACCTTACAATACAGACCGTAAAGATGGCAGGTGTTCCCGATCCTTGGCATTGGAATTCGTGCCATGCAAGAGTCGCATGGTTCTGGGGGTCTTAACGTTGCATGATATGCAGCATCTTGCCATCGCCACGTCAGCCCTCAGCCCCAGCCCTAAGCCGGACGACATATGTCAATCTGGAGTAAGCAGCTTATCTGTGTCAGCTGATCTGCGGGGAGGAGTGAGGAGTTAATCGGGAAGGCGGACAGTCCCGCCCCTAGGGAAGTTCAGCTACTTTATCCGGGTGGAATCAAAGTCGAGGGAAGTGGCGGAGGCGAGAAGGGTGTTGTGACGCAGCCAAGCTTCCTGTGCAAGGTAAAGACCACACAAAAGGTCCATCACTACAGGCTTTTGAACGCTAAGGCACTGAACTATCGAAGGTCTCGAAACTCCAAACCTTGTTCAGCAAGTCTTTGCATACCCGACGGGCGAGGACTAAAGTCCCATCTATAGCTTCCTCCAATGGTTGCCAAGTCTAAACTGGCGGACGAATCAAGGTGCCCCCGTAAGAAGAGTTACAATCGGGCAAAGCTTATGCCAGTTTAAGACTTGCGATCCTGCGCAACTATATCCGCCCATTAGAACACAAATCATGTACACCTTCTCCATTAGGTATAGGTGTGCGTATGGGTCTCACTGCGGCTGTGAGGCGCAACTACGAAGGCGCCAAAAGTCCCTATTCCTTCAGGATGGAGTCGTCCCAGTCAATACACATGGAGATTCACAGAACAAAAAATAACAAGCCAATCATTGAGTACTTCTGGGAACTCGGGCGGCAAATTCAGAACGCAGTGACGTGCGATATGCCCGGAAGAGGAAGCTCGACAGCTGATAAGTCGATCAACAGAAGAGATGACTGACCAAAGGCAGTGTTTCCGCGGACGATAGTGCATGGAAGGCGTTTTAAGTTCATTCTCCCTTCTTGGCATTATTCAAACATAAATAGAGTCTCCTCGCTGTTGCCATCTTCTCAACTGATCACGACATTGCTCGCATCACCAACACCCAAACCACCAGACCCAACAACAAACCTACGACATCCTCAAAACGATTACCAACATGAAGTTCTCCATCCTCGCTCTTACCGCCGCCCTGGCCCTGGTCACTGCCGCCCCAGGCGAGCTCGTCGCCAGACAATGCTCTTGCAAGAAGGTCGGAGATGAATGGATCTGCAGCGGCAGACTGTGCCCCAAGGACTTCACCATGGAACCGGAAATGGTTAAGAGAGGTGCGGAGCTCGTTGCCAGACAGTGCTCTTGCAAGAAGGTCGGCGGCGAGTGGATTTGCAGTGGCCGACTGTGTCCCAAGGACCTGATGATGGAGCCCACAGTCAAGAGAGATGGTGAGCTTGTCGCTAGGCAATGTTCTTGCAAGAAGATTGGCGATGACTGGCTCTGCACCGGGCCTAGATGTCCCAGGGAGTGTCCCGAGTGCTAGATACACAACATTGAACTCGTAAGTTGCTGGAAGAGAGATTGTTGTTGCGTGAGCTAATCTGTTGATAGCTAGAAGGAGACCTAGCCTGCGATATTGTCTGTAAAGCTGGAGAGTGTTACGACATGATGAAAGTCGTTGTATGTTGCCAAGGAAATAAGTAGGCGATGTTCTTGCTGGGCTTTCCCGATGGATTCGTGCAATGTCAACTCTGTAGAAACAACCATGCCTTAAGGCTTCGAGACATAAATAACCTTATGGCTCCATGAAAATTCTCGCGTCGTGTTCGCTTGAGATTTTAACTTAACCTTCTGTTAGCAGACTCTCAGAAGTTCAGCCTGCACCGTTGCGACGATCATGTTTAATAGAGTTCCTTTACCTTTTGTAGCAGCCGTGTGCTTAATCCGGGTGTGTCTGCAATCGCGATGAGCGTTAAAAGGTCATAATACAAGACGCAATTGCGTGTAAGTGAAACCCAAGGGGCTATACAGCGTCGTTTAAGCCATAGCTATAGCCCCAGTCTTTGTAAACCAAGTAACTCTGCTGATTTAAGGTGTGCGGCGTCTACTACTGGTTGGGCAAGGGAATTACAATTGTTGGCAGCTCAGAGAAGTATTCAAGACACCAAACTTCTGCACTTCGGAGAACACAGTTCTTCCTACCGACGCGAAATACTGTTTGAGATTACGCATGTGAAAGGTTAACATACATCTTCTCCTGGCAGCGCGAACTCGAAGCTGGGAAGTGTGGATCCTGGTTTCGAAGAGAACTGAGAAAAGAACTGACTAATGTTGGGGCGAGCACATTTACCGTTTTCCATGGACAGGGAAATCATTCAGGAAACCGAAACCGAAGGGATGAATAATTAGCAGACAGAATCAATAATCTCCTGACCGATTGACGCCCTTCTCATGGCTTCGATTGGCCATAAGACAACTTCAGGAACATGATGCCTGATGTCTCAGATCCGGACTCGCTGCTTTAAAGGCCGACTCGCCGGACCACATGGGCAATCCACATCACGTACAGGCGTCCGACCGGGCAAACGGACGTGTAAAGCACCGAGCTCCGACTTGAGACCCTGCATTTTGAGATTTGAGCCCACATCTGGAATTGCAGTGGTGGATCTGGGGTTGCGCGAGTCGATGACGTTCACGCGGTAGTGGCGTTAGGGCCGATGCAAGTGGCGGGGCCCGAGTCCATGACGGGGTCTGCGTTTCAAAGCACCGGCCTTCTAGTCGGTCAAGAAGTTCGGCGCGGACATTTTTCAACTCTAACTTGTCCGACAGTTGGTATGCTATTGTCCAATTTGTCCGGATCTCAACCGGAGAACGGCTGGTCCGTGGACAACATATCTTGACAAGGTTTAATAAATCCATATGCCATTACTCCTGACTACATGTGAAGAAGAAAGCTTGAAATGTGTATGAAAACCCATCTAGTCGAAAAGCTGAACTCAAGAACTGCAACTCAATAAGCAACAACCACTCAAAATGCCATCAAATCCCACTTCTTCAAAGAGAACCATCGCCATATTCGGCGCAACCGGCGGCACGGGCAGCGAAACTCTCAAGTCTTTGCTTGCAAACCCCTCGAACCCCTTTCACATCAAGGTTTACGTCAGGTCAAAGGCCAAGCTCCTTTCACTGTTTCCCTCTTTCAAGACAGAGGACAGGGTGGAAATCATCGAAGGCCAGGTCACCGACGTCTCCCGCGTGAAGGAGTTTCTGGACGGCGCAGACACGATCGTCTGCGCGCTCGGCGAAAACGACAACAGGCCCGGGGTTCGCGTATTGACAGACGCGTCTCGCACCATTGCGACTGCTCTGGAACAGCTTAAGAATGAGGCGGAGGCGTCGGCATGGACCAAGCCCCGGTTGCTACTGCTGTCGTCGTCGACGTGGAACAAGAATGGAAGTAAGCAGCAGCCGGCCCTGGTGCTGTTCCTCGTGAAGAGAGCATTCTACTACCCGTACGCGGACCTGCTTAATGCGCACGAGACGTTCCAGAAAGGGGAGAGAGAGGGCCTCTTATCACTGGTGTTGGTGCAGCCACCGGCTATCATCGACGAGGAGGGCAGCGGGCACTACATCGGCGTCGAGTCGCCCATGATGACAGTGTCGTACCCGGATCTGGGTGCGGGCTTTGCGGAGTTGGCAATAGATGAGCGGTATAAGGACCTGAAAGAAGTAATGGTATGGTCTGAAAGGGCGAAAGAGGGTTTCCCGCGGTACGGGCCGGAAGTCTTGCAACGACTAGTCAGGGGCTTACTGGCAAGCTATGTGCCCGGGTTCTGGAGGATTAATGGCATGATCAACAGACTTTTGGGCTGAGAAGGGGCTGAGAAAGGTGATTACGCGTTAGGGATGTTATCTTGGTGTTATTTTCTGATGATTGCCTCACATGTAGTCATACACATTATCCAAGCTTCTTATTTTCAACGGGTATCTCATCCCTACGTCGTGGTACGCGACACTGTTTCAGACACGCTGAACTGTCAGCGCTCCCTTCAAGATAGAGCTGGCGAGACCACGCTCAGGCTTCGTTCTTCGCGAAGCTGCCAAAGACGCGGCATCATTGTTTCGCAACGCTTCAGCTCGTTCATTTTCCGGCAAGTCGATGGATTCTAGTTCGCGAACTTTCCAAATGCGAAGGGACCAGACTGCCTCTGGTGAGTGAAATGCTCCGAGCTCAATTCATGACGGTGAAACTTACGTGATGCGAAAGCTGCGATATACATGAAGCCTACGAAAATCTCCACGTTAAGATAGGCATCGATGCCTGAGCCTTTGATGCTTAAAGCGATTGGCTCTGCGAAGGTCGCTGGAAGAACGAGGACCATCCAAAAGATAGATAGGGCTGAACAGAAGTTAGCGGCCGATGGCCACTCAGACGACAGGAGCAACAACTTACCTGAAGGAAGAAGCTGGATTCCAACCACTTCGGCGCCGACGGGTGTGACTGTAGCCCAGATGCAGCCAGCGAATGCTCCAAACAGAGCGTAGACGATGGTACCCGCAAAATACTTCCCGGCAAAGATCCAAACGAAGAAAGTCGCAAGCCCAGCCACGAGGGTGCCGAGTCCAGCAACATTGATGCGCCCGACGCGATCGCTGATGAGGCCGATGATGGGTCGCCCGATACCCTGGGACACTACATCTGGTCAGTATCCTGTGAGCCATGGCGGCTGAGAATGAGACTCACGTTGAAACATCGCAGAAGCAATCGAACCCTGGCTAGCGCTGAACCCGACCGTCTCAGCAAAGTCCGCCAAGGAGAAAACGACAATGACGTATGCGAATAGCGAGAAGAAGCCCCATGACATGAAGAGCCAGAACTCGGTCCTCTGGAACAGGTCTTTATGAAAGGCGAGGTGGACGCTGCCGAGAGCCTTATTGCGGTCCCGCATGAGAACGCAGCATATGCCGTTGACCACGAAAGACAGAATGGCGAGGATGCGGAACGCCCACGGCAGGCCGATGTTGTGAATCATGGCCGTCGATGCAAGGGAGTAGATCAGACCTCCCAGGCCGGACCCGGCACTACCAATCGCTGAGGCGAAGGAGCGACGTACGACGAACCATTGAGGGATCACGCCAACGGTGGCGTTGAAGGTGAATCCCATGCCGACGCCGAAGCCGATGCCCTGAGACAAGAGGAGATGCCATATTTGCGTCGTGAAGGAAGCGCCAATGAGGGCGGCACTGGGTGTGCGTCAGGACTATCAATCAAAGGCGAGCGAACTGGGTCAGGCTTACGATTGAACGGTAACGCCGATGGCGACAGTTGGTCTCGTCCCGATGCGGGGGATGAACCAGGTGACGATCGGGGCGACCAGGAGGGCTGGGGGCCGGTTGTCAGCATGCGGCTCGGCACGGAGGCGGGGAACGCGGTGTAAGACTCACCGACGGAGAAAGAGAGCCCGCCGACGAAGGCCAGAGTGATGGGGTTTGCGCCGGGGAACGCCCCCGAGTTGAGGTAATAGGCGAGAAAGACGGCATACGACTGTAAATTGTGAGACTTGTTGGAATCCGAATGAGAGAGCGAAAGTGTGACTCACCGAGTTCAAGCCCCAAGTGTGAGCGTTGATGAGAAAGACACAAGCGACGACGACCCTTTTCTTCAGGTTAGCAGGCGCCAACGAGAGACGTCTTATACCATCGAGACGCACCATCCGTAGCCGCCCTCCTTGAACTCTACCTCATCACTCGTTCGAGGGCTGCTGGCTGGGCTGGTCGGCGAGGTAGTGTCATGATGCTTCTCATTCTCCTCTGCTCTGGGAACATTGTCAGGCATCCGTACCACGCCGCCGTGGTTGTCCTGTTGACTTGGGGGATCAGTTTGAGAAGGCATACCGGGCAACGATAGAACCCAACGTGTCAGCCAGCTTTCTCCTGTCGCTCGAGAATTGCAGTTGACAAGTTCGAAGGCAGATTGCAGGCTGCGTCAATTTGAAATTGACCCTCCGGGTATTGGTGACAAAGCAAAGACGAGCATCGGCATACCGTATACAGTATGATCGCGGGGAATCAATTTTTACGAGGCGATTTTCCGAATTTCGATACCATGTCAATTTCCCGACCCGAGGCGTTGCGAGGCGCGTTTGGTTTTTGTTTGCGTCTCCCCGGGAATGATGTGGAGACAACCTCGGAGCGACCCCTGGAAAGACGCGAGATGACACTGACGGAAGTTTAAAGTCTTAACCGGATACAGACGAAGCCGGAAGATGTGTAATGGATTCCTGTCATTGGTCTCATGACGCGGAGAGAATGCTGGGCGACCCGTTCGGCCAGTTGGTTCTGGACCGGAGGGTTTTTGGTTTTAGTTGCGTGGGATCCTTGCGTCAAACACGCTGAATACGCCTGCTTTCCCTTGATGGCTTATTGTCCCTTTGAATTGTTGTTGGTTGAAGGATTTAGTTAAAAATCATAAAACAGGGTTGTTTTCTCCCAAATCATCCATGAAATCCTGTCACGTAAACTTTGACACGCTCCGAAGCACAAGAGCGACAAGAGTAGATCTTTGCGCTTGCGGTAATCTCGCCGTCTTCCCGGCCGGTTTCGGCGCAGAACAACAAGAGACGACCGGGTCCCGGCCCGGGCGCTCGGATCGCTTTTCCGGCTCGGCGATAAGATATGATTTCGGAGTTGTGTTCACGCTCTTCACAGTTCCTGCATTATTCACAAAGCTGAGAGTTTTTTGAAGTCATTTTTAGTTGATCGGGGGTATTTAAGATATAGAATCAATTGCGTATGATCGGGCATCTGGATTATGAAATATGTTATAAGCTATCGTACCTTTGTCTATTCAACGGAGATAGTTGAAGACGACGCTGTCAAGCCTGACGATACTTGCAACTCTTCCATATAAGAAGTCAAACGAGACCAACACCTTGTCCGCATCAGGCGTGTAGTCCACCGATACCGTCTTCCACACGCCCCAACCGGGACTGTCCCTCGCATCCACGGTTCTTCTGGGTTCACCATTGATCCTGACACCAACAAAGCCAGCATCCATGTTATCGAACCAAACTGCGAAGTTCAATCTGCAAGGCACATTCCTCTGGACCGAAATTGCTGAGCTGTTCAATCTAACACTAGTAACGGGATCCTGGCCCGGCCTATCGCTCAACAGGGTTGCCTCAAAGGACTTTAAGCCGCAATTCGCGGCCTGGGAAGTGATGCCGGCTTTGGCTTTTGTGTCGAAAACTTCGACAGTCCAGCTCGAGAGGCCATTTTCGAAGTCGCTATTAGTCAAGAGACTGCGGTCAGACGTGCATGGGGTCGGACTCGGAGTCGGGATCGGGCACGTGGGGCCGCATCCGCAGGCGGAGATGTACCGTGCCGGAGCGGTCCCGCATGCCGCCGTTGCGCGAAAAGGGAAGTTGGTGGCCGTGGCGCCATTTGCAGTGATGGTCGCGCAGAACTCAGAAGCAGAAGAGACCGCGGACGGAGTTGGGCAGGGGAAGAGAGCTCGATAGCAGCTTCAATGGGTTAGAGGCACTACTATCTGATATCATTGATGGGACTTACTTGTCAGCATTGCACTTAGCCAGTGTCGTTAGAGCCTGTGTTCCAAGGAAAAAGACACCAATGATGGTCACAATTTGGTGCGGGAAGAACATCATGTTGAGTTAGGAGATGAGAATGGTGAATCTTGTGAGAAGCCGTGTCCAGACCACCACATAAGAGGGGATGTTCTTCGCATTTTATAGATCATTTAGGCGGCCTGTCGATCACCAGACTTCTGGTGATATTGTGACTGGGTAACATGACGCCTTGATTTTGTAACCCCAGAAGTAAGATTCTAAGAAACCACTACGAACCCGAGTTCAGCTGGCAGCAAGGGATGGAGTGCAGTCGAGTGGCTGCGCATCAGCCGCTCGAGCTGGGCGAATGAGGAGCAAGATATCCACAGTTGCTGCCACACTTTGCACTCCAAGTCTCAGACCTGTCACCGTGGGCTTGCGTAGCTGAAGTTCCTAGTGTTAAGGTGAAACAGTCGAAGCTCGATGAGCACCTGTATCCTGTGCTACAGAGTAATCGGTGCATCATGGCCATACATGTGTTGTGATGAGCACTCAACGATGCTCGCAGCAGCCGTGGAACTTGCATGTGGCCGTTGATACAACGTAGTGCGCGAGGTTCGTGTCTCAAACCACTCAAGCCAAATACAATGTGGGTAAGTCTCTTAGTGAATACCCGACACGTGGGGAAACACATATAGGGTGTCAAATCAAGTGGACTGTGACCATCTCGCGAGAAAAAACGCAACTTAGTTTGGGGCTGCTTTTATTTACCTAGCATCAATGACCTCAACATCATGACGGTATGTACTCAGAAAAAATGTTTTCGATTGCTTGTCTGATCATATGGAAACAACACAAAGTTTTCAATCCTTTGTGACACATAAAGTCCAGAATGCGACGAAAAACTGTTCTGCACGCTGTCTGCCATTGCCCGCCTCCAGGCCCCAGAAAGATGTAGAGAAGTGAAATGGGGTCAGCAGCAGCAACATCAACAATCATTGCTCAGATCATACCACCTGACCTTTAATGACGGCGAATGTGCTATCGTTGCAGTTCAATAAAAAGAACGAGAGGGTTTTGTTAACGCAATCTTGCACTAAGAGCGAGAATTCTTATCATGATCTGAGTCACCTAACGTGCCTCTGTCGGCCGGAAGGTCATCATGGCAACATAAGTACGTACGAGGCTCTGATGTTCCCTGTCAACCTTATCACACGGGTATCGGAAAGCCCCTGACATGAACAGTCACGTAATAACCATTGATCTGTACCTATATCACCAAGCTGTCTATACGACCGGACAGTTAAGGTTTGATTAAAACCTTCGAAAAACTTAGCAGGGCAGTATGACGGCCTTAAAGGGGTGTCCATACGGATGAAGAGTATGATGGCACTGGCAGATAATTTTCTTCATCACGAGCCTCGTCAATTAAAGCAGCCTCCAGTACACCAGCGCTAGCTCAAGAAACCAGCTCCTCGACATTCCGGCCGAGTACTGGAGGCCATATACTGCGTCATCTAGAAGGCCTTTGAGAGGTTGAGAACGAGGTCATCTCATACATCTTTGTTCGCTGCCACCTTCGGAACAATCAGTTTCTCGAGGAGTCAAAAGGGCTTTCACGGATGTAAAGAATACGAGATTCGAGAACAATACTGAGTAGACCTGGTAGCTATTGACTCGCTAAGCAGCAAAGGCTGACAGACTGAGAACAGTAAAAACGGATGTCGTCAAAACACTTCAATGAGACAAAGAACTTTGATTCTCAATTGAAAATAACAAAGCGCTGGTACAGATAATCCAAACTAGAAGAGGTAAATTGTGCTACGTTCAGATTGAACAAAATGAAACACAAGGAAAACTCAAGAATTCATACTTCTCAGGTCGGACAGAACAGCTGGGCCCCGTGTTAAGAGTGAGGTGAATATAAGCAGGCTCTCACCCTCATCTTTCTTATGTCTACACAGAAACAATCCAGCATTCACAAGCTTCTCTTTTCCTCCTCATCGGATAAGCAACCGCTAAGCCTTTACAAGCTCGCCTTTGCACAACAATCTACCGACAACAAATATATCCGGAGTGGTTTCACTTGTTCCAGTCTATATCAAATCACCAATATCAACCACGTAAGAAAAGCTCTATACTTTTCTGCATAGATATTATCAGGAGAAGACTAAACGTTGCGCCAAAGCTCGTCAACATGAATACATGCAGCATTAGCGATGAAGACTTTGCCCCCTGGGCCAACAACGCGGTTTGGCTTGTCATGGAAAAGAAGTTCCCTCAGTTTCAATCCAAGGACGAGCTCGCTTTTCAGCTCCAGAAACAAAACCCAACAACCGAACTCCTCACAGACCAAAAGACACGCGTCAAGCGCGCCAACTTGCTCTCTGAGTATGCCACCGTTCAGGTGGTCTATCAATCCTCCAACACCACCAACAATCCCAACATCAGACTTTGCGCTTTCATATTCTGTGACAATTTGATAGTCACCATTGCAACTCGGGCCCTCCTTCAACAAGAATACACGAACAATCCGGCTGCAACAAAATCAAAGTGGAGGCAAATTGACAACCTGGGTTTCTTATCCAAACATGTCAATGAATTCCAGGGGCCCAGAGCCAAACTCACGGCGGAAGAGGTCGGATACCTTTCTGGGTCTGATATTCTCGCCAAAGAACTCCAGCGCATCAACAGGGCCCATCAAGGCCAAATCAAGACCATCTACGAAAACCACCGTAAAGAGAAAGAAGAGATCGAGAACCAAGCACAGCAGCTTCTAAACGTCGATGAAGACAGCATGGTTAATCAGCTGAGCAAGAAATGCAGCGAATTGGAAGAGGAAAATGCGGCGGTCAAGGAGGAAAATGCTATCCTAAAGAAGCAGAAAGCTACGCTGGGAGAGGATATTAAGTATCTCCAGCTCGACAATCAAGAGTCCTTGAAAATGGTCAAGGTCTCGGAGGAGAAGAGGAAAGCTCTGACGACGATCGTGACGGCGATCGACAAGAAAACTAAGACGGCGGATGAGGATGAATTATTGATCTCTCTGTAAAGGAACATGGTGCTACTGGAGCCTTGGGCCCAGAATAGGGCTCCATTTGACCGTTTTCAAGCGAATGGACGATTCTATCTTGTTGAAGAGTCCAGCAGAATCGGATGGGCATGGCAGACGACCGGGACAGGAATCAATATGTCGGAGGTTGGCGGTACTTGGCGCACGCCAACCCTTCCAGATCCTGCTGGGCGCGCAGTGGCGGGCGAACCGACATGATTAGTGTCGAGATGAAGCACGACGAGGACTCGAGAACAACCAAGGACGATTGTTACTGGAGACATTTCATTGTGCTTTATGGAGTTTAGGAGTATATTATGAACAAAACATTGTGATTTCGAGCAAACAAGTCTCTACCGTCCCAATCTCAACGTATTAAATGATCGGTACATTCTCTCCTCCTGCAGCGGAGTGAAATGAGACAGACTAATAGACGTCAGAGCGGTCTTGGGAAAAAAAGATAAGCTCAAACTTACCAGTCGTGCTTGGAATAGTCCATGTAATTGTGAATGGGATCGAGTCCTGGCTGATCCGGGCACGAATCCTGTTCCACAGGACACCCAACAGTCGCGACCTGGGTCGCTGGCGTATCGTCGATGTAGTCACCTTCGCCGTTGCAATCAAAGCCATCGAACACATGGAAAAGACCAAACCAGTGCCCAACCTCGTGCGTAGCAGTTTTGCCCTTGTTGTCCTCCGGGTCCCAAGGAACCCCGGGGCCACCGGGCATCGTACCGACACTCACATGGCACCCGTCGTAGGTGTACCAAGAGGTGCCGTTGATCCCCGTGTTCCAAGGGTCTTCGACCGGAAAGCTGCAGATACCCGTGGCAGAATTGGGGTTGGTCATGAGACCTGTCTCGAAGTAGATGTTGAGGTCATCATAACCGCCCTGTCGGAGGGCTTCTGCCTTCTCTTTGATGCGGGCCTGCCGAGTCCAGTCGTCGTTGACGGTGCGCGTTGTGTTTTTGACAACGAACTGAATGTTGTGGGGTGCGAAGGTCTCATTGAGAACTCTCATCTGGAGACACCTGTCAGTGACGACATCCTCATATTCCGGGATGTGACTTGCCTGGTTATCTATCATCTGTTCAGTGACAAAGCCCGCATGCGCTTCATCTTCGACGACATGAAGATACGTCGTAATGAGGAGGCCATCTGCTCTCTTTCCAAGAAAGTTGGAGGGGAATCCCTGAGACCGTTGCGCAGCTCTCAACGCGGAAGCAGCTTCAACTGCTTCGGGCTCTGGAAAATTTGAACCGCATTGCTCTTGGGCTGCAACCTGAGAAACAACTGCCAGACCAAGGTAGTTGGTGAGAAATGTCTGCAGTTTCATGATTCGAGCGGTCGATCTTTCGAAGTAACAATAAATAAGTGATTCACTAATGCTTTGAGGGAACTTGAAAACCTTTAAATCCCCCAACAGTACTCGGCCATGAGTTTCCGATCGGGAAGGTGTCCATCTGGGTGGATTCCATGGCGCCAAGACGCTGGAGCTATCCGGTCGAGCTTTTACCCAAAATAGTATCAATTTCCCCTGCCGAGAAACGGGGCAATGTGACATTGATGAACGTAGCTGTTGAATACGAAGTTGATCATCTCGTGATCTCGTGATTGAGGTCTTGGTCTTTTATCTAACATTTGATAACTCGAGGGGAAGAACATTACGGCTAGGCTCGGCTAGGCCCAACCTTTTGGGCCTGATGTTGGGCAATAGTCGCGTATGACGCACGAGAATTGAAGTGACTGATTGCTCAGACAGCTGATATATTTGCATCTTGTGTTGGGTGGCAAGATAAATCGGGGGACAGCTCTCAGAAAAATCATTTTTAAGTCTTGCAGAAGTTGGAAAATTGGCAAATATTACATTGGATCTGCCCCGGTGCCCGAACGGTTGGTAAGCTATGTGCCTTAAATCGTCCGTCAATCCGAAGCGAATCGGATACCTTGCCGGAAACCATCTCTTGTAGACTTGTCTGTGGTTGCTTGTCGACCGCTGGGTTGAGCTCGTCACTGATGGCCACTCTATCTTGACTCTTGACGACGGCCGTCAGTCTGGGTGCCGTTCCGCCACCCTCGGGCACATCTAACCTTGATTCATACTTGAAGCTTCGCAATGACAGATAAAAATAACGACGCAGTGTATTAGATCTTTTCTCGCCGTGCACAAAGCTCATCAGCTTGCTCGGCGTGTCAAGCATGGCTTCCAAAGTTTAGATCTGCTACAACCGCGTCCACTAAGCCGGCAAGAGGATCGCGAAAATAGACGCAGGGCACTACCAAGGGCAACGGCAAGAATGGGAGGTGGGAAACCATGTTATTAAAGTTCTAGTAGCTGTGCGTTCACGATGTGCTGTGCCCCTGTTTTCTACCGAAGTAGTATGGTATTTCTTTTCAAAGTGTTGTCTATCGTCCAGTCATTTCTTTCACGCCCAAAATTCTTGTTATGTTTATGTAGGTTTGTGTTCAGACCATGTCATCTCCTAGACTGCGATGGAATCAATCTTAACTCTGACGTGCTTCTTGATCATAGCATTTCCGCAGTCAGTCCAATCTGTGGTAGCTTCGTTGGTTTCATAGAGACTCATGTCGAACGAGGAGAAGAAGTTGGAGAAGGTGAGGTAGGTCTCCATCCAAGCAACGCTGCAGGGGGGAGGCTGGTCAGTCTCTGAATCTTCGGTCGCCAGAAAAAAACGATCACAAATGCACAACTAGAACTTACTTCAGACCAATACAAGCTCTAGAGCCCTTTCCAAAGACAACGAGGTAGTGGTCCAAGTTATTGTTCCCCAGCCATCTCTCGGGGATGAATTGAGCGGGATCAGGGAAGACATCAGGGTTGTCGTGAACCGAGCGTACGGAACTAGAGACGGAGGTGCCCCCTGGTAGGAAGTGACCTTTCCAGGTCATGCCGGCGTCGGGGACAAGACGCGGAAGAATGCCGGGAACGGGCGAGGACATGCGGAGGGACTCCTTGATGCAGGCGTTCAAGTACGGCAGGGACCGCACAGTTTTGTACTCGTAAAGTCCTTGATCGTTCTTGGGCACCGTCTTCAGCTCATCTCGAAGCTTCTGAAGCTTACTCGGGTTGCTTAGCAGGTAGTAAGTGCCCATGCTCATGGTATGGCTGGTGGTGTGCGTCCCGGCAAAGGCGAACGAGTAGGTCTCGTCCTCGACGGCCTGGTACGTCAACGGCTTGCCCCCGTCCTCGGGAAGCAGCAAAAGATCAATGACGGTCTTACGCCCGTCGCTGGCCTTCCCTACGCCGAGATTGTGTTCCGCGGCACGGTCGCGGATCCACTGGTTGATGTTGGCGCGGAACTCAAACTCTCCCGGGATCATCTTGGCGGCGATTCTCTTCGGGATGTTGAGCGCCATCCAAATGAGGATTGGGAAGTGCTTCAAGAGGAAGAAGCTCTCCGAGAACGTGCGCAGGGTTGCGAGGAAGGGCGGCTCCTCGTCCGTCGCCTCGATGAAGTTGAGCGTGCGGTCGCAGAGAACTCGCATGATGGTGTCGATGGTGATGCCGGTGTAGAGACGCTGGATGTCGAGAACCTTTCTCTCGTCATGATGCTCATGGCACTTCTTAAGGGCGTTTTGGACAACCTTCAGAACGAGATGAGACAGTGCTTCCATGGACTTGGCGGAGAACAAGTCGTTGATGAGCCTCCTCCGGCGCCTATGATACTCGACGTCGACAATAGCAGGAAGCGCCTCGGGAATGCCACCAGATGACTGAAAAAAGGCAGGATCCTTCATGTACTTGGACCCAGACGAGTAGACCCTGAAAGTAAGAAAGCTGTCAGCTTCAGAAGGTTAGGCCAGATATTAGTGGAGCATACTCATGGAAGAAGTCGGGATCACTGACGTGAACTCGATCTGGGCTGGCTCTGATGACAGGACCTGGGGTCAAACGGTGAGCTTTACTGGCGGGTAAAAGCAGGGAGATGATAGATCTCCGGCATTCTGTGCGAGCGTACCATATTTCTCGTGAAGAGCAGGGTAGTTTTTCACATACACCCCGCCCAGGATAACATCTTGATAGAATTCGTACCAGTACGTCGTCCGCGCAAGAAATGGCCCAGGTATTTTGGATAGGGGATGGAAGTAGAGCCTCCTAAGTACTAACTGCACAGAGTAGACTGCAAATGCCACCAGTAGAAGTGAAACCCAGGCCTGGGGACCTTGAGGCGTGTAAGCTGCGACGACATCAGAAAGATGACCCATCTCCACGGCAGGTCGGGGATCTGGTGTGACAACGTTGAAACGAGACCCAATGTAATTACAGTACAGGTGAAATGGTCAATGAAGCACAGGGAAAGATGCTGGTTGCACTCGCAAGCAATGTGGTAGAAATATCCGATGCCCCGAGGGGCATGGCCACGTCGTATCCGACTACATGCAAGATCCGGCAGCCTGGATGTCTTGACGAAACACCCAATTGTATGCACTGGATATGTGAGCGACTAATCGCAGATCCGGAAGGTACCTGTATCTGTCTTTGCAATGAAAGGGCGCGGCCGCATCTGTCGCATTTGTTGAACGGGGAGCATTCCTAACCTACCCTATGGGGCTCATCCCGGTGATTGTTCTAGGGTATGCTTACTGCAGTGCCGTATTGGGCAATACCAACGCAGACTTGTCGGCTGGTTTTACAAACAAGGGTTCATTCGTCCCTAGTATCGGTGTTTGCCCTTTTGGGAAATCGATTTCACTGGCTGACTGTGTTGGTGATGCAAAAGTGCAAAGTATTGTGCGACGTGGATCAAGCGGTCCGGGTCTGCCGTCTAATCGTTGAAATCTATGCTCAGGACGTGGTTGAGTAGAAAGAACACTATATGCACTGATCAATGTTTTCAAGACTTGATCTGAGCGAGACCTGAACAAAAAGTAAAGCACTCAGAATGATGGAATTAGCACCCGCAATTACCCTCCACGCCGTGGATGCCGACATGGACTCAGCCTCTAGCGTTATCAGCAGCAACGGTACGGACAACGGCCGCGAGTCCATCTGCACGACACCGCCAACAGAACCCAGAGTAACCCGGACAAAGTATCGAGATGTTGCCGAACGGCCGCCGTTCGTTCGCATCCCTGACCTATTTGGTTCCATCATGTCAACGAAACCGGTTGTCAATCCCAACTACTTTGCGGCCAAATCCAAAGGGGATCGATGGATTTCGAGGCAAGTGGTTTCTATTCCTAAGCCGTTTTACCTAGTTCAAGTAAGACTAGATAGAACTGACATTGGGAAATGTCGCGCCCTGTAGCGTCATGAAATTCGACAAGGCAACGGCAGCAAGAAACGCCAAAGTCGACCTGTGTTTTCTCGCCTCCATTTGGTCGCCAGAGGCCTCAGAGGACCGACTGGTCACCATGCTCGACTGGAATCATTGGGTTCGTTGACTTTGCACCTTTATATTTTCTCACAGTCCTCCAATACCCAGGCTGACCCGGAACCACACGAACAGGTGTTTCTCTTCGACGATCGTACGCAGCTCCCAGAAATTACTCGAAATAACTTTTATCATTAGTTAACCATACATTTATCACACAGAGTTTGACGAAGGACACCTAAAAGAAGATCCCGCAGCGGCGGAAGAAGAAGTGAAGGAGACAATTGCAATTATGACTGGGGGTGCGCCGCGATACACTCCAGAATCGAACCCCATCAGGCACGTCTTCCAGAGATGTTGGGACACTATCAGCGCTGTATCTAGTATTGGTTCGTTTCTTTTACCCTTCTTCTGTCTCTTTCAATTCTCGGGACATTGTTTAACCCGCCATTCCTTGAGTGTAGAAATGCAACAGCGCTGGATAGACCAGCACAAGCGATACTTTGCGCAGCTCCTCGTGCAAGTTGACCAACAAGTTGCTGGCCAGAGCTTCACACGCGACGTCGATGCGTACATGGATCTACGCAGAGGCACAATCGGCGCGTTCCCGGCGATCAACCTCAGCGAGTTCGGCTCGGGTATCAAGCTGCCACAGCACGTCTACGACCACCCAAGCTTACAGGAATGCATGGTTGTTTCGGCAGATTTAGTGATACTGTAAGAGAGCCGTGAACTGCCATTTACTTCCCGGTCGGGAAACCCATCGCTGACCACAATTTCTGATAGGGTCAATGATGTTTTGTCTTATCGCAAGGATCTTGAGCTAGGCGTCGACCACAACCTAATTTCACTGCTCGTGGAGGGGAACCATCTGAGCATCCAGCAAGCTGTGGACAAGATTGGCGACATGGTGAACAACTGCTATCGAAGATGGTATCTCGCTCTGGCCCAGCTTCCGTCCTACGGGGAAAAGATTGATCGCGAGGTTATGAAATTTGTCGAGGTCTGCAGAGCAGTGGCGCAGGGCAACCTCTACTGGAGGCAAGTCAAGCTCACCACGCACAATGTTCTGCTACGGGAATATGGAAGATGAATTGAAACTAACAAAGTTTGCAGCTTCCAAACAGGACGGTATCTCGGCCCTGAAGGTCATGATGTCCATGAGACAGGTGTGATGCACCTCCCGCCGTCTTCAGTGTTGTAATGTGTGGAAGTCACAAGCATTTGGTACCGCGAGAGAGAAATGTCCGTACAGCGTCAGATTTCAAATCGATGGACCCAGAACCAGATCTCTCCCGAATCACTACTGGTCAGGGGATCGATAACTTGGTTTTTTAAAACAGGCAAAGGGTTGTGAAGCTTATGGCTTCGTCAGTGAAATGCATGGCTGCTTCCATAGATTTTCAAGAGTTTAGTGTTGAATTTGTGCACAATCTTTTCATTCTCGTGGGTTGAGAACGGCTGGACAATTTCCGTACGCCACTTTTGTTAGTAACGCTATCTAAACACCTCGGGCCCTGGTTTGCAACCCAAAAAAGTGACCAACAACAGATGCAGTACAACCGTTTCGCCAACATCGGGAATGTTCATATCTGGTAATAGCGAGAACGAGAGCCGAGAACCGGAAATAAGACACTTGACGTCACTGTATATCCCCGATAACCCCGTACCAGCTGAACGAGGTGGATTTTCACAGGTTCAAGAGGCCAGGCTCAAGAGTTGAGATAACAGACATCTGCGCAACTACGGGACACGAGTCTTGTCCAGTTTATTTCTGAACGACAATTATTCGCGTTAGTTCTCACCATGGCCGAACCCAAGCCCGTCTACAACCTTCCCGACGATGCAGTCTGGCTCAGTGAGTGTGATGGGCTCTCTACGATTGACTGGGGTCATTGACATTTTTACCAGTCACCGGCTGCTCTTCTGGCATGGGTCAGTCCCTGGCAAAACTCATTGCATCACACCCAACGCAGCGTTTAGTGGCCACAGCACGCAGTGTGTCCAAGTTGGAGGGCATACTCCCCGCAGACAAGCCCCGTGTCTTGTTGACGGCGCTAGATGTCGACAGCAACGACTCCATCAAGGCCGCCTTCGACGCCGCGATTGAGAAGTTCGGTCGCATCGACGTCGTCGTGAACAACGCGGGCTATGGCCTGATGGGGGACACCGAGTCATTCCTGACCGACGACGAGAACATGCAGAAGGCTCGCAAAATCGTCGAGACGAACTTTTGGGGCACCGCGCAGGTCTCCGCCCACGCCGTACGCGTCTTTCGCGATGAGAACCCCAAGACCGGCCAGATCGGCGGTGTCGTGCTGAACATCACCTCCATTGGCGGTTTCGCGGGCTTCCCGGGCAGCGCCTTTTATCATTCTTCCAAGTTCGCTGTTGAAGGCTATACGGAGTCACTGAGCAAAGAAATGCGTCCCGACTGGAACAGTAAGTTTTCCCGCTTTTACTCCGTTCGCGTAAGCGCGAGCATCGTATGAGGTGCTAATGCCATCGTCACAGTCCATTTCTGCATCATTGAGCCCGGTGGCACAAAGACCAACTTTGCCGGCGACAGCATGTCGTGGCTCTCTCCTCACCCAGCCTACACAGCCCCAGACACTCCTACAAGACTGCTGGAAGGCTATGTCAAGAGCCCAGACATGCAAGCGACCTGGGCGCCAAGCGAGAACGTCGCGGCCGCGATGTATGAGGTCGTGGCTCGGAAGCAAGCTATTCCTCTCAGATTGCCCACCGGTGTGCCGGCTTGGAGTGTGATCAAGGCTGAGTGCGAGGAGGTGGACAAGGCACTGCTTGCAGTAAAGGACCTGAGCTTCTCGGTAGACGATGGATCGATAAATAAGAGCGGAGAGTTCCTTGCGAAAACCTTCTAGATAGGATTGTATACAGACTTAGCGTGGAAAAGACTGAAGCAGACAGGAATGGCATAGCTTCATTAGCATCAAATTAACAAACACACCGCCACGAGCCTTATAATTTCAGCCACAATTTCATCAGTCGACTTTCACTGGTAGCAGGTAGCCAACAACCTAGAATGTAGGCCAGAACTTTGAGACTGGATATTGCATGCAGGTCCCAGTTTTACGCTTGATGGCTCTCGCAATACTTTTGCCTATAATGTGACAGTTTTACGACCAAGAGACTTGGATTATTTGCACGTTCTGGTTTCTCGTTTCAGCCCGAAAACAGTCAGCACTACCATCAACAAAATCCTCTTACTGAAAAAGCCTCAAAGCATGTGTTGCGAGAAAATACGCTGCTGAGCTCGGTATCTACTCACCTGCCACCACATTCTGTGAGATTTGATGGCAGGGTTGACAGTGTAGAAACCGAGTCTACCCAAAATGTAGATTCATTACGCGAAGGGGACTTCGCCTGGTTACTATTTCTGGCCTCAGTCACACGGGACTTCCTTAAAAGGAAGACACCGGTACCGGCGTACTTGGCTGTCCAAGGTTGACAATGAACGGTACAAGTAAGCAGGCAGTTTTCTGTTCCACAAAACAGCAGCTACATGCGCTGAGAAACAGGTATTCTTGGGTTAGACAGTTGACAAATCAGATCGACATGCATTTTTGGCACAAAATTTCAGAGTCTGGGCCTAGGTGGCCGATGGTTGGCCAGCTTCTTGAGACAGCATACACCGAACAGGCGACTTTGGACTGGCGATTTGCGATTAAATGCATCCTAGCCATTGTGGGTGGAAACATGTCATGAAACCAACTGATACTTACTGATGGCTTTCCCTAATAGACCTTGTGTAGATTCATGGCGGTGTGGACCTACAATCTCTGGTTTCATCCGCTTGCGAATTTCCCAGGCCCAATTTTGGGTCGGTGCTCCCATGTGAGTGAACCTGTGGTTACCGATACATATCCGGAGAAACGAACATTTGTCTCATCGAATGCCAGTTCTATCGCTTCTTTCACAGTTCGAGGGGAAGACTTCACATTGCAATCGCCGACGCGCACAAGAGACATGGTGTGTCACGCAACTCGCCTCACCAACGCCCAGTTTGATCACCCTTTTCTAATTGTTGGTACTAGGAGAAATTGTTCGCGTCGCACCTAATGAGCTCTCCTTTGCTAGCGTGGAGAGCTGGAAGGCCATCTACGGTCATCCTACAGGCGGCAAGCAGATTGCCCGAAAGGGAGCTTTTTACGAGGTTTTCGCCGCTGGGTTCAGCAGCAAATGTGTTGGCAGCGAGCGCGATCCGCAGAAACACTCCGCCATGCGCAAGATGCTGAATCCGGCTTTCTCGCAACGCGGACTGTTAGAGCAGGAGGAGATTATCTCGGGGATTGTCGATAAGTTCGTCAAGACCGTGGGAGAGAAGGCGGGTCCTGGCACTAAAGGATTGAATATGACCAAGTGGTACGAAATGAACTCATTCGATATCTTGGGAGAAATGGCTTTTGGGGAGAGTTTTCACAGTCTGGATACCGGTCAGTCTTTGAAAGCAACCATGCCGGCAATAATGCCCACTAACATGCAGCATAGGCATCCCGCACTTTTGGGCAGACATTGTCCTCGAGCACCTCTACGTGATAACTCTTCTCGACAATCTGCGACGTGTTGGCTGTCTTTCCACGCTTGCTCGGCTGCTTATTCCGGCTTGGATCATCACCAAAAACCAGAATTCTAGCTACGCTCGACAACAGGTTGAGAAGTAAGTCAAAATCACTGGTGACAATGACAAAGGTAGCTACTAACCAATTCCTCTTCACAAGACGGCTTGCCATCACCGAGTCACGCAACGATTTCGTCAGTCTGTTGGCCGACAAGGTTCGTGCTGGAGAAGTTTCCAAGGAGGAGATGACGGCTCACGTCTCAACCCTCACGTATGTGTCAACTTGATTTCAAGGAACTCAATATTTCGAGGCCTGTGCTGACTTTTGCATGGCCATGTACAGAATTGCTGGTGGCGAGACCGTAGCAACCACGTTGTCCGGCCTCACATGTTTCCTGGCCCAAAATCCCGATAAGCTGGGGAACCTCACGAAAGAAATCCGCGCTGAGTTCAAAAGCTACGACGACATCAACGCGGTCAAAGCCCAACAGTTGCCATATCTGCAGGCTGTTATACACGAAGGTCTCAGACTTTTCCCTCCTGCTGCCGGTGGCGCACCTAGAGTTTCGCCGGGGTTCGAGCTACATGGCCAATACATCCCCGCCGGTGTAAGTGTCCCAGATTCCAAGGGAGAATTGATGTTTTTCCACGAGTAACTAACAATCAGTTATTTAATGATATAGACCGACGTCAACATCAGCCCTTGGTCAGTTTGCCACAATCCGAAATATTTCTCGGACCCCTGGCAGTTCAAGCCAGAGCGCTGGTTGGATAGTGGCTCTACAGATATCAAGGAGGCCAGCCGGCCGTTTCTTCTTGGCCCTCGAGACTGCTTAGGACGAAAGTAAGTCATCCCAGCGCCATAAACAGCTACATATGTGCCAGGAAGCCCTTTTCTAAAAGCTGCTGACATGTGGGTATATAGCTTTGCTTGGATGGAATTGAACCTTGTGTTAGCAAAGATGCTCTGGTTGTATGATATAGAGCTAGTTAACAAGGATATCGACTTCTTAGGGGAAAGCTCTGTGCATGTTCTTTGGTGGAAGCCAGGATTATACGTCCGGTGGCTTAGAGTGCAGCATGACAACTAGCTAGGGTGTTGTACAGCAAGTATGTAGTGTCGATTTGAGACTCATCAAGTAATAGTTATCAATATTTCGCTAGTATTGGCATCGTCAACGCTTTCAAAGAGACCCAAGTCGCATTTGCTGCTATTATTGCTGTCGTCCTCAGTCCCGCCAAGGTGACCAAACTTGCTTGAAGAATGGCTTAGCGAAGCTTATAGGTAGTAATATTCAACATCTTAAGACACACCTGATAGTGTGATGAGTTCTATGAGGTAAATGACCGTCTAAGCAAGTCCAGCTGATGTTGGTATTCTACATGGACATCGTTTAAACCGGCGATCTTGGACTTTGAGTATACTCCTGTGATAAAAGAGGAGAGCTCTTTGATTCTAGAGGCCAGTATCATTTGCGAGATTAGCCGCTGGTCGGTCCCATCCTCCACAGCAAATGACCCTATGTTGATCGTCAGGATAGATTCGGGCTTGTGGGAGGCCCTCAGTCCTGAAGAAGCTTCGAGCAGCAATGATACTATTTGCTGAACGTTCATCAGCATCAGAAGTGCCGGGCTCTGTGAGACGCAACATTCCGAAGGGCACGTGTCCACCGCTTTCAATTTGCGCATGGCCTCCTTGAAGAGGAGCAGGAACCGATCCACTGGCATGTCCCCACCACGGCTTCGGAGGGCGAATAGGTTGAAGGTCAGGTCCTGGAGACATGTACAAGAGTTGGCAACCGGGGTTGCCGATGGTACACCACCTGCATGTGTGAACTGCATCAACTCCGCGAGGTCGGCCAACCCAGCCAGCGACCGAGGAGCGGTGTTGTCCTGAGTACTTGCCTCATGCGGAGACAGCAAGTGAGTGGACGGTGTGTCGAGGGATAGGTTCGAAAGTTGTTGGTGTTGGCTGTTTCGACTGGCCGAATTGCAAATCAGGCTGGGCGTTGGTGACGGAGAGGGTGGCAGTTGGAACAACTGAGGAAAAGAGCCGTCGAAAAGGGCCCGAAACTCGTAATTGTTAGGCTCGTTATTCTCAATAGCCGTAGTAACCGAGTTCAGGCTGAGCATATCAAGAGCCGCCTCATGGTTGTTCACTGATCCTGATCTCCCGTTCATGTCTGCATGAGCCGGGTGTTCGGACAGAAACTTTGGCGACGCGATATCCGCGGAACCTGGAGCGTCTGCAATTAGATCCCCGAAGTGGCCGAAGGAATCAAAATGACAATCCTGGGTGATGTCCCTCCACTTTGGAGAGGAGTGCTCTTGTGCCGGTGTCGAGATATCCTGACCGGCCACCGACGGGGTTTCGGGGTCATACGCGTCATCCTCTTGGGCGTCATTCCTAATTTTGACGGGCGATGTAGATGATTCTGTGAATCCGGCGGGCCTTCCTGATTGCCGACGGCGTCTGGATGAGTTGTATGTGCATGGCCTGCTTGTGCCGTGGCAACGGCCGCACTTATCTTTCCCGGGCTTCTCGCGACACTTGACCCGGGCGATGCGGCATTCATCACATGCTGGCTGCCTCTGCCGCCTTCCATGAATTGATGAAAACGCGTTGAACTCGGGAGACGACCTCTTGTTGCTCTTGTTGAAGGACAGAGTGCCGTACATTTTGTGAGTGAGCCGACGGGGTCTGCAGGGTGCAGCCTTGGCGCAGTTTCGGGGTAGGAGGCCAAAAGGTCACTACATTGCAGACACAGGGACCTTCGAAGTAGGGAGGCAGTTTATGAGGAGACTCATTTGAGTCCCTTGGGGCTCTTGGGGTCTGGCATGGATGTTTAAGCGAGCAGAGACGTCGTCACATTGAATCAGTGGAGGCTCCCATGTATCATCTGTAAGCTTACTGGCTTACTGCGCGGCAAGGTAAGCGTGCAGGCTTACTTCCCCGGTAAGCCTATGCCCTCGGCCCGCCAGGAACGGGCCGACTTTGAGCTTGCCCGGGCTGAATCTCGTCTAAGGCGGCATTATCGGCATAGAGAGGGGTCGTGTCGACTCTGTATTTATCTTATATTCATGGGTGTGACTCGGATTACGGGCGCAATCTGAGGCATTTACGTATTGCCAGTTCTGCCTTATAGCAGCGGTAAGTTCGTTACTTATCAGCGTTAACAGCCCGGTGTTTCTCGCTTTTGGCTCAACCATGCTATCTGCGTCAGATGTATGTACAGGCTAAGTGCGGCAAAGTACGCTGAACCACAACATAAGTCTCTTGCGAATCACCTTTCTCCATTTTTGCTGTGTTTTTCCAGTCATCAGCAGTAGTCCTGGAGTCAGTAGAGGTCATAACTTTCAACTGTGAGTGCGAATCATCCCGATTGCCGTCGAAACTCCTCCAAGTCCGCCACAATCAAATCCCAAGTTTCCTGTCTCAAGTAAGCGTGAAGCCAGTAATTCCCAGCTGCGTCTTTCCCGTAGACTATGAACGTGTCGCGGGGGTTGTCTGTGACGCTAAGCGTGGTGCCCCAGTACATGACCGGCCGGGTCTCTTCCGATGCAGTGCCCCCCACGCTAATGCCGCCACCATCGCCCGAGGTGGGTAGACCGAGGTTGGCTGCGTCCATAAGTCGGGCTCTGGTCCAGTTGGTGCAGGCAACCACTCGCGAGTTCCAATTCGCAAATAGGGGCATCGTTCCTGGGTGCGCGAACCACTCGCGCGCGAGGCGCATGAGCCTGCGGGTTTGCTCGTCCGAGGTCTGCTCCACGATAGCTTGACGGAGGCGTAGCGCAATCTGTGCCGTCGTGGCGGCCGTCGCCTCCTCCCGGGACAGGACAGTCGTCGACGGCAGGATCAGATTCTGCAGGTATGCGGCGCCGGGAATAAACACCTTCTCCAAACGTCCGCGGAGGTCGAATACATTGCAGATGACTGCTCCACAGTTCCTCCACGAGTTAGATGACATGACCATGCGAGAACCCCAGGCCGTGATCAGATCACCGTCGCTGACGAATGGAACGACTCCGTTGTTGATCGTTTTCAACTCTTGCTCGACGACTCGTCGCAGATGCGTCATGTAATTGGCGGGGAGATACACGTGCCGTGCCTGAATAGACGGACGAGTCGTGACATCCCACAAGTAACGGGCCATGAACGATAAGAACGAGAGGCCTCTCGTCTGTTGGCGCTCTAGAAGAAATTCTCCTGCGGTGGATTTTCTATCGTGTTTCGTGCCAACGGTGTCCAGCACGTCATTCTGAGTTCCTTCGAGAGGCTTCACGAGATGGCCTCTACCCGCCACCATGTTGGACCACGCCTCGACGAGCTCTGAGGTCCCCATTACGTCGGCGAACGAGTGAGGAAAGGTAAACCCGACAAGCGTGGCGTCCGCGAAGGATGTTACCCGCAGACAAAGCAGCGGCTCGTCGTTATTGAGGTAGTGTTCTATGTTGTTGGGTAGATCACTCGGAAGCGCAAAGGTTCGGAACGCATGGCAGCCCTCTTGTACAGATGGGAGCGTCCCTGTCGGCTTGGGCAGCTGCGATGCCAGCGGGTGGGAATCGATTGACATCGTGGAGTCATCGAGGTGGGAAAATCTCACTGCAGGACGGGCTCTGCTGAAGTTTCGCGGTACGTGAATCTCGAGTCTGCCATTTTTCTATAGATTCAAGAGCAGTTAGTAATGACGACTTTGACCGCTGGCCTGATAGACCGCGAAAAACCACCATCACTTACGGTTGCACGAAGACGGCCGCCCAATTTGCGCCACCCAGGCATCTGTACCAGCTGTAACAGAGCATTATGGAGCTTTTCTGCCTCGAGGACCTTGTTGTATCGGAAGGTGTAGTTGATGATTGAAGTGCGCATAATGGCCGCCTGGTCCACGAAGTGGACGGGCAGAACCTCATCTTCAGACCCGAATTCTTCACTCTTCGTCTCCTCTTTGGCGATCGTACTGTGCTTGTTTTGGTTTGACTGGCGTTTATAGCCATGGTAAAGCCAAAACCACAATATCAACGCGAAAAACAGCGGTGTGGTTGCCATACTTTTCGAGAGATACAGTCCTCCTTGATTCAACATGTCAAAACGAGGCCGGGCATAACCAACCGAGACCTGCCACAGGAGCAGTTTGGTGATTTAAGTCGGTTCTACCCATGAAAGCCCACATGCATGTGCACCGACTCCCGTTTCCTCATCTTGGCACTCGATTATTTCTTCAAGTTGCTCACACAAGTGTATCAAGGCTGGAGGCATCACAAGGGGGCTCGCCAAGATGGAAACCAAGGAGTCGAAGCGGGGTGGCAGAGGTCTGCTGACAACGTGCCTGAAGGGGAAGTCCCATTTAGGCAGGTGAAAAATCAAACCCAACACGGTCATCGGCGACTCCGCCAACGAAGACGCACACAGAAAATGTGCATTGACAGGCTTTGGGTTGGATTGGAGCCGATTAGCAGGCTTGTGTCTGACCTAAGACCTGTTTTCACTTCCAGTGTCCATGAAGTGACAAAACGCACATGTGAACTCCTTGACGTTCAATTCGTTGGCGTTGTTTTGATAAGAAACAAATCTTTCTGTTGATACCTTTGAACCTGATACTACGAAACCAAAGTTACGACAGAGAGCTCAGCGTGGAGACGGCCGGCTTTGAGTCTGCACAGGCCATCAAAATGAAGGTCCTAGAGAGAAACTACAGTGTTGCGAACATAGCTCAATTGGTGGATACCACAAGTATCATCTTCGGGTTCACTCTTTTACACCTTGCCTATGTATTTGGTCTCGTATTTTACCGTTTGTATCTGCACCCTCTAGCCAAGTTTCCCGGTTACAAGATCTGCGCCGCAAGCGAGTGGTATGAGTTTTACTGCTACATCCTCAAGGGTGGGCAATGGGGAAATGAAATCCAGAAGATGCACCAAAGATACGGTATTGAATCTATTACGCAGACTGCGTCGTATGTGTTCTTTCTGACTAACACAACTTGGTTGCCTAGGCCCCATTGTGCGCACTAGCCCTTGGGAGCTCTCTATCCGCGACCCAGACTTTTACGACCAACTCTATGTGACCGCTTCAACTCGAAAGACGGACATGTGGCCAAGAGGTCGAGAGGGAAATGGATTTGACGGTTAGTTGTCCGCTCTTTGTGGCCAGGCTCGCTAGAGAGCCGGTGTCTAACTCAGAGATTGCAAATAGACTCCCACCACCTATCAGTTGCTCATGACCTTCACCGAAAGAGAAGAAAGGTATGTTGAAGGTTCTGGGAGTTGTTTCGAAAGACAGAGCCTGACTTAAAGCATTGTAGCACCTTGAGCCATTTTTCTCTCGCCAAGGCATCACTCGCATTGAAGACCAGATTGCTGAGCACGTCATGAAAATGGACAACAGGCTCGTGGGTCTCTCAGGATCGGGTTCGATCATCCCGCTGGACCATGTTCTCTGCGCCCTCACAGGCGATGTTATTGGGCAAGTCTCTAGTGGAACCCAAGCTGGTTTGCTTGACGACACAGACTTCGTTCCGGCGTGGTATGTAGGGAAATCGTCCATAGCCACCAGCACAGCATACCTGCCGAGTACTTGAACATTGACTGGTGAATTACAGGAAGGATCTAATGATCAAGGCAACCAGCATTGCTCCCCTCTTTCGCTGCTTTCCATGGATTAACAAGTAAGAAAATTTGCACGGATGAGATCATTGTTTCGATGAGAACATGCTGATGAAATAGGAAATTAGGCTTCTTCAGTCCCTTCCTGCTTCTGTCATGAACAGCGTTTACCCCAAGGGTATCGCCAACATGATGCTAGGTGAAACAGGCCAACGGAACATTGAACGAATTAAGCTCGAGATTGCTTCTACCGACAAAGACATGTCCGGCGTCTCGGTGTTCCATCACCTCCTTTCGTCCGACATTCCCGAATCCGAGAAGTCAACCAATCGCCTGCGGGCCGAGTCGATGGTCCTGCTACTCGCGGGAACGCTGGCAGGAGCGCACACGCTGACCTTCGTCGTCTTCTACGTTCTACAAAATCCCGATATCGAGGCGCGCTTGAGGGCCGAGCTCGAGCCCCTCTTCATGGACTACCCTAACAGGATGCCACGCTGGGCAGAGCTGGAGAAGCTGCCGTATCTCCGAGGCTGCATCAAAGAGGCACTCCGCCTGAACGGTCTTGTCGGAAATCTTGCGCGATGCTCACCGGACGAAGAAATTCGTTTTAATCAATGGACTATTCCAAAGAGGGTGCGTGAAGCCTATGTCCCGTTCAGCTGATCCCCAACATGAAGTTTTCATGTTTTCTTTCTGAGGCTTCATCAACTGACATTGGCCTACGAGGACGACAGACTCCCGTTGGCATTTCGATTTACGCCATGCACTACGACCCGAGCTGTTTCCCGGAGCCTGAAACATTCAAACCCGAGCGATGGATCGGGAGTTACGACCCGCTAATGGATCGAAACTTTGTTCCCTTCACAAAAGGGTCACGCAGCTGCCTTGGGATCAAGTAAGTTGATTTTGAGACAATATCTTAGTGCTGCTTCGTCCGTAGACTCATATCGCTAACCCCATACGAACTGGAAGTCTGGCGTGGGCAGAGATGTTTCTTACCACAGCAACTCTATTCCGCCCTGGAGGCCCAAAACTTGTTCTTCATGATGCAGATGAATCCGATATCAAGATCGTCCGAGACTACATTATGGGTTTCCCAAAGGCTTCGGCTAAGGATGTTCGAATCAGGATTATCTGAAAACCTGGTAAGATGTCGACAACGTTTCGACTTTACCTTGTCACTAAGAGACAGATTCCAAAGTATCATAGAGGGTTCTGCTACTCTCGTAGTTGCGATCACGTACAGTTGCGGAGATCTACAATTTCAGACACCACAATGGGGAGGAGATATAGGACATAGGGACAAGGTCCCCTCCAGTATTAATGGCGAAGGATCTGGCATTATATAGGTTTGTACACGTAGGCCCAAGATATAGCCAAAGGAGAGTCTTCGAACAATAAAACCCCTGAGTCCAAGTTCGGAAGCGGAATAGAAACGGGCAAATATCAAACGTTTCTTCCAAGACTGAATCAAGTGATGCGTGATCTACCAGCTGAAGGGAATATCACACGGCTCCGGGTAAGTATAAATCTAGGACGGGTTTCACTGCTCGTGGTCGCCCAAACGTCTGGTACGGCCATGCCTTGAAAATTGCCCCGAGACGGGAGCCAAGTTCAAGGCTGAAATTCACCATACAGATAATAGACAGACATCCGTTGTTCATGATGAAAGCAGCCCATGTCTGGGGCTGACACTTGGCAAGATGCTGCCAAGTACCGGGACTTTGGTCTGGCGACAAAATGCGTGTAGGTTTGAGTCAAGACAGTGGAAAAGGTATCAACTTTCGCTGATCATTCTGTACCAATGATCTTCATAGCTGAAGTTTGCCGTTTCTTTTTGTGTGAAGCAGAGAGAGCTTGGAGAATCGCCGTTTATGTCATGGCTGCCGCCATAGCAGCCGCATTCGGCCTTTTGACCGCCACATCGGCGATGGGTCCCGCAGCCTCGGCGGGCCGGGAAGAATTGACAAGAATACTAGAGTGGTCATGAATCGTTCAATTGCACGGTAAGTCATGGCCTTCTGTCGGGGAATGCTGTAGAATCCTTGAAGGAGCGTCTCAGTTCCGTTCTTAGGCTGTAGGATCATCAGCGCATAGAAAGTCAGAGCAAGACCTTGACCGCAGAAGCCAAGATGGGTAAATGACCATCCGAATATTCGTAAATGATCATAGCCACGTCCGAGACTATCCAAAGAAATATTCTCATCATGACAGTTGGGCCTGCTGTAACAGGACAAAGAGTTGAAATCTCCGAACTCCGATCCCGGGAAGGGCTTGTAGAGCTGTAGTTTGAAGTCCGATTCAACAGAAGCGTTCGCAACTCCGCGGGAGGCACGACGGTTGAATGACAGATTTAGTCCAGCGCCAAAGGCACTTTTGAGTTCAAAGTATAATTGAAGGGGTCCTACTTGGTCTGGCGGGGATGGCTTGCTGCCAAACGTCATGATTACTATTTCTAGGGACAGCAAACAAGATGGCGCCTTGCCGCATGCAGCTACAGATGACAGATCAATCCTGGCAATGTCACGCAGTTTCAACGAGCAGCCTCTGCCACGGCACAAGATTGGACGCCATTTTTCGCCATACCGCCGTGATGAAGAGTAAGTCATCTTTTCTCCAGGCTAGTCAGAATTTGAGAAACATGCTGGGCTATACCAGATCAAATGCTGACCGCGACGCGGACGCGAGCCGGACGACCCGGTGTATTGTATACTAGAAGGGGTCATTCGAGGCAGCGGATCGAGGGAGGCACGGAGGTTACAATCTCCCTTGGACTTCGGACGAAGGTTCGAAGCTATCGACGTGGTTTGGCACTTGGGCCCCCAGCTCGAGCCGCGTTGAGTGCGACTTGAAGCTTCTGACTGTCAAGGTGGTGTGCAACTTCAGGTGAGGTGTCTGGTCTAGCTTGATGTGGTCATTTCATGGAAGAGACGAACGTGACACCATGAGACAGCGGAAGTGGCAGCGGAAGGAAGTATGGGTTAATCACTGTCGGTGTAAGTCAGAGAGCGTTTTCTCGACTGGTTAAAAAAGCAGAAAGGGTAAACAAGAGACAAGCCGTGTTGCCCAATTGTCTCAACCAAACACTCGGTCCCATCCAATAGCAATTCATGTCTCACTCGTACGACGGAGGAATGCTTCTACCCCCGGCGCTATTCTGTATTCTATCAGATCAGCGTGCCTTTTCTGAATCTTGCTGTCCGTTCAGACGGTTTCGTGCAGATTGTTGTGGCCGGGAATTTAGGGGAGAGACAGCAGCAACAACGTTTTTGTGTTGCCGTTTGTTCCTCGCAACCCATGTTCAAGAAAGCGGTTGCTAGAATGATGCCAATGCAAGAACAATGCGCAGCACAGATGGCAAACTACATCACCACGGGAAACCAAGAATAGAGCAGGACATGAAGCGATTGCAGGGATAGGAGGGACGTGGAATGGCCGACGCTAGGTAAACTTGGGACCGAGGCCCCTGCGGCGGTTCGTCTCCTGTGCGCGGACCTTGCACCCTGCACCCTGCACCACCTTGCTCCTGCATCTTCATTTCCCACGTGGTGATGCTGCATCTCGTCTCCGCCTCCGCCTCCTCAGATTCTCTCACATAAGCACACAAGCTAAGGCAGGAGAAAGCTCGCCGGCTGCCGAGATGTACCACGAGGCAGATCGTCACAATCCCCGCCCGAACTTTCTCTCTTCGATCCGTTGATGATCTGCAGCCCTCTTCGTCACTTCGACTTCCATGCATCGAAACCACCGTTGGGTTGGAGGTCGCGGCAAGGGTCGTTGATTCATAATCATGAGAGCAAACAACGAGAACAAACGACGCCGTTCAAGGTCCCGACTCCCGGTCATTCCTACGTCCGAATCTGAATCATCGACGGGGTCGGCACAGTCGCGGCCAAACACAGCCCATCTCCGGGGCCAAAGAACCCAATCAAGGAACAAGCGAAGAACAGCCCCTTTGTTCTACGATATACCAGATAGCGCGAGACAAACAAGATTCTGATCGCCTGAATCCTCCACCGAGATTGTGCATAAGTCCTGCATAAGTCCAGCTCGCATGAGAAACCAAACCAACGCTATCTCGTATCACCCGAAAATGGTCCCACCACCACCACCGGAAAATAGAGCCCCCTCTTGGGCCTTTTGCTCAACCATCGCCATAAGGCCGACTGGAGACGCGGAGAAACTCGGCACCAAGTGCACACTTATGGGGAGAATCAGGTGTTTCCCCAGGTAGGATCGAAATAGTGCAAGCACTAACTAACGTGCTAAGAAAGAATTACAGCGACGCCGCTTTGGCTTTGACTCGTTCCCTTCTAGACTCGGTTGGCTCGCCGGCCATCCGAACTGCTCGTTGCGTCGTCTAGCTTCCGACTACAGACACCAACCAACTTCGCCCTCGTTTTCCCGCTCAAACTGGAAGAATGGCGCAAGCCCCCTACCCTTCACGGCTTCTCCCCCGTGGACACCACTATTGGTCAAGATGGGCTGAGACACGGTGATTTTGGTGGGGAGTGAGGGAAGGTCGGCCAAGACATGCCACTGACCGATTCATTGCAAACACCCATCCCCATTCCCATTCCAATTCGAGTTCGTTTGTTCTTTGCATGGCCGCTGCTTTGGTCCGTGCGGTTGTGCGCGGTTTGTCTGCAGCGGCACCGGCACCGGCACACACTCGGCCAGGTCGAGGTCCAGTTCCTCCGTACAGTCTGACCAACCTGCCGTCGAAGGCGCCAACATGTTCTCTTTGGGACTAGCCCAGGGAAGGCGAACATGTATAACTCCCCGTAGCGTCCGGGGTGCGCTTTCAGTCAAGAATACCGTCTGCCATTTCATTCTTCTTCGACACCGGCCACGGGTTGTACGACATCGAATACCAAACAAATACTAGAAGGATTGAATCAAGATGGAGGATAAGGAGGTTCAACCAGCTACTACAGCCACGACATCCGCGAGGGTTGAGGTCAAGCAGCCGAGGTTCAAGTTCCCGGATTGGATGGTTTGGTACAAGAAGCCCGAATACAGAGACTTTCGAGAGTATGCCACCGCCATTCGGACTGGGAGAAGGCCCATGAGCAGGGATGGACGAGACAAGAGTCCCATTCCTGCAAGGCTGAGCTTGGAGAAGGTTCTTGCCAACGAAACCTGTGAGCATCCCATTCAGCACACGGATCGATTGCAGCAGAACATCACTGACGTGTGCGTCTGATACAGGCTCACCGATGTCTTTATATGACTTCTACATGTACCTCAAGTACATCGAGTTTTCCCCCGAGAACCTCGAGTTCTTCGTTTGGTTCCGAAACTACCAATCTGCTTTTGCCAAGACCGGAAGCCTCAACAACTTCCCCTTGGGGGAGAAGGAGACCGACATGCTATCGTCAAGCGACAGTGGTTCCGAAGCAGCGCGAGACTCCATTGGCCACAAGCTGCCTTCAATCAAGTTGTCGGAGTTTGAATGCGATCCTGAAGCAGGTCAGTCTTTACCATTCTCATTTCCAGCAACCGGTGCTGACATGCATCAGCCAACGAGACTATGTCCAACATTGTCCATCTCATCGCCCCGGAGGCAGCATGCCGCCCGAACAGCAAGATCGGGCCAAATGGCCGCGATCGTATCAAGTCCTGGGCCAACGCATGCGCCAAGCCAATCTGTTCGAATACCGTTGCCAATGTCGTCCCCTCTCGCATCGCTCCCAACTCGGCCTACCGCGTTGAACTCAATGCCGTCGTCAAGACCTTTCTTATCCCCAACGCCGAGAAGGAGCTCAACATCCCGCCTGCCATCCGCGACCAGGCCCTCCTTGATCTTCAGCATTCCTCCGATCCGGCTCATCTCCAACCTATCGCCGACCACGTATATGGCCTCCTGAAGAACTGCTCGCATCGCAACTTTGTTCGGCTTGGTGTCTCCAACGGAACTTTCGAGACCCTGTGCATGGCAACCAGCATGGGGATCGTTCTCACTGTCGCCGGCTTCCTATGCGTACTCCTCAGGGCATTCGTCCCTTACATGGGCGCCCACAGCCGCTACAATGCCTTCGCCCCCTGGCCAATGTGGTTCGTTGGCATGTCCCTCATTCTCTCGGGTCTCAGGGGTAGTTGCTTCTTCCTCTTGCTCTTCACACGACGACAACCCCTTCCGTGGGAGCGCTTTGACGATAGCGCATCTCTCCTCTCTCAGAAGTCCGGTTTCATGAAGTTCATTTCGCGGATGATGATCTTTGATCGCAAGATCCGAGTTAGAGACGTCCACCTCCGGAGGCTCCAGCACAAGATTGTGCTCCAGGCCATGGTAGGCGGCGCAGTATTCTCTTGTCTGTGCAGCCTGTTGTTTGTGCTGCTTCCCGTGTGGTCGCAGACATCGTTGTCGCAGGTCTAGGGTGTCATGGAAAGGATGTGGATTGAAAATATGGTGGTGTGATTTGTACCATACTCTTCTTTCAAGCGGTGATATCCCCGGCGCGGAAAATTTGACTTCCCATCTATCTTAGCTACATCTTTCATATCTATCAATATCTTATTGCTGAAGTCTCATTCTGCACGCTTTCATCCCCATGCTGGCTCCTTCAATGTGTAGGCGAAACTTCTCATAGCATCCCTCCTTTCTAATAACCTCCTTCTCGTCTTCCAACTCGTTGATCTTCTTCGCCAGAGACTCCTCCAGGTCACTCGTCAGCTTCATCGTAAGCGGAGCAGTGGAGCTTTAGTCGTCCCCGCTGGGCTCGAGGAACCGTCTTTCTTCTTTTCATCGGAAGATCCACGGTTGGCGAGGTGTATCGCCGTACCGACGGGGATCGAAGTACTTGCGAAGCCAGGACGAGCCGCGACAGAGGCATCGTCGGGGACCAAGACCTTGTTGCCTTCCGTCGTAATCTCAAGCCACCTGTCTACGAGTCTCCAAAGTCGTCGGTAAAGGTGATCTTCGTGGCGCCCAAACTTGCGCAGCCGCGTTGGATGCTCCAGAAAGCCCTTCCTAGCACGGTCAAAGACCCCGATGCCGTACGAGAGATCGCGTTTACCCTCGCGTTCGGCCACGTTTCCCCACACTCTATTCTCGGACATAAGACGACTTCGGATCTTGTTGAACAAGTCTGGCGTGCAGACCTTGGCGCGGTCGACGAATTCGTTCGTGGGGCGGGGAAGGTTCTCGACTTCGGCGACGCAGGCTTCGTAGAGCTCGATAAGCTGCTGCGCGACGCTGGTGCGGTTTGCGCGGTGATGAGTGTAGCGGTTGGCGTTCAGGACGGTCCACCAGTGTTTGTGGTTGACGCCGAAGACGGTTGGAGACGGGAGGAGGAAGCCGGGCTGCGTGAGATTATGTTGGGTATCGCGGCGGTTCTTGTCGCATAGAGAAGGGTCTGAGGGCTCGATTTGAAGATTGCGGGTTTTGGCGGGCTTCTTAGTTGTCTTTCCTTCCAGGTGTGAAGGGTCTGCAGTCTGAATGGGTAACATGATAGGAACCGATGGGAGTGATGCCATTATTATCAGCAAGTTGGATCTCAAAGTTAGAGAGAGTTGTTGTATCAGTTCGAGGGCAACATAGTCATCAGGGTATTTGTATGTAGGAGGAATTGCTTTGTATTCGAAGACGGCTTTGTGAACACAGATGGTCCTGGTCAAAATGCTGTGTATGCGTTTGTCTTATTACATAGACAAACTGGAAGCTTCTTGCATCTACCTGATAACAATACGTTGTGTATTGCTTTGTTCAGCTCGCTGTCGGTCTTTATCCTGTCTTTCAGACCTTCCTCGACCATTGGACTTCTACCTGACGTTCCCTCACTATCAGAGTGTCTAATAGCAAGGTAGGTCGAAGCCGCCGAACGCGCTACGGCACTTGTCCTGGGTCTGTCTGGCTCAACTGGTCAGTCGATTGGTTCTGCAACGACTGCCTTTGAGCAACGAGTCGTTTGAACTACGTTGGCGACCGGGGGCTTCTCAAATTCCTGTATCCATCCTGCGAGTATCTACTTCTCCTGAGATAGAGCAAGTCTCAATCATCTATTTTGGAGCGTCATAGCTAATGGCTTCTGTAGTTAGCGTTTGATCTGGTTGGCTTCAAATCCTATCGGTATTTATTTTTCTGAAATTCAAACATGCCTTTGTTGTTTGAAAGATTTGTCTTGAATATGACTTTGCTGATTTCCTCGGGCAGACATTCGACTTCTCTTGATATAATGTAGTCCATTGACTTCTTAAACGAATTATCTGTTGTTCATATCCACGTCTTTGCCGACGTCTGTCTCAACGGCTTGGCTTCCGCGGCGAAAGAAGAAGAAGGTTCTTGATTTATGTGAGCAAATTGTCGCAGTGGAAAGTTAATGGCTGTTTTCCAAGAAAATTCCAGGCAACCAAATTTGCTTCGGTACAGACTTGTCCCAACTACTGTTAGGAATCCTACTCGGCGTCGCTGCTGTTACATGGGCAGTCGTCAAAAGTAGCGCAACGCTTGCTCCGAAGTATGCTTGCCAAGTCCGGGAAGGTCCGTGTTGGTGCCTGCCGGGTGTCGGCGCTCCACACCATGAACACCCCCGGCTCACCTAGGTGAGATCGACGTCCACCATCCAACTCCCGGCTTTCTTCGCTCCCACGACTGCTTCGCACTTTACGCAACCAAATCCACCATTAAGAAATTTTCTCCAGAAGAGACAGTTTCCGCCAGTCGACAAAGAAATTTGTTGATTTCCATCACCTCGAGCCGGGGAACAAACTGGGGAATGTGGACCACAACAAGGGTATATCGACCGATGCAACCACATCTCCGTCCCTTGAAGATTGACTGGCGTCAGGTACGAACATCACTGGATCGTCGGACCCAGCAATCTCCAAGATGGAGCATCACGACAGGGATCAGCCTATTCTCGCCCCATCAAGCGGCCGCCGAATCTCGCAGCCCGAAAAATATTTAAATGACCTCGAAGCTCTCACGCCACATCGCCCCGAGTCCTCGCCCTCTCCAACCCGCGCCTCTCTCACGGTAACTCCCCAAAGATGGTCCGTTTATCCTTCGCCTCCGTCCTCGCCGGCGCCGCCGCCGCTCAGGCTCTGGCCTCGGGCAACTGCACCGGCGTCAACGCCATCAGCACCAAGTGCGTCTCGAAAGAAACCGCCCACACGCGCGACTTCTTCTACGTCGGCGGCCGCTACATCGAGACGGCTACCGGCAACGTCACCGTCGATCAGCTCTACGTCGAGAAGCTCGTCCCCGTGAGCTCCGGCCGCAGTCGCCGTCGCGGCGTTGCGCCAGCAAAGCCGATGGTGTTCTTCCACGGAGGCGGCACCTCGGGTGTCACCTGGCTCAACACCCCCGACAACCGCCCAGGTTGGGCCTCGTACTTTCTCCAGCAGGGCCACACGGTTTACCTCGTCGATGTTGCTGCCGTCGGGCGCTCGTCCGAAAACAACCTCGACAACTTCACGATGATCGCCGGCACCGCCGCCGAGGGCGTCGAGAAGGGCTTCACCGTCCCGGAACTGTACAACACGTATCCGCAAAGCAAGCTCCACACGCAGTGGCCCGGCACCGGTCTGAAGGGCGACCCGACGTTCGAACAGTTCAGCAAGACCATCATCCCGCTGACGAGAAGCTGGGAGCCGCAGGAGTACGCGCTGCGCGAGTCCGGGTGTGAGTTGTTGTCGCTGCTGGGTGAGAAGGCGTACCTCGTCTCCCACTCCATCGGTGCGCGCGGGCCGATCTTGGTGTCGAACGATTGTCCGCAGTACATCGCCGGCAACATCAACCTCGAGGGCACCACAATCCCCTTCTGGTCGTACGGATACGACCTCGGAGGCACCCCCACGAACCCGTGGGGCTTCACCAACACACCTCTCGATTATGACCCTCCCATTGCCAGCGCAGACGAGCTCGAGACTGTCGTGGTTGGAAACGAAACGCTGGCGCTGAGGAGCTGCCACCTCCAGAAGGAACCCGCAAGGAAGTTGCCAAAGATCGCGAGCGTGCCATTCCTGATGGTCACCGGTGAAGCGAGTGTGCACATTACGTATGATCACTGCATCGTGGACTACTTGAAACAGACCGGAGGACAGCCAGAATGGATCAAGCTGGGCGAGATTGGCATCCATGGAAATGGGCACTTCATGCATCTCGAGAAGAACAGCTTGGAGATTGCGGAAGTTGTCAATGAATGGATTGTGAAGCAGGAGAGCAAGTAGGCTAAGTAAGGTACTACCAATTGATCCCGAGCAGTTTACAGCAAGATGTTTCGTCCAGCGCATCAGACACAGGAGTCAGAGGAGTATCAGAATCGGCAGTGTCTGACATCTGTTTATGGTGGACGGTATTCTACGAGCGTAGAAGCCAAGGGCATAGATGTCTGCGAAGACTTATTATTCTTTTCCAGATGCCAAAAGAAGCAGCGCCAGCCGCCATGAATTCATGTGGCACAAGTCTCACAATCACTTTGTTCGGACTACAAGCGAGAACAAGGATGCTCTCCTTTGTCGGCATTTGCTGAGGCAAACCGGTCAAGAGGCATACATTCCCTGTTGCAGATACTTCCAGTATGAAGCACTCAGGACCTTCTAGCAAACAAAATGGTCGTCCTCTGTTTCGGCTTGGGGCAAGCCCAGGCGCATGTCTCTGGGCTTCGAAGATTCCGCTGGCTGCCAGGAGATTCCTTCACAGACACCATTTCTACTTACAAAATGCATATTTTCCCCGATATCCTCATGGGTCCACGCACCAACGCCTGGTCCTCGTCATCAGACCGACTGGAATCCTCACTTCAACAACATGAACCCCGCAAGTGCTCGCGAAGCCAGCGCATCAACTCCCCCAAACGCCGGCGAGCATGGCATCGAAGGATTCTTCCGCGCCCAAAGCCTTCCAGGTCGACCCGCACGCGAGATTCCCCGTCCCCGCGTCAACGTCAACGACATCAGAACCTGGCTCGGAAATGTGGAGACAGAAACAAAGTCCGACTTCGAAAAAGATCCTCTGTCGGACGTCTTTCTCGCAATGGAGGAGTACTTGAACAAGCTCGATTTCAGAGAAACCGACCTCAACAACTTCAGGATCATGTACCACTGCATCAGCGCCTGGGATCACAGCGAGCCACAAATCAAACAACTGAAGAGCTACATGGCGGAGGAACGCTCGAAAAAGCGCGCGTGTCAGGCTGCTCTAGCTGCCATCCGCGCTGATATGGAGCGCGTCCAGTCGAGGATTGCTGCCTATCGCTGGTGGCTCAAGTCGGCCAGGATCACGGAGACGCATCTGGGGATTCTGAAGAGGCTTTCGAGATCGTTTGTCCTCATAGTAGGACATATTTCACTCTCCATCACAGAAGTTGACAGCAGCTCGAAAAGATGTGCCGAGATGAAAGAGTTGGAAACCGAGTTGGCTGCAGCGCGAGCGAAGATTTTCGAGATCAGGACAAACCTCAAAGAGGATCTCACGGCCATGTTTGAGAAGATATCTGTTTTAGGAAGGGAGGCGGAGTCAACGCCGTGAGTTCAGGGCCCTTTGGATATTTCACTGTTCTTGTTGTTTGTTAAATACGGAAGAGCCTCGCATTCTATTTCAGATCTTACACAGCATGTTGTCCTGCTTGCTCTGGTCAAGTTGAAAGTTATTAAACGATGGACTTTGTACGATATGTTCAGGGTCGCCTGCCTCTATTGGTGATCATTATTACGTGTGGGTTTTGGCCATCGCCCTTTCTAAGCTGTCATCGTCTTTCATTGTGTCTTATCAGACGCTCTACATCGACGCCAAAGGCTTCCATTGGCTCCTTTTCAAACCAGTTCTCTACATTCTCGGTGGTCTCAAGTAAGTGGAATCACACTCGTCAGGATCTCAGCATCAATCCCGGTCGAGTTGGATTAAGCATGTTTCAAGTTGAGGTTGCATAATGATGTTACTGAATTCTTTGGAATGTCCATCATCTACTTGGGTTATGTCTCTAGAGTACAGGGCAGATATCAATACCATAGGTCAAGTTTGCTTGCACGGTCTGTGATTCGCAAAATTTGTTGACTAGCTAGCGTCTTCTATGATCTGCATCTTCCATGCGTTCTCCTTCCACAACCATTGGTGACACTATAGGCGCACGCCACACTGCCTTACTGGTTGGGCGGCGAGGGCTTCGGGGCCGGCTTCGGAGCAGGCTTGGGAGCCGGCTTCGGCTGGAACGGTGCACCCGGCGCAGGCATTGCTTCGGTTGGTTTTGGTTTTGAGACTTGGGGTAGTCTGTTTGTGTTGTGTTTATTGATGATGATGTTGTGTTGCGTTTACGGGAATCCAGAAAGATGTCAGGTATGCGGTTGGTATTTATACTCTTGAACTATTTTGCTATGGATTCACCAAATGTCACTGACCTGAGTGGAGTGCAATCAGTGACTGCCGAAAATGGTATTCGCAATGGTGAACGTCGGGATCATTCCCAAGAAGTGAATACCAAAATGATCTTCGGACGCCAGATCCCAACAATTTGGCGGGAAGGCTTTATTATTCTCAGCCTTCTTTCCAAAGCATTCACTCTTTGGAATTCAACATGACTTCATCCAGAATCATCCGAGAACCTCACCCGGCTCCAGGTCCGACTCAGCGGGCGTAGCCATGCGTGACCTGCGGTCGGGGTGAACGGTGCCGGCGGGCTTCTTGTGAATTCTGTAAGGCCTAGCCCATTTGGCCTTTCCACGGAAAGATAGGGCATCAGATACCGAGTCCCTGACAGCGTAGATGGAGATCCAGCGATCCACCGTTCTCAACAGACGCCACCACTTTTGGCCATGCGTCATCGGCATCCTGGGGTTCGCTGAGTTGTTGAGATACGCGGTGCGGCCAGCGGCATACGTGTTCACCAGCTCAAAGATCTGCTTGTGCGCGACGGTCGTCTTCTAGGCGGCGTCGCGCGTCTCGAGAACGCGCTGGACCTTCTGCCACATGAGAGGGGTGGAGGGCGTCATGTCTTTGTTGGTGTACAGAACACCGACTGCAGCGGCGAAAACGGCCTCGACTTGGAGGGAGACGTAGTAGGGCATCTGGTCGGAATCGACGGGGGAGTCTCGGTCGCCGGGATCGCAGGTGTCGCGGTGGGTGCGCAAGACGGCGGCCAGTGATTTATTCTTGTCGGTGATGACGAGCTCGGGGAGGTCGAAGCCGGGGTACTTCAGGTAAGGCTGAATGCGAAGAAGCTCAGCGCTCGTAATCTCGGGGGAAGGATCGACTGGAGGTGAAATGCAAGGCTCGGATGGCTAGAAAATTGGTCAGTGTGTGGCTCACTGAAAGGTCTACATGAATGATGACATACCGCAGGGCTGGGCCGGAAGGCGACTGAGAAGTCGAAACTGGAGAACGAGAAAGGCATCGGAAGGCCATGTTCATCATGGTAAGACTTATTGTAGGAGTCCATGGCGTCTGTTAGAAGTCAGAAACGGGAAGGGATTTCCAAGTTCTGGAGATGGGCTTACCCAGCAAGCAAGCGAGTTGCGAAATCGAACGTTGACTCTGGTTCTTAGGAATTAATTGATATTGTTGCTCAAGGGACGGGAGAGATGAAAAAAGGATAAAAACCAAAGAAATATGCCTGAAAGAAGACCGGTTTGGTATGATCTCGCAAAGGAAAAAAAAAGAGGAGGGCATCATTATTCTGGCATGATTGAAATGATTGCACAAAGGGGTGTCGGTGACCGGTTGGTTGAGGGCTCGGTGAGCGCTAATGACCCCACAAAATAAAAAAAACCGCTCACCTTGCCCTCACCGAGTCAACTTCTCGACCATAAGGCGGACTTGAGGCAGGATCTCCTTCTATCTCTACCTCACGTAACCCGACTGGACTTTTTGCATCAAAAAAAAGAAAGAAAGAAAAAGCCTCACGATCTTCCTTGGTCATTCTTTTGGCTGCGGCTCATCGGAATTCCTCTTCACTAGGTATTCTATCACCATATCTAGGCACTGCTACTTGGGCCTCGATAGACCTAAGACCCGGCTCAAACCGGACCAATCGTTGTAAACTCCGAACCGGTTCTCGGTGTATGAGCTCGTTCAAGCGTTTCTAAGCGAGCAAGCCAAGAGTACTGCTAATGATGCGTCAAATACCCGAGCCATTTCTCTCCTCGTTTGTTGATATCTTGGAAGGAGTATCCAAGCCTTATCGTGGCCATGTTCAGATGACGTCGATCGAAGTCGGTGTGGTACAACTAGCCTGAGGCTCTGGGGATGCTTTTGTCGAGGACAGCAGCCATCTCTCCGACGAAAGGAAGTTTGCTTGCTGATGCCTACGTCTCCAGTGAAACCTAAACACGTTGCGTGGTCCAGGCTACAAGCACCACCTTCCAAATCACGGCTATTGCTGGTGGGAAACAGGAACTTGTTATAGATGAACGGCTCGAGATCAGGTTCATTCACAGTACTATTTTAGGGTCTATTGCAAAGAGAATTAAGTCGTAAGAATGGCGACATAGAGCTTACTTCGCCGATTAACAAGTGCAGTATAGCCTAAGGATGTCCCCAGATCGTCGAGACCGCTCGTCATCGATGATCGAAAACAGAAGAGAAACTCAAAGAAGGTTCAGTTTTGAGGCTCAACCAACAACGGGTATGAATGACTTGCAGCCTAGTTCGCTACGGATAAAACCCTGCCAGAAGTCGACATCGAACTATCGGCTTCGGGATATGCAGAAGGCTAACTGACTCAATGATTACTTGAATGATCGATAACGATCAATAATATCATCGTGTCTTATGAATTCTTCCATGGAACCTGTTTCCCGTCCGTCAACCGTGCTTCGGATCTTTGTTCATCTGAGACAATCGAATCATGTTTCTTCGTCTGATCCATCGAACCTGATCGCGCATAGCAAAGCGTCCAAAGACCAGCCGGGCAACATCAGCCCCAAAAATTAGAAAACGAGTCATCTTTCAACCGTTAGGCCGAGTCGTCGCTTTGCTTCTGGAAGTGAGTCTTCGGACTGAAGTCCGTCGGGTTGCAAAACCTTCAAAGACCGGCCAGCTCGAGTGGATCTCTCCATTCCCCTGGATTGCATCACGAACCCTCCCTCGGAAAAGGGGTAGCCCTGGGTACAGTAGTCGGCTAGTGAGCATCGGGAATTGATTCGAATCAGATTCCCGTAGTGAGGAATCAATCGGACTCTCCGAACGGTTCACGTTTATGATCGCGATTGCCTTCCATTCTACCCCCGCTTCCCGCGGGTGGCACAGGGATGCCTCCCCAACCAGCAGGTGAACCTGGCTCAGCGCTCGAACTTAACACACATTCATCCAGATCTCCGTGAAATTGCCCCCAATTCTGGTCATCGGACAACTCACTTACGAATGAGCCTATCAAAGTCATTCGGAATCATCCAAGGAAGCGCGCCAGAACACTACACAATTTTCCCCGTCACTTTAACACCATCTGTCACCTCGGGCGTCGATTTGAGGGAGTGCGACCTTCGCCAACTGCCGATTGCACGGACATCTCAACCGAAAGGCTGAGGGCAAGCTTTTCCAAGCTTTATATCAGTCCAGACACAAGCGCCAACCTTCTTGGCAGCCTCATTCTCGAGCATGGAGCCAAGCTTTGCGAGCCGTGGTGTGGCTCGCTCATCCATGCCTGCTTTAGAGTTGGCGAATCTGTGTCATCCGATCGGATCCCAACTCTGATGCAGGGGAGAGCATTAACCTGCGGGAAAGGAGTAAACGTCTCAAGCAAATGGTTGCGTTCACATATATGATTTGAGGGGTGGCACCTTCCTTCGCTCAGAATGTGAAGAATTCTTGGTGTGTATCCTCTGCTTTGCGGGAAATGCTTCCACACCAGACCGGATCGCCAACTACACATCTTCCATCGCCGTCATGTCGGAAGGCGACGCTGCGGTCGCAGAGGCCTTCGCGGCCGGCCGAATACCAGCGGAGATCACCGTCAAGTACCTGGACGAGGATCGGGATACGCCGTCACTGATTGCCTCGATATTCATGTTCGTCCTCACGCTGGTGGTCGTGAACGGTCGCGCATTTTCGCGATTCTTCTTGAGGAAAAGTTTCGGGGTCGATGATGCATTAGCAGTGCTGGGAATGGTGAGGATGGCTCGTCTCTGAGTGTTGAATTTGGACTAACTCAACCACCTCAGGCTATGTTCATTGCCTTCGTACCATTTTGCATCATTCTTATCAACATTGGATCGGGTCGACACTTCGAGTACATCCAGTATGTCATGACGCAGGATATTCTGGAACAAACCGAGATCCTCGATTTCAGCGCACATCTCGTATATTCAACAGCGCTACTCTTCTGCCGCTACTCTGGATTGGCATTCTACTATCGAGTCTGTGGTATTCACACAGGATTTCTCCGCTCCATCAAGGGTCTCGCGGGGTTCCTCTTTCTGGGATGGCTGGCACAGATGTTGCTCATCGTGTTCCATTGTCTCCCAGTGACGGCCATCTGGCCTTACGAGTGGCAAACACAGTTTAATCAGTACAAGTGTTTGCCGTGGGGCTTCGTCTACGGCATCAACTCAGCCGTCTCACTACTTTGCGACTTCGTCTTGTTCGGCATTCCGATTGCGATGCTGCGGATGTTGGAGATGACACGGAAACGGAAGATACAACTCGCCTGTATCCTACTTCCAGGCACGCTGTGAGCTTGATCCCGTCACAGATCTTGTTCGAATATTGATGACTGACTTTCCAAGTGTTGTGGCAATCTCCGTCGTTCGTCTTATTCTTGTCATCAACGGGCAGTGGCAACCAGACCAGTCGTGGATTTACAGCCCTCTCCTCGCTATTGAAATCGCGGAGGTCGGGGCAACGCTCATCGCACTATCGATACCAGGCATCAGACCACTGGTTGACGAGATCTATAACAAGGTCATCATCTGGACAAGCAGGCACTTCCCGTGTCTCTTCAGGAGACGAAACAAAGACATTCACCCCGAGCTTTGGGGCAGCGAAGCTTCAACATGGCGCAACGATCCGACACCGAGACAGGCCGACTTCAAGATGAAGGACATTGAGGAGGTCCTGGGATTGGAACTGGAGGCCATCGAAAAGTACGAATCGAAAACTAAGCGCACGAGCAAGCTCAAGCCGTCGAGGACTAGTAAGGTATCTATGATGGGGATGGGCGAGAATCGCATATGAAGCACGCATGGGAGAGGATGTCAAAGCAACAATACCCTGCTGTTTGTCAATCTTTGTTTGTGCCACTGCTTGGTGGTGACAAAGTTGCGACTTTTGGACCGGCACGGCTTCTTCTCAGTAAACAATATGATGTCATCTTTTTTGACAACCGTACATAGCAATCATAGCGTGTCCGCAAACGACGGCACTACATAGCATGAATTATGACAAGGGAAATTTTGAAAACTCGACACCTTCCATAGTGATAGAAATGGTCCCCACACTCTTCGCCAGGCTCGAGTTCTCATTTGGAATCCGAGGCCAAAACCACACAGAGTGCAAAACATCGCCAAGCCTACCCGCTGACAGCGCTATGCCTCAGACCACGCAATCCCCCCAAGCTGTCACCAGCTGAACCCGCGGCACCTCGAAATCGACCAGCAAACCCGTGGCCAGTACGTCTTTCGCCTGCGGCCAATAATCCCGCTTCGTGGACCACCCTCCTCGCCACAAAAAAGAGTTCCGATGGCTGGCGATTACAGTCTACTACCCCAATCGAAGCGAAGAATGGAAACGTCCAGCCCAGAGTTCACTCACACCTCGTACCTTCTTTCTTTCTCCTCTCTCACCAACAGCTGATGAGGTATGGCGTGAACTCAACTCTGCTCGGGAAAGCAAAGTTGGGATTGTTTGTTCCTGAAGGTGCAGGGGCAGAGCCAGACAAGTGGGGCCTAAGCGAGACGCTTAATGACATTTGGCTAGCGGGGCCGCTGGAGCCGCTGGAAGCCTATTTAGCGGGCTTCTCCGCTAATAAGGTACCGCTCAACGGCGATGCAGGCCCTACTGGCAACTTGCAGCTAACCTGCATAATTCTCTGGTTCTTCCGCGGCTTCTCCCATTGAATGTGCACATCTGTTAATTGGATCAATATCAATCACACATGGGCAATGTGCCCGAAATTGTGGCGAATTCTTCTCCTTAGAGCTCAAACCATACAATCACCAAATAACGCAACTGGCGCCCGAGATTCACCTTTTGCCGGCAGATATCTCGGACAAACCTCATCGACGGCGACAAATCCAGGAACTCTCCTCGAGCTCTCACTTCGCCGGATCCCTGTCTCAGCCCAGTCGGAGTTTTTCCTCGGTCCAATCCATCAGATTCTCGCCCCCACTCCTCGTTTGTTTCTCACATTCCCCATACTTGACTCGAGGGCCCGATTGTTTCACGTTTCAACCCGTGTACAACGATGACCCCGGTCCTCCAGCATCAGGAACTGCCCACTCGGCACCGCGAGATCGTCATTTGGCGCCAGTACGAGCCCGAAGGAGCACGTTGAAGTCGAACTTGGAGCCAACCACAGGCCCGCCGACGCACCTTGCGCCCCACGTGCCGGCAGGCGTCGCACCAGCGCGAATGAGGCACGAGAGCCAAGCTCACCCACCGAACTGACAGAGTGATCTGTAATGAAGTTAAGCTTTTTTGGCCTTTCTTGGAATTTCTTGGGTGTTTCCCTCGGCGCCAATACATCCCGCCCCGCTTGCCGCTGCCGGGGGCGAATGGGGACCATCGGGCTGGGACGTCTTCCCTCTTGGTTTTCGGGGTTTACCTGACTCTGGGTTTCCTTGGCGACGTTTCGGCGGTATGGAGTTGACGCCGAAAACATACCGGCTTTGGGGTCGAACTGGACTAGTGGGCGGACTCTCCCAGAGGGCGACTCTCCTCCTGCCCGTCCGTTGACTCGGCCGGAGGTCTCGGCCAGGAGACGTCCGGCGAGGTGCCGAAGGGCTCCCCACACCCGGGGGCTGAGCGACGCTCTGAGGCGTTAGCTCTCGTTATCGGAACGCGACGTGAGCGGGTGAGACGCCGTGTTTGGGTAATGTTGACGCTGCTTCGTGTCCTGTCATTTCGTCTGATGGCTTGACGTATTGCGAGATCAATTTCTTGCGATGGTGTACCGGGTGCCGACAGGTCGGCGACCAGATTGACGACCACGAGAACGGTAGGAACGACGGCGGACTGATGGACGTTGAAGGTCCGCTAGAGGCCGCATATGAACTGCATGACTTGGGTCACGGTCGCAGGATGCGATACTAGATTTTCGGCACTTGAGGGCGGTTCACTATCTTCTCGTGGCAAGTACTCCTTCATCATTAGTACGTCAGTATACTCATTGCTTCACGGGCAGATCTCGATCGCGAATCCGAAAACACTTATTTCTCTACCTTGGAAAGGAATAGCTTTTGTTCGAGTGTCAGACCACGAACTTCGCCTGGCACCTTTCAGCGACCTGAACCATCAATATTTCCTCTTAAGTACTTTGTCCACGGCTTGGCAAGTCTTCTGGACGACAACGTTGCGGAGCTCCGGGGCCAAACCTCTGTCATTTCGGAACTAGGTTCCGATGAATCCTGCCCCTTTCCCGACGTCTTCTGAACGAGACGCCCTCGCTCTTGAACACTTCAACCATCGACGACGCGTCTCCTCTCTGCTCGTTCGGATCACCACTTCGTCATGTCGAGACCAAATCAGCAACGACTTGAAGCATCGCCCTCAGGATGGGTTCACGAGATAGGTGAGAGACCTTTCTGATAGTGATGCGAAACCTGGGATCATAACTGACGGTGTACTCAAGCAACGTTTCTGGACATGATCATCAACGACCAGCAGCGTTTGCTCTCGAGAAGACCCATATCATCATCCCGAGGCTGTTCAGAATTGGCAACAAGCCTGAATACCCAAGGTGGAACAGAGCTTTCGTGTATTTCGAAAGGCGTGCCGAGACCACCCGCCGACGGAGGCAGCCTGCCGGACCGAAGCCATACTTACGAATTGGGGCAACACGGATTGTCTCGGCGACGATGAGCCATTCTTTTCTTCGACAGGGACGAAAGCGTTTGGCATAGTGATGGGCCAATACCCCTGTACCCATCGAAGAGAATGTGTACCCGGCATTCGAAAGCTGACACGGAGGTATGATGTTTGGGTCGAGGGCTTTGTGGGCTACGTTATGTGTTGATACCGCTGCATGTTGTTTTTTATATTTGTCTTGCTCTGTCTTATGTCTGCATTCATTCGTATAGCATCTTACCAGATCCAGCCCTTCATGTTACGAGGTATTCTCCATCTCCTCTCCATTTCATACTTATATGCCGTCCGAGATTGAAGTTTGATTTGCCTTGGCAAGGAGCAGAAACATGTTCTATTCTGATAAATCTTTATGGTGATGTTCATTGTGCACTTTGTTCCTTCGAAGGTAGAGATCCTGTCTAAACAACCCAGACTCTCTCTGCTTTATTCTTCGACCACAAAGAGACAGTTCGTACACTCAGCACGATTACGTCAAGCTGGCGTCTTACCTCCTGGTTTGGCCCATCCCCAGCGGCCCAGCAAGAAAGACTACACATCGCTTGGTGGCCCATCGACTGTGGTGTGCGTGCCAAAACAAGCCCTGAAGCTGGCATGTTGGGCAGAGATACCCAGTCAAGAATGCTTTGTTTCATGGGGAAAACGCATCGGGGCGTTGACCGCGGTCATTGTGCCGCCTTTTAGCCCTCAGGTGACGGACTGAGCATGGACGCGAATGCCGACAGCGTGAGGCATTCTGAAGGCATCTACGTAGGGGTGCCGCTCAAATGGTCCCCTTGTAATCCGAGACAGGCGAGCAATCTCATTGATGAGATCTGTTGTAGCGCTTCTAACGTCAAGGATGTATTGGGAAACCAAGATCCAGACCATGTGGTAGAAACAATGAGTCTGCAATCAAATCTTCCTTTGTTTCGCGAACTTGCAGTACACGAGTTTCAGGGTGGTAAGTCTCGGTATTGCGGGCTACTCCGTACATTTTATCCTCCGTCCGGCCTCTGCATTCATGTCCCACACGCCCCAGTACAATACACTAACTCTCCAGCCGCGTCGATGTCGGTTTGTTGTTCGTTGATATCTGTTGCTGATTAGCTGTGGTTGCATTGACAGAAGATTTGGAACCTACCACAGGGCATAATTCTCGCAAGCCAGTATCTCTCGCAGCACATCATCTCAAACGTCGTTTCCAAGACGTCGCTTCTTGGAGACATCGTTGAGATCCTCATCCGTAAGAGTAGTGTCGTCATGCTTCTTCGCCTGTTCGTTTTCGGTCTGCAATCCGTCATGGACTGGCTCGTTGGTGTGCTCAGAGGTCGAAGACAGGTTTGTGGACGAGGCGAGAGCAGGCCGAGTAAGCTTCTTCAAAGTGGCACGAGCACCTCGAAGCTCAGCGAGGTTCTTGTTGAACGCCTCCCGAAGGGATTCCATCTCGTCGTTCTTCTCTTGCATCTTGACTCGGTGCTCCATGGTCTCGTACTCGTACGCCGCATTCTAAGTGGCGCGGTGAAGTTCCTTGTCCTTGGTAGAGAGAGGGGCCTCCAGGGGATCGTCGTCGAGCTTGTCCTCGATGTGACGAATGTGGTTTTCGCGGGCCTCTCGCATCGGGTCATCAATGCTCTTCTTCTTCTTGGTCTTTTCGTTCTTCGAGGCGTCGACCTTGGTGTCAATCTGACTCTTTCTTCTCGTTGCCTTGCCTTTCTTGAGAGCCACCACGTGACACAACCAGCTCCATTCGTCGACAGCCTTCCAAAGGTTCTGCACGGCATTAGACTGGTAGATGACATTCATGGTCTGCGCATCAGTCTGGACATTCTGGACGTTGACGGCGTCGATGTTTGTGGTCGCAGGGGTGTCTGCATTGTTCAGGTGCGACCTTCTCGCGTTGCGCATCTTGACCATCACCTTCTTCAACATGTTCATGAGACGGTCGACAGGTTCATGATCGGGGAAGCTCCGGTCGTAGGAGAGATGAGCTGCGACCACTCGCCAAAAGTCGAAGCCATCGATGTCGAGGAGTGGATGGCTGAGCCTCGCGTCAACGGCGGCGCGGAACATGAGAGCCATACGGGTCGCAATTGATGAGACAGAATCATCGAAGTGGCCTGCTGGATTGAGATGAAGCATGGCCCAAATTGGCGTGTCATTTCCAATGGTGAAGCTGGGAGTGTACTCGAAGCCCGGAACGGCTCGGAGGGCGCGGTCAACGGTCTGGAGCACGTCGACCATGGTGACCTGAACTCTTTTGTGAGTAACAACAGACAAAATGAGAGGGAGTGACATGGACTGACCGGGAGACGAGGTTGGGAAGCGAGTTGTGATACGACGATGGGTGGGTGCGTCAAATGCGCACATGCTTACGGCAGGACGCGGTAGGAATGAGAGATATGCAAAAATAAAACGAGCGCTGAAAATTCTTCAGGAAAGAAGTTACAGTTCCAAGTCTTCGGGGTGAAGAGGCACACCCGAGGGTACCACCACGTGACCACCTCACCTTTCGACCATGAGCCCCACCGGCTATTCCCAAGGGAGACAATGAACTCAACGGGATGCTACTTGGCGAGCCTCGCGCATGTAGATATTCAAATATTATCTGACAATGCCACAACGGTTGATAGTCTTGTTCCCGAGAACAGGGAGCCCGAATACGGTCTGTGTGGTCATGAAAAAACACCCAGGTTCGATTCGCGGCTTCCACCTTTTTTTAATTGTCTTTTTTTCTTCGATCCTCCTTTTTTCTAAGTCCACAAGCCCCAAAACCCTTTTTAGGGGGTTGAGATGACTGGAATCCCTAGACGAGAGGGTACTTTACAATATTGGCTTATTGAAAATCGTCAAAGTGACATTACCACAGCGGTTAATAGTCTTATTGGGAAACTCGGAGACAGTGCCTAAGTAGATTGAGAAAGCACCCGGGTTCGATTCGCAGTTTCCACACCTTTTTTTATTCTATCTTTTGATGTTTGACTTTTGAATCCATTGCAATTTTCAGCGGCCCTTTCTCCTTTGTTCATCTATGTGTTTTGACGCCCCGACGATAATTCGCCGAATATTTGGAGCCTTTGAGGGTATTATGGCAGCTTAGACGATCCTGTCAAAGCCGACGTGCGAAGTTCAATTGATCGGCAGAAAACGTAGCTTTTCGGAAGGCGTAGCAGATGCATTGACGAGGAACATGTGTTTCCTCAGCAACAAGAAACGGGTATCAGGGCACCAAACACGCGCACACCGAGCCGCCCCCTCTTCCACCATCGTAATTTGTTTGCGTGGCACCACCAAAGCCTGCACACGGGAAGAGACTCGCCAAAACAAATGGGAACTTGCTCATCCATTCTCACATCAGCACCTCGCGAGGTGAGCCTACTGTGTCGTCGATTCAAGGTGGTGGGGGTGTTGCGTCGATCATGGTCAAGGTTGCGGCGCCACCCATGTCGCATCCAATCAACAGTCGCGTCAATCCCAAATGCAGCAGTAGCAGTGTCTTACCGCGCCATGCAGAGCTAATCGACCAGATTATCGTGATTATCGTGATATTTTGCGCAACTCGCCCTTTCCTCCGACGATTTTTGTCTTGGTTTTTTCTTGCGACGATGGATGAGTTGGAAGAGCACGAACAGCACACATGAAAGGTCACGCCTCCCGCGTGGTTTTGTCAGTCATCTGGGCCCTTTTTAGGGGTGCTGACGGTCCGCGCTCCACTAAAGCCAGACACTGCCCGGAGCACCTTACTTTCCAGGACTTTCAACCTCAGGCCAAGGTCATTGGCCTTTCGCAAGGATAGGCAGCCTCAAGACATAAAAAGAACGAACATTATGAAGTGAGCAAAAACAATGAATTGTCGTAGCAAAATTCGAACTCGTGCCAGGAAATAAGCATTGTCGATGTCGACCCGCATGCGGACAGCGTCGACTGCAAGGAAAACAAAACTTGAGAGGGCATTGTTTCTACGCAGCAGAATACAGAGCTCGAACATCGGCGACGGTGTTTCGGTTGCGTTCTGGGCGCTTCGACGTTCTTCGACGTATTGCGCCATGCCACAAAATTAAATCTCAGCTTTTCCACCGTTTGAACTGGGGCCTGCGAGTCGTAACCAAGTGTCACGTGGTGAGCCCTGCCTAACGCTTCCATCGTGACTCTCAAAGGCAGGTGCAGCGTTCAACGCCCCACATTGCAAGCCGAGGGCAGCTTCTCGCTACGTACCTTCCGCCAGCTCGCTCTCATTGCAAGAACTTTTTGATCTCCCACACCGGTGGTGATTTCCCAAACTCCAAAGTCTCTGGAGCGCCAGACTTGAGTCCGAATTTTCACCATCTCTTGCATCGCAAGTCGGATCTCGGGCAACCGGGTTCATCACCGCCATGCTGGTCACAACTTCCTCCGTGGAGGGAAAGAAATCCCCCGACACGGAGTTTCTTTTGTATGCTCCTGACCTTCCGCTTAGCTCGCTCTTGTATTTACTGACCATGATGGACAGGACCACCATCAATCAGACCCAAGACTCAGGAGGCCTCAGCATCGAGCAGTGCAAGTCTTATTTTGACAAGCTCCACGTCGCTGAGGAGAAAACCAAACTCGCCGAGCTCATGCAAAAGTCGGACCGATGCCTTCGGGTGAATGTCGAGATGCAGAACATCAAAGCAGCCATCAAGTCCCTCATGTCAGACATCAAGAACGACAAGCCGTCTCACGAGACTACCGGCGCCGCCGAAAATCTTGTCGACTACGTAAAGGCTGCAGCAAAAGCTACCTCAGTCGACCATCTCCAAGCCGTTTCGAGCAAGACCACCACGGTGAATGACGTCAAGCAAATCCTCCCGCCCGATATGAGTCTCGACGACATAACCTCGGCGGAAAACTACATTGGACCCGTCTTTGCATCGATCCTCGAAGATCTCAGCAATGCGAAGATTGAACTCACCCAGTTGCATCACAGCAGGGTCGAGGCAGAGAATGATTGGATTGCGCTCAACGACAGGGTCAAGGCCAAGTCCGCTCAGATGCTTGAAGCCAAGAAAGCGGAGATGACGAAGCTTCACCGCATCATCGCCAAGAAGAAGCGCGAGGTCAGAGACTTGAAGGCTCAGTTTCTTGAAGACAACGATGCAACCACAATGGCATTGTCAGGAATCATAACCATGAAGGACAGCGAGATCAACCGTCTGGAGGCTCAGCTGAGAGATGCGGTTTCCAGCAGCCACGATGAGATGGAGGCTCTGCGGCAAGAGAATGAGACTACTATCAATGGTAAGAATCGGCGAATTTTCCAACTGCTGGATCAACTCGAGGAGGCCCGCGACATTGATTACAGGAATGGCATGCAGATAAACCACCTTTCCAATGCCCTCGACGAGGCTTACCACATTGCCGATCGCAAGGAAAGCCACATCCTGGCTCTCCGGGATCGACTACATGAGGCTGGCGACATTGATTACAGGAAAGGTAAGCAGATACAATATCTTTCCGTTGACCTCGACGAGGCTTACCGCACTGTCAATCGCAAGGACAGCGAAATCCTGGACCTCCAGGACCAACTCCACGAGGCCCGCGCCATTTCTCACAACAAACAAACCCAAGTCTGTCGCCTCTGGGACCAACTTGACGATGCCCATGCTATTGCTGCCTACAAGGATACCCAAATCTCAAATCTCCAGGACCAACTCAATGAGACCCGCAGAGGTCCCGAGGTTCGCACTTATAGTGCGGATTGGTCATAGTCAATGATACTTTGGATCAAATGCGACGGGTAATTCACTGTGGCAGGACGTGTAGCCGTTTGCGGAACTGACGATAGAAGGACAGAACTGAGCGAGGGGCCACGCAGGGATGGAATTCATGTAACCGGCAAAGGATCCGGCGGTGGTAGCCTTGTGGAATGAGTGCGTGACTTACAGATGCTACTTTAGTCAATGAAGAGTCAGCTTGTCAAAGCCCCAGTATCAAAAGTCGTACTCATCCTCCCGAGTGACAATGCGAACTTCATTCCGGTGGTCCCCTTCCAAGGACGTACGGTTCTATATCTGAGCTCCGCTCAACTCGCAGAACTGGCCCAAAATTTGAATCGAGTTTAACGTGGAGTGCATTGAAGCTCTCGAGGTCACAAAAAGAACACCGACCGAGCATATAAATGGTCGAGGACATGGGCGAGAAAGCAAGGTTGCTCGCCTGAAATCTTAACTTAGTGCCGTTGAGCACCGAGGATGCAAGGAAGCGCTGAAAAGCCCCAAGAAGTATACAGTTGATTCAGGGCTCGTGAGTAAGAATAAAAAGGCCTGATTGTATCTTAAAACCATCAATGTCTTTGTAAAGGTCATCCAGCACACTTCTTCGTGATGGTATTTGGACTTCCAAACTTCAAGCCATGGCATTCTTCCTCTCTCCGTGGTTCTGACAGCCTCTTACTTCCTAATCCTGCTTCCAAGCCAACCCTCGAGTGGAAGCCTGACATAAGTACTCTACGGCACGTATGTTATAATGTCTTCTCGTGTTCCATCTTTTGTTCCTGCTTCTATTTCCGGGCGTAGTCGTTCTTTGTTCACAGAGATGATCAGTACCACGTATACAAGCTGTCCTTCTTGTACAACGTGTCCCTCTTCTCCACTATCTCGCCCTCTTCGCTACCGCTCTCGACACTCTCGTCGCTTTTGCCGGGAGAAGAGCAGACTGCCAGGAGCTGGGCCTTGAGATCTGCGATCTCTCTCTCCCTCGCCGCGACGATGCACTTGTACTTCTTCCGGATACGCTTCTGCTCTTCCTGAGCCTTGCTGACGTCGGCCTTGAGCCCGTTGATATCGAAAACGAGGGCCTCGAACGCCGTCTGGATCGGTGTGCTCGAGGACTTTGGAGCGGCGGAATGGCGGTGCTCTTCATACGACGCGATGCTGCGGACATTGTTCTCCTTTCCTTCAAGGGCGGCGAATCTCTGGGCACGAGCTACGGCAGTGTCCGAGTCCAAGTCCGCAACCATGTCTCCGCCGACCTTTGTCATCGCTTGGATATTTGTGGCCAGCTTTCCGGTTATCCTTGGCTCTGCTTCGAGCTGGTCAAGACCCTTCATTATCGACTTGACCTTGTCGACTAGGCCGCGATTCTTCTTGATCGTGTCGTGGAAGCCCTTGGCGTTGGCGTCGCATTGCAAGATGGCTTGCTCTTTCTCAGCCAGCTGCAGCTGGCGGAAGTAGGTGTTACGCTCATCCGTAGACAGTCCTTGGGTGTTCTCTTCGATTAGGATGGTCGGGCTAAAAGGAACAGTCAACACTACCAAAGCTCGGAATTGAAAGCGGAAGGGGCAATCTTACCGAGTAAGAACGCAGGGAGTCGTAGACGGGCCTCGGTCTGCCGACATCGTGAGTCTCGTGTAGTAAGTTGCAAAGGATTTTCGATGGTATGAATCGTCTCCAATGATGACGGCACTCCGATCCGAGGCCACGACGAGTTGAGCTTGGTGGCGACAGTGTCCTGGAGAGGTCACAGGCGTGAAGATTGGGAAGGTGCCTTACCTAGTCCGCCGCCCTTCCCACGGGACCCACTCTACATAACAATAGGTACTGTACCACCTCACTTTGCTCTCGGGAAGCAGGCGCGCTGTTACCAGGACACGTCGAGTTAATCTGCTTGCCATCGCAGATTCGCTGCCAAATTCGCAATAGTTGTCATCTCTAAACATTAACAAAACACAACATCTTCCTTCTTGCCAGAGAAGCAAAGATATCATTCATAGAAACCGCAAGTTAAAAAAACAAAAAGACAACCCGCCTACTCAGCTTTCGAACTGGCTCCCCCGCGTTTCGGGGCAGATCCTTCACACGCGCCAAAGCAGGGTGATACGTCAAGGCGACAGTCCACACCTAAACCACTAGGCCATACGGCTCAGCGGCAAGGGGGCCATCTGGGGAGGTGTCAGTTTAGGAGGTCAAGGCTGTCTATATGGCCTCATCGCAGCCTGTCCCCAGAGAAGCCCTTCTTCAGACCCACTCACACCGGGTCTGGACGTGGAGTCGCCTACGGACGGCGTGCCATTTCACTTTGAGGACGTTTGCTGGTAAGGCATGGGAGCGATCTCGAGGTAGCTCTGCGGTGCCGTCATTCGCTAAAATCAAAACGCGGCATTCTTTCGCTTGTCAACATTTTCTCTGCCGACTTTGTGATCTGCGCAATCTTTGCGTGGGCATCACCACCACCTGCACCGCCCTCTTTCCCGATCCTTTTCGACGTGTCGCGGCGTCACCTGTATCTTGGCATTTCCTTTCCTCGGATATTTTTTTATTTCTCGTCGCTTCGACGTTCCTCCTGCTGCCAACCTTATCATTGCCCTTGGTACTGTCTCCCAAGCCGAAGTTGAGGATCGCAGCTAATATCTGACGACAGCGCCAAAATGATACGCCTCGAGTTCGAGCCTCATGAGCTCAACCTCATCAAACAGGGCCTGTGCCAAACAGGCTTCGCCTATCTCGACCCTGACAACATCATTGACCAGGAACACTGGATTCTTTTCAAGTCCCTCGAACTTCATCCTGACGAGCGTCCGTTTCGAACCCGCAAGCTCATCGTCGCCGTGCGAATCACTGCCATCATTCGAGCAGCCGTTACCATCGCCTGTCAAAACGGCATGGGCCCCACAGCTGTCACGAAGCTTGGTTTCTGGAAGCTTGTCAGAGCTCAGCTGCAGGATGACAAAACCTTCAACTCTGCAAGCAACGAGGAACTTCTGGCCTGGAAGCACATGGTCGAAGTCTATCATGCGGCATGGATAAGAAACGCGGAGCAAGATCCCACGAGCATTAGGTCTCACGTTGCTACTCCCCACAGCAACTCCCCCAACAGCTATACCCTTTAGGACTGGAATAGGACTAGGACATCTATATATAGGCAGACCTAATATAAGCTTAGTTAGCCTATATAGGTCCTCTATAGAGTTTACTTAGATATATATACTATATATAAGTTATAAATAGTATTATTTATTATTTATTCTTTTTTTAACTTATTTTATTAAAATATAATATATATTTATAATATTATTATAAACTCTTTTAATTAGGTTTATAATAACCTAAATAGTTATTTAAAGCTTATTTTAAGATTTATAGCTTATTTAGAGATTAACTTATAATATTTTAATATATTTCTATAGCTTTAAGTATAGAGGCTATATTAATTTATTATTAATTAGTTCTATTAATATTTAATATCTATTTTAATAATATTTAAAAATAGATATATTTCTTTTTTCTAAAAAGAAAGCTTTATAAAAGCTTTTTAAATAGAGAAAAAGGAGTATACTTTTATACTATATAAATAAATTTATTATTAATATAGTTATTAATAATTATAAAGTTTTAATTTTAAGATAATTAAAATATTATAATAACTTTAAAGATTATCTTTATAAATTTAATTTTAAAAAATAAAAATATAATAGCTATATATTTAAATTTAAAATAAAGATAATAAAGACTTTAAAAAGTTATATATATCCTCTATAACTTAATTATTTTTTAAAAAAGTTTTATTTAACTCTATTTATAATAATAATTTTTCTTAGAGAAAGAAAAGTTTAATATTTACTTTATAAACTAAATATATACCTTTTAATTAATAATAATAAATAATAATAATATTTATATAAATAAAATTGATAAGTCTTAAAAAGGGTAACTTAAAGAGATTATTTATAATAAATTAATTAATATTATTAAAATATAATATAGTAATATTTAAAACTTAATAAAAAGTAAAAATAATATTAATTATTTATTATTAATAGAAAGAGCTAAAATACTTAAATAGAGAAAGCTTAATTAAGAGCTTCTTATTTAAATAGAGTTAATAATCTTTAAAATAAAAAGAAATATTTTAAACTATTTTAAAAGTTAATAAAAGCTCTCTCTTATTATTATTAAAATAATAAACTTTTCTTTTTTTTCTTTTTTTAATAATAAGAGATATTTATTAATAGAAACTTTATAATAAATATTTAAAAATAACTTTATTAGTTTATTATATTATATTATTATATAATAAAAGTATAAAATAATAAAAATATTATTAATAATATCTAGAAATTAGCTTAAATTAATTAATAAAGCTATTAAAGTAGATATATCTATTTTAAACTTTATTATAGTAATAACTAACCCTCTAGATATAAGCTCCTTTTAAAGGCTAACCTTTATTAAGATATAAAATAAAGTAATAGCTAAATCTTCTTTTAATAATATAGAGAATAATTATTCTATTAAGAGTAACTTTATTAATTACTATTAATTTTAAGCTAACTTTAATATTATTAATAATTATATTATATCTAAGTAGCTAATTATTAAAAAAGCTTAAAAATAAAGATAATTTAAAGAAAGATTACTCTAATTTAAGTCTATATTAACTTATTTATATACCTCTTAATTAACTATAAATAACTAGTTTAACTTTAAAAATAATATTATATTCTAATTAGTTTAAGCTCTATAGAGGTATTAAACTATTATACCTATAGTTCTATAGAGTAATTATATCTTTAAGTTTATTAATAATAATATTTTAAACTTCTTTAATAGATATAAAGTATATAAAAAGATTAATAAAAAGATAGAGAGCTATTTAATTACTTAAATTAAATATTATTATAACTTTAATTATTATTATATTATAATAAGGATTATAAATAGTTATTTAAATTAAAAAAGTCTTAAAGAGGCTTTTATAGGTTGAGAGTATTACCTAGCTCTAAGGGAGCTTTATAGTAGTTTACTAATATAAGTTTCTTAGTTCTTTAATATAATTCTAGTACTTTAGCCTATACTATCTCTTGATATAATAAATAGATATAAATAATAGTTAAACTAGTATTAACTAATAAGCTTAGCCTAGCTAAGGTTTTTAAGTATATATAAGTTTATAAGAGCTATAGGAAAAGAGACTTTATTAAAAAATATTTATTTATTATAGATTTATTAAAGCTTTATTATTTATTAAGAGCTAAGTTATAAGCTATTATAAATTAAATAAGCTTGTATAAAGAGCTACTCCTCTTAAGCTTCTCTTAATAAAGTTTAAATTAGTTCTATTTATATAGATTACTTCTTTTAATATTATTTATATTAATATATTAAATAAAATATTTAAATTATCTTTTTTACTTAAAATTAATATTAATATTATAATAAAATTAAAAACTAATAACTATTATAGTTATTCTTATAAGCTTATAAAAAGGGAATAATCTATTTATATAATAGATCTATTTATTAATTAAATTTCTATTTTTCTATTTAATAGCTAGAATATTATAATAGAGGAGGACTTAATTATAATAAAAGATAACTATATTATTAATATAAAAGATCTCTCTAATAAGCTAGCTTCTTAATAGATTAGGTCTATAATAAGTAATAAGATACTTATTAAGAAACTTTAAATTAAAAAATCTAATAAAAAAGTTATTATTTTAGAATTCTTTTTTAAATAAAATTAAAAAGAGTATAACAATACTATTTATAACTATTCTAAGTTTATTATTAAGAACTATACCTCTTAAAATAATAAAAAGTAAGTAAATACTTTTATTATAATAAATAAAAATCTCTTTATTTATATAATTAAAATATTAAGCTTTATATTTAAAGTTACAAAAGAGATTAATAAGTAAAATAAGTTTATTATAAATACTATTTATAACTCTATATAAAACTCTTTCTCTATAGTAAAAGTTATTATTATTAAAGTATATCTTATTTCTTAAAATAGAGCGTTTTATATTAATATAAACCTTATTAATATTAACTCTTTCTTTTAAAATAGAGTACTAAATAATCTATAAGAAATAATATTAAGACTCTTTATTATTAGAGTTAATATTATTAATATTATTCTTACTACTAAAGATTAATAGAAAGGCTTAAATATCTTTATAGTATTTATTAATAACTTTATAGCTCTAGCTCTTTATTCTTTATTAATAGTTACTTAAAAATAAAAAGTTTTAATAGCTTAAGACTTTATTATAACTTACTTTTAAATTACTATATATATTAATAGCCTTAAGAATAATAAATATTATAATATTATTAATATTAATATATCTATTAATATTATCTCTAAAGACTATATAGCTTATAATAACTTAATAAAGAATATTATATTTATAAAGATTAAAGTTAAAAGCTATATTAATATTTATATTAGCCTTAAGTTTTATAATATAATAATAGAAAATATTTATATTAAAGGTATTTATATATTTAATATTATATTTTTATTAACTTATTTAATAAGATATTTAAAGAAATAATTCTTAAAGGACTTTTTATTCTCTATATTAAGATAACTCTTAACTATTTAGATATTTAGATTATTAATAGGTTTTAAGCTAATAATTATAAAATCTATACCCTTTTAACGTTCTATATAATAAAGTTAACTATTAAGTTCTCTTAAGTCCTATTAAACTCTTAATACTTTTCTTAAGCTTAATAGTTCTAATTATTATTTATAGAGGAGAGAAACTAAAGGTTATTACTATTAAGCTTAATATAATAAAAGGCTTAAGAGAAATAAATATTAATTAGACTATTAAAAATAACCTCTAATTAATTAATATTAACTTTTTAGACTTTAACTTCTCTATTTAAAAGAAAATAAATAAAAATAAAAATATATTAACTATTTTTAATAAAAGTAATAAAGACTTTATTAAGATCTTTAAAGTTTTAATTTAATAAGCTATAAGGCTAAAAGTTAAAGAGATTATAAATATCTTAATAAAAATAAATATTACTTATTACTCTTATTAAGATATAAATAAAGTATATAAAAGATATTATAAACTTAAATTAATCTTTAAAATAGCTAGAATATCTTATTAAAAGCCTAAATGATATAAGTTAACTTCTACTTCTTAAGATTATATTTAAGACCTCTTTATAATCTTTAATTAATTAAAAAGCTTAATTTTTTATGATAAATAAAATAAAGCTTTTAATTAGCTATTTTTATAATAAAAGAGAGCTTTTATTATTATTAAATTATATAATAGAGAAAAAAATCCTATTTTCTATATAATAATATACCTCTTTATATATAGTAAGGTAACTCTATTTAGAGATTAAAAAATAGTAATATAGATCTTTTAATTTTATAGCTTAGAATAAATTATAATATTAAAATTAAAGATTTATAGCTTTAATTAATAAATTTAAAATAAATATAAAAAAAACAATTATACTTAAAATTAACTTCTTAAAGTTTAAATCTAATTTTAGCTTAATTAAAAAACTTTTTATTATAAATAGATATAATCTATATAATATAGATTTTAAAAATAATATTTAAAATATTAACTTCTCTAAAAATAAAATATAAAATTAATATTAATTCTATTTTAGCTTTAACCTTAATAGAGAATCCCTTATAGATATATATAAAGTCTTTAAGGATAAACTTTAAGCTATAAATATTATTATAATTACTATTAATATCTTTATAATATATAAAACTAAAAATAAAAAGATCTACTTTATTAATAATACTTTATTTAATAGATTAATACTTAAGGGTAACTCTAATTAAAATTAAAAAATATAATTAAAAGCTAAAAAGAAGATTAAAATTAATAAAAATAACCTCTTTATAAACTTAATTTTATTAAAGTTTTTTAATATACCTATTAAGTTATATTTAACTTTAAAGTAGCTTAAAAAAGTTTTAGTTATAATAAATTACTTCCTCTTAACTAAAAGAAAGCTTTTAATAGAGATCTTAAAGAACTAAGAAATAGCCTTTATATAAGCCTTTTTTTATTATAAATTTATTAACTCCTCTATTATACCTTTATAATATATCTAAATAGTATTATATTTTATATAATAAGCTAAAAGTATTTTTATTCTAAAGGCTTTAAAAAATAATATTATTATTATCCTAAATGATTATCTTAATAAAGGGATCTTTAAATAGAGTTATATTATTTATAAAAACTCTTTCTTTTTTATTAAAAAGAAAAATAAAAGAATATACTTTATTAACTTAATAACTAAAGTTAATATTATTATAATATAATATATAGTACTACCTTTTATAGGGAATAAATTTTTAGAGGACTTTATAATATATTAACTTTTATTATTTCTAAATTTCTTTTTAAAATATAACTAAGTTCCTCTAAATAAAAAGAGTAGAGATATTATAATATTTATTATATTGATTAGCTTACTTTAGATATATATTTTATTATAAAGAGTAATAAGTTTAATAGATTAATTTATAAGAGTAATAATTAAGATCCTTTATAATCCTATTTATATATATTATAAAGTATTTCTTAATAATACTATTATAAAAGGCTTAATAATAATATATAATAATAAAGAACTTTTAAGCTATTTTAAGCTTTATTAATATATTATAAAATACCTCTAGAATATTAATAATATCCTTATTAATATTAAACTAATTAAATATATTATTATAATAGAGAAGTCTAAATAAGCTTAATACTCTTTAGCTATTATAAGCTATATTTATAAAATAAATAATTAATAGCTAATAAATATAAAAGTAGTTAAGATTACTAAGTAAGGGGTTTATAATAACTTTATTAAATTTAAAGCCTTTTTTAATATTACTTTATTCTATTATATTTAAGTCTAAGGTTTTTTCTATATTATTAAACCTCTTATTAAACTCTCAAAGAAAGGTATTTACTTTATATAAAAAAAAGCCTATTAAGCTATAATAGATATATTAAAAGATAAACTTATTAATACCTTAATTTTTATTATTATTAACTATAGCCTAAATAATAGAATTATATATCTTATTATTAATATTAATAATATAAAATAAAGAGTAGTTTTTAGCTAATATATTAATAGAAAATAAGTTATATCTAAATATAAGAGTAAGTTATAATATAAAGTAAAGCTAAACTATAATATTAATAAGAAGAAGCTTAAAGGTATTTTTAAAGCTTTAAAGTATATTTATAACTATCTCTATAGTTAATACTTTATTTTAAAAATAAATATAAAAATACTAATTATTTAATACCCTATTAAAACTAATATACTTTACTAATAGCCTTTAAGCTACTTATCTATAGAGTTTATATATTAATCTATCTAATTACTTTATATTTTAAGCTAATTAGGACTTATATTATAAATTATATTTATTTAATTTTAATTACTACTAAATAGACTACCTCTATTATTAATAATACTAATTATATTAAACCTTTATATTAATTAGACTAAACGCTATAATAGAGACTTCTTTTTATTAGCTTATTAGATATATTATTATATTAACCTATTTAAATGCCTACTATCCTTTACTATTTCTAAACTTAATATAACTCTATTAAGTTCTTCTAATCTATAGGTAGTTTCAATACTATTCTTCTATCTTATTAGTAAGGCTCTCTATATTATATAAACTTACTTAACTTATTAATAGTTATTATATTAAAAAAGTAGTACTACTATAGAGGCCTTATATTACAGCTAGCTAACTGATAGTGGGTTTATATTAATAGTAAGTTAGGGATTGAGAACTATAAATAGTAATTAGTTATTCTATAGGTCTAATTAAGTAATTATAGGTCTTTAAAGGTCTTAGTAATTAGTTAAGGCCTTAATAAGAGTTATAAAGTAGTTATTACTTAGGTATAGCTAAAAGTACTAATAAGGGTAATTATAAAGTTAATTACTAAAGAGCTATAGAAGTCTATCCTTAAGCTAGACTTAAGTCTATCCTATATATAAGTCCTAGATACTTCTCTTCCTATATAGACTATAATCTAAGAGTTAGTCCTCCTTAAGGACCGCCCTTAGTACGTTAGTCCTAATCCTTATCCTAGTCCTAGGACCGCTTATTAAGAGTTAGTCCTACTTATTATTATATAACTTATACTATAGTTCTTCTATTCTAGGTAAGCCCCTTATATTCCCATAATCCTATATATAAAGGTAACGTTCTAACCGCCTAGTATCCTTATAGGGCGTTCTTCATTAGTTATGCCTAACGGGTTATAACACCTTAACTACTTATTAGGGGCTACCTCCTATTAATAGATCTTATTTATCCTTTAGAGAGCTTCTTAAGTAGTAGCTCTAGCCTCTTTAAGCTATTTAATATACTTAGGCTTAGTAATATTATTAGTAATACCTAAAGTAAGTAATACTAAATCCTTATAGATATTGCTATTCTTACTATTACTAAATAATAGGGCGTTATATATCTAATAGATAACTCTAAACTTCTATTATAGTATTAATTAGAACTATAGAGTTATAATATTATTAGTTTTAAGAGGGATTGTATAAGTACCTAACTACTTATAATTATAGTAGATAATAGTAAATAGTTTAGTCTTAATATAGTAGAGTTATATCTTAATTATAGAGAAGGGTTATTAAGGAAGCTTTAAAAGGGGGGTTAATATTAAAGTAGAGGAAGAGAATATTAGTATTATAGTAAGTAGTCTCTTCTTATATATATCTTCTCAATACCCTAATAAGGCTTCTTCTATATAACTTATAAACCTTTCTCTAGTATATAAAATTTATAGAAACCCTCTATCTAAGTTAAGGCTATTATAGTTAAGGCTATTATAGTTTAGCTAGCGGACCCAGGGCCAAGCGAACAACCTAATTCCACATGGACTCCACGCGTTTGGGAGGCCATCAATACCCAGAACAGTTGATTCTGTAATCCTTTGCCTGATGGATCATCTCCGGACTGCGCTATCGATGGTGGTCGGCTCATAGCTTGGAAGAGTCCATGCCCAAACAATCGGAGGGCGAAAGCTGATTGGGTAGGCGAGGTGTTTGAAGAAAAGAGACAAAAGTTGACAAGCTCTTGAGGTGAGAAATTTCGCCAGCGCACAATCCAAGAAAACACGCGACTTATTTCCAAGTAGGCAAGTCGAAACTGGCGTGAGGACAATCCACCTCTCCAAGTTACCCTCGATGATCTCGGTTCTGGGAAATTCTCCGCTTCACCTCACCTTTTATTTACATAATTAAACGCGTCACCCTGGACAGCTGCAGACTCCATCATCAGCTATCTGTATCTATCAATCTCTCGCCCTTGCTCGCGGCACTCCGAACGCTTGGTAGGCGTTACCTGTCCCAGTATGCATTTATCCCTGCTAATACTCACAACTTGAAGGACGAGCAAGATGACCGACGAAATCCTTTCCGACGATGTCATCGAGGCACTCCTCCGCCCTGCGGGAATCTCAGTCAGAGCCGCCGGCCCCTTCTTCGGCACCGGAACGAGGGCGCAGGTCTCCCTGCGCCTGATGAATCTGGACGCAACCCAGAAGCGCTTCAAGCCAAGCGCACTCGCCGTGATCAAGCGCGTCACGTACTGGGTCGACAAGGCCATAAACGTGTCACCTTTGCACCCCGACCTCGACCACAACGATAACGCGTTTTGGGACGCCGTCATCGACGTCGCCGACGACGACAAGACTCTCGAGGACGAGATCAAGCTTCACACCTGTCCCTCCATGAAGCGTGCTGCGATCGCGCACATCGTTCAGAGATTCCGCTTTAATCGCAACAACTTCCTCCGAAGCCAGGGCAACGTCGCGGCTCCGGACGCCGACGCTCCTGATAACGAGACGGAGGAACAGCGCCTCAAGCGCGTCAAGATGCGGTTTTACCTCGGCAAGATGTGGAAGAATCTGGATGACCGGACCGAAGTTTGCAAGGCCTTCAGCAGATGTACGCGTGATGCCAAAAGGGCCAACCGAGAGCGACCCGAGTCCAACGAGCCTGACGTCGAGCCCGTTTCCGGCGCCACCGCTGACCCCAACACCAACAACCTCCGCGAGATGACCCATCACCAGAAGATGCTGCGCGGCTGTGAGGAGTACCTCGACCGGGAGAAAGCCAAGTACGACGCAGCTGGTCATAACTTTACCCAGACTACCAAAAGAGCGTTAGCTTCCGCCTAGAAGGCGGGTCACATCAAAGGCAGTGAGGAGTACAACACCCTGGCAGAGGCGTACGATAACGTTTGGACGGAAAAGGCCAACTTGGAGGCTGCGCTGGCTTTTTTCAAGGCCGAGAACGACGAGTATGAGAACGATGGAAGTGGCTCAGGCGAGGAGGATGATGAGGGCCAGACGTCTTGAGGCCGTACCGGCAGCTGTCTTTCTGCATGTGTTCATCCCCAAGATATGTCTAGTAGCACTTTGTAAATAGTCATCGCACCGCACATGTTCAAGTCAAGCTCAAAGCAGCTATTTCGAGAGCCCGACAGGCTGCTTCAGATCCACAAATATGAAGGAAATAGGGTTATCATTGCGATTATCTGTCCGAATGCTACATGCAGTCAACAGGTCTTTTCCGGGGAAGTATCGACAAAACATCGTGATTCAGGGACGCTTGAGAAACAAGAAACACCACGACGAACGAAAATAAAACGCCGCAAATGCCCCCCAAACTGCATCAAACTTCAAAAAGAACAAAATATCAAAAAGGTAAAGGTCACAGCGATCGAGCGCCCGGCACCTAAGCGAAGGGGGCATTGCTCGAACAGATGACCTTCGGCGAAAACTGCCTGTCTATCTGGTTTGTACGGTCTTACGTGGGAACCACTGGACCACCGCGACATGCCTCTTTTGATATTTCTTGAGCTTATAGACCTCACCCTCGAGGTCCGGTCTGATTCTTTCCTGTGGGCCAGTTCTGGGCCCATTCATTGGCCCAACACTTGGCAAGCGCTTCCCGTCACTGGGCTCGCTCTTTGAGCGCGACAGCACCGCCACACTTATCGCCGCCGTTTTGTGCTGGCAGTGCTCAAGGCCTTCACTTTATTTTTTATCTCCTTCGCTGAGAAGTCTTTCAAAATCCCTTCATCATCGTGGCCGAATGATAGTCGAACGAACCCCAGTGTCAGGTCTATGGAAATCCTCACGCTCAGAAGCAAACAAGATCTGTCCTGCCAATGTCTAGGCGGCGTCGCCAGTGGTCACTTTAACCAAACTCTACAAACTCCTGAACGTTTCGGCGGCCAGATTGACTAAATCTTGGAATTCATTCTTGTCTACGGACGTTTTCATCGCCCTGCTATTCAACTCAGACTTCGCCTTCGCCTTTTGCAACACAAGCCATCCAATGAATTCAAGCCTGTGGTATCAACAGGATCCACGGTTACAAAGGTAAGAAGTGAGATCTGCCGACATCCCGCAGTACCAGAAACAGTGGTTTTTCGTTTCTGCGTGGCGCGCTCAAGCAAAGCTGGACAGGCTCTCCGTGTCGCTGGGCGAGTGAACCATGGCCTCCTCCAAAGCCTGAAGCTTCTTCCGCATTGAATCCAACTCCACCTTCATCTCCAAGGTCTCCTGCTTGGACTTCTGGGCCTTGTTGAAGGAGTTGAGGTGCTCCCCCTTCTAGAGGTCGGCATCCTTCTCTGCCATGCGCGCCTTCTCCTCCGCCTTGATGCGAGCTCTGCGCTCTTGGGCGAGCTGCTTCCTCATCGCAAGGTCCGCCTTTCCCTGGACTGTCTACAGCTCATGTAGATAGTCGAGAACAGTCCACATCTCGGTCAAGGCGCATTCCAGGTGCTCGCGGGCAAGGAACTCGCTCTCGGTCTCGTCCTCGCCGATGGTGGGGGCAGGCGGGTAGGGGTCTCCTCCTCGGTGGATGAAGTTGCGACGGGCGATGCGGCATCTGTTGACAATGTTTCCGATGGCATGGAGCGTGACCAGGGAGTGAGAGGCGTTCTGGGGCGCGGTTGACTTGTCCGTCATGACCATGTCGGCCACTTTTTTCTGGTAGTGGATGGTCTTTGGATGAAGGTCCCGGTATCGAAGGCGAACAGCAAGTGCCTTCTTCACGAAGAAAATCACACGCTTGACGATGGCGATCTGAGTGCGGGCTTGATGGCCTTAGGTCGCTTCGAGGCACATCAGACGCAGCGCACACTCGCCAGCCTTGCCGTTGCCGAAGGTGTTGCCGGCGGCAATGAAGACGAGGCCGCAACCCTCTCGGATTGGTCTGCCTGGGTCATCGTTGGTCTCAGTATCGTCCATCTTTTTTTATGTCCCTGCTTTTTTCGCATCAATTACTTGTTTCATTGTTTGATGCGGATGGAGTTATGGTACCTTCGGTCTAAAAGCTGGGCGAGGTGGTTGCTAGGACGTCGCTGGGATCACAATGTCGAAGGGATGAAAGGCGAAAAGAACGAATCTCACCCTCATTAAGCGAGAGGGAAAAGTCTTTCCCAGGCTAGTGGAAGGATTGTGGTGAATTCACCCGTTTCCATAGACCGTCACGTGCAAACCTAAGGCTCAACTAAACAAACGTCCCCAACATGCGAAGTTGCCATCAAGCGAAACAGAGTATCCCATGGCAACACAGCCTAGAAGGCTGAAAATAAAACCGCCAAAATTAAAGGATAATACTTTAATAAGAAAAAAAGAGAAGCCATATGCCAGGACGCAGCGATTCGCAAGCGTATTCTGGCAATCCGGGCCGATGTAATATTTCTCGAACCCATGACCCCTAAGGCGCCTTGCCGTATCTAGGGGGAACCACTCTCGATCGAGCGAGCCCTTGATCCCCTAGACCATTGAACTTCGAGTTATTTCAGGGACAGTTTTGACCATAAAGGACGGGCAGGTTCTGCCTGGTGCTTCCGCGGCTTCTTAGGCTGCCACCGACCCAAAACCATACGGCATTTTGTGGGCCCGTTGAAGAGTGTCAGATGTGAGGTGAATAGCGAAAGGTGACCTGTAGACCCTTCGAATATCTCCTAGCATTTTTACAAGTACCGATGGAATTCAGAACAACGTAATTTTCATCAACTCTGCCACGGCTTAAGCTAGAGGCTCTTCCACCAGCAGCAATGGGACTGGCATGATCACCGAACGACTGCTGTTCAATGGCCCTCAAAAGAAGCTTTTCAGCGAGCAAAGGGCTTCTAGAGTCTGCCTTTAGCAAATCTTTCGCGCCACCCTCCCTCGAGATCCTGAAGGAGAACAATGACATCACCTACCGCGAGACCGAAACCTTTCACACTCAACTTGAGGAAACAACGGCAACGTCGCTCGCTCTCGGAACGGAACCCATGGCCTCGACGCGGCCAAATTCACCATCGGATTGGCTGAGCAGATGTACGTCGTCCGCTAGCGAACTTTGGCTAGCTACCGCCAAGACCTTGCTGTCGCTGTCACACCCCTGAGCCCATATCCAGATCAGGGAGAAGACAAAGCAGAGATTCCTCGGTTCCATCTTAACAACATTATCCGTCGGAAGCGACGGGAGGTATCAACAAAGAGAGACCAGCAGGACAACAAGATGGAGGGGGTTGACGGCTGGATTCAACAGATGGATATCGAGGGAGGCCCGAGAGTGGAGATGGAGAGGGAAATGTTTAACAACGCTGTTTTAGGTGACCAGGATTCCACGACTGGTCCTTCAACAGGGATTTCCCGAGATGGCTTTCGACTTCACACCGGAAATATCTCGGGGCCCGGGGACACTCTTCTGCATCTTGAAGGAGTATTCGTTGTGGGCAGTTGTCACAGGTATCAAAGCATCAAGGTACCAGACCCGGTAATAATGAAGAACGACCGAATGTCGTATTGCCGCAACGCTAAGTCTCATAGTGCTCATCGCTTGATATTGACCCCCTCTCTTGCTGAACCTTGTCGTGAATCCTCCACTACAGGGCAACCATCACGCCAGCCGCGACACCTGCCGCGACTCCAGCCATGGCCATTCCGGTACACCGAGGCGCGGCGCCCTTGGACCCGGTCTCGGTCGCGGTAGCCATGACACCGGCGTACGCCTCGCTATAGTCCGAGAGATACTCCGAGACGAACTTGTCATCGTTCTCCGGCATCTTGTCGTCCCACCACTTCTCGTCAACCACAACGCCCCAAGTCAAACGGCTCACGGCCAAGGAGGCGACGACTTCGGGCGAGTTGGTGGCCTGTGCCGCCGCAGAAAACATGTTCGAGAACACGGTGGTGACCTTTTCGTCGTTGTAGAATTTGGACTCGACGCTGAATAGAGCGCTGGCCAGACTTGTGGCCTGAGATCCGCTGACGGTAGTTGACAGGCGGAGGCGTGAGAGGTACTCGTCGGCGTCGGTTGACGTGGGGAAGGTACCGAAGATCTGGGCCGAAATTGCTGGCACCAGGGTAGCTGTGATGGCAAGCGTCTTGAACAAGTACATGATGCTTTGATTCGGGGATGTGGTCAGAATAGCTGATGAAGAGCTTTGGGGGAGGCTTGTGGAACAAGGAAGCACAATTGGCAGAACCAGACAGGAACGCGTCTTTGATTAAATACGAGAGGGCAACCGCTGCCAAGAACCATCCCCCGCCTATGAAAAGGTGATTCATTGGATTGTTGCTTCCTTCGTCGTCTTGGCCGCGATCCTGATCCTGCGTCGCCAAACATTTTGCCTTGCCCCCGCCGCAAACTGGAGTGGCACAGCATTATGTTGGCTGCCTAAAATTGCCCCTTGCAACTTCCTAGCCGCCGAAAAAGAGCATGCCCTGGCAAGCAGCAAATATCCAAGCGAGTTGACTCATCGTGATAGTCGTAAATATTTCAGCGCTCGTCAGCCGGGCGAAGCTCCCGCCGTTTTGCACCCCGTCGTAGCGCCCCGATGCTCTCCACTGCGGAGTCATGATGCGGAGGTTGGCCGCACTGATGCGGAGGTCGTGGCGGGGACGATGGTGAGTCTATTTCGACGACATCGGTCCAGTCACCGCATAAAGCCGCTGCAACTGAAATGACTCAGGAGGGGGAACCCAACCGCTTTTGCGGGCGGCAGAAATCTCCTTATCCTTCAACTCAGCTCCGTGGCCGATCAGAAGATTCATAATAGCCGCAGCGTTGTCTTGCCTCTGCCAGATCTCATCGGCGGTTGGCGCCGGCACCCCCGTTTCCTTCTCCCTGTCCAAGACTGGTCTGATGCCGGTGGCGAGGTCGAGCGTCTGAGGGAAAGACCGGGGTGTAACCGGGATTTGAAAAGCGCGACGAAGTACTGAAGATTGGTCTGGTCGGCTGTAGATGGGCGCCCCGGCGCAGATGAGTGTCTCCACAAGACGACGGCTGGTATGCAGCGTTCCTCCCCAAGAGTAAGTGCGGCGAAGCAATAATCTTATACATCCCTTATCCAGCCGTGCTGAGCCATAAGCGCCAAGAACTGCCAGAACCGTTGCCTCAAGCCGACAGGCTGGAGCGGACTGGACCACATATTCGAGGTTTGACTGTTCTTTAGCGCCCTCTTCTCGTTGTGGCAGCATCTGTAGCTTTCTCCTCAGGCACTGAAAGAAGGATGAGTCCGCGAATTTGGGATCACCAGAGGTTGGGTCAGCCTTGAGCCTCCTAAAAAACACCCGCAGCAGTAAGAAAGCAGGGTCGTGACTCTCTCTGATGTTTAATTCGCGGCCATGGAACTTGTGCTGGCTTTGGAGATCGAACAGCTGCGTAATGGGCACGTCGAAACTTATTCCAACACTGATTAGCGCCTCTAGCATGGTGACGGAATCGCAATGCATAAGCGCATGTCCAGGTAGTGTGTCTTGTCCTGGTTCAGAATCAAAGTCCACACCACGTCGACGCTTGTAAGGTGCCTGAAGGTCAAGACCGTGCGAGACACAGATCTTGAGGATATTCTCTGCTATATCACAGGACGAATGCAAGTCTGATTTAGTCGAGAAGAAGCACATGGCTAAGTAGGACTGGAGGTTGATTCGGTCCATCTCCACATGGTCGAATTCGGCGTACTCAAACTCTGCACCCCAGTTGAAGAGGAGTTGGAAAGCCGGGAGGTTGGAGTGGTAGACCGCAGCCTCGATTGGGGTCTGCGGTGAGAGACTCCTAGACTTTTCTGAAAAGGAGCAGTTGCCTTCGAAGTGCACACGGATGCAATCAGAGGAAAGCACCGCCCCGTCAGGTCGAGCTCCTTCGTGGAGCAACACCGAAAGACTCTCTACGCCAATGCCTCTCTCAATAAGCCACAAAAGAAGGGGCTCATATTTGGTGACGGGCCCATCGTCGATAGGGAGACCAGGTTCTATCGCTAGGAGAAGCCTCAACATGTGGGCACTGCGTGCAAGGTGAAGCAGACTTAGGTGGCCCTGGTTGAAATCGCTATATCCTGGTGGGAATCTCTTGACCTCAAGCGGCTTGTTTCCGCTTTCCTTTCCGTTCTCGAACAGGAATCTGACGAAATCAGGCTGATCGCAGTCCACGGCCTTGTTGAGAAGAGACAGATCGATGGCTTGCCGAAGCCGATATCCAGAAAGCTCATGTCTGTATGGTGGGCGAAGCTCTATTCTTCGTCTGGCACGCAGCCAAGTGGAGTCAACTTGGTCGAGGTCGTAACCATAGCTCATAAGCGAGGACGCGAAGGTGACATCTCCGTGCTCGCAGGCCCAGAGCATGGCGTTACAGACGCGACGCGTCCAGTCGTAGTGGATGAGGAAGCTGGTCCTTTCTTTGCCACCAAATTTTGCCAAATTGGAATTGACTTTGAAGAGGCTGATCATCTCGTCCATCCCGAGATAGTCGCAGATGTTGAACACAATGTCCCGAGGCAGGCGGTCGAGCGATGCCGAAGCCGCAATTCCATATTTTGTGTCCATTGATTTGGGTTCACGCCGTAGAATCACAAGGCGAGCAGTAGCCACAAATGAGCCAGTACCGGTACGAGACGAAGGCGACACCGAGGGCGACAACGAGGGACGACAACGAAGAATGACAACGAAGGAAAAAAAAACGAAGGACAAGAAGATGGCGGGTGGGTGACGGTGGTTCAGAGCGACAGAGAGGTTGCGCTTTTCACGGAACTCGCCAACCTCACTCAGGGAAAGGCGTCGAGACACGTGACCCAGTGGGGCTTGGCTGTTTGGCGAGAACACCGTGTACCTAAGTACCAGGTACCTTACCATTACTAAGGTAATAAATAGTAGGTATCTACGCAGATGCTTATTGCGCTAAGCAGCGTGGAGCATCACTACTAATTACCCCCAGCATCAATGCAGCCTCGATGTTAGGAAAAGCAAAAACATCTTCATGATACCCATTGGTCCCTATCGCGTGCCTCTTTTGGGAGAAATAGAATCTGATCGGAACAACAAGTCTGTGTTATAGATTTGGCAGATGGAGAAGGCGCGAAAAAAGATGTTCAAATTCCTGAAGGTTTTTCTTTTCTTCATTTGTCGTCTCATTCTTTGAATGCTTAACTTGGGAAAATGCTTGAAGGTTCTATTATACATCAGCCGAAAAACAAATTTATTTGCAACGGAAGTTTTCAGAAGTTAATAAGCTGGGTTTTATGTGTTTTGCCTGTGATCTTTCCACAATCTCATGGACATCTTAAGCTCTCCGTCGCGGAATCATTCTGGTATTAATAGAGAACCAGCGCCTTGAATGTAATGTAATGGAAGGTAATTAAGCGGGCGACAGAGAGTATCGGGGCCGCCCGTGCTCTAAAGTACGCCAGAAGCGGCTAGCGTCGCACCCGTCTTCCAGGTTAGGAATAGTGCATCGAGTGCTTATCTGCCTGTGGGGCTCATCTCACCAACTTCCAGTCCGTCGTCAGAAGTCCTGTGCCGCCAGATTGCGTGCCGTCGTGTTCAAGGCATCCAACGCCGGCCAAGATGCTTGACCTACCCGCCCCTCTAATGGCATGCAACACCTGCGATCTCTCAGACTCCATGCTTGAATTTCAGCCAACTTGACCAACTCTCTACATCTGCTTCACCAAGACCGCAAGCGCAACGATCGGCAACTGTGCTCCAACGCGATACAGTACTGTGTCGTTGACAACACCATGGAGAGTCAGTCGTCTCGACCCAAGAAAACCGACATCGTTCGCAAACGAACAGGATGCCAGAATTGTAAGACCAGGCGAAGAAAGGTCTGCCCTCAAACCACCCAATACCTCTTGCTCGGCGGCTAATAAGTAGACAGTGCGACGAAACACGCCCTGAGTGCTGCGCCTGCGTCCGCCGGGGCATTCAATGCAGTGGTTACGACCGCCCTGTGGCCTTCAAAGATGTGACCGCCTTAGCCGCTGAATCATCACGCAAGTTCGAAGCTGCAAGATGGTCTGCGCTGCGGCTTGAAGATGCGCGACGGAAGCGAAGACGAACTGCCGCAGCCGAAGAGCCGTCGTCCCAAGTTCCTCGGTCGGACGTTGCCGTGGGATCGGCGATAAGCGCTCAAGCCCCTTCCGCTCCGGTCGTCTTCCCGCCGGGACCGTTCACGACTACCGAGAGCTGGCCGGGAGGCGCCTTTGCCCCTTCTTGGGCTTTATTCGACAACTTCGGCCTCAACCTCCTCCAAGACAATTCCATCGGCGTCGAATCCACGGAAACGACCGGTTTCGAAGAATTGTCGACTCCGATCCCGGGACAAACCCCCTGCGAGACCATTTCTCCAGACGATAGCCCGCCCGAAGCCACTTCGCCGACCAATTGGGACGAGTTTCTCGTTTCGCACGACTCCCCCGCCAACTCATCTCCATCCGATGAATCTCTTCTGGGTGAACCTACCACCGATCTCCAGATTTCACTTCCTTTGGAAGAATCCCTGGTCAAGCATTTCGATACCAACGTTATTCCCGCTATTCCCGTCACGCTCGCGTTCTCAAATCTGTTCCAAAAGAGTTCCTGCTTCCGCGCTGCTGTTCTGGCACTGTCAGCGAGTCATCTGAAGCTGGCAGAACGTCTACCCCTGGACTTCCACATGATCAGGCGGATCTGCGATGACAAGAGTGTCTGGGAGTACTACGACTCGGCAGTTCGGAATCTGCAAATGCAGCTCCAGCGTACTAACAAAGGCGGCGAAGAGCTGGCGGGCGCTGCCTTACTGTTGGCTTACCACGAACTGGAGGCAGGCACAGCCTTTGGCATCCTCAACCATGCCAGTGGCCTTGACGCCATTGCATCCAAGATGGACTTCACGGCCATGGCGGTGCCCAATCTGTTCAAAGCGTGGAGGATGCTTCGCTACGACATCCGATTTATGATGACACCTACACGGCGAACCTGCAATCCCGTCGACAACTACGACGCCGCATGCCTCCTCGACCCTCAACTAGCGATCAGAGACATTCTCTCTCGAGTCTATGGTCTGTACTCACGCCACGCTTTAGAGGCTAGCTTCAAGCCCGGCAAAGACGCAGACGGATGTAGCGCATCCGAGAAGGTCGCAAGGTGGCTTTGTTCATCTCTCGGTCGAAAATGTGACTTTCGGAATTTCCAGCGAGGCGATTTCTACAGAGACGACGTCACGCCGGAGACTATCCTACAGCATTGTGACACGTTCTCGCAACGTCTTGACGCTTGGCATCAGTCGCTTTGCGATCACGACCTTCCCACAATGAAGCTCGGCACCGAGGGCGACCTGATCACCGGACCGACTTTCGAACCAGTTGTCGCCTATCGCTTCGCTGACGACAGCAAAGCAGTCGACTACCTACTCTACCTCGTCGCGCGTATGGCGATCAGCAACCTCCGCTCCGTTTTCGGCACATCCGTCACCGCAGCCGCGACCGACGCGTTGGCGAAGGCGGTTCTGGGCATTATCTGCGGCATCGACGTGCTGCAGAGACGACAGTTTACGGTGCTCCGATTCGACGTCATTCTCATGTTTGTTGCCACGATCAGCGAGAGTACGACCTTTGCGAGGACCATCCTCGACTACCTGATACCTAAGATCATGGGCGCCGGCCTCACCGCGTCGGAGATCGTGTCGTGGGCGTACTTCAAGTCGTTGATGGAGCTGTGGCTGAGGGAGAAGCTGCGAGGCAGGGCCCTTAGATTCATGCTGACCGGCATGGACGACGACTCGGACCCTTGGTGCGTTCTGACCACACATACCGTTGCACTCTTCGGAGACTACAATGGAAAGGGGTATTTCAGGGATACCTTTGTGATGAATTGTTTATCGAAAAGTCCATAGAGTATCAATCATTGTCGTCTTTCATACAAAACAAACACATTTTATTGGCGGCAACTTCGCGGTCGGAGTAGAAGCTGTCTACTGCCTCCACGAACTCTAGACGCAGAACAGTTCTAATCACGGCCACTGGAAGGTCACTATGTCCCGAGTCCGCAATGGTGCTCAAATGTCGCTCGCTCCTAGGTGCGAATATCTCTCTTGAATAAAATTCCAGGTTCCACTGTTTGCCAGCTGGGCTGAGATACCACACTGTACCTCACCTTAGGTCATGCACCTTTTGACCCTCGCCGTGGGCCCGGCACCTTGCCACCCTCCCAACGTTTTTCTTCCTCGACCGCAGAACTAAGAACGTCACTTTGATCCCACGGCATCCTAGTCAGGTCGACTCCTCTCCCACTCGACCGAAGCCATTTCTCTGAGCCGACCATACGGCTGCAGGTTCCTCTCGTTCACTTTTCCATACATAGACAAACAACACAGCGACAGCGAAATGGCGGACCAAACACGATACGGAATTCGCGACGTTTCCCTATTTCTTCTCGATACTGGATACAATGTGGCGGACAACGTTTTTGGTAAACCTCCTGGTCACGACTTCGACCTTTTGCTCAATTCTCCCGACTTGGCTCGCTTACCTGGACTGAGGTTCGACTACAGCAGTTCCGGCATGGATACCTTGATTGCGGGTGCCTTCTGGCAACTGTTAGCATTCTTTCGTAGGGATGAAGGAAGCCTCGGGGACCTCCGACACTCGCTTGCTAAGAGACTTCGTCATTATTTCACCCAGGTAGTCGACCTCGTTCAATCTCATGCCAGCGCCATGATCCCAAGGGTCGATTTCGCGAGGGAGCTGAACGAGGTCTTGCGCTCTGAACCTTATCAGGTACTCCATCAGCAGTTTTGGGAAGCTCAGAGAGACCCTCTCATCTTCCACCTGGCACTGATCAAGATCTTCCTCCGAGCGAGAACGGCTTTTCTTGTGAAACCAGTGGTGACCGTGATCGAGGCGGCCAACACCGAAGTCTGCATGGGGTTGACCGACGTTCTCGACAACTTGGCGATAATTCTGCTGGCAAGAAGGATCAGGTTCCAGGGGGTTCAGGAGGCAGGCTTCGACAGCATAGGTATTCACCAGACGGCCTGCTCGTTTCCCTTCGGGGATCCAAAGCTAACACGCAAAGAAGAAGCCGAGAGCTCCCTTTCTGTCATCGGCGACACCTACAGCAGCGCAGTCCCGACCCCGACGACTTCAACCGCGCCCTCGGAAGATTTCGACCGCGTGCCCCGACAGGAGACCGAGTGCTCTGGGTCTTCGGCTGCTGGTGACGCAGAGCCCAAGCAGGCAAACCCCGAGTCGCAGGAGGACGAACAAGTCGAGCAGCGCGCAACCGATCCTAGCACTGTGATTTTACGGCTGGAGGGATTCTTGGCGAGTGTCAAGCAAAGCCTCAAGGAACAGCTGTTCACATCGCAGAAGCAAAACGCAGCATTAAGAGCAAGGGTCCTGACTCAAGAAAGAGACCTGGCGGCGTGTCGTGTGGCTAAAGAGAGACTGTGGGGGGCTCTTCGCAAGAAGACGAACGAGGAGCTGAGGGAGCAAGGAATCATGGGACGATGGAATTCTGAAGATGTGGATGCTTTTCATTCTCTGGAGCACGTCGTTGAGGAAGACACCTAAATCGTGAGGGCATGGACCTGATAGCATGTAAAAGATGTGGGAAGATTCTTGCACGGCAGGCTAGCATTCTCCTATGAGGGCTACTGAGAATATCTAGGTAGCCTGTTTCGACCAAAGTATTTTGCCTCCAAGACGTGGTCCTTTCTCTTATAGGATGTGCAAGCGATTAAAAAGGCTCATTTTTGCAAGATCTGACCCACGTGACAATGAGGTGGAAGGTAGGGTCTGTCGACCTTCGGCTCCTCAACTGAAAAGTCGCACTTGCCAAAACAGAAGAACAACAACACACCCCAGGCGCGAGGAGGTCCACTCCCACCACGAAAAACTCAACCATGAGAGGGCAGTCGGTGTCAAGTTCCCACAGAAACACCATGTCATCTGACGATATATCCGGCCCAGGAGAGAGGACTTTGGAAACGGAGAAGGAGAAAGCCGACGGCGACGCCTCTTACTACGCCAAGCACCCCGACATCAGAGATATCCCCGGCCTGCGCTTTCCCGGCGGTCGGGGACAGCAAGTCGCCAGCCGGGGCCAAGCGGCATTCGCCATTTTCTTCGAAGGGCCTACCCCTCCATCCCTGGAGAACCGGTTCCGCGTTGCCGATCGCGTCAAGAGCCTTTTTGATGCTGCCCACCAAGTCGCATCGCGCGACGAGAGACAGACAAACCTCCTGACGATCGTGTGGCTGACTCTCCGTCACATGAGCCGGGACACCCACACCGCCGCATGGGTCAAAGACGTTGGTGAAGAGAGTCTCGTTCATATCATGGAAGCCTTTGTCGACGCGAGGGCTTTCTATCTCAAGAGGACCCATCGGAAAGACCGCACCAAGGGCTTTGACAGCTGCTTGAGAAGTCTGGATCAATGGATCCTGCTCTCCCAGTCCAGAACCTGGAAAGCAAGCACATCAGCGCCAGAAGCTGGTGAGACACCTGGCCTGCTGCAATTCTCTTCCACTGACATGATATAGTGGCCCAGAAGTCGAATAATACCGAGAGTAGGAAGAGACGTCGACGCAATGCGGATTCCTACCGACCCCCGCCTTCTCGACTCGAGACCCCGACATCCGAGTTCTCCTCAGCCAAGCGGCACAGGCTCGACGCCGATGAGAGTAGCAGCCAGACACAGCAGGACCTTCAGCGGAACAGAGCTGAGAGATCCGACCAGAGCCAGTCGCAATCGCGCGTCGACAGCACCGAGCACGGCAGAGAACGGGGGCCATCGGACCTCGCGAGGCTGCAGACGGAAAACAGAATGCTCGTTGCCCGACTTGCCACGGAAAGCGCAAAGGTCGATGGACTGGAACAAGAGAAGAAGGGTCTCAGAGAGAAGATCGAGGCCATGGAAAAGCGGAAGCTTGAGCTTCGCGAGCAGGTCAAATCCCTGAAGCCTTTGGAGGACCTGTGGAACACCACGCGGAGGATTCGCAACAAGGAGCTGCGAGACATGGGCGTCAATATCGCGTGGGGTGTCGATGACCTGGAGGCCTTCTTGAATGACCTGCAGCAGGACTGGAAGTAGGGTTACTGTTGTTGTCAAGGGCCGGTTGAGACGATGTATCATATCCGCTAGGGTTGGGTCTGCCTCTGTTCGATAGCTGTTGCTGATGCCGCTGGGTTTGGCTTTCGACATGTCCTTGAATAACAACTTCCATTGATGTTGCGTTCTTATTCGGTGCATGCGGTCTTCGAAATGGATCATCTCCCACCATCTGGGTTCGGACCGTTCGGCTCGTTCGTAATGGGAACAGAGGACCTGTTCTCCTGAAATCTCTGCGATTGCTGTCTTCATCCTTGTTTTCTCTTACTGATTCGACGTCAATGCGTGAGACGACTAGATATCTTCCTGTTCAGACCGTCGTTGCACGCCCAGTTCATGATCTTACACCCAGCGACCGCGCGTTGCGCGCTGCAACTACTAATCAACCAAGATTATGCCAGCTTCCAAGGAGAGGGCTGATTGTAAATGTGTAGCTTTGGAAACCTTACTCACCCTGCGCACCTTGCTCGCCCTCCCAGCACCAACTCTTAGATCGATAACAACCTGAGCACGTAGATGGTACGTTTGAACAACACAGCACAGCCACCTGTCATATGCTGTCAATTTAACCTTTTGGTATCTCAGACTATGTGGATTGTACGTGGGGCTTGCATCTGTCAAGATCTAGCGGAGGAGTTTGGATGACAGAACTTTTCCACAATGTGGTGGATATCGACGCGACTCGCCCCCATGAGACAACCACCGGAAGAATGACACTCCGGACCACTACCTATTGAAGGATAGAGGCGCAGAAACATGCTTTTGCGAAACCAATCAAAAAGCTGGCGAAGCTCACTTGAATCGACGGTTGGTCGGCTCGCTGGCTTGGAGGTCGTGGTTGTGCTTCTAGAAGCCCAAACGATGCATCACGCAGCGCAGGGTGCTTGGCGCAATGCAGCCCTGTAGCCTCAGCTGTTTGCCTTACCTTATCAGCCTGCGCACTAGCTCGGTTGGCGACGGAGGGAACTCGGTCAAAATCATCTCAGCTTTGAGTCTTGTGTCAGTCATGCTCGCTGGTCTGTCGTATCGTCGGAAGCTCACTGGGCCATACATGTGTATTACGAGCCCCGCTGAACAAGGTGTGGTGGTGTGGACGGTGTGGGATAGCGCTCACGCGACCAATCGGAGGAATACAGTCGTCGAAGGGTCTCAGGCCAGACCATCCCGAAGGATGCAAGCGGGCCTGCAATTGCCCGTTGCAATGTTGCTCTCAGCACCATGTCAGCCAGTACTACTTCCTGGCTAGTATCGCCCGCTGTCTCCCTTCTTTCGGGAATACTTCCTAAACGGAGGGCAATGCCGCGAGCTAGTCTGATGAGCGGCGCCCGGCTGCCGTGGGTGACAAAAGTTGCCGAATCTGTTTCAAGAGCCTACGAAGGACTCTCGCTGGCTTTACAGTCGAGGAGGAAGATCTCAGGAACGATTTCTGTCGTCCAGAGTCCGTTGACACGACTCCAAAAGTGGTGAGGCAAATTGGCGTGGAGTCAAAACAGAAGAGTCTCTAATTCAGCCATGGCTTCGGCAATCGTCGGAAGGGGCTTCGATCCAGGCTTTTTCTCTTTCCAACGGGCAGGAGGACATTGGCAGAGCGTGGCATTCCAAAGCAAGCCGACGTCAGTCGAGAGGAGATTGGAGTAGGGAGGCGGATAAGGTGTGGTGGTGTCACCGGTGTAGTAATGGTGGCAGATGGCGTGTTCGTTGGGCGGGAGTCAGCAGGTGGACTGCTACCTGGGCGGCCGTACGGGCGAGCTAGGCGGTGATCCCGGTGCGGGGGGATCAGCCTCTTTGGACGTGGCTGGCGTGCCGAGACAACGACACCTCCCCAAGAAGGCTCGCTCACGAGCAGTCCCAAAGCGACGGTGCGGCACGGCCTCTCGATTGAAGAAGGTGAAAAGGGTCCAGAAAGAGCAATGGCCAAGTCGACTTAGAGCTAAGAGATAGGCGAACGTCGTTTGCAAAGAATGGCGACGAGGATTGAGGCGAAGGGGTCGCAATGTGGTACGGCCCACCGTTGGATCATCTCGGGCCTGTCCTGTGTCCTGCCTGTCCTGCTGTGATCTCTTGGGAGCGAACTGCCTGGGACGTTGGCTTTGGGTGATTTCGGGCGGGGAGCGTGTGTTTGGCAGGTGTAAGAAAGACAACAGGTCGGAAGGGGCGTTATCTGAATGTGGCGAGCATGCCAACACCGATAAATCAACTTGGCGACATCTTGGTACCAGTAGTTGATGGTCGATAAAAGAAGCCAAAATCCGTGAATTGGTTGGCAAAAAGTTGGCATTTCTCGGCCGGCGAGTGAGGTGCCGTGGTTTTGTGGATTGGGCTGGGTTTTGATTCTCGCTTGTGGGCATGATGGCGTTGGCAGAGGTCGAGTCCTGGCGATGTAGTGTTCGCGTACCAGCCGGGGCACTTGATTCTGCGGCTTCAATTTGCGAATACGTAACGGCATCAGCGAGTCCTCTGCGGCGTCCCGGAAGCTCACTGGCTATGGGGAGGACTTTTGGTAGGGCCAAGGGCTGGGCAACGCGACAACTCTGCAATCCGCAAATTGCACCGAAACATCTTCGCGGGTGTCAGCTGTGTGGTTCGTTTAATCCATCACAGGTTCGTCCCGTCCCCATCTGTGCTGTTTCCACGCCTGTGGCTATCGGTATCGGTGGGTGTGTGGCCAGGGTGCGTTTGATGGCTGGAATTCTTGCTTTTCCTGGACGGATATTCAGTCGAACCGCTAAAGGACTTGTTCCTTCCTGTCTAGGACTAAATTAGAAGCGACTCGTAAAAGGCGAACGTAGAGTGAGAGAGGAAATCGAGGTACCGTAAGCCACAGGCGTTTCCAACAGTGGACAGATCATTATGTGTGTCACGTCAAAAAAGAGGTGGTCCAGGGGATGGAGGAAATCCGGGACGGGACTTGGGAAGTCGAGCAGAAGTAGCGGTACTTTATCACTAACAGCTTGTGGACAAAATCTTGTAGAAGTAAGATGGTTCAAAAGTAGCCAGTATGGGCCAGCGCCCAGAAAAGCATTTACAGCAGGCAGACTGCAGGCAAGTGCAGGTGCGGGACCCGCACCTTCCCAGCGCGAAAAAGAGCGGCACAGCGGCGACACTGATTGGAATCTTGGCAGGTGCGATAACCGTCATTCCTTCCCTCATCACCTCCCCGTCCGGCCTTGAGGTCTCGATGTGCAGCCAATCTTGTTTGCCCGCGCTCCTCCCTCATTTTGGTTCCTTCTCATTCCTTCCCATCACTCCCCTGGCCCCCGCTTCTTCCCGCCAAGATGGCCTTCCCCGCCGCCTCTAGAAGGCGCGGAACGAGCTTCTGTGCATGAGTCCGGGCGGGCTCCGCTGATAATGGTCGGCTACCTTACAGTGTACGAAGAGTGTACTTGTTGATACTTCTTCCAACACCATACGTACACTTGTACTACAATGTTTCTTACTTTCTCTCTCCCTCTCTCTCTCTTGCTCTCTCTCAGAACGGATCCCTAGCGACTCTGCAGTCTGCACTCCCGGTCCCTCGCCTTCTCCTCGCACGCCGTTGGCTGCTACTTACGTGCCCGTAGCCACGGGACATGTCATATCGACGTCCACGCCCGCGCCGATTCTCATCTTCTACGCCCGCACCCACCACCACCAACCCCATCGCCCAGAGTCGTCTGTCATTGTTTCTCATCACTCGATCACGGACACTCTTGCAACGAAACGAACACCAAGCTCCAACGTTGGAAGCTTGGCTGTACAGATACACCAAGCACGACCAGCACCCTCCCACGCCGCGGTCCCCGAATCCCTTCTCTGATCAACATGGGTCCTAGACACATCCTTGGAGTTTCCGAATACACCTGCTCTTCTCGTCCAGCGTTCCGTCTGCTTCACTCCACTTCCCCAAGGCTTGGCCTTCCTCTACCACTTGGCACACACCCATCTCACTCGCTTGGGGTCCTTCCAGGCTCTCTCGACGCCATTTCACTCGTCAGTCACCGCCGTCGCATTGCCCTGATCCCGCCCGCATGCCTTCGCCGCAGATAGTCAGTCATGACTACCTGTAAGCACTCGACCTGACAAGGAACACACTGGGATAACATGCGAGGAGGGCACCAACGCAACGCAGATGGACGCAAGCTAAGATGTGCTAAGGCAACGAAGCCCGCCTGCTGGAATGCCAAGTCCAAGTGATACTGCCAGTTGGAGTCGCAGTCGCGTCCTCCTCGCCGGCCTTTTTAATCCCACCGCGTCCCCCTCACCGGATCGACATTCTCCTTCTTACCTCTCCTGTGTCTCGACCGTCCTCCTCCACAGGCCCTTCGCCTTTCTTCTTTGCATTTGCGCCCCAGGGCCTCACCATTGTCTCGATCCACACCCGTTGCCTCACACTCGGCCGGGTTTCAATAGTGCCTTGCGGCATCTTCTAGGCGAGAACAGAATCACGATTGCGCGGCGCCTGCAAAGCTCGACATCATGGCAGGCGAAAAGGACATCCACGATGGTGTCTCGACCCCCGAGACTACCCAGGTCCATCCAGAAACTCGCCGCTCCGGTGGCCTTCCTCCCGTTACTGGCAAGGCGGAGAATGCCTACGACGAGGGTGCTCTCAGTCGCGGAGCCGCTGTTCGCGATGAGAACTTCTACACCCGCAATGGTCTCAATTTCGAGTCTTTCAAGCCCCGTAACTACGGTCGCGGCATTGTCGAACTTGACCGTACTATGAAGTCGCGTCATCTGCACATGATCGCTATTGGTATGCGCGAGGCCCGCTCTCACACGAATCTATCAGCCACTAACGCCGCTCTTTCCTAGGTGGTTCCATCGGTGCCGGTTTCTTCGTCGGTTCTGGAGGTGCTCTGAGCACTGGTGTAGGCGAACCTCCGCGTGGAACGTCATTCTACATAAGGCTGACCTAGTACAGGGACCCGGCGCTGTTTTTATCGACTTTTCGATCATTGGTATCATGATGTTCAACGTTGTCTACGCACTTGGTGAACTCGCTGTTATGTATCCTGTCTCTGGTGGCTTTTACATCTACTCCAGCCGTTTTATCGACCCTTCCTGGGGCTTTGCTATGGGATGGAACTATGTTTTCCAGGTCAGCTCATGCGTCCTCAAGTTGATTTCCACAGCGCTGACAATTGTCTAGTGGGCCATCGTGCTACCTCTCGAGTTGACTGTTTGCGGTCTGACGATCAATTACTGGGAAGGCGCCCGTGATATCAGTTTAGGTGTTTGGATTACCATCTTCTGGGTCGCCATCATCTTTATCAACATCTTTGGAACTCTTGGTTACGCCGAAGAGGAGTTTTGGTCGTCTTTGCTCAAGTTGTCCGCCATTGGTAAGAACGTTGATCTTTGATTGCCACGCATATCCTAATCGAGTTTCTAGTCATCTTCATGATTGTTGCCTTCATTCTCGTTCTCGGAGGCGGTCCCTCGCACGGCCGTTACAATGAGTACTGGGGAGCACGATACTGGTATGATCCTGGCGCCTTCCAGAACGGCTTTAAAGGATTCTGCGCCGTGTTTGTTACCGCTGCATTCTCCTTTTCTGGTACTGAGCTTGTTGGTCTCGCTGCTGCTGAGTCTGCCAACCCGCTCAAGTCTCTGCCCGGTGCTATCAAGCAGGTCTTCTGGCGTATTACGCTTTTCTACATTTTGGGGCTTTTCTTTGTCGGCCTTCTGGTGCCTGCAAACGACGATAAACTCCTCGGCGCCGAAAACCCCTATGCCGATGGTGCTTCGCCCTTTGTTATTGCAGCTAACCATGCCGGTCTGTATGGGTACGATCACTTTATGAACTGCATCATCCTGGTTTCGGTCCTCTCTCTCGGCGTGTCCTGCGTCTACGGCGGCTCCCGCACTCTTACCGCGCTGGCACAACAAGGCTATGCCCCCAAGATCTTCAGCTACGTTGACAAGAGTGGTCGCCCTCTCCCCTCCGTGGGTATCATTCTCATCTGCGGTGCGCTTGGATACATGAACCTGAATGCGGATGGAGAAACAGTCTTCAACTGGCTACTCAACATGTCCGCTCTGGCCGCGCTTTTCACTTGGGGATCTATCTGCCTGGCTCACATCCGTTTCCGCAAGGCTTGGGCCTACCACGGTCACACCGTTGACGAGATCCCCTTTAAGGCCGCCCTGGGTGTTACAGGTTCTTGGATTGGACTTGGTCTTTGCATTCTTGTCTTCATTGCTCAGGTAAGCCGCGCCACAATGACCTTTTACCAATCGCAAATCACTAATACCAAACTAGACCTTCGTTGCCATTGCACCCCCAAAGAACAATGATGAGCTGAACGATGCCGAGGGCTTCTTCGAGGCCATGCTGTCCGTCCCCGTCATTATGCTCTTCTGGGTCATTGGTTTCATTTGGAAGCGTACCGGCTGGCTTCGCACCCACCAGATCGACGTTGATACCGGCCGTCGTGAACTTGATTGGGATGAGATCAACCGTTACCGGGCCGAGGTCGCTACTTGGCCCACTTGGAAGCGTATGCTTAACAGATTCTTCTAGGCCATCAAAATGCATGGCTTCACACATGCTCTTGTAATGTAACAGGCTTTGACGAAGGATACGAGAGACTTGCATATAGCTGCACTCGTTTTTCGGGGAAGCCTTCTTTGGATTTCGTCCATGTCTTTTAGATACCACCCACAATCTATCCATATATACTGCTTGTTCTAGCTTTCAGGCTCTGAAATACCAGTCTGTCTTGTAGAGCCTCCATAAGTTAACGCCATGCATCTTTTCAAACGGCTAACACGCAACGACGCGTCCAGCGCAGGTCAATATCTCCAACCATGAACTACGCCGCTTAACCGCGGCATACAGATAACACCCGCCGTACATGAATCCTGAACCAGCCCCGGTATCGACGACTTCAGTCAGGAGTAGGCCCTCTCGATGACACCGAAAAACCCGGGATAGGAAGTTCCAAGGCGACCAGTCATGCAGCCGAGTCCCCAGGTCCCCAGGTGTTCCCAAACTGGTATGTGGGTGTTGCGCTATCAGCGTCTGCAGCCCGGATTACTGCTAATCCATGGCTTGGGCAGATAAGGTTCAGGGATACGTGAGACGGCAGGATGGCGCGTATGCGGCAGAAGGAGTCTGGAATGTTTCTGCTGCATGGGTCGTCACTTTGGGGAAGAGGCGAAGCCTGACCCGGGGGTTCCGGGGACCTGGGAGTCTGGGCCGCTGGGCTCTGGAAGGAAGAGGCGAGGCCAAGGGTCTTGGGGATCTTTTGCCGAGGCTGGGCCTGCAGGCGGAGTATTCGTACGGTGTCTTTGCTTGGGTGAAGCATGTGCTGGGAGTCGTAGGGTAGTTTCTGACGTTGCATTCGCACATTTCCAGATTATCATTTGGCATTAATAGGAACCATGATGCGAGAAATATCGTCGGTGTCAAACATGTCAAAGATAATGGCGCCGTCTGTATTGTAGACAGGAATTTCTGCAATAGCTGAAGCTTCACACTGCAGGGTAATAAGGACGTGTGGGACCTTGAACGGTAAACATCGTCACCAAGGGTTCGAATCGTTCGCAGATTAATCGACCGAATACCTGTAGGCTGCCAGACGAGAGGGAGAGAGCAGAAAGATTAGACGGAGTCGCGTCGATGTATTCCTTCGTCACATCCGGCGTGAATATGGCCCCGTATCGGATCTTCCGCGCTCTCGTGTCTGAAGAAGGACATTAATTATTTTCTACTGGATGGCGAGAGACCTCGGGGTAGAAATATGGGATAACATAGGAGTTGGCTGATGCAAGACACGCGCAGGAAAGATCGGGCTGTCTCTTTGCGGCGATGGGTCGTGGAAACTGAACACGGAGAGCACCTGATAGGTTTCAGACGTCGGCCTTTTGAACATAGAAGCATACAAGGGTTTTACTTGAACAGGGAGCGTCTAAGGGTTGGACAGACTACCAGAAACAGGTCGATGAATGCCCCGCTGTTAGAGCAGGCCGAGCATAGAGCGAAGGGTTTGAACATTCGTGTATATCGTTATCTCATCATGTATTGTCTTTCCGTTTTCCTCCTCTCTCTGGGTTTCCCAGCAGCTCACACTCTGTCACGTCTGCCTCTCCTGAGGAGGCTTAGAGGTTGAAGCCGCGGAACACGACATCTTCGCACCGCTTCAGGAAGTCGAGAACATCCGCCTCGGTGTGCCACGCATCGTTGTACGCCGCGCTCAGACACAACTCGCCCCGGAATGTGCCCAGGAACAGACCCAGTCCGTTGCAGAGCTCCTCGCCGGTAACCCATGGGTCGTGAGCCTCGAAGGCACCGGTCTTCGGCGCGATGATGCTGTCGACGCGGCCCATGCTGGAGATGGACACGGAGGGGTGAACCTTCGGGGGCGGCACAGGGAGTGGTCGGGGATGGGTCGGCACGGTAGGGTTGCCGGCGGCCCAGATGGTGGATGCGAGGGCGTAGTGCTCCGCGTCGTTGCGGACGCCGTGGTAGAAGTCCTTCATGAGGTTGACGATGGGCAGGAACTCGTCCGTTCGGACAGCGTCGTCGCCGGCGGCGGGGAGGTCCATGTCGACGACCAGACTTTGGCCGGGGACGGAGTGGTACAGCGCGGCGGGGTGCTTGGCGGAGTTGTACGGGGATTGGCAGCTGGCGCGCTCGTTGCGGAGGATGTAGTTCACGTAACGGACGCGCTTGGCCTCGGAGGTGCGGGGCTGGATGTCGCGGACGACGAGCGCGATGGCGGCGTGGAAGGCGTGCGTGACGGTTGCCCCGGCGGCCTTGGAGGCTGCGATGAGGCGGGAGGTTTGGTCCTTGGTCAGCGTCAAGGCGACGCGCTGGTGGCGGCTGGGGAGGGTGGCGCCGCGTCTGTACGGAAGGTCGAGGACCTCGATGCCAGGGGCCTCCATGGCCGCAGCCTTTTGAGCAGCCATGTCGGCCAGGCGCTTCTTCTGGGCATCTGTGAGGACTGGGGGCACGTTGGCGGCGACGCGGTAGGGAGGGCTGAGATTGGCGGTCTCAGAGCCGTCGAAAATTGGAACTTTGAAATCATCAGCCTCGGAGAATGCTTTGGAGGCGAGCGCGATGAGGTTGTTTAGGAGTGTCAGGGTGCCGATGCCGTCGATGATATCGTGCGGCGAACGGAGGACGAGGTCGCGGCGGATAACACCGTCTTTGTCGGCGCGCGGGCTCAGAACAAACAGCGTTGGGATCTTGGGCGCAGGCGGGTTGGAGTTCGCCCACTCCGAGCCCGTTTGCTCGGTTGAGACTGGAACAAGAGTCTGCTTGAGCCAAGATTCCTTGTCGGCATCGTCTTGGAACTGGCGGTAGGTCTTTGTCCATTGTCCGGTGGCAAGATCCTGTGTCACCTGGGAGGCGATGGTCGGGTGGTCGTAGCGGAGGGAAAGCCAGGCCTTCTGAAGCGCCCGGCTCACTGCAGAATTTGCCTCGGCAGGTGATTTGCCGTCGGGAATTTCGATGTTGAGAGAAACATGTCCCGTGATGGCGAAGAACATGAGGCCGCTTCCCTCATAGATGGTCGCGATGGCCGAGTAGAACTCTTCCACCTCGTCGATGCTGCGCTGCCATACCCCCGGAGAGGTTTGGCGCCAGATGAGTTCGGGATATGTCGTCTCCATAGTGGGCAAAGTTGAGAGAGGGCTTGATACGCAGAGTAGTGTACTGTGTCACTGGCGAGCACAATTTCAACTAGAGTAAGGTCAGCCTCGTTTCGAGTCAGTCTCTTGGCCTGGATTTTATACTTCGCGAAGGACAGCTCAACGCACGGCGCAAGTGGTCGGAAGTGCGGTCGGAACAAATCGTGACAGAGCCGTCACGATAATCCCGGCCCCTCCTCCATGCGCGACGGAGGCGTTGGGACATGATCCCGATCCGGAATAGCGGCTGTGAAGTTGGATCAGGGAAGACGGGGAACGATGGAGAACACACAACCTAACTGAAATACGTCGATCCGATTCGAGGATGAACTCCCGAGGATTAGCCATGGCGGATTATGTATCCCGCACACTATCGTGAGTGGTCAACGCCCCCGAAGTTTAGCCGTGCCTCTGGGTCTTAAAGCAACTTCATGTTAGACATGATGGGACATGGAACCAAATGAGAAGACTTCCTGATGCCTCATCGGATGTTGTGGACTTCGGGCGTACGGATAGTGGGAGGAAAGCTGAAAAAGTCCATTCTCGGGCGGTAATTATCCCTTCCGACTATGACAACAGTTGTGTTCAAGCCTTATCATCAGCACTTAGAACGATGCTTCATGAGAAGGGTAAAAAGGAAAAAGGAAGGGAAAGAAATTCAAAGCACTGAGAAGTTTGTGGAACATAGCAGTCAGTCCTGGAAAGAGAAAAAAAAGAAGGAAGGGGAAAGGGAAAAAAAACACTGCTTTGTACTAGGCAGTATCGTCGCCAACGTCGATTTCCAACGCGAAAAAACATCTCGCGGTCTAAAGTTTCCAACCAGATCAATTACACCACATCCGCCATATTGCAAAATAATCAAAATGCGAGAAGAATCAATTCTTGGAGGAGACACATAAATATAAGAGACCAAAAACGAAAAAGGAAAAAAAAACCCACCGGAGCTCCAGGATTCGAACCCTCACGAGCCTTGATCAGGATAAGTCCGGACCGCCGTTTGAGAGGGCGACTATGAACCACTCTGCCAACTTATACCGTGCCGTGTTTGGCCTGATCAGATGTTGACGGAAGCGAACCTCACTACCCTTATTAATGATTGCGCTAGCGATGAGGTGGCCCAATGACAATCAGCAGCGAAATGGCAAAGGGCGTGCCCTTAGAGACGCATTTTTATTCAATAAGGTAGGTACCTACCTATCCTGTTTGGATTCTCTCGGGATATCTTCCATCCTCTTTTAATTACATGCGACGTCCAGAACGTTTGAAGCAACACCGACCTGGAACCCCAAGACAACGAGGACTTTACACGCAGATGACAATCACACGATGTACATTCGTTGCAAAATTCTTTTTTTCTTACTGTCGAGGCCTATGGATCTTGATGGAGGAAAGAAAACATATGATACATGAAATAAAAGTACAAGGACCGAACCAGTGCTAGCTCTTAGGCCTGCGATCGCTCTCAAAAGAACGGACCGAGCCTTTGTATCTGATCCTTTCCTTGGACCCAATCATTCGCGATCTTGCTGCTTGGGAGAATGCGGGGTCAAGATATATTGTGCTGTGCGCATGGTCGAGAATCGTCAAGACTTCCCCAAAAAACCCTCAAATCTGGTCCTTGCCCATCATGGCATCAGCATCATCATGAAGACCACCCTTGCGAAGAAATGGGACTAGACGGTTCTCATCCCACTTTTGCTTGCCTTGCTGCTCAAAGTCGCGGTTGACGGCGGGTAGGACTAAGCCCCACAGTCGCTGCAGGCGGTTTGACCAATTTGCTCCGATACACGAAGCCGTATCTCGCAGCTGCTGACATTGCTGGTTGGCTCTCATGAGATTGATCTCAAGAAGCTCGTTCTTCTCCTCGGTATCCTTGCTTCTGTTGCGCCAGAACGCTACTTGCTCCTCCAGAGGCTTGCGATCAATCTCGGCGTCGGCGTCGCTGTCCGAGATGCGAGATTGCTTAGTGACGCGGGCCCAAGGATCGGTGGAAGATTCATAGCGATCGCGCTTTCGTCTAGAGTCCATCAGAGTGTCTGAGTAGATAATTAGCAATCGCCAACTTTGCATCGCAATGTGCCTCGAAAACCACTCACTGTATGACTTCTTGGAAGCCGCCTTGTTGCGCAGACCACCCTCCACGACGCGGATGACATCGTCGATAGCGTTCTGGAAGGGTAGGAACATGGGATCAACTTCCAACTCTTTGTCTTTGTTGGACAAGAAGCGCTTGCGGGCGTTGAGAATCTCGTTGATAATCGCAAACATCTTGCGATCGGCGCTCTGGAAGTTCCATGACTTCCCATCGCTCCTCAGTTTCTTGAACGTCAAGAAAAATACTGCGTTGATGGTGTCCAACTCCATGGCGTCAGAGTCGTTGGAAGTACGATAGGTTCGAAGAGCTTTGAGCATAATTTGCTCAATGCGCTTGGCCACATTGACAAGACCGTCTCGAGAGGCAGACTCGTTGATGGCTCCGTACGGAAGAAGCATCCATCCAAGAAGACCAGACTTGGGCTGAGTCATGAAGCCTCCATTGTACTCAAGCTTGAATTCAAGGCCGGGCAACATAGTAATATTAGGATGGCCAGAGTAGTTGATGTGAGGGAGGCTCAGTCGCGTCGAAGTAAGGTCGAATGTGTTGAGAGCTTTGCCGTGGATGGTTTGGTTGCCTTCAGAGGCGTTTCCGCTGTCATCAAGGTGATTCTTGTCAATAGACTGATCCGATGTCTTGGAGTGACCGCCAATGTCAACACTAGAGCCACTGCTTTCGTCCCTGGGGTTGTTTAGCAGTGATGCTATTTTAAAGGTGGGAATTGTGCACTCACATTTTATAATGGCTAGCCGCAGGACGAAGCGGAAGCTCGAAGTCTGTCGAGGACGCCATCTCAAAATCTCTTGCGATCCTGTGGTGGTGATGTGGGAGGCAAAGAAAACGTAGACGCGTGCCGACGGCCTGTTTATGTTTCTTGCGAATTTTCAGATTCGAAGTGGCGAGATCTTTCGCAGCCAGAGAAGGCAGGCACCCAATTGCCAGCAGAAACGCGCTAAGTGAGATAGGATTGGGCAGAGCGCGGTCAGGTAGAGGTGAATGAGGAAGTCGCCTGGGTAAGGTCACGTGTGAAGGAAGCCACCTACCTACCTGCCAATCTGCCGGAGAAGGCTACTTAGGGAGGTTGCTCACTGCAACTCTGCAACATCAGCAGTCGACTACGCGGCACGGTATAAGTGGTGGAGTGGTTCATAGTGGCCCTCCCCAACGGCGGATCGCTCTGTCGATTGCTGGGGGCTCTCAGTTCGAGCGCCCCAATTCCTTTTTTATTCTCTTTTCGTTTTTTAGTATGGCTTGATATGTTGCTGGCTATCTTTCTATTCGTTGCATCTCACCCGGGATGAAATCTGTCATGAGATCGGTTCCAGTTTGTATTTTGAGATTGTAGATGCTGTCTTGGGTCTGCTCGCTCTTGATAATGGTTAATCAGCAGATATGTATTTATGTTTACAATTCATTTGGTCGCTCTGCAGCGCGAATTTGCTTGTAATTCATTGACAATGAAAGGTCCGGTATGGTGACAAAACTGAAACCACAGTTGCCATACAGTAAAAGTGTCTTATCAAAACACAAAGCCATTCGATGCTAAGTACGAGGAATAAGTAGGTGCCATTTCGATGTTTGTTTCACCAGTTCTGGCCCTCCGAAAACATGTCAACAGCAATGGTGCGATAGGGCTATTGTCCAGGCAAACTCGAGAGCACATAAAACGTGTCTGAACTCTGTGCTTGCTCTTTCAGCCAAAGGTAAATCTCCCAAATAATGCTGTCATTTGCGGTTGGAGGGCAATAGCGCACTCGGAAAGTCAAGATCTCAATTTTGCTGCCACAGATAAGACACCGGGATCACTGATCACAATCCCAGGTTCAAGCAGGTCACGCACACATCATCATGTTTGGAGTGCAGGTCTCACGGCGAAGTCCCCAGCTTTCCCTTGTTAATCGAGTCTGGACGTCGTCTTCGCCGGCTTACACCGCGGCTGATCTGCATCGGGATCTGCCTAAACAGGAAAACGGGTGCGGAGATCCACAATCCCCGCTGCCCCGCCGAGCGTCGCTGTAAACCTGGAACTTAATTCACGAATCACCCACGCCCAATCCCAACGTCTTTCGACTAAACATCATTACAAGTGATTTTTGGTGGTGACCTATTTCAGAGGTTACCGCTGCTCGGATTTCACACAATGAATTGGCTTGCGTTCCTGTCTTTGGTGGCGAACACTGCCGCAGTCGGATCGTTCCGCACTCGAGAACCGCCGGGAAGCGTTTGCGCCTCTGCTGGTGGGGGACAAGTCGGATACTACGATTTCGGTGAGGGAAGTTATGAGCTCTCGGTTAAACAACGAGCCTAATTTTGGACAGGAAATGATACGAAACATTTATTTTTCTGGCTCGCAGAAAGCCGCGGCGACCCTGCCAACGATCCCGTAATTCTCTGCATGAGCGGTGGACCCGGCGCTTCTTCCGTGGCTTTCGGCCTCTTTCAGGAGCTCGGGCCCTGCATCATTGAGGGCACCAACTCGACAAAGCCGAATCCCTATGCTTGGAACAACAATGCGAACGTCATCTTTGTTGAGTACGTCGACCTTGCGTCTTGAATCGTCTCTTGAACAAGGAACTGATGCGCGCATTTGATCTAGCCAGCCATCCAATGTGGGGTTTTCTTATTCCAAAGATCCGGTAACCAACCTGGAGGATGCGACATCTGACATGTATGACTTTCTCACTGCCTTCATGGATCAGTTCCCGAAATATTCTCACCAAAACTTCTACATAATTGGCGAGTCGTACGGGGGGACTTGGGTACCGGCCCTGGCGAGAAAGATCCATCATCGCCAGTCTTCGTCAATGGCCCAGCTTGTACGGTCCACCACAAACATCAAAGAGGCTCGCATCAACCTGAAGGGGATCGGGCTCGGCAACGCGCAGCTGTCCCAGAAGTTTCAATGGCCCGGATTCTACCCAACTGGATGTCTTGGAGACGAGCCTGTGTACAACAGAAGCACATGCGCCGTTCTCGAGTCGCATGTGCCGCAATGCGAGAATATGCTGGACATCTGCAACAAGGTGGAAAACGATCCCGATGTTTGCAATAACGTCCTCGATTACTGCCGGAAGAGAAGTGTCTACTTCATCTTCGACGAGCGCCTCAACCCATACGACTTCCGGAAGCCATGCACCGAGGGAGGGCTATGCTACAAAGAAGCAGACTGGATTGCCGAGTACCTTAACTCGTCTTTTGTCAAGCGCGAGCTAGGAATACCCGAGGATGTTACCTTTGACATCATTGATTACGAATTGGGGCAGTATTTCGAGAAATCAGGGGATGTCTCGTTCGACACTGTTGGCTGGGCAGGCGATCTGCTTGATCAGGTAGGGAAGCAGCATCTACCAGGGGGAACAACGCTGACCAAATCCAGGGGTATCAAGTCCTTGTGTACGCAGGCAACAAGGATTGGTTTTGCAACTCAGCAGGAGAGAAGAATCTGGTCCACAACATTCGTTGGCATCATCAGCCTGCGTTCCAAGCTCGCGACTTTCAGGACTTCAGACTGGAGGGTGAACAGATCGGCATCTTCAAGCGCGAAAAGTGCTTGAGCTTTGTTGAGATGTTCGACGCTGGGCACATGGTTCCGGCGGATAAGCCAAGAGAAGCACTGTTTTTGATCGAGTCATGGATCAAAGGGGTTTGGACTTCAGCCTGAAGTAAGATTTGCTAATTTCTATCCGCGTATCTATGTATGCAATGGAAGGAGAGAGGAGAACAGCAATGAAAAGACGACAAAGAATAGTAAACAAAGGAGCTTGAAAATCGGGTTCAACATCGTGTTCATTGAATCTGAACGTAGATTTCGCACGAAACCTTGGGCCGAAAATGGTAAACAGAAATCAGCTGCTAACAAGGAAATACCCCGTTTCAGCAGAACACCTAGCATTCGAGGGAGTCCAGGTCAATTTCTTCCTTGCGCCTACGGATAAGGAGCTTAGCCCTGGGATCCGGCAGCAAAGCCATGCCGAAGGGTACAGGCTGCGGGTTAGAGCCATCCGCAAGCTTCCAGTCGTACTTGAGGAGGAGGTGAGCCAAAGCAATCTTGATCTCGTTGGAGGCGAAGAAGCGACCGGGGCACGCGTGCTGGCCGTGACCGAAAGCAGGGTGCTTCGCGCTGGTGCTGACGAGGTGGGCATGCTTCTCCTCTTCGGTGTTGCGCATGTTCAAAAAGCGATAGCCGTCGTATGTCTCTGGGTTCTCGTACCACTCGCCATCCCACATGTGGGTGTTGGTGACGATGACTCTCTGACCCTTTTTAACGACGAAGCCATTGGAAAGCTCGATGTCATCGGTAGCCAATCGGCGCCAGGTAGCTGCGAGTATTCAGTCAGTATTTGTGTGATTATGTAGTTTGATCGATCGAAATGCTTACAAAGCAAGACTGGCTTCATTCTCTGGGACTCCTTGATGACGCTGTCCATGAGCTTCAGGTTGTACAGCGCCGTTTTCTTCAGGCCCTCTGCGCTCAAGACTCGAGCCAACTCCTCGCGAAGAGGCTGTAATAGCTCTGGGTGCTGCGCAAGATCGAGCATGGTCTGCTGAAGCAAATCGCTAGTGGTGTGGATGGCAACCAGGGACAACGTGATTTGCTCGCTCGCGGGGTCGTATTTGTTCTTGTAGGCTTCCTCAAACCAGTCGATTGCGTCGTCAAAGACCACGCTCTTATCTCCGCGAGCTAGAGCTGCCGCCTTCTTGGCGCTTCGGCGTTCGAGATGCGGCTTGAGAACTTTCCGGGCGTGGCTCAGGAGACTGCGAACCTCCCAGCAAGACGGCAGAAACCAGTGAACGTATGGTCTAGCCCAGCGGGGGTAGTATCCGAGTTCCCATCCAACGGAAAAGGCGGCAGCGGTGTATTGCGAGGAAGCTTGAACCCACTCGTCGTCGCGGCAGAGCTCTTCCCCCATGAATACTCGGGTAGACAGGCGGGAGACAATGCGAATGATGTCGTCTTTCGGAATCATCTCGTGCCATTCTGGGACTCAACGTCAGCCATTGCATCAATGTTAAGGAGCCGGAAAAGTAGTCATTCACCTTTCGAATCCGTGAGGACTTGCTTCAGAACGATGGTAGCCTCCTCGGAGATTGGCTTTGTGAGCTTAGCTATGGGCACATTCTTGTCAGCCCCTGGATGTCATCTCTCTGCGTGGTTCGGCAGGTGGTCATACTCAGTGCTTTTGTCAGGTATTTGGTGACAACTTTATGGATCTCTGTCGAAGAACTATCGTCAGAATCTAGAAAATAAAGATAAGTTTCCAAAGGCGTAACTTGTACTTACCTGGATTGCCATTGAACGGCTCGAATCCGGGAATGTATCCGTGGGAATCCTGAGTAGCCCTGTATCAGCATCTGTGCTGTTGTAGACGGATCGGAGGAGTACATACATCGCGAGCCGGGGTCATGAAGTCGAGGCGGGGGTCGCTGCGCAAGTCATGGATGAAGTCGGGAGGCAAAACCACGGAGCTTCCCCATTCTGAGTGCATTCTGTAAGGGTTGTTTCCGAAAGCTGCCTTTGCCTTGAGCATCAACTCCTTGCTCTGTTGGATGAACTCAGTCATGCGGCGTCGATTGGTGAATTCGAACGGTTGAAGGGGGTTGATCTCTGACAGCTTTGGGCCGCTATCGCCGAGAGTGTAGAACAACACGATGAACAGGAAGACAGTGGCGAGGTACGGGATCGGCCTCTCCGTAGGAGATGGGATGGAGTAGGCGCCGAGCCCCAACTCGAGTGGTTGTTGGGAGGCCATTGTGGCAAAGGGGGTGCCTTCGTTGTTGCAATAGTGTTCGGTCGATATCGCACGGTCGAGTTCCTTCGGTTGTGTGAGGTGTGTAGTGTGCTTGGTGTTTTCGTCTGTTGATGGTGTTGACTTGTTCAGGCATCTGAGCCGGACGAACATGCCGTGATATAAATCCCATCTTTGCGATGAAACTTCGTCATTGCGGACATTTTCAGAACCGAAACTGCGATTCCACTGCTCTCTGAGCCGTTTTGCTCCCCTGAAAGCAGCTCCATTGTTGTAACATCCAGACGTCGTCTACGAATACACATGGAAGGACCAAGCTTTTTTCCTGTAGAGCGGGTACGATTGCCGCCCGAAGTGCCGCCCGTTCTGCAATATGAGTGGCAGATATGTTGGTTTTGCGGGGGGTTAGGTAAGGTGGTCTTGTTAGTGCCCGTGGCTACCACGCCTTCCGCGGCTTGAGGCGGACGGAGCACGGCAGATGGAGTGCCGTATTCGTATTTCGGAGAGTTGATTAAGGCGTCCGACATCCCGAATGTGGGGCCGGCTGCCGATCACTCCCGGGACCTTAGCGTGGGTGTTCGTGCTTTGACTCGAGATTTACGACGATACCCAGGTAATAGCCAATCAGATAAGCCTGAGTGATGCGCGTCATGCAGCCTTCGTTTAGACATGTGGAACCGTTGGCTTGCCCCCGGCTGTCGTCCGAGTTAATGACACCCACAATGGACTACTCCGGGTCATCAAAAAGACTCAACTGTGATTTGTTGAAGATTTTAGCTGAACCAAAACTATGTTCGTTCACAACAACAGTATTCAGACTTTCGTCGTGGACTTATAAGCCCCAAGTTGGCAGGCAAGTTTCAAGACAGCAGGTCCTTCTCTGCCTACAAGCCTCAACATTGACGATGATTCGTAGGAAGTACAACATTCGTACAATACGTTCACGGGAAACAGGATAGGAATGCGAGCTTGTAACTCTTCGGAGTTTCTAACGGAGGCCGTTGGCGGTCCGTCCCGCTGGTTGAACGCTAAACTAGCCATTCTCACCAAGCTAAGCGACACCGGCTGAGTTGTCGAACTTCTTGGCCCGGTGAAAACTCATATCAAGCTGTGTACAGATGTTTCTAGCCAATACCCAAGTCTAAGCGAAGAACCTGCTCACGGTGAATCCAGTTGTGCACATCATTTCTGTGTGATTTGGGGTTGCAGCCTGCGTCGGTAGCGGGGTCCCCGCGAACAGGTAGCGGAGTTGCGAAGGACGCCGGACGAACGCCGGCCGAACATCGAACTACTACCACTCGGAATGTCGCTCAGAATAAGGTTCACAGCATGAAAACACTCGGAGTCCGGTATCAAACAAAGATTCAACAGCCCAGCCCGCAACTGCGATCTTAATCACCGCAATGCCGTTTGCAACCCACGCCAAGCTCAGCGGAGTGACTCATTCTGATTCACGACAGAAATTGATCAACGACAATGTATTGATGCCATATTCTCGCACCAGGAGCAGCCATAGCCCCCCAAGACACAGACGGAAAGTTCAGGTGTCGGATTTCGGGCCCGTCGCAACGGAAAAGGCAGTACGAGCCCAGGTACGATGGTTACTTTGGTCACATAATCAGTCCAGGTACTTGCTGTCATTTCACATTACGGTACGTAACCACGTCACATGAGATTGTGGTTGTACGTGAAAGCTGTTCTGTAAAATGAATCAAGTAGGCTGCAACTGTGAACTTCGGCAGCTCAGATTGGAGGCTTCACGTAAAGATGTCGTTGAGTCTCACAGAACAACGTAGATAGGATATTCAATCTCGAAGCCAGTTTAATCTATTCCAGACTAATTTCCGCTATGCGGAAAACAAAGGCCCAGCCTGCCAAACAAAGCGTTTGTCACCAAACAAGATGCTACTGCCGTCCGAGGGCAATCAGAAAGGCCGGCAAGGAGGGTCAACGGCCCCGCACCGTTTCCCTGTCGTGGATGTGCCATCGGCTTTGACTGATCAGTACATGGAGAACGAAGCTTCAAGACATCTGGAAATGGCGTGGAGAGTGGAGACATACTCTTGCAGATAAGTGGCGTCTTGTTGTTCAAACACCTGATGCAGTCCGCATCATTCCGACACTCGCCTGGTGAAATGATCTTGTTATTATGATGACCAAAATAAAACCGACCCAAATCCGGAGGGTCCCACTCCAAGGTTGACGTACCTCCGATTCCGCGCTGCGCTGCCGCGGCCGATACAAGAACGGCGACAATAGAGAGAAATGTCGGGAAATGCATCTTGTCATTATAACTTTTGAAGATGAAATGGAAATTGGGTGATATCGAATCTAATGCTGCGAGAAAAGCTACATTTTTTGAGCAGTAGAAGAATAACCTGTCAGTATAAATATTCCTTTATCTGTCAGTCTATGAGCATGTTTATGATCTGAGCTGACTCGCGATGCTAGGTAACGAACATCGACTACAGATCTTTACATCAAATACTTCTGACTCGGAACTTCAGACGCCTTGTATCATCCCACCGGCATTTCATACACACAGAGCTCAGTCTCTGAAGTTTTCTATCCTGCGGAGCTTTTTGAGAATATTTAATGGACATGGGAATGAACAGGTTGGAAGAAAAACCATCATTTCACGGAGCCACAGAGAAGGATATCGCACTTGTGCTGCACGATTAACCAGCCAATGTCATGATTGAAAATTGCGTAAGCCTATTATTTACAATCCAATATTTCAATTCCCTCGAAATAGGATTCCTTGATACTCGTGCAAAACGGAGACAGGCTTGTTTGCAATCGATGTACCGGCTTTAAATCCAGGATCGACATAAAACAAGACAGGACGAACCGGAGTATTGGAGACAAACCTCAGACGATCCGAAGATGAGAGGTCCGAGACCGAGACCGACCCAGGCGGAGTGGGCGGCCGTCCATCCGCTGGGCTGATCTCCACCAATTAGGCTGCCCCAACGCCATGCAAGAAGAAGGTGATGTGTGCACACATCAGCTGGCAGAAAGCCTCCCCGGAATGCATCCGCCGAGGGCGAGTCAGACTTCCGGTATTTCTTATGCTGCGAGAAACGGCCATGTCTTTGATCTGTAGATCTCCCCACGCGTCAAGCGACCCTCCCTCATGACAGCACCCGAGTTTCCGATACCGCCTGCTTGGAACTCAGACACCGGAATGGAGTTTCACACGGCGACTATATGCGCCAGATGGCGCGGGGGTGGGTGATACGGCGTGATATCGTCGACAGTGAGAGGCTCTTCCTTGCCCTCGAGTGCTCTCAAACATCGGAAGAGTCTTTGGAGACCGGTCTTCACCGTGTGTTTATCCCCACCAAAATTCAAACGGAACCAGCCTGGCTCCTTGGAGAAGAAGGCCTAGATCACGTCCAAAGTCAGTATCTTCGAGGTCAAGTCCAGTGAACAGCAAACCGTGGCCGCTGACTTACCTTTCCAGGTTCAAGGAAGACGCGGTTGTCCATCAGGTACTCCAACAGTTCCAGTTCGCCATCCTTGCCGTACTTTGTGAACAGGAAGTCCATCCACTCTGATAGGTCCACGAACATGAAGAAGCCTGAGTCAGCCTCTACGTAAGGGACATCGAACTTCTTCAGCTCGCCTTCAACGAGAAGTCGCCTCTTCTTGAGGCGGCGGTTGAACGTCGGGGTGTAGTGTTCCCTGAAGTACTTCTTGTCGCACAACAGCTTCGTCGCCACAGTTGCACTGAACGAAGATACCCAACCGAACATGCTACGCAACGTCAGAGATGCACCTAGTTGCCTTGAGAAGATGGACTAACCTTAATGTTCTCATCGCATCGTGTACCTCTTGGTTGTACGTCGCGAGAAACCCGAGTCGGATTCCGCCAAGGCCAAAGTCCTTCAAAAGATGAGGGTCAGCATGGGGATAAAGATGGACAGCGGGCAACGTAGTCGGCTCCCACTGGTGATCAAACGTGGATATGACTTACTTTACTCATGCCCCACAGCACATGCACGTTCCTGAAGTTCACGTCCAAGCCCAAGCTCAACATACTTGAGAAGCGATCTCCCGACAATGCATATATCTCGTCTACTATCAGGTGGATCTTGTACCTCGCGCACAGCTGTGATACCTGAAGTAGCACGTGGGCAGCGTAGCAGCGACCCAGCGGGTTCTCGGGGTTTGCCAGCAAAATCCCAGCCACTTTGCGGCCCTCGCCGAGTTCTTGCTCGATTGCGCTTTCTAGACGAGAAACGAGCTCAGATTGACGGCTTGACTCGTCCTTTGACGGTGGGGGCCCAGTGAACCGTTCGTCGGGTATGTCATCGCAAGGAACCTCGACCAGGCGGATCCCGTTTCTTGCGGAGATGTCGTGGGCAAACATGCCATAGCTGGGTGTCGGAAGAAGAATGGAATCGCCCTCATCGGCGATATTGTAGGTAAGTGTGTCCAGCAAGGTTGTCACGCCGTTAGCTGCAAGGATGTTGTCGGCGGTCAGGGGAATCCGGGCGTGGAAATTCTCGTTCATGAAGTCTGCTGCAGCTTTGAGGAGCTCTGGAGATCCTTGAGTGTCGTCGTATCCGAGACCTATGACTCCGATGTCAGATCCCAATAAACAGATGCGGAGCTCTTGAGGCCAGTCACGTACTATTGCTGATCTCGGTTTTCTTCAGGTTGCATTTGGTCCAGCTCGCGATATCCTCAAACATCAGCTCGTTGACAGCGGAGCCAAGATCGATGATACCTCTCGGGTTTTTGGACGGGTGGTATTTATCGTTCTCCAGTCTTCTGCTGAGGTCAATCATCAGATCTGGTTTTACATTCCGTCGTCCCCGGCGGGATGCTGGCAGGGCGTTGTCGGCTGACATGATGCGTGTGTTGATGGTGAGAAGTTGAGATTGTGATGATTCTTCCATCTGAAGGAATTTACTGATCATCTAGGCCATCAATGCAGATAAATACTCTTGCCATTTGTGTAGCTGTTCTCGGTTGCGTGGTCCGAATGATGCCTCCCGGAGCGGAGTCGGCAGGCCCCCACACCGCAGGCCCCACACACCATTGTTGCAGGAAGATTTCCTGTTCGGGCAAACGGGAACGACGCAGCGCAGGCATTGGCCTCGCGCTCTTCTTCTAAACGCAATCTGCTCACCGTAATATCGTGGGAAAGAGTCATCTCCATCCCAATGGTCTAATTTTGTCATTGGTCATCAATAAGAAAAAAAAAACGACCTTTTCTCATCATCCAGGTTGAGCCGTTAACGCCAAGCTCAATGGCGTGCCCACGATGGCTGACGCGCATCCTGGCTTGCGTGGCCCTCACCAATCAGACCGTCCGGGGCCTGACGACGACCACGACAGGATATAAGACAATTACGTCGAAGTTTAGCGACCACATAATACGCGTCAAAAGTTGGTCTGCAGATGACGCCCTTCTCTGCAATGGAGGGGCCGGTCAGCACAACGGCTGGGCGGACATTGGCGACCGCCATTTGTTTTTCTGTCTGTCTTACCCCCTTTCAAGTACTAGAATGATTCATATTGACGGTTATGTGATAGGGTTTCACGAGGCCAGGAATCGGAACAAAGACACGCCGTTGATGATATGGTTCCAAGGCGGCCCAGGTGGCAGCTCTCTGCATGGCATGCTTTACGAGAACGGCCCTTGTCTGAGCGATGGGCCGGATGGGACCAAGTTCAACCCTCATTCGTGGACGGAGCATTTCAACATCATCTATCTCGACCAACCCGCCGGCGTTGGATTCTCCTATGTTGACGACAATTCCAACGCCACATCATATCCGTCACGCGCCGAAGAGTCGTCACTTGACGCCGTCACCTTTATCAGACTCTTTTACGAAGCCTTCCCGGCTTTTGCTGACGTCGACTTGCACCTAGCAGGGGAGTCATATGCTGGGCGGTACATCCCATCCCTCGCGTCGACGATCCTCGAGTACAACGACTTCCTGACGTCGGCCCCGGACCACCGATTGTCTCAGCACACCATCCCGCTTCGGTCCCTGATGATGGGGAACCCGTGGATCAGTCCCCCTGAGCAGCTTGCGTCGATGTACGACGTGTCTTGCGTATCATATCGCGACAAATTCGAACCTCACCTGGACCCTCAAGACTGCTCCAGGGCTTTGGAGGTCGTCGACAGGTGCGAAGCGGTCGCACGCGCATGTGCCTTGGAAGACAACGATTCGGTCCTTTGCGCCCTTCCCAAGAAGCTGTGCCAAGACCAATACGTCGGTATCTTTGCGAATGTGACTCGAAGTTACTACGACAGAAGACTCCGAAATTGCCCCGGCCCCCAGAATTGCTACCCCGACATTGATGAGATGGTTGGCTTCCTCAGTTCCGACGAAATCATGAGGGAGCTGCTAGAAGTTCCGGCCCAGACAGGAGGTCGTAAGCATCGATGGGAGATGTCGAGCCCGCTCATCGAGAAGAACTACTTCGACTCTGGTGACTTCTACACACCAGCAATCAAGGATCTCAAGAAAATATTGGCTCATTCGAGCAAGAAACGTGCGGCAGGAAGTCAAAGCCTTCTCGATGTCCTGGTTTACGTTGGTGTAACCGACATCATATGCAACGCCGATGGCGTCCTGGAGGGCCTGCGCCAGATCAGATGGGAAGGTCGAACGGCGTTCAGGGCGGCGCAATGGCAAGATGTCTCGTGGAATGCCTCAAGCGGTGGCCGTGGAGGTAGATTCAAAGGAGCACCAGGGTTGTGGCTTGCGGAGATCGAAGAAGCTGGTCACATGGTAAGTGTTCTTCAGCAATCGTTTAGAGGGATGGTTCTAACAACACTCGTAGGTGCCGCATGATCAGCCTGCCTCATCTCTTAAATTGGTGGAAACGTGGTTGAGGCACTTAGAATCAGCTTCTGCCGTATTTGATGTCGTTGATGGAGGGGGGAAATCTGAGGAAAAGGAGACCTTCTCAATCTCTCAGCCAAACCAGACGGTGTTTGAAATGTTGATGGAAGACATTGATTCTGCGGCCGATCTCTGAAGAATACTTCTAATCGCTTCATTTACTGAGCGACAATGGAACAGCTCTGGTGGTGCTGAGTTGGAGGCGGGGTCGGGTCAGACCTCGAAGAAATCATGGTCACCTTTGGTCCAGCAGATCAGTATGAGGCTCACAAAGACGCCCGTGGTGATTGATCAAGGATGATGTGTGTAAAGTCGTTGACGCATAACGCTTTCTATGTGCTATGGAAGTCCACACGTATTTTACCAACTCCTTTGACTCAAACAGTTCCATAGTTGCACGTAATGCCCAGCCTTCTTTCTCGAATCCGACGCGCCTTCCTGGCCAGCTTAATCGCATCGTAGATGAAATCTCTGACGCATATACGTCTCGCTTCTCTCCAATCATTCGCTCCTTAAGGACTCAAGACCTCAGGCTCATTGCCAGCAGTCCTGTAATCCCGGCGGAGGTAGCGATCCAGGTCGTCGGCCTCCCACTCGAGGTAGCCCCTGGCTCTCTGGATGGGGTTCGCGTAGTGTCGGTAGTCCATCCAGAGCTGATCTTGGTTGGCTCGCAGTGCGTTGTTCTCAGCCCGAAGTTCGTGGTTGTTGTCCAGGAGCTTCTGGCAAACCGTGCTCATTTGTCCCGAGATAGCGTCTTGGGCCTCGCGCTCGGCCTCAACCTCGCGGATCCTGGCGGTGTCTGCGGCGCTCTTCACTTGGAGGCGCTCGACTTCGTCGCGTAACATCTCGAGTTCCGCCATCTCGACGGTCATGCTCTTTCGAGTGTTCTCTTTCTTCAAGGCTTCGATCTCGTCGTACATGGACTGCAGCGTTGCCGTGGTGGTGGTGATGCTTCCAGCGGCATCGGCGGGGGCAGAGTTGTTGTCAATGTGACGTGGAATCGGAGACTGGACGGGGGAAACTGTGTTGACATTAGCTGACTGGAAGAAACACCGAGGTGGGATCGTCCCGTACCTTGAGGAGATTCGGACTGCGACTCGGTTCGAACCATGCCACGACGGCCAGCCCCGGTGCGATGGATCCACTGAACCGGCTCTAATACCGGAATCTCCTGAAAAGCCTCGAAATCAGAGTCGACCTCGTTCTTGATGGCCGAGTTGTCGATTTGATTGGCAGTGGGGCGGGGGGGCTTGTCCAAGTAGGCGATGGTGTCCTTGATAGCGATCCAATCGTCAAGGGTCTTCAGGAAGGTCTTGAAATCCTTGATGGAATCGATTTCTTGGGCCGAAGAAGACTGTCGATACGCCAATCGAGCTTGAACGAGAGCATCGAATACGTCCGTGACACGCTCAGCGCTGAAGCCGTCGAGCCAGCAGGACGAATCGTGACGGTGAAGAATTTCCATGACTTCCTTCCAAACGCCGACGATCGACCAGTGCATCCGATTCGGCTTTCTGGCGACATCGATGGCAGTGCCGAGAATTGTCTTCGCGCGTGACGCAGTGACAATACGCCTGTCAAGCTCAGTCATGTCGAAGAAGATCTTTTCTCTGTCGGTAAGCAACCAGAAGCATGTGGACGCCGCTCTTCTGGGGACGACGGGGCCATTGTAGAACTCAAGGCGAGGGATGGATCTGATGGCGTCGTTGTGTAAGGCAATTGCGTGGCGTCCGGGAGCTGCATAGGGAGCTTGACGCTTACGCCGGTATCTCCGGGACCTGTCTTCCCTCTCCGCGCGTGAGCTCATGATGGCGACGTCGAAGTTGATGCAGGCGAGAAGGACGTTTGGGGGGAGATTTTGGAAGGTCAAAGGCCGCAAGAATGTGAAGTGATGTGCTTTACCTGAATTCGAGGTGCCTCTGCTCGCGCGGGCTGGTGTAAGGTAAGCTGAGAGATGGGGTGGGTCCGTTGCTCAGAGACCGGCAAGAGAGGTGAATTTTGAGATACACACATAAGGCAGGAGCCAAAAATGAAGAAGACACCGGCACATCAAGAGACTCAGGCCATAGACTTCATCATATTCATAGATAAAATGCTGCAGGACGAAAAGAAAACGAATCCTCGAGAGAGCCAGGGGAGACAGAGGAGAAGAAAAAAACAAAAGGAAGAGGCACAAGCGTGAATCGAACCCAACCACAAAAAGTGGCGGTCGGGAGGCTTTGCTTGGATCCTCGGCGGGTTAAGGGGGCCAGTCCTTATCCCTTTGAGCCAACCTCTATACCAGTCGCTATCAATGTGACAATACCAGAAAGATTGCAGACCTAAGTACCACAACCCCGTGGGAGGGAGGTCACGTTACCACATCACAACATCCACTTCCACCCCAAAATGCAGATTACTTCACTACACTTGTCAAATTATATTGAAAGATTTAGTACAACTAGATTTTAGAAAAAAAAAAAAGATGTAGAAGCGCGTGAAACCATGAGTTGAAAACACAAAAGGTGACCGGCGGGAGGATCTCATTGAGCTTCTGGGCAGGGGGCCAATCCATACCATCTGAGCCAACTTCCCATCACCTGTGGCTAGCATGGTGACAACGTCAGACGGGATGCTGAACTAAGTACCCCAGGGCCAATGAAGCCGGCCAGGGCGGGATTCTCCATTGCGAAGCACTCAATCATGTCTACGGGCACTAGCCTTGTCACCCATCTCTCATAGTCTTCGTCTCCGTATGGTCTTCATCACCCATCATCCTTCCCCCCTCTCATTGCCATGTATTATTTTTGTTGCCCATCATCTTCACCGCACATCAGTTCTGTCACTTATCGTCTTCAACGCCTATCCTTTTAACCAGCCATGATCTTCATCCCATCGCTTTTGTTGCTCATTGTCTTCGGCACATAGTCTCCCTCACAACCCATGACCCATCGTCTCCGTCACCCCCGATCTTCGTCAACCATCTTCATCGTTATATTCACCATGTAATATCCCAAATCTCACGGCGAAGTCATCAAAACACCTCGAGAATCATGAAAATATACCATCTTATCGGGTATCTTTATAATCCAGACAACGCAAGAAAATGGCCAAAAGCCAAGCAGAGCCACGGCGAAACTACTCAAGAACATCCCGTCTCGTGACCCAAAGTCATTCGTGCAATCTGAGCAGCCTCAAAGCTCACCGTCCTCCTCCATCTCGTACGAAAAGTGGTCGAGGCTCTCCAGATACTTGTCCATATCGCCCTCCTCCCACTCAGGCTGGCCCTTGGCCCGCTGGATCGGGTTGACCTGGCGCCGCAGCTCGTACCACATCTTCTTGCCATTCTCCGTCAACTCGTCGATTCTGTCGGACTGCGACCCGTTGTGGGTGCGGAGAAGCTGGTTGTCGGCCTCGAGAGAGTCGATCCTCTCGTTGGAGGCGGCAAGAGCGGGCTCATCCGAGTCAAGGACTGAGTGATCTGCGGGTTGCGTCAGAATATGCGCGAAGATTCCAGGCTGCCAACTTGGAAGGAAAATGAATACTCCACAAGAAGCAGAGGCAACAATACCAGGCAAGAACACAAACGACAACAAAGAATGTGTTTTCTTTCAGCATGGAGAATAATGAGGTGCTTACCTGCTGTGGGCTCCTTGTTCGTGTCCTTCTTTTGGTTGGGAGTCTCGCCCTTCTTCTCTTTGGCACCCTGCTTGTTGAAGTGCATGGCAGCTTGTGTGCTGTCGTGTCTGCCGCCGCCAACACCACTAGCATCGTGGTGCGTACCTGGGCGAGCTTCTCGAATGGCAATCCAGTGATCCATGGCCCTTAAGAAAGGGCCAAAGCTAGCCTCAAGGGGTCCTGGAGGTGTGGGCTGCTTTAGATAAGACTGGCGCGCGCGAACAAGAGCGTTCATCACAGTAGCCACCAAAGCCGGGTTGATATTGGCCGTGCCAAACTTCTTCTGAAGCAGCTCCTTGGCACCAGCACGCCAAATGGTGAGCACAGAACCATGCGGCTTGCTGATAAGCTCAATGGCAGTCTCCAAAAGGACGGTGGCGCGAGATGCGGCAAGCAGGCTCTTCTGCTGGTCACTCAGACTCAGCGGCTGAAGGGGCTCAAGCGGCTCAGGCTCATAGAACAAGACCATGAAGGTCTTTCTAGCTTCAGGAGCGATGATGGCGCCGCTTGGAAATTTGAGGCCATGGATGCCCTTGACGATGCCCTTGATTATGGGGATATAAGTATCCTCAGACGGCTGGTGCTGCTGGGTACTGAGAGCCTTCGAGCCGCTGCCCATCGTCGCGGGCGTCTTGTGGCAGTGTCGCTTCTTCGTCATCGTCTTCCGAGTTCTTGCCCGTATTCTCCCTCGCTGGTGGTTTCCAATTGTCGTTTGAATTTTCGTGACAGCTACGTCACCGGAAGTTTGCTGCGTTTGGTCGTTGTGGTGATGATGGAAGATGAGGAAGGCGCGGGCAGCCGGGACCCACATGGACGGGACCCTGCCTGGCGGAACTGCGGAGGCAAGCAAGCAGCCGAGCAAAACTTGGGAGCTTCTACGTGCTTCTTCTTCTGTTTTGCCTGCAACAGAGATTCGGCGCTAAGGGACGGCGGTCTGAAAACTTTGCAATTTGACAAAAGAATATCGATCGCGTGTAATGAGAAAGAGAAGAAAACCACCTTACAGATCGACAACAAACGCCCATATGTATCCCGACTGCGCCAGACTTTGGGCGGAATATCCATCGAACTTCTACTCTTCCGTCGATATCTTCTCTACGGTCCTCGATTCATGGTCGAAGGTGGCCCTGAGATGCCTCCTGATAGAATCTCGTCTGACTGAACAGAGACGCTGTTCCCCTTTTCCTCGTTCCCTGCCAACCTTGCGCTCCAAGCTGACCAGAAGAAGTTCCCCTTACCTCCGTCCGAGCAGAGTTTATGGTGCCGACTTGTTCTGTTCTCGTCGTTGTATATCTGCCAAGCGGGCTTGAGGTCCCCAAGTTGAAGAGAATCATGCTCCGCAGATCCGGCAGACTGGGCATCATCAGGCCCTCGAGGCTCGAGCTAATCGTTGCGACGGGTCTTCGACATAAAGCTGTACTCAGCCTCGACTTCAATCCATTCGTCCAGAGCGTTCACCAAGTCCTGGTTTACTCGGCAGAGGGAGTCCTTCGTCGTGTTTTGGGTCTCAAGAAACCTTTGTCGTGCGCGTATGAAGGCGTCCATGACATCGCAGATATGCTCCACCGCATATCCCACGCGCCATTCGGGATCCCGAGCCGCAAGCTTGTGGATAGCACATTCCCAGACGTGTGAGAGATGCCAAAGTCGTCGAGGTTTCTCCTGAAGAAGGCCGGTCGCCGTTGAGAACATGGCGGTGGCCCGGCGGGCAAGGATGAAGCTTCGGCTGATGTCGGATAAGGATGTCGCGGTGTTCGGACCGGCCAGCACAGATATGAAGGTACGCATGCGTATGCGACGGACGATGAACTTATCGAAGCTTCCAGGGAAAGAAAGACCCGTGATCGTATGGGCTGCTCGGCTCCATGCCAGATTATTCTGGGTTTTCTCATTTCGTTTCTCTTTCCGCCGCTCTTGCCTTCGTCTCGATCGCGTTCGTGCTTGCTGTACGTCCTGCATGTCGGCTGGAGTCTCGGGAGGAATCATTTTCTCTCCGGAAGGAATCTGTGCGTACTGTTTGCTGAAGATTTAAGGTGATTGTGTGAGCTGTAGGCTTGTGATGTTTGGCGGAACAAGGGAGCTGTTTTGGAATCCCTCCGTGGTCAGCGAGTTGTGACGGAAGTTGTATTTCGAGATAAGGAGCAGAACAAGTTGAAGTTTTAAGTCAATCTAGAACACATTTGACTTCAGTGTTCATTACCAACGACGGGATATTCTGGGGATCCAGAACGTAACAATCATTAGCATGCGTGGCACTGCAGGATGTTGTCAAAGTACTGGAAGACAAAGGAGAAAACGCCAGTGCCGGAAGGTGCTTGTCTTCAGAACTGCGGAAAGAACTACCAGTAGAATCCTCGGATGGGTGGTTCTTTCGGTTCTTGGGCTTCAGAAACTCCAGAAATTGGGTGTATTGCTTTGTATCACATGCAATCCTTGAAACCTGTCTTCGAGGCGGAAAGTAAGAGTATCATCCCCCAGAGATAACAAGTGTTTTAAGAAAAAGAATCTTTTGTCAGACATTGTGCTGGGAATTTCCATACTGAACACTGAGTCCGCCACGGCTTTTGGGTCCGGGCTGGGATGTGGCGTGGACGAATCGTGCTTCCCCTTGGAAACGGAAAGCCTCAAAAGCCATCGACTATTTCATACTGATACATGATCTTGCAGTCGCTGAACGGTTCGCAGCTTGTCATTCTACAAGTCAAGCCGTTTATTCCGCCAAAGCCAAAAGCAACGTGGTGTTCTGCGACCTGGGCATAAAGACCCTACGACGTCGATGTCGTCTTCCTGCAATACGTTCCGCCCACCAGCCATTTTCCGTCATCCAATCATAGCCTGAAGACACCAGCACGTCTTGTCCTCTACATCGCCCAAGGTTGATGACTTAGCGCTCCTTCATAGCTCTCAAGCTTTCCCAAGCCTTCTTTGCATGTCTTTCCGCTCTCTCAATATCGTTCCGTTGGTTCGCCGTGCTACTTGCTGCGTCTCGAAGCGTGTCTCTCTCCCTCGTCAGATCGGTGATGATGGAATTAAGGTCTGCTTCTCTCTGGCTGCTCTCCTGCTTTTGCAACTCCAGCTGCTGTTGCAAGGATTCCTTCGCGGCCTCAAGCCGACCCAGCTTCTTGTTGAACGTCTCCTGAATCCCCGAGAGCTGAGAACCAAGGTCGTGTACAACATCTGGACTGCCAGCCTTGGGATTGCTTTCTGGGTGTGGCTGTATGTTCAACCCGTCCGAAACCGGCGCCGAGTTTCTTGGCCTCTTCTCAGGTCTGTCCGAGGGAGTCGAGGTTGTATCATTGCGGGCTCTCTTGCGAGTCATCTTGTGGCTATACTTGAGTGGTTGAAGATCTGTAAGATGTCAGATTTTGAGTTTCTTTCGGTGAAAACAAGAATATGTTACCTTCTGCAAGCTTTGAAGCCGCACCTCTTCCAAGACCCTGGTATTTTCTTTCGTCAAACACCACTATCCATTCATCCAGAGTGTCTAACAGCCTTTGAAAACCCTCGATGTTGTCATCTTGTTTCGGTTGATGAAGGTATGCCTTCCTCGCCTTTACCAAAATCATAATGACCGCGGAATGAACGCCGTAAGTATGAGTCTCGTTCCATGATCCGCAAATTGTTCCCGTCTGAAGCTCGAAAACGGCAGACAAAATGACATCTTGAAAACCAGCCTTTCCCGTCATCTGCGTGGGTACTGACAGTAAGGTCCTCAGGTAGTGCTGGATTCTCGTCCCGACTCGAATTTGGTTTTCGGCCGAGGCAGGATAAGGCCCACCAAAGAACATGCGGAATCCGACAGCAGCAAATTTTCCGCTGACTTTCCAGCCAAACCTCATGCCCGGAAGGAACTCCAGGTCGGGATGGCTTGCATACCACTTGACGGAACCCACGGGAAACGATGGACGACCTTGACCTACTTGAGGGCTTCCGGTTTCACGAGAGGTCTCGTTCGCGTTGTCGACCTCGTGTGCGGTTGAATCCCATCGCGACAAGAGATCGGCAATGGCAGGTCGCGCCATGGGGGCGGCACGATCACCTTCATCCTTGATCTCTGGAGTGGGAGACGCGAGTAGATCAGGGCGAATAGCTGCTCCCTTCTTCTTCTTCTTTTTCTTCACGGAGACGTCCTCGCGCTTCTCCGTCGTGTCGCTTGTCGGCATCCTGGGAACCGTTAGTACGTGGGTAGGATTGAGATGATAGAGTTTCTGTGGGTGTACTTTGCGCTGATCTCTTGTGGTCTGTTTGGATTTTTGATCGGCAGTCTTGAGAAAATCCGAGAAATAACAAGTCAACCGGGCGGCGTCGAAGGTGAAAGATGAAGATTAGGACGAGACTGGATTGAACGCGGCTAGAGTTGCAAGGACGCCTCGAAATGCGGGTCACCACAAATGCAATACGCCGCGCAATATAATATAGCTACCCTTATAATCTAGCTATTAATATTATCTTACTATACCTAATAAGTATATATTTAATATTTAATATTCTAAAAGAATAAAACTCTATCCTAATAAGCTTTATAGTATATATAGTAATATACTTACTTAAATAGCCTTACTCTTAAGGTTAGAGGGAGTAAGACCTTAATAAGGAATATATTATAGCTAGCTAACTAATAGTGGGTTTATATTAGTAGTAAGTTAGGCATTAGGAACTATAAATAGTAAATAGTTATTCTATAGGCCTAGTTAAGTAATTATAGGTCTTTAAAGGGCTTAGTAATTAGTTAAAGCCTTAATAAGAGTTATAGAGTAATTATTACTTAGGTATAGCTAAAAGTATTAGTAAGGGTAATTATAAAGTTAATTACTAAAGAGCTATAGAAGTCTAATCTTAACTAGACTTAAGTCCATCCTATATATAAGTCCTAAATAGTCCTTTTACCCCTAGGACTAATATCTCACTATTAGTCCTATAAGATAGACCGCCCTTAGAACGTTAGTCCTAACCCTAGTCCTATCTTAAGACTGCTTATTAAAAGTTAGTCCCTCTTATTATTATATAACCTATACTATAGTTCTTCCGTTTCTAAGGGAACTCTATATATTCCTATAATCCTATATATAAGGTGCTGTCCTAACTGCTTAGTATCTTAGTAGGGCGTTCTTAGTTATACCTAATAGGTTATAATATTAGGTCCCCTCTTTAAAGGTTTAGTCCCTTAGATTAATATAAATAGGTAGTATCTCTTAGGTTAGGGAGTTATTAATCTTACTTCCTAATTTTTATAATACTAATATTATATTAGGTTATATTTAAAAGTTAAAAAAGAAATCTTAAGCTATTAAGCTTAAGGATTATAAGTAAGAGGCTTTACTAGAATATATTAAGTCTTATTCCCTAGGCGCTAATATGCTTTATACTTATTGTTTTTATGCTAAGGTTCTATATCGTTTTAGAGAGAAGTTATTACGTTATTATACTTATATTAAGGTAAAGAAGCCTTATAATAGTGTCCTTATAGCGTCTACCTATAGGTTTATTCTATATATTATTTTTATTTTTATTACTAATTTATTTCTATAGTTTAAAGGCTAAATAAGTAGTAGAAAGAATAGGATAAAAAGGAAGAAAAGGTAGGAGAGGAGTTACTAGCTCTTTACTAAGAGCTGGCTT